GTTCATCGGACTCGAGATCGGTGTGAATGGTATCTGCTTCGACTGACAGCCCCGAGACGATCAGGTCGAGAAGCTTGCTTAGGGATTTCGTCGGAAGAAAGGAAGAGTATCTGCACAGATCAAAAAGTTCAGAATTGGGTCCACATGCGTCGGCGACGCCGAAAGATTTGTTAGGGGCCAGGGCGCACTTGAGTAAAAATTGCATCGAGTCAAAGAAGGCCGGCCGCGCCAGTCCTTCGGGGCTCTCGGCGACCCCATCAACGATGGGGTTTAACACATTATCAACCAGCGAGGCCGATATTTGATCGGGATCAGTTTCACAGTCCAGTAGCTCTGGGTCGGCTTCGGGGGTCGGGACAGAGGCTGGGTCACTCAAGTAATACTTGAGCGACTCGTTAATATCGAATTGGGCCCTGTCCTCCATGGGGGGCGACTGCGAGGATGAAGCCTCGAACAAGGCGACCGTTGGCTAGTAGTGACGAATTCGATCGAGGAATCTTGGTGGTGATGAGAGGAGGGGGAGGGGCAGTTATGTTGAATTGCGGAGGGGGGTGGAGGTGGAAGAGCGGCGAGCGGATGAGTGGCCTGGGGCTTTGTTTGTGTTTTGCCTTTTTCTTCCATTTATTATTGCTGGGACGGTTACCCAAGGTACCTCAATTACACATACTACCAGTACAATACGTTCTAGATACCAGACACACAGCCAGATCTCTTCTGCATGATATTAGTATGTGAATATTAAATATATATATTATATCCCGAATATGTAGACAAAATTTAGAAATACGTAAATATAGTCAAAAAGAGGCAGTAAACAAACAACGATCGAGTATACTGATTCAATTTGTTTTGTATTTTTCGTACCTGTCTTACCTGTGTATCTTACTACCGCGTTGCTAACAGCGTCAACTGGTCAATCTGTGAGTGCCTGGTATTCGGTACCGATAATGACCGACTGCGTAATAGATTACCAGATTCAATGTCAACTTTCCACTTTTCCAGATAATTGGATTGCAATCTTCACAACTCTCGCGCATCGCATAGACCTGCCTGTCTCCCACACCGTCTCATTCTCTAAACTGTTCTCTAGGTCAAGCTGCGCACCGCATGAACGCCCTTTGAACCAATCGCTGAACCTGGACAGTCCAGTCACATCTTCTCGCGCGCATCCGATATAATGACTTCATTCGATATGACAGTAGTAAAGCCCTTTGAAACAGAGCACCAAAACGCCGGATCTTTAGCACCAGCACACGCGTCGAGATCGAGATATATCGAGGAAATCGGGGGAAGGGAGGTACTTTGTGACCAATACAGCGAAGAGAGTGGCAATGAGGAGAATAGCCAGGACGATGAGGACGTTGATGATTCCGTCAAGGAAGACATGAAGAAACTAGAAGATACATTTCCAGGAATCTCAGACCAATTTCGATTAGTGAACAGGATTGGGGAAGGTATTTGAACTCTCTCTCGCTAGACTCCTTCATCTCCTGTCTTATCGTTCTTCTGCTAATTGGTAATTGGTCACCCATCTATAGGGACGTTCTCAACTGTTTACAAAGCCGAAGATCTTATGTATGACCACTACAAGAACGATTGGGATATGTTTCAAGACAACCAGGAGGAAGTTCAGACAAGCCCACCGTCCAAGAAAAGGCGCGTGGAAGATCAAAATCACCACTCATTACCAAATCGGCGGCGAACACCTCGGTACGTCGCGTTGAAGAAGATCTATGTGACTAGCAGTCCAATCCGAATCCAGAATGAATTGGAGCTGCTTCATGATCTCCGAGGGTGTCGTTCGGTATGCCCGTTGATCACAGCCTTTCGTCACCAAGATCAGGTCGTGGCTGTATTGCCCTTCTTTCCTCATACCGACTTTCGCATACAATATCGTACCTTCATGGTCGCAGACATGCGGCATTACTTCCGCTCATTATTTACCGCACTTCATTCAGTCCATAAGCACAACATTCTTCACCGAGATATCAAACCAACGTGAGATTAGGACGTCCCTGCTATCATCTCAATTGACTAACCCCTTCAACAGTAATTTCCTGTATAATCCTGACCTGCGAGAAGGTGTTTTGGTCGACTTCGGCCTGGCTGAGGTTAGTTCCTTTCTCTTCCCTGTCATTGTTTCTGTGGGATTTTCCCTCTGGGACACCTATTGTCACTAGACAGTATCCGGTGTTAGCAGCTAATAGAAGACGGCAGCGTGAGGGTTCCGAATATACCGGTACATGCTTGTGTACCAACTCAAAGTTAGCCCGTCATGGGCGAGTGCTGCAAAGCTACCATTATACCCATAACTCAACTGCTTCGCTTGCAACTGGCTACCCGAAGAATGACTCAAGACCTTCGAGGCGCGCCAATCGCGCCGGAACTCGAGGTTTCCGTGCACCGGAGGTCCTGTTCAAATGCACCTCCCAAACCACCAAGATAGATATGTGGTCGTCCGGTGTCATCCTCCTGACACTACTTGGTCGTAGATTCCCCTTTTTTAATTCAGCCGACGACGTTGACGCCATGATTGAAATGGCAAGCATATTCGGGACACGCCGTATGAAAGCCGCATCGGCGATGCATGGTCAGATCTTCGAAACAAACATCCCAACGATTGGTGAAAAGGGGTACAGCTGGGAGAAGCTTGTCAAGTGGGCCAGTTGCGTAGAGGACCTAACGGAGAGCGAGAAACAGGCGACTCGTCTTCTCGCAGGTCTGATGGAGCTGGACCCCTATCGACGACTGAGCGCGAAGGAGGCTTTGCAGCACGAATTCTTCACCGATCCCATCGACCACGATGTGGAATGGGGCGGCAACCCGGATGATAGCGGAGATACGGGGGAAGACGATGGCGATAAAGACGGCGAGGCAGATGAGGTGGCGATGGTTTAGCTTGATGCAATTAATGTATGACCGTATGATCCAGTGTCAATTCACGTTAACGCAATCGTTCTTAATGAGAGCTTTACGCCAGGCACTTTCACTGCAAGATACCAACATTATAGAAGGTCTTATTGGTCTACTGCTATCTAGACTCGCTTGACAATTATCATGATTAGACTTGTGTTGGTGCACAGATGCCATTAAGAACGTACATGGGTATATATATGTGCATTTTATGTGTATATCTCTAGATGTGCAACTAGTGGCAACAGCAAATTAAGAAGGAGCGGGATTCATCCGTGTCGCTAACGGTCGGACCTAACTAGCCTCCCCAAAATCGTAGTGCCCAGTTTGCGCTGCATGCTGTGTGGCACCTTTCTCTCCCGTGAAGACGCCTCCACACGTATTGCAACGGATTTGAAATCCCGCAGTATCAGTATAGTAGTGCTTCTGCTGCAAGACCTCGCAGAGCGCCAGCGATCTGTCCAGCACTATAGGATCCGCCGCATCGAACACTTTTGTATCAAACTCGGGAGGGGCATGCGAATGCGTGAATGGAGGATCCGACGGAGACAAGGCAATGGTATCATAATGGATCCCAGAATAGACGAGGATACAGCGAGTAGGGGGCCCCTCGTTAAAACGGTCGACCCGCAGAGTCTGCACATCAATCGAGCAGATCTCGATATCAAAGTGTTTGCTCAGGATGCTGAGTTCAATACCTCCGCCCCAGGAATCCTCATTCTGTATCCAGCGGCAATAGTCCTCCGGTTTCCGCTCCAGCACTGCCTCGGAATAGAGATCCGGGTTCTCGTGGATCGTCTGCGCTATTACAGACCGCAGTTCGTTCATCGCGTCCATTCCTCCCATGATTGCGCTCCCCACGGCGCGGAATAGACACGAGTTGTCGTCGGGCATGATACGTAGGACAAATGTGCCGGCGTGCTCGGGGGATGGCAGCTCCGGTGGATCGTCAGATACATCTTTGGGTTTGTGCGACGGCGAGGGCTTGTCTGGTTGGGGCTGGTTGGTAGATATAGGCGCGGGATGGTCGTTCCCGGTGTCCTTCTTTGTGATTATGAGTTGCTCGCCGTTGAGGTTCAGGCCAGCTTCGGTGAGCTTCTGATCCGCCTGAAGCGTATCCAGTGTTAGTGGTCTGATTTCGGGGTATCCATATTTGACATCGAAAGCACTCAGGCCTGTCGTCTCTGCGATTTGGGTTCGAAGGTCGCCAACGGTTGCATCGTCATCGAGAGTTACGGTGGACTGTCCAGCAGGGCCACGGACTCGGACTCTCATTCTTGTTGCGGTTCTCAAGTGCCAGGAGGGTGATGTCTCGGGGAGGTCGAGATGTTCTTCTCACGGAAGAGCGTCAGGAAGTATATCGAGTCGAAAGTAGGAACTTTCCAGGTAGAAAGGGGATTGTCGCTACTACTAATAACAGGCGCATGAGCTAGCGGGGCATGACCTGCGGGTGTGACGATTGACCCAGTGGGTTCATGTTCAATGTGGGGCGGGCGCGTTGCATCATTTTTAGAGCAGCAGAGAAGATATGAATGACATGAAGAGCTATTGAGCTTGTCAATGCCTATAATTGGAACTAGCGGATTGACTGTCCAGGTATATATGGACCATTCAAAAGAAGGACTCTTATAGTGACAATACTGAGTTTAATGATAGATACTGTATCTATTCATACCAGTCATCCCGTAGATAGGACGATGTACTCCGTATACTCCGTATAATACCTTAACGTTCCCACGCATACCGCAACAACTTTAAACTTACCATATAATCTTGGTATGGTTGATCCTGTCCAAGGACCGCCCAAGCAGCCAAACGTGATGGCGTCACGTAATATCGAAAGTGAACCTGTGTATCGTACCGTAACATACACCGAAAGCGGTCAGGAACCAAACAGTGATGAGTCAGCATAGCTGCGATACTCTTCCGATCCCCAGATGTTGTCCTGCTCCTGCCCTTCTCTCTCCTGCTGGTTATCCACGGCTGCGCGCTTGTGTTCGTCATCTACCTGTTCAAAACCTGTCGAGAATCGTCAAGCAAGCTCTGCGTTGTCGGCCAACCTTGGGGCTGGCGTCATACCTGTGAGCATGGAGAAGGCTCCCGAGCCGGCGCAAACCCAACCTACTGCTGAGGAGCCGGTGAAATCGATCGAGGATGACAATACCAGGGGTGATGGCGCGGCGCCTGCGAGTACTGTCACCGAAGAACAATGGAGGTCGATGATGGATGTTACCTTGGCGATCTATGAGGTTAGGGAAGAAGAGTAAGCCTTTGTCCCTGGTGTCCCTCGTCCCAAGGTCAATGCGACTTTGCCTTGTCCAGGCTAACCAACCGTACCTGTGCGCAGTGGACACGACCCATCGCGATTGTTCCATCGCAGCGTCAACAAGCGCAATGTCCCCGACTATTACGAGATCATCAAGGAACCCATGGCGCTTAGTATCTTGAAGGCAAAGATCAATAAACGCGAGTACAAACAGTTTTCTGAATTTGTGCGCGACTGTGCTTTGGTATCTATCCACCCTTCTTGCCCCTTCCAATCATCATGACCTGGAATGGGTTGACGATGTGTTGATTTCTAACCCGCGCTTAGATCCCTCATAACGCTCAGACGTATAACCGTCCAAAGTCCCAGGCGTATGAAGACGCGCTCGTAATCAAGGTTCGTCCAACAGCCATGGAGCCCAAGCTTGCATTTTTTTTGTCTACTAGTTCGCTAATGAGTCCCTTATAGGAAGTGTTCGCTGCGGAGTTCCAAACACTCAAGAACAAGGGGATTATCACGGCTGAGGAAGCCGAGCTTCCGGACCTAGGGGAGATTCCTGAAGCGGACCCTCTCCCCGAAGAAGAGGGGGAGGAAGAGGACGAAGACGAAGAGGACGAAGAGGATGAAGACGACTCCGATGACGATGGCCGACGGAAGAAGAAACGCGGTCCTCGCCCCGGGCCCAAACCGCACGGTGCGAAGGAAGATAGCCACAAATCGAACGATCCGGAGCTGAGAAAGAAACGAGGCCGACCACCACGTGTCGACACCCCTATGGAGGCTAGGATAAAAGCAATTTTGAAAGGGATCCGAAAGCTGAAAGGGCCAAACAGCCAGCTGAAAGTACGGCACTTCGAGCGTTTGCCGGACAAGGCCACTTACCCGGACTACTATGTGGAAATCAAAGAACCCATCGCGATCGACATCATCAAGAGGAAATCAAAGCGGAAGAAGTACAACTCAGTGGATCATTTTATGAGGGATATGGACTTGATGTTCAATAATGCCAAGGCCTATAACCAACCAGACAGCCAGATATACAGAGACGCTGTTGATCTGCAGGCGGAGGCACGGAAACTTGCTGAGCACGAGAAGAAGAAACCGGACAGTGAATACCTGATGGAAGATGGACGGTTGCCTCTGCCGGACGGCATACTCCACAAGGGTGAGATGTGGAAGGTCGGTGATTGGGTCCATATCCAAAATCCCAACGACGTGACAAAACCGATCGTGGCGCAAATCTATCGAACATGGCAGGACGCCGCGGGCGAGAAATGGATAAACGCCTGTTGGTACTATCGGCCGGAGCAGACTGTTCATCACTTTGAAAAACACTTTTATCCCAACGAGGTGGTTAAAACCGGCCAGTACCGAGACCACCGCGTGGGGGAGATTGTTGACCGGTGCTTCGTGATGTTTTTCACCCGCTACAATCGTGGGCGGCCTAGAGGTCTCCCGCTCGATAAGGATGTTTACGTCTGCGAAGCCCGGTATAACGAAGAGAAACACAAGCTGAACAAAATCAAGACCTGGGCAAGTTGCCTGCCGGACGAGGTGCGAGAAAAGGACTATGAGATGGATCTGTTCGATGTCCCTAGGCGGATCAAGAAGATTCCCAGCCCGATTAAACACCTGCTTAAGGACGACGCAAAAGAGACAGATGATCTTCCGAAACCGACCTGGGGCGCGGACAATGCACCGCCCATTGTCGGCGCAGTTCACCGACGCCCACGCGATGAAAACGTGAGTTAACTCCATATTCCATGTCCCATACAGAACTTTATCATTAACGAAGTTGGTTTCCAGGAATCCCCACCCCCGGAACCAACTCCGACGCCGCCGCCATCATTGCCGCAGTCGAGTTTGCCTTCCGTCCCTCGACAAACTCCAATGAACCATATATCCGCGCGGCCAATTGTCAATGGCCAGGGTCATACCCCTGCGGCAGGTGCTACCCCTGTCCCGACACGCTCCCCAGCTGCTTCGATTGCACCTGTTCACGGCTCTCCCGTGCCGGTACCTCCAATCAATTACCAGCAGCCGCAGGTTCCTCCGGTGCCAGCCTATCAGCCTGTTTTACAGAGGCGACCCAGTGGACTCATGCCACAAACCCCACACGCCGCCTCCTGGCAGGCCTCGCCGGTTCCTCAGAGTTATGCGGCCGCGCAGCCTTCGCCGTACACACCGTATCAGACGAGTCGTTTGCCAGTGGCACCAGGTACAGCCTACAACTCAAACGGCCCTCGTCCGACCGAGGTCTTCCACTTGAGCGATGCTGCAAACGAGGCCATACCCGCAGACATTCGCGAGAAGTTCCACTGCGATGACCAAGGCCGCGTCCTTTTCTTTTCCTCTCCGCCTCTTGATATCGTACCATCCATGCAGCCGAAGCTCGGCCATTCTCTCAAGTATCTCGCAGCGAAAGAAGAGCGACGGAAGCTCGTTGAGTCCAGAAAGCGAAAAGAAAACGACGAAGAACAAGAGCGCGCAGAGAACGCGAAGCGCCAGCGTGCAGACGACGAAACCGCCCTTACTTCTCGGGTAGAAGCTCTAACAGTCAAGGCCATGGAGGCAATGACGGAGAATATCGTGTCAGGAACGGACACGATCTACGAGATGTTGTACGGGGGTCAAGCAGGCCAGGCTCGACATACTGATGCCGAGGTGCACAACCGACGAGTTTCTGCCGATCGAGTCTCTCATGACAAGACAACGCAGATCCAAGCCCACTCCAAGGATACGAGTCTCACTAGCCTCAAAGCCCGTGCCATATATATGGACGAGGTGAACGGGGGGGTTAGATAGAAGTCAATGGAGCATTACACTCTTGATAACGACTGCACGATGTTGCAGCGCGGGTGTGCTCATCATCCCCATGCAACAGATAGGAGTACGATAACCATTAAGGACCATTTATCTATCTCCCTTTCCCTATTCCACATCCCTTTGATTGCGTGCACTTCGTGTATCAGAATCAGGACAGGAGTCTTCAAAAGGCGGAAGGCTCGATTGATTGAAATTTTTCCTGTAAATTATAGCTAGCTAGCAGCATCGCAGAGTTGATTTAATTGATGGGACGTTTCAACATTACAGCTGTCTTCTGTTTACTTTGTAGAATAGATAGTAGTGGAGAAGAGGCAGCCGAAGTAGAGCAAAGAGGATCTACCCACCAGCATATCAAAAATGCGGAACATCTGAACGTGATGTATATATGTACGTAAGTATGTATATATTGTCCAATCATGTATCGCCACCTAGGGAGGACCCATGCACAGATCGTATTATGAGCACAAGCACAAGCACAATGGAAGAGAAACCAGTTTGAAATGAAATGAGATGAGATGTGAGGGTAGAATGAAGAGAAGATATGTAAGGTAGGTAAATACAAGATAATCAAGATGTCCCAAAGAAAAATAAGTAAATAAATAAATAATTGAGAGAAGCATCGAATTCAAAACCAGAAAGAAAGAAATCAGCTGTGATGTTTGTTCCCACATTTTGAAAAACCCCGCTTGTCCTTGCGAATTAAACCAAAAGTTTGTCTAATGGATGGTTGATTGATTGATTGAGTGATTGATGGATTAGATGCAAGATAGATAGATAGATAAAAAGAAAGAGTAGCTAGCTAGCTTAGCTAGCTAACTAGCCTCCTCAAATCAATCACCGGGCTCGTTGAAACAGTTCTATACAAAAGGAGTTTCCCTTGCCTAGGGGATGGATAGTGGACACCGGTTTTTAGGTAAATTCCGATGAATAGATACGTGAAGGAGTCATGACAGACCGACGTCCACGAGGTTTTGTTTCGTCCCCAAAGGATCGATGTGCTTCGTATGAACCCCGTATTTTGCCTTTTTTTTTTTTTTTTTTTTCGTTCGTGCCACCTTTGATTCGGCCTAGATGTCAATATAATAGACGAGACCGGTCATCAAGATCGTCAAGGTGGATATCGCACTGCCCCCACGGCTCAATAGTGGGGGAGGAATTTGATCATGTCTGAAAGGCAGCGTTGCCGGTTGGCGTCGAATCCTCATCATTGGAGTCCGTCTTGTTGGTATCCCACGAAGAGCTGTTTCGCTTATTGTTCTCTTCTTCCTCCATGGAGAAGACCAGGTCACTTTGTTCCTCGTCGATCTTGCTCGTGCTGACCGGCGACGAGACGGTCCGGTCTAGGCGGCTGCTGGGGCCAGCGGACGACGAGTGGCGGGCTGTCCCGGGGTGTAAGGACATGCCGCTTAGTTGCTGTGATATCATCGACGTGGACGGTTGAAGGGAGGAAGAGGAACCCGTCACGTACGGCGATACGTCGCCTGAGAAGTGGCGGCTCCCGATGGGGCCTAAACTAGGGCTGGTGCCCATGTGCAAGGAGGATTCACGCAGAGGCGAACCCACGTGCGGGAACGATGTGCCAGTACCATGGGAATCTTCCTCCTTTTTCTGTCGTTGTTTGGCGAACAGGGCCCCGAAGCGCGACGGACTGGATCCCAGTGGGGAGCCAACCTTCGAGAGACTGGTGCTGGTCATTCCGAGACCACTGATATCGCGGTGGGTTGAGCCCAATTCGTAGTCCGTGCGCGACAGGCGACGAAGCCGCTCCTGGGGTGTCAGGACGTCATCATGTAGGTTCATCGGTAGATAGTCTTCCTCCATCGGGAAATTGCTGTCTTCCCAATCGTCCAAGGCGGTGGGTCGCGGTACACTGGCTGACAGCATCCGTGGCTTGACCGGCCGCTGCGAGTGTAGGAACCGCGGGCCTTGTCCATCTTCAGTAAACCCAGGGGGGGAGGATCCCATCATAGAAGAATATTTCCTCGAATCGGGCCCGTAGACCGTATCGCGGAGGTTTCGAAGCGCATCCGAGGGGACACCCACTCTCTGAGCGGGGGGAGACAGTTCCAGTCCAAACTTGGAGGGCATAGAGGCGGCCACGGGACCGTAACGAGCCGCATGCGAAATTCCTTGGCTGTCAAACGACGCAGGCAGCGGGGCATCGAGGGCCGTGAGGTGATGGTGGCTGGGGGACATGGGGAAGCGCATGTCATCCGGGGGCGAGCCGTACTTCGACCCAGCGTCCGAAGCTAGACCAGCATCAATCGTGGGGATGGGGTCGTATGATGGGGGCGGCGGCGGTTGTTGTTGCTGCTGCTGCTGTTGTTGTTGCTGTTGCTGTTGCTGCTGCTGCTGTTGCTGCTGCGCATGTAAGGCTGCAAGCTCATCCTGAGGCGGCACTTGACCAGCAAATCGGGCATCGTGTCCATTCATCCGCTGTTGCGACAGCACCGAGTTCGTCAAGGCTGAATCTTGGTTGACGTAGGCCTGGGGATTGACCCGGCCTCCCAGGTTCAGATGGCTTCCCCCCATGGTCATACTGGAGCGATTGACCCGTCGCCCGTCTGGAAGAATATGCGCCAGCGCACATTTGGCACCGAATTTGCAATTACCCTAGATCGATAGAAAGCACGGGAATTAGATCATCCTGGCAAATCCAGTCAAAGGGCCGACCCAGAAGTAGGGAATCACCACTTCATACCTTTGTAAAATACTTGCAAGGAGCATAATCGATCGCAGAATCAGTGGAATGTAAGAAGGGACAGGCAGGACCGGCCTGACAGGCACCCTGTCGGAAGAATTTGCAGGGAACATGCTTGGTGTCTGGGATCGTGACAACCGTAAGATCAGCCCTCTACCATTGGAGATCGACTTGAACACCGCACACGAGGGATCCAAAAACGGGAGCCAGCCACTTGACTGGCCATGACCAAGGAAAAAAGAATCTCTTACTGCTTTGGTTAGGGGGACTTCGGGCAGTCACGTCGAAGCCCGAGACATTGCGGGAATGACCGTTCTGTAGAGGCTGCTGGGTGCCGGACGGAACCGGGAGAGGAGCGCGACCTTTCATGTCACCCGAGAGACGATTTGGAGGACGAGAGGGATGAGAGGGAGGAGGTTGAGGAGAGGCAGGGGGGTTCTGAGAGGCGGATAACTGCATGGCCAGGGGAGGAGGGGAGAGGAGGCTGATGCAGAATGGGAAAGAATAGAAAATCGTTCGGGGAGTTTGGGGGAGTTTGGGAGGGGTTTATCGCACGGGGGGCGATGTGCACGGGAGGGGAAAAGACGTCGGATCCGGGGGTTGTGATTGGCGGAGGGGCTGGGCGGTGAGGGCTGGAGAACTATCACTGAGGCTGCCACTGATACTGAACTGACACAATCAACACCATCAACACATGTAAGGATAGACAAGCTGAAGTCGGAAGTGGATCTAGAGCCTGACACTCTCATTCTGGAAAATATTCCATTAACCTGAAAATGAGGGGAAGAGTACGGAATCGTGCTTACCAAGAGCCTCGAGCCTAGGTATCCGGGTGATCGGATATCAACAAACAGCCCTGCTGCCTTGCTTCATATCATAAGATGATGTGATTGTGGCAGATTTGGTCTCATCTGAAAGATGTGGAAATAAGAAAGAGAATCAAGTTGAAATGAAATAAAAGTCATCAAGAATACCACAGTTCAAAACCCCTCTCGTTCCACCCTGTCCATCAATCAAATAACCCTGATCCATGAGCTTACAATGCTGGTGATGAATCAATCAACCTCATAGAAACAAGTCAAAAGCAAGAGACACATGACCGCCACAGACATCATGCTATAAATTGATTGTCTCCGGAGGAGAGCCCTCCCCCAAGGTATGGCGTCATACCATCCATTCATCTGGCTCATGACTCCGTCGCATGGACGCCCATCTCCTTGCGGTATGATAATCTTATTCTTGGCTCATCTGATGATCAATCCGCATCGTAGCTCTCCTCAGCTTTCTCCTCCCCCTCTTCTCAAACTGGCAAATCACAAGGTCTCGGGGCCTGTTTTCGGGCGGGGGAGGCTGCCGATCACCCCATCCTTCCCCACAGTATTCCTGCCGAACGTTCTTTCAATCTTAACTATGTAGACATCAGCTTTCACTATGTAAGCATTCGACTATACCATACAGACGTTTGATTGTTATTATATCACGACGGAGGTAAATGGCCACCGGGAGCACAGCACCTGGTAGTACTGCATCATTCGAACGGCATCCCTTCCATCCCCAAGGAATCCTAGCCATAGTCGTCAGCACAAGCCCAACAGCCAGCCATTCAGCGACGGAGTGAGCATAGATACCCAGAGCTCCCCCCGACTCATATCATCCGGCAACACCTCAGTGCAGCTATCCCACAAAGCCTTACATATCCTCCTTCGAACAGCCACACAATTCCTCCAGCGCTTCCACTCTAAATCAAGACCGACACTACTCTCACCATCACAAGAACCATCGTTCAGCGGGTTACTCTCGCGAACACGGGCAAGCTGCGCCGTAATCGACGCGACTTCTTCCCGAAGTTTCTCAATATCATCGCGCAGCTCCGAAAGCAAAGGCTTTGCATAGCACGCGGTTAACTCCGCGCGTGTCTTCCGCTCGCTGACCTTGAGCTTGTCGATTTGCTCTTGGAGTCGCGTCGCTGTTGATTCTTCTGCTGCGATAATTTCGGGCGTACTGTTTGGTGCTGTTTGTAAGGCGTGGTACACGATTTGTTTACCTTTATAAATGAGCTCTGCTTGATGTTGGGTACGGGGGCTAATAACCTGCAACGCGACTTTCGATCTGTTTGTTTGTGTGGAGTTCGCGCAAGGCTTTCACGGCGTGTGCTGTGCAGTGTTTGTTAGTTGGTTGGAGAGGGATGGATGGCTGTTAGGTAACGCGAAGAGGACTGGAGAAGGGGGACGAGTACCCTTAGTGACTTTGTTATGCAGGTTCGTAGAGACATCAGCTGCCTGGGTAGAATCAGTCAGAATACATGCTAGCTATCATTATCCGATGGATTGTAGGAAAACTCACCGAGTAGGGACGACTATACAGGCAATACATCGACATGCATACTTCTGATCACGCATTGTATATCAGTAGAGAGCAAAGGAAGACATACCCTTGCTTTTCTATAAGCAAGTTAGCCTGTGCTGCAAATCCGTTACGATGCTAGTCATTGCATGGGTGTAATCTAGGATGTACAATGAAGACACTTACGAAGGTACTCCAAAACCAGCGCAGTCCCATCATCAACTACTATGAGAGTTAAAGGTAGAGGCTCTTGCAACCAGACTGACGACAGTTCGCTCACCATGGCTACTCGAGTCTCCGTCTTTCTTGTTTCGTTTCGACATGTTGATACTGTTACTAGACAGTTTGAGCATACTAGGGTTGGGGAAATGGCAGGCGCAAAGAAAACAGAGAGATTTGACTTGGACCAACAGGAAGTTTTCGCGCGTTGTTTCTAGGTCTACTTCAGACAGACGTAGTCCATCCATTTCCTGGCATGATCACGTGGCAGACCTTCGCCTCCAAACTGAGGCTGAGATGATTTGCTGGAAAGCTCAATACACAGACACATATATACAGCCAAAACAGAAACAGAAAAAAAAAAAAAAAAAAAAAAAAAAGGCAGATGCTGATGAAGAAGAAGCCCGCAATTGAAATGTATTTGCCAACGTCCACTACCCTCTAGTTACCCACCTACCTAGTCCATGAAACACACGTCACCAAAGCAAAAAAGAAAAAAAGACAGGATACCCTCAAGATTTCTGAAACACAAAACAAATCGAGCGATGGTAATAAAAGATGCAAAACGGACCCGGGTATCACATGACGATCTAGAAGCAAGGTTAGTTGCGGAACGAAGACGACAAAATACAAGCAGCAGTGAAACATACGCAATCACCGTCTTTTTGAGCACTGGGGACTCCCATTTCCTCAAAGGTCTTGGGGCCCTTTCCTGGTAGGCTACCCTGCGATTTGGATGGCTGGGCGGGCGGTCGTTGGCCAGCCGAGGTCGCCGAGGACGGCGGTTTCGGCGTGGAGGAGGAACTCGGTGGTCGGGAATCGGCCCGGCCCGGGAACGATGCGCTCGAGGGCGAGGCAAGTGGTCGCGGGGATCCCACCGGGCCACCTTGGGCGTGGGGAGACATCGGGGTCCGCACGGGTCGCCGATCCGGGGGCATATCCATACGCTGGGGACGCCTCCGCATGTCACCGGCCTGGGGCTCCATCGGTGCGGAGTAGCCAACGTCGAGTTTGGGGCCGGCGGACACCGGGGTCATCGACGGGGTCCCCGGGGGCGGAGACCGGTATCCCATCGGGCCCGGTCCGTATGACGCGGCGCGGTTGTAGCCAGGGCCGTTCGATCGAATGTTGGGGTTGATACCAAAGGCAGAGCTGGGTCGGGGATCCGGCGCCCCGTAGCCCGGTGGGTAGACGGGGCGGGCACGCGATGCCGGTCGATCAGGATATGGCGCAGACGCGGGGGGGTTGTTCTCCGCAATGCTCATCCGGGACGGGTCGGGCATTTCGAGGTTCTCGGTGTTCGACCTGAGATTGGGACGCTGAGATCCATAGCGTGACTTGATGCGCGCGATGGCCACCTGTTCATGGTCCTTGCGGGATAAAGTCTTGGAGCGAGAGATACTATCGATGCGACCCGTGGCGTCCTTGTTCCCGCTGGCCGCGGCTTTGGCGTACCAGCTTCTGGCCTCTTTGATGTCCGACGGCACGAAGATGCCGACCTCGTAGAAGTACCCCAGGGCGAATTCGGCGGTCGGGAACCCACTCTGAGCCGCGCGCTGGGCATAGATAAACGCCATCTCGTCGTTCTTTTCGAAGACGCCTTCATGGCCGCAGAGGAACCACTTGCTGATGGCCATCTCCGCTTCCGGTTCGCCCTGGCGCGCAGCCAACGCGTTGTAGTGCAAGGACAGGGCCGGGTTGAAGTCGCACCCCAGCTGGCACAGTTCGTAGGCGGCACCGATCTTCACCTGGGCTTTGGCAAATCCATGGAAGGCGGCCTTTTCGATATTAACACGCGCGGCGTTGAGATCGAGCGGGAGGAAGGCCTCCGGGACGTTCACTTGGGGAAGTTCTCGGGCCAGGAGCATCCCGTAAACCTGTTGCCATTGCCATGGTTAGACCGCCGGACTCGGAATTGCGCGGGATGGTTCCAACTTACGTAGGCACCTTGGGGCGCATTCTCGTCGCAGGACTGCGCTGCAAGGCTGATGTACTCCAGACCCGTCTGGTAATCCTGGCGCTGGCCATGCTGGCCGAGAAGGATCATCATTCCCAGGCGCTGCCATCCATGTCAGTCGGGGAGGGAGACACGTTAGCGTACATTGGGAGAAGGGCATACGTAAAACGAGGCGGAATCTGCAAGGGCGACGCCCTTCTGGTAGTGTCTGATGGCCTTCTCCGGCTCTCCCGAACTCTCGAATTGCATCCCAATCCGGTATTCCGCGCGCGCGTAGCCTTTCTCCGCGGCTCTCATGTACGATCGGAAGGCTTCCTTCTTGTCAATGCGACAGCTGAATTTACCGAATTCCAGCCACATGCCCTTGATGAACTCGGCCTTGGGATGAGACTGATCCGCCAGGAAACTGACGATATTCATGGCGTCGACCTTCAACTGGCGCTCGACCGGCGGGGTCTGCGGGCGCGGGGGTTGGATCAACGACAGTCGAGCCTCATTCTGCATGGCGACCTCGACGTAAGCCAGAGCATCCTGGGCCCAGGCCAACTGCATCTCCGGGTCATTGGACGACAAGACGGTCATGCGCACGCGCTCCAGGTTCGCTTCTCTCTGCTCATCGGTCGGGGGGACATTGGGCGGGGGGTTGCGCAGAGCGGGAAAGGCCGAAAAGTTAGGGGAATCCATGGTGTCATAGATGGCGGCTTGTTCGTAGTGGGAGGCAGCTTCGTAACCCGACGAGGGAATGGGCTGACCTTGAACGACGGCGGCGGAAGAGGATCGTTCAGGGAAACCGGAGCGGTCATATTGGACGGGAAATTGTTGTTGAGATCGATAGGGGTTTCGAGCCTCATGCTCGAGGTGTGCAATATTATCCTGCATATTCTCCGGAACTTCGGGCATCACTCTGCAGGGGGGAAGAGAGATGATAAATTTAGGATTAGCAACCCATCCACAGTGTCACGCCAGATAGTGCCTTTTTTATCGTAAATTGCTTTTTTTTACTGGGTTGTTTTTTGGGCCTGCCGATTTGTTTTTCTTCCCTCATACCCAATTTGAAGGAATCTCTCCTCTTTCTTCTTTGTTTTGAACGATAGGTCTTTGTGAGAGGGAGAGTGGGGGAGGTGGTTGGAAGGGAGGGGGGAGATGATGTTGTGTAAGGGTAGCTGGGGCTGAGCAAAGGAAGATGGGATATCAGGGTCATACCTTTGAGGGGAAGGAGAGATGACCTCTGGCATGTAAAAGTCATCCTGACCCCCTGGATACCTGGTTGCACCTAGTCGTGGCTGACCGCGACCTTGCGGGGGTCGATTCATCATTTTCAGAGATGCAGCAGTTCCCGACTAGTTGCTGAATTGTTTTCTTCGTTCCCTTTTTTTTTCTTCTTGATTTGGTATGTATGCGGTACCCCTCGTTTGGTTTGTTGTCTTGTCTTTCGTTTGAAAGCCCGGTCGGGTTTGGCTTAGCTTGTAATAATAATGATAATAATGATAATAATAATAATAATAATAATAGACGAGCTCAAAGTTTCTCGGGAGTCAGACAAGAAACCAGAGCTAGAGAGACTCGGTTGATACGACAGAAGAAAAGAGAAAACGCGCCGCGGGGAGATTAGGAGTCAAGTTGGCCTAAGGTGGGCGGATAAGGCGTGAAGGCAGCTGCGTCATTCTTGTATTGACTTTACACATACTTTACCTATACTTGACCTATACTTTACCTATACTTTACCTATACTTTACCTATACTTTACACTATACTTAGGTTATTGCTATACTTGATTCTACTGGTTCCTTTACCCTTCGCTGCCCCTTCTACCCTGTGTATACAATAGAATATAGAACAAACATCAAAAATAACGGCCATAAAGAGACTGAATCTCCTTTGCTAAGGGGAGAGGGGTAAGCAGTCAAGACAGATGTGTAACTTTCTCTAGCCAGGTTACCAACCTCATACCAGAAAGTTTCAGGCAACTCCATACTACTTCCCACTATCCTCTCACTAGTTCTGCCCAGACAAAAGGGCCACTTTTAACAACGCAGATTTCAAAAGGGATGATGGTCCACAGATCTACCATGATTATTTAACGCATCATACTTATCAATAATGGATGTGGATGTTCAATGATCAATTCCGGTGGATATACCCGGACTTATACCACCTAGTCCGTTCTACAGGCTATAGTCGGACATCGCTGTTCAGGGTGTTACTCTGGAGGTGTTTCGGTGGAAACAGGTCTCCAGAATCATTCGTTATCAAGAACGCGGGCTGAATGCCAAGAATGCTACTAGTGAGTAGCTTTCTTCTTCCAGGCCATTTGGCATCCTGTCATGCAATGGCTCCATCCAGCAATGATACCCTAGGAACCGCTCCATTCTAGCAGCATTCCAGGACCATTCCAGGACCATTCCATGCAACATTCCATTGAATGCTCTTCAATCTATCTTCTTCTGTCTTTCTAGAACATCTGGTTTGATATGATACTATACCATCATGTTGAGAGTTATAGTATAAATTAGTTATAAATCAAGCCACCTACTTTGTATGCACAAAGTATAGAATATATTCCCTACACAAGTTCAGTGCCAGTAAAATACCAGAATAGAGAGAAACTGCATTGTCAGTCATGAATGAGAACTGGCAAACAGAATAAGACAGAACAATCAGGTGGCCGCCTCAAGAATGTGGCACCGCTTTGCTTTGTCTGCCTGAGGCTAGACAGTCCCACCCCATGTGGGTCTCAATTTCCAATTCACCGTTGCTTGCAAACCCAATCAATCATAGCCCCGATGCTCAACTTGATACATTGTCTACACAAGGTATTCAGGTCATTTGCCTTTTAGATTGTCCAGACCCACAAGCCGAGACATCGCAACTCCAAAACCTAGCCAACCCAATTGACATGGCGTCGCGCTGAGGATGTACTTCGTCCCATCACTTTGCGATCGACTAGTGTGTTCCATTTCGACAGGCTGAACAGAAATTCGCCAATTGATACCCTGTACTTGGAGTACATCCTGCAGCTATGGAACTGCAGGGGGAGGATTTCCACCATCCGTATACGCCGTATGACATCCAACTGGAGTTTATGCGGTCTCTCTATTCCTGTCTGGAAGATGACAAAGTAGCCATATTTGAATCCCCCACTGGTGAGTCAATCCGGTGGTAGCAATCTTATCATGGCTGCAGCATATCTAATATAGGCTTAGGCACGGTGAGTAATGATCTGCTTATATACTTGCCTGGATGACCCTTGAACAAAAAAGTCATAAACGAGGTGAAGCATAATGCTTCTTGTCTCTTGCCAACATCATTGAGTAGACCAGGTGCACATGCTAAACTCAATAATAGGGCAAGTCACTGAGTCTGATCTGCGGTGCTCTGACCTGGCTCCGAGACCACAAACGCAGAACATACCAGGAAAATCTATCAAACACAAAATGTAAATTATTCAGATATCCGGTAGACTCCTGGAACTTAGATCAGAGCTCTGACCACTAGCTCTTAGGCGACGACAACGAACCCGAGTGGATGGTGGAATATGCGAAGCGCGAGTCGGGCCGTGCCATTACAGAGAAGATTAAGGAGCTTGAATCAAGATTAGCAAAGACAAAGCAGGAGGAGGAGCGACAGAAAGCCGCACTGGAGAACCCTGAAGGACCGCGGAAGAAGCAGGTATGTGAACGTCAGGTATTCCCCAAGCTCAGATCCATTTCTAAGACAGGTCGGGAACAGAAAACTGCCGCGCAGTCCACTGGGTCTGATGACAGATCGAGTGATGACGAGTTTGCCCTGGATGATTACGACAGTGAAGGCGAAGAGCGAAGTACTACAGGCAAGGGTTCGGAATCCGACCCCTTCAGTGGACTCTCTTCCAGCACTCTAGAACTATTGGAGCGTTTCAAGGGAAAATACCCAACGGTATCCAACGATGAGGAGGAGGAGGACGGAGTACGGATCTTCTATTGCTCGAGGACACACTCTCAGCTGACACAATTTGCAAATGAACTGCGCCGTGTCTCCATGCCCTCGAGTCTCCCGGAGGAGCTAAGTACTAATACCACAACCGGTGAAGCCATCGAGGAACGCATCAAACATCTTTCCCTTGGGTCACGGAAAAATCTGTGCATAAACCCCCGAGTCCAGGCCTTGGAGAACCCAACGGCGATCAATGAGCGGTGCATGGAGCTGCAGAAACCCGGTGCTGCGTCTCAGCACAAATGCACTTTCTTACCGTCAAAGGAAACCGAGTCACAGGTCGTCCACTTTCGCGATCATGCTCTCGCAACAGTCAAAGACATCGAAGACTTGGGTAAACTTGGAAAGAAAATAGGCATATGCCCTTACTATGCATCCCGTTCGGTCATCAACCACAGCGAGGTGAGCTCCTCTTTACATTTGACATAAATCTATATTTCAACTACTGACAACAGAAGATCATAACCCTTCCATATCCGCTGCTTCTACAACGGTCCGCCAGGGAAGCGCTCAAACTGTCGGTAAAGGGGCACGTTGTCATCATCGATGAGGCCCATAACCTCATGGACGCCATCTCCAGTATTCATTCAGTGACTGTCACGCTCTCTCAGCTACAGAGGTCTATCTATCAATTGACAACTTATGCAAAGAAGTTCAAGACTCGTTTGAAAGGGAAAAACCGAAGCTACATTGCTCAGGTTATTCGATTGATCAATTCAATTGCTGACCATCTTCGGTCCATACTGGGAAGTAAACAACCACCAGAAGGTTCAGTTCGGGTCTCAGATCTTATGGCAGGCAAAGGTGCCGACCAAATCAACCCGTACAAGTTAAGCCGGTATCTGCAAGAAAGCAAGTTGGCCAGGAAAGTCGACGGATATGTCGAACACACTGAGAAACAGGCAGCCACTCAAGCGATGTCCAAACCGACAACCCCCGTTTTGTTCCATATACAGAGCTTCCTGCTGCCGTTGATGAATCCTACCGAGGAAGGGCGGCTATTTTATAATAAGAACCAGGGAGACATCCAATTGACATATATGCTCCTGGATCCGACCAACCATTTCCGTGAGATCGTTGAAGATGCTAAAGCTGTTATCTTGGCTGGTGGAACAATGTCTCCGGTATGAATATACACAAAGCCCCATATGTCGAATGAGGCTTACACGTTCTGTCTACAGATGACCGATTACATGCATCATCTATTTTCCTACGTGCCATCAGATCGACTCGGAACATTCAGCTACGGCCACGTTATCCCATCAGAGAACCTGATCGTCCATTCCCTGGCTAAGGGTGTTCTTGGAACCCAACTCGACTTTACCTACGAAGCCCGCAATTCTGAGAAGCTGGTAAGAATCTTTCTGCACTGTGAGATGTACACCGCTGTCCCAATGCTTACCCCTATGTTTCGTACGCGTTCAGATCATGGACCTCGGGCGGACAATAGCGTCATTGTGCCAAGCCATCCCGGATGGTGTTGTTGCCTTCTTTCCTAGCTATGACTACCTCAGTCGTGTATTGAGCGTCTGGAAAAAGGCCACTCCAGGCCAAAGCAAGACCGTGTACGACGCTATCGAGAGGCAGAAACCTATCTTATACGAGGGCCGAGAAATGGCCGTCTCAACGGAGGAACTCCTCCAGGAATATGCAACGGCCATCGACACAGGCCGCGGAGCCTTGCTTCTGTCCGTAGTTGGCGGGAAACTATCCGAAGGGATCAACTTCTCCGACAAGCTGGGAAGGGGTGTGTTGATCATCGGACTACCCTTTCCCAATATCCGCAGTGCCGTGTGGCAGGCAAAAATCAAGCACGTAGAGCGAAAGGCCTACAAGCAAAGTTTGGGTTCAGAGGCCACCCGGCAATCTACGGCTAAGAGCGCAGGGAGGGAATTCTATGAGAATTCCTGCATGCGAGCGGTGAACCAATGTATTGGCCGGGCGATACGACATCGCAATGACTATGCTTCTATTGTTCTGATTGACCAACGGTATGAGAAACCCAGTATACAAAGCAAGCTGCCCGCGTGGATTCAGCAAAGCATACGACCAGCGGGGAACACTGTCGGGAATATTTCCAGATTTTTTGGTTCTCGTGCAATAAATAGTTAGACTTATACAAACCAATAAGAGGCAATGGGTAACTGCTCTGGAAACTTGTAATCATAACGATGAAATAAAGTAATAGCATGAATAGGGTTACCGAATCAATAAAGTACTAGATGGGGGATAAGCAGGATCCACCCAGAACGGGTATCACCTGACATCACGTGGCTGTAAAGAAGGGGTTGCGCCCTAAATTAGGGCAAGGGCTTAGCGCACAGTCTAGCCGCCCGCGAGCCTTGAATTCACCATCCGAGCCAGCCAATCCACCCGATCGCATCCCTTAATCGACAAACACTCACACCGGTCTTGTCGAGCCCAGCACCGTCGACAAGATGCCTACCCGATTCTCGAAGACCCGCAAAGCGTGAGTCGAATATCCTCTCCATTTCCCAAATCCCAGAACGTCGTCCTTGCAGTCGAGCGAACGAACGGTCATGGTTGGAGGCCGTACGGACGGGGGACCGCGAACGACGTTGATTGATCGCACATCCGCCTTCGAAAAACCGATCGTGTGCTGTGCAGAATTTTTTTATGATGGAAAACTAACGTCTGTTCTTTGCTCTCAGTCGCGGTCATGTGTCCGCCGGTTACGGTCGCATTGGCAAGCACCGTAAGCATCCCGGTGGTCGTGGTATGGCCGGTGGTCAGCACCACCACCGTACCAACCTTGACAAGTACCATCCCGGTTACTTCGGTAAGGTCGGTATGAGATACTTCCACAAGACCAACCAGCAGTTCTGGAAGCCCGTCATCAACCTGGACAAGGTACGTTTTTTTCTTCTCGAGAACAGCACATTCGATATCTACCGGTGGGCCAAGGAGAGTGGGCTGGCCTGTGGTGAAATGGCAAATGGGGATCAGCAGCAATGCAGATGGAAGAATAGGCCCATCGAAAGAATCGATACGGTGGTCAAGGAATTTTTACTAATAATTGCGATAACAGCTGTGGTCCCTCGTCCCCGCCGAGCAGCGTGATGCCTACCTGAGCGGCCAGAAGACCGACACCGCCCCCGTCATCGACGTCCTCCCCCTCGGCTACTCCAAGGTTCTGGGCAAGGGCCGCGTCCCCGAGATCCCGATCGTCGTCCGTGCCCGCTACTTCAGCGAAGATGCTGAGCGGAAGATCAAGGCCGCCGGTGGTGTTGTCGAGCTTGTTGCTTAAATCTGGGAAATGGATTACGGTGTTTTGCTGGAGAAGGGTTTAAAAGATAAAATTAAGGGCCCGGTGCTGCGCTGACCACGGTCGGTGTTAAACGAAACGTCGAATATGTCAATCAAGTCAAGGATTTATCTTACTAAGGTACTTGATAAACAACAAAGGGAGCCGTGGATTCAAAAACGTACATCGATCCGCGTATTTTACCAAATCGAAAAAAAAGACTAAAAGGGTTTATTTTTTTTCTATTGTTTGTTATGAGCATAGCGTGGTCTCGAATGCCCTTACGATCGATCTCACTGTTATTCCTGCAAATTTCAATTGGAGTTTTTCTTCCAACTGATATCATGCTCGACGTTTCGATATGACCCGACATGAGTCAACCAGGCAATACCTATTTTCAAATCTCGCTCCCATCCTCCCAGCTTCGTATTGGCCTTGCTCCGTGACCGACCCGTAGATATCATATTGCTCCATGTTTAATCTCATTTGTACGAACACTGCAGACGAGAGCCATGCGAGTAATGTAGGAATATTCCATGTGCTACGCCTTGCATGCTGCGTCTCACCGCTACTCGGCCGTGACCATCGTATCTGATACGGCCCTTTGATGTTCCTATAGTATGACTTCATGCCATTGTGTCTCCTGCGGGTTTTACATTGTACTCGTACCAATACCCTGCGGAGAGCAGCTACAAGGTTGATCGGAAGGATACAGTACTCTCAACATCAAATATTCTATCGCTGTATTGAACGAGGGCGTGTGTTGTATGTACACATATATATATGTCCAGTCTAGACGGTATGTACAAAAACTCTATCCACTAGGAGAATCCAGGCTTATATCTTCGACTCGCGCACAATGCCTGATTTCGAGTCTTCCCCACCAGCCAAGACGTCCCCAACGAACCTAACCGCTTCGGCAACCATCTTGGGAGTCACCTCGTGGGCGGCATTCTCGTCAATGATATCCTCGAACGTGATGGCGCCATCCGCAAACCAGCCCGTGCTGCCGATAGCCTGTTTCAGCCAGTTGAGGAAGATTTCGCCCCGGTGGTACGGCACCAGCTTGTCGACGCCGCCAGACAGAGTCAGGATGTTCTTCCCTGCGATGGTCCGCTTCAGCAGGGGGCGGAGGGCCTTCTGCTCTGCCTCCGAGGGCTCCGCAATGGGCTTCTTGCGCAGCGGCCGGGACTTGTTCTTCTTGCCCATCACGCCGAGGAGCAAGCTAGCCGGGTCCAGTTTCCGGACTGTGGAGAGCAGGGTGGACGGGAAGGCCTCGGATCCTAGGAATTGAGAGCCCGGGGGGTCGCTGGTGGTCCATTCGGGGAGCTTCGACAGTCGCGCGCGGTCTGCCATCAAGTTGACGTAGTCGGGGCAGCCGATGATCACGACACCGGTGCTGATGCGGGGTTCATGGAAGAGGCAGCTCCATGCGGCGTGGCCGCCTAGGGATACGCCTAGCACGAGGTTCTCTGGAACGGTGCGCTCGGTCTTGGGGAAGACGTATGAGGGGAGATAGTCGATTAACACCGATACATCCTTTGCGGTGCCCTCTGCCGTGTTACCGATTAGCCGCGACGACCTGCTTGTTTGGGGTTGTGGGAGAAAGACGTACGGAACATGGAGAACATATCCTGCGCATGACGGGGGTTCCCTTTCTTCCAGGACTCATTGCCCAGCGGGTCAACCAACCTCGAGCCATGATTGCGCTGGTCGAAGGTAACGGCGATCAGTCCCTTGGCTGGGCCTTTGGGACCCGCGCGGCCGTCTCGAATCCGCTGATTCCAGTCATTGATGATGGCCGTTGCGATGCCCACCATGCGCTCTTGCGTCCCGAGTCTGGGATGCAAGAGCCAGAGGCAGGCGACTTCAGAGGCTTGGGGAGGCAGTTCATCCAGACCGAAGACTGTGGTGAGGATCCCCGCAATGGGGTATGTTTTCCGAGAGACTGCCGAGGCTTGGTCTAGTGATTTCAATGGGTCTGTCATGGTGGGTGTTCACAATATATATGCAATGGATTTGGATCTAACGAATTTTGACAATGACTGAGTACCTTATTTTACCTTGTGTTGTAGAGTGAAGGTGAGGAAGGTAAGTAGTTGTTAAAAGTTCGTTCTGTTATCGGGCGAGTAAACAGATCAGTAAGAAGTAAGAAGCCGATGGCAAAGAAGAAGCCGAGGATAACACACATTACCCCGTCTTACCTTACCAGACGCTGTCCTTCCACCCGTTCCTGATATATTTTGTATGGATGATTACCGGTTTCTTGTCCGAAGACCGGTACAATACGGTGGTAAAATATATGGAGTATCCATTACAGTAGATGTAAAGAGATATAGAATATTTGTATATGTTTTTGCATTGAGATATATATACATATATATATATATATAATGGACGGAGTATATATATTGATAATGATTCATCATAATGAAACCACTAGAATAGTTAGTACTGTGGATTTATATGTATACTATGTATCATACATTGACAGGTCCATTGATTATTTGTTTGGGAATTACCAGAATTACCAGAATTACCTCCATCTCTCTCTCTCTCTCTTCTTCTTCTTCATCTTCATCTTCTTCATCTTCTTCATCTTCTTCATCTTCTTCATCTTCTTCATCTTCTTCATCTTTTCTGACTTGGCCTACCTTCTTATGATTGAATCCAAGGTGTTCATTCTCCTCGTAAGTCTCCTGTATCCAGTGGCCGCGTTAAAAGTGGATCTCTCAGCCAATACCTCTATCTAACTGATAATGGGAGGGTCCAGTCTCCACCGCGGCTAGGGGCAATTTTGAGTTAATGGACCAGTCTCAGTGGTCTCCTTGGACTGGCTTGACCTCCGTGGCCTCTGTCAAATAACCAAAGGTCAAACTCCAGCCCTCATCTCCACTCCTATACCTATTACCTCCTAACGTTGCTGTCTCTAGCCTACCTGAGCTTAGCTTGCCGCAACGCTCCTTTCTTCGTCCCCCCCAAGAATCCTGTCCCGAGAAGGTCTCGAAGGTTTTCTAGAAATCTGGAAATGATTGCATAGCTCAACTTCTTCTCTTTCCCTCTCCCCGCCTCCTGCCCCCCCCCCCCCCCTCCTCTTCTTTCTTCCTTTTCTCTTATCCTGATCCCTCTCTCCTGTTCGTTTTCGAAGAGCCCTGTCGCTGGGATCCTCCGATTGTGAGTCGGCTCAGTCAAACACGCCAACCGTCTACTCCCCGCCTCAAAGACAAAAGAAACCATCGAGCGACTGATCGCCATCCCCATTGGCAGCAACGATCATGCCCACGTCCGCAGTAGATACCCCGGAGACGAAGGTTCCTTCCGAGAAGAAATTGGGGAGGCCTGATCCTCTGACGATGCCCCCATTGAGGGGCCCCAAACTCGGCTCCCCTTTTCCCTCCCCGACCAGCTCCAAACGTCTCCCGTCGATGCATCCCGCAAATGAGAATGACCAGAAACAAGGCGAAGAAACAGGGAAAGGCTGTGCAGAGCACGGCGGTGGTGGCGCGGGAGAGCTGGCGGATGATGCTCCCGGACCCAGCGCTGCCCCCCTGGGCGCGCGACGACCGAACGACGCGATCGAAGCGCAGCAACAACCCGGGAACCAGAGATCACAACCGTCGCAGCCAGGTTCGACCGCGTCCCCGCGCCGTCCGAGCGTGCAGTTCAGTCGTGACCCGTCCGAGAACGATCCAGCGGCCGACGCGCTACAATCGCGGCCCTCCTCGGCGGGGGATGACGCCGACCCCGGGTCGAAAGGGAAGCAGTCCATTTTTACGAAATTAAAAGCTTTTGCCTCTCCCTCGTTCGGCCCTCATTCCCGCTCCGCCAGCGGCGCGACGATCAATGATTTCCGCTACCCCAACAACGACCTCGCCACGCCTGGCTCCGAGAGGGGGGAGTTCCGCTTCCCCAATACCCTGGCGGAGGAAGACAGCGATATGGATGCGGATGCGGAGGAGAGTGCAGGAGAGCAACGTCAATCTCGCCCGACGAAGAAGAGATATCCCCGTCGGCGACAGCAGCCGCCGCAGACCGACTCGGCGCCGCAGACCGAGCCCAATACCCCGAGGGCCACCAGTCGACCGTCGTTCCACTTGCCCGCCTCATTCGGCCCCTTCGAAGGTTATCGCCCGTCCTTATTTCCCCGCAGAGGGAGCACGGGGGGCTTCAACCAGCAACGCGAGGGGGTGTCCGAGGACGAGGGCCGTGATCGCCTCAATCGGGATACCGCCTGGCGGCGCAGAAGCGCGTGGCTGGCCAACAGCCGCGGTCTGACCTATGGCTCGCAGGCGAACCAGGAGGACCGGCGCCCCAGCAACCTGCGTCGTCTGACGGGCTTGGCCGGTCCGTCAGAGCATGACGGTCTCGCGCCCCCCTGGAGGCGGCATCGGGCCGAGCGAGGGTCCAGCCTCAGCGCTCAAAGATGGCGACAGATCAAAGCGGGGTTGAAGCTCATCGGACAGCGGCGCAAGACGGACCACACCGTCGACCATGCCAAGTCTGCAGAACTGCTGGCGGAGTTGACGTCCGGCGTGCCTGCTGCGTTGATCCTGGCGAGCATGTTCCAGCGGGACGAAAATGGCAGCAAGCGCATTCCCATCCTCCTGGAGCAGCTGAAGGTTCGAGTCACGGACAGTCGGATCGATTCGCACTCCGGAGACCGCCACTTGGTCTTCCGGATTGAACTCGAGTATGGCAGTGGTATGACGCGGATGAAGTGGATCATCCACCGCACCCTGAAGGACTTCGCCAACCTCCACCTCAAGTACAAACTCCATTTCGGGACGCAAAAGTACATTCAAATGCGACCCACTGAGGGGGGCCAGAACCTCCCGCACTTCCCTCGCAGTGCGTTTCCCTACCTGCGGGGCGTTCGAGGCCTGGAGAGCGACATGGAAGATGAGGAGGACGACGGTGGCTACGAGACCGCTGCGGAGGCGACCAGCGGGAACGAGAGACCCGGCAAGAGACACACGCAGCGACGGTCGTCAGCGAACGTCTCACGCCGGCAATCCAGTGCCACGAACCCGGATGGCGACGGGGTGGCCGCACCGTCCGACGTCCCCGAGGCCGGGCCGATGCCCAAGAAGGAGACGTACCCGGAGAAGCAACGGAAAAAGCTGGAAATGTATCTGCAGAAGCTGATTCACTTCCTGATTTTCAAGCCCGACAGCAACCGTCTCTGCAAGTTCCTGGAACTCTCGGCCCTGGGGGTTCGTCTCGCGGCCGAGGGCAGCTATCACGGCAAAGAGGGCTATCTGATCATCCAGTCGTCCAAGGGGCTCGACTTCCGACGGGCTTTGACCCCCGCGTTGGTGAAGAAGCGACACATGCCCAAGTGGTTCCTGGTCCGGCACAGCTACGTTGTCTGCGTCGACTCGCCCGAGGAGATGAATATCTACGACGTGTTCTTGGTCGACCCCTATTTCATGCTGCAGGCCCAGAAGATCAGCCTGCGAAACCAGAAGGCGAGGGAGCTGGCCAAGTCGGCCAAAGATTCCGCCCGGCACCCGCAGCACCACACCCTCCGACTCGAGAACTCCGAGAGAAAACTCCGGCTCCTGGCCCGGAACGAGCGCCAGCTCCATCAGTTCGAGGACTCCATCCGATTTATGGTCCAGAACACCCCGTGGGCGAAACCGAACCGCTTCGACAGCTACGCCCCGGTGCGGCACAAGTGCTTTGCCCAGTGGCTGGTCGATGCCCGGGACCACATGTGGATGGTGTCGCGCGCGATCAACCAGGCGAAGGATGTCATCTACATCCACGACTGGTGGCTCAGTCCGGAGCTCTACCTACGACGACCGGCGGCGATCAGTCAGAAATGGAGATTGGACCGCCTCCTCCAACGCAAGGCCCGCGAGGGCGTCAAGATCTTCGTCATCATGTACCGGAATATCAACTCGGCCATCCCGATCGATTCCGAGTATTCGAAATTTTCCCTCCTCGATCTGCACCCGAATGTCTTCGTGCAACGGTCCCCGAATCAGTTCCGGCAGAATACGTTCTTCTGGGCGCACCACGAAAAGCTGTGCATCATCGACCACACCTTGGCCTTCGTGGGCGGCATCGATCTGTGTTTTGGTCGGTGGGACACCCCCCAGCATCCTCTTACGGACGACAAGCCGACCGGTTTTGAGACGCCGGACGGGCCCAAGGACGCAGACCACTGCCAGCTTTGGCCGGGCAAGGACTATTCCAACCCGCGAATCCAGGACTTCTACGACCTGGACAAGCCGTATGAAGAGATGTACGATCGCAATGTGATCCCCCGAATGCCGTGGCACGACATCTCCATGCATGTGGTCGGCCAACCGGCCCGCGATCTCACTCGCCATTTTGTCCAGCGGTGGAACTACATCCTCCGGCAACGGAAGCCGACCCGCCCGACGCCGTTTCTGCTGCCGCCGCCTGATTTCGACGCAGCCGACCTGGAAGCCCTCGGCCTTGACGGGACCTGCGAGGTCCAGATCTTGCGGTCCAGCAGCATGTGGTCGACGGGGACGCCGGAGATTACGGAGCACAGCATCATGAATGCCTACGTCAAGATGATCGAGGAGTCCGATCACTTCGTTTACATCGAAAACCAGTTCTTTGTCAGCACCTGTGAGATCGACGGCCGGAAGATCGAGAACTCCATCGGCGACGCGCTGGTGGAGCGGATCACGCGGGCCGCCAAAAACAAGGAGGCCTGGCGTGCGGTCATCGTCATTCCGTTGATGCCCGGGTTCCAGAATACCGTGGACAGCGAGGGCGGGACTAGCGTCCGGCTGATCATGATGTGCCAGTACCGCAGCATCTGCCGCGGGGAAACGTCGATCTTCGGCCGCCTCCGGGCCCTGGGCATCGAACCGGAAGATTACATCCAGTTCTTCAGTCTGCGGACCTGGGGCAAGATCGGGCCGCAGAAACAACTGGTCACCGAGCAGCTCTACATCCACGCCAAATGCATGGTCGTCGACGACCGCGCGGCGATCATCGGGTCGGCCAACATCAACGAGCGGTCCATGCTGGGGTCCCGCGACTCCGAGGTCGCGTCCGTGGTCCGGGATACGGACATGATCTGGTCTACCATGAACGGCCGTCCTTACCTGGTTGGGCGGTTCCCCCACACCCTTCGTATGCGTCTGATGCGGGAGCATCTGGGCATCGACGTTGACGAGCTTCTGGAGCATTCGATGGCGACGGAGGAGGAGCTACGCAAGATCGACATTGCCGAAGAGGGCCCCGACCCGCCGGGAGAACCCGAGAAGCCCGACACCGAGTCTCTGATGATGGAAAAGCAAGACGAGCGGGACATGATCGAGCGTCGCCACCGCATCCAGGACGAATTCCTCTCGCGGTCCGAGGATATGCACAGTTTCAACCACGATGTCGACTGGGAGCAGGGCAACAACCCCAATCTGAAATCGAACCGGAAGCTGACGACCGATACGCGAGTGACGGCGAATGCGGGCCACAAGAAAGATGTCGATGGGTTTGGCCCGGACCAGCTAAACGCAGCCCAGCAAGCCGGGCAGGGAGATGGCCGGGACTCCCAGGTCTTGAACGCGCAGACCGAGGTGTTGGTCTCCCCCATCGCACCCGAGGGTCGGGGCACCGTTCAACAACCCAAGCTCTCGCCGCCGAAGAAGAGCTCCCCGCACAGCGGGTCCGGCCCCAAAGAGACGGGGTCCGCACCCCCGGCCCTTCAGACCCAGGATCTCGAGTCCGCCCCCGTGGTGGAGGGAATGCCGGGGGCGCGCCACCCCGCATTATCACCGGGTCCCGAGACCGAGGGCGGCGGCACTGGTGGTGCGATCCCACCGAAAGATGCGGCCGATCCAGCGCGATTCCCGCACCCGCCCGGCTCGGACCTCAAGCACGTCTTTATCGACAAGGACTGCATGCGCGATCCCGTGAACGACATCTTCTACCTGGACACCTGGCATGCGGTGGCCGAAAAGAACACGAAGATCTACCGGTCGGTCTTCCGCTGCATGCCCGATAGCGAGGTGAAATCGTGGAAAGAGTACAAAGAGTACGCGGCCTATGCGGACAAATTCGCGGACCGACAGAGCCAAAACAGCGGCAAGGCCTTCCAGCCCCATCAGCAGAGACGGACTGGTCCGCCCGGCACGGGAGCGAGCGTGGGGATCTCTGGGATCCCGGGCCTCCCGAACATCCAGCTGCCGATTCCCAACCAGCGCGCCGACGGAACCACCTCCACCGAGAAGGTCCCGCAGCTCCCGGCGGAGAAGACGGACCAGCGGGCGGCGGAGCCTGCCCAGAACACGGGGCCGGACTTGACAAAGAACGAGATCCCCCAATCCGCGGGCGAGAAGACGACGGTGCGCGCCGGAGACCAGCTCGCCTCGGGCGCGGTCCCGAACGCACGGCACGAGGAGGGCTGGTCCTCCGGGGACGACGCGGAGAAGCGGAACTCGGACCTGCCTGCGGTCGATTACTCGGACGCGTTGAACCGGAATGCGACCCAGTCCCGGCGGCGACGGCGCCGGGCCACGACGCTGGGATCGAAGCGCGATTTCCACTCCGTGGACGAGTTGATCGACCAGCAGCGGGCGGAGGAGCTTCTGGAACAGACCCAGGGGCATCTGATATTGTGGCCTTATGATTGGTGGGTCTTACCTTTTTTATTTTGAGAGCTACGGTTGGATCATGCTAACGAGAACCTAGGCTGGAGAAAGAGGAACAAGGCGGCAACTGGCTGTACACGCTGGATCAGATCTCGCCCTTGGAAATCTAGTAAGTTGATTCCTCTGGTCTTCAATGACATTGATGCTAATCTGGGCAGTAATTGATCTCCTTTCTCTTTCCTCTGATTCCTTCTGATGCTGGAAAAGGGACTGGGTGAATGCTCCCAAGTGGATCATTGGCGTTGTGTTCCGGGAATTCTTGGACAACCAGGCTACCGAGTGGGGGGAGCAATTGTAAATATAGGTAGAATCATAGAAATAATCCGGACTGGACCAGGACTGGACCCGGACTTGGACCCAGGGATCGACGATGACGTTGAGATCACAGCAGAGACAGTAAGAGAAAGAAAAAAAAAAAAAAACCTGGACAGACTTGCCTAGTGCGTCTCACCGCCCGCAGCGAAACCCCCGAGCCGGCCCCGCTTAGAGACTCTCGCTCTTCTCCATCCGTCACTCGTTCTGGATTCATCTCGTCCCAGTCGTATCCTCATTCTTCTTTTTTCTTCCTCCATCTTTATCCCTGTAACTCTTCATCCCTCGTTCTCTCGATCCATCAGCTCGAATTCCTCCTTTGATCTACACATCCACCAATTCAGGTTCATCTTCACTCCATCCTCATCCGTTCCTGACCTCACCTACTTTACCCCTCCTTGTCCATCCATGGCATAGCTCGCGCATCTTCCTGTTCCTCTCCTCCTCCTCCTCCTCCTCCTCCTCCTCCTCCCTCCTCCTCAATCTCTCTCTTTTCCCTTTCCTGGATTCCAGTGAAATCGTGATTTGTCCCTCGTTCATTGGAGGCATTGGTGATTACCATAGCTTTGCCTTCTGTCAACTACCGCCCGCACCCACCGCTCTCCCGGCCTCGGTCAGTCGATCCCACCATCGCCACTCCCCTTTTTTTTTTTTTTTCTTTTTTCTTTCTTTCTTTCTTTCTTTGTTATATATTCTGCCTTTGTGGGTATTCAAAGCGACCTTGTACTGATAATCGTGGAAAAAGCTAGATCAATCCGACTAGTTGGACGTCGACAACTCGTGTCCCGCCCTCGAAATCGCCCTCACGTGCCTTCGATCGTCACCCATCCCCATGTCGTCCGAGCACCCGCCCCCCATTGCGGGGCCTGGAAACAAGGCGGATCTCCTCGTGGTCGGACCTAATGCAATCATTCCCGATCCCTTGTCTGTTGGAACCCCCCCAGAAGTCACGGATGCCGAGTCCCCCGTCACTCCCACCCAGGCTACTCATGGCATCGGATCGGGCAGTGACCTCCTACGTAGCCTGAGTCTCACGGGAGAACCGGCGGTGCTGGAAGCAGATCCCCGGGAACAATACCCGGGTCTCCACCTCACGGGGCGCATCATCAGTGCCGCCTTTTGCATACCCTACAAAGTTTACTGTCGTCCTGGAGGGAATTGGGTATGAGCGACCCCAGCGCCTTTTTTTCTCGTTGGCTCTGTCTGACTGTTGTTTAGGAATTGAAACCCCGTTCGGGAACGTCCGCGCTGTTTGACTCCTTCGCTTATCTCGGTTCGGATGAGACGAGGTGGTCGCATACGCTTGTTGGCTGGACCGGCGAGGTTGAACCGACCTATGAGGCTACGGTCCCGTTGCAGCAAGCACCGCTAAACACCAGCGGCGCGAAAGCCCCCAGCCCGGCTGAAGGGGTGGCTCTCAACCGGGCTGCGGCCCCGGTGCCCGTCGATGTCAATAACCGCCCACCCAGCCATCCTCTCGCTGGGGGCTTTACGGTCGGCCCGGAGGATCGCGCCCGACTGGATAAGCAACTGAGCTCGGGTCGCTATGGGAAAATCTCCCCGGTGTGGTTGTCGGACGGGTCGGATGGGCCGGAGGATTCGTTCGCCCTGGAGGACCAAGGGAGGTGGCGGCGCTACGCCGAGCGGGAGCTGTATCCCCTGCTCCACTACAAGCAGCACGGCCCCACCGATGGCCGTTCGGAGCGCCGGTGGTGGGCGGATTATGTGCGCATGAACCGGTGCTTTGCGGACCGCATCGCCCAGGAGTACCGTCCAGGGGACATCGTTTGGATCCACGACTACCATCTCTTCCTCCTGCCGAGCATGCTGCGGCAACGGATCCCAAACGCCCACATCGGCTTCTTCCTCCACGCCCCGTTCCCCAGTAGTGAATTCATGCGGTGTCTCTCCAAGCGGAAGGAGGTCCTGACCGGCGTGCTGAGCGCGAACATGATCGGCTTTCAGACCTTTTCCTATTCGCGCCACTTCTCCTCCTGCTGCACCCGCGTCCTGGGCTTCGACTCCAATTCGGCCGGTGTCGATGCCTATGGCGCCCATGTGGCTGTCGATGTGTTCCCCATTGGCGTAGATGCCAAGGCGATCCAGCGCGTCGCATTCGGCTCTCCGGACATCAATTCCACGGTCGAGGGCATCCGGGGCTTGTATGCCGGCAAGAAGATCATCGTGGGCCGGGACCGGCTGGACAGCGTCCGGGGCGTCACCCAGAAGCTCCAGGCCTTTGAGGCGTTCTTGGAGCGGTTCCCCGAATGGCGCGACAAGGTGGTGCTGATCCAGGTGACCAGTCCCACCAGTGTGGAGGAAGAGAAGGAAGAGACCAAGATTGCCAGCCAGATCTCCAACCTGGTCTCCACCATCAACGGCCGGTTCGGCTCCCTGAGCTTCTCCCCGATCAAGTACTACCCGCAGTATCTCTCGCAGCGCGAGTATTTTGCCCTACTCCGGGTCGCGGACGTCGGCCTGATCACCACCGTCCGCGACGGCATGAACACGACCAGTCTCGAGTACATCATCTGCCAGCAGCACAAGCACAGTCCGCTGATTCTCTCCGAATTCTCCGGTACCGCGGGGACGCTATGCAACGCCATCCACATCAACCCGTGGGACACCGCCGGCGTGGCCGGGGCCATCAACCAGGCCCTGACGATGCCCGCCGAGCAGAAGGAAGCGCAGCATTCGAAGCTGTACAGGCACGTGACGACGAACACGATCTCCGCCTGGTCGCAGCAGTTTGTCACCCGCCTGCTGACCAACCTCTCTTCCTTTGATCAGTCCGTGGCCACGCCGGCCCTCGACCGGACGAAGCTGGTGCGGCAGTACCGGAAAGCGCGCAAGCGGCTGTTCATGTTCGACTACGACGGCACGCTCACGCCGATTGTCAAGGACCCGCAGGCGGCGATCCCGTCCGATCGCGTCTTGCGCACCATCAAACGCCTGGCGGCGGATCCGCGGAACGCGGTGTGGATCATCAGTGGCCGGGACCAGGCCTTCCTGGACGAGTGGATGGGGCACATCCCCGAGCTGGGGCTGAGCGCGGAGCACGGCTGCTTCGTGCGGAAGCCGGGCTCAGACGACTGGGAGAACCTGGCCGAGCGATCCGACATGGGCTGGCAGAAGGAGGTCCTCGAGGTCTTCCAACACTACACGGAGCGGACGCAAGGCTCCTTCATCGAGCGGAAGCGCGTGGCGCTCACGTGGCATTACCGGCGGGCGGACCCGGAGTACGGGGCGTTCCAGGCGCGCGAGTGTCGCAAGCAGCTGGAGGAAACGGTGGGGCGGAAGTGGGATGTGGAGGTCATGGTCGGCAAGGCGAATCTGGAGGTGCGACCGACGTTTGTCAACAAGGGGTTCATTGCCACGCGGCTGGTGAACGAGTACGGGACGGGGCCGGGACAGGCACCCGAGTTTATCTTCTGTTCGGGAGATGATTTCACCGATGAAGGTATGTTTCAATCTGATTCTTGTGTGGATATAGCAAGATCTCCGTGGGTACTGATTGTTACTTTTTTTTTTTTTCTAGATATGTTCCGCGCGCTGCAGACTTTCGACCTCCCGTCTGACCATGTCTTTTCGGTCACGGTCGGTGCCAGCTCGAAGCAGACTGCGGCGAGCTGGCATCTGCTGGAACCAGCGGACGTGATTGAGACGGTTTCGATGCTCAACCACAGCTTCTCCGGGCAGGATCATTGAGGATTTTCCAGCTTGTTTACTTCTATCGCCCCGCACTCTACCCTATCTCAAGCACGACATTTTGATGCGGGGACTCCATGATCAAGCCCGTCAATCACCTTCATCTCGGCTAAGTCTGATAACCTCCTGTATCACCGGAAAAGACGGGAGAGTGTGGAGAGGGAACGTCCTGTCGTTGCGGGTCTTGCGAGAACCACGAGCGTGCATTGAGCTTGGGCATGGACGTGGACGTGACATGATTTGATTTCGGGCCAAGACGGCGAAAGGCACAGTGCCGTGGTATCGGGTGGTTTAAATTCCTACGATGCTGCTATAGCCGTAATCATAGTCAGAATCCGGCCTCTTCTCGCCTTTTCACCTCCATACCTGCACATGGAAGCTGTCATCATCCGGAGACTGTTTTCTTTTTTTTTTTTTTTTTTTTTCAACACAGACATAGATGGATGGGAAAGTACGGAGAGAGACCAAAAGAGCGCAGTGTAAACCGTTAGAGAATAGAGATTAACTTCATAAATGAACCAGCCCTATGCAAATATGATTACATATAACTTTTCCAGAGGTGATCCCGAGGTAGACCCATCTATACTTCTCTACAGCTCGGCCTCTTGCCATTCAAAACCCGGATGAAAACTAGGGTAGAAAACAAGGGGATTGGATGGATTCCACTGTGGACCGAGCAGACACCGGGCTCCACCGTCTGTCTAACTCTAGACTCTAGAAAAGACCAGTCAGTCAAGGAAGGATAGCGGCACGGCAGGTTTCATAGTTGATGCTTTACATATATTCATCTGTCTATTATTACACAAGTGTAACAGTATATATATATATATATATATACATACATATCTAAAATAGGTAGATAAAACGTACGCAAACAGCCTATTCTCACGAGTAACGGCGGGGTTTGATAGCGGGGTGGGAGTGGGGTCATGCAAGTTACCTTGTCATGTAGGCTATAGCAGTGGAATGCTAGGTACTATCTCCTATCGTATAATTCGTCTGGTGTCAAAGGAAGGGCGTGGGGAGTACCTCACTAGCATATATGCTGGGCATTGGGCTGGGTGTATAAATGCATGTATATACTATATCCCCACGATAGATAACGAACAGAAGAAACCGATTCACGATCGACATGAATCCTACCCCAACCGTCCACCAGTCTAGTCTCTTCCAAGTTTCCCTGGTTGAGCCTTTTTTTTTTTTTCCAGCGGGACTTGTTAACCTCTTTGATAAGTCGACCCTAACTAACTGAATTATGACTAGTAGCAAGAAGAAGTGAGAAAAAGGAATAGCCGTCGGAAGGACAGCCGAACCCGACTCGGCTTTCTCTGCGAAATCCTGTGAATGAATGTTGATCCTGGGGGGAAATTTTTACCCCGATGGGTCTGTCTGGATTTGGGGTTGATATTAGCATTATTAATACTATCTTTGTAAAAAAAAATTCAATAAAACTAGGATTGGAACTGGTAACTGATGTGACTCATTCTTGAGGGTGTCTTGTATATCTTGGGTTGATATCTTTCTTCTTCTGGTCGAGATACTCTCTAGGTTTTGAGAGAGAATTTCAATTGCTTATGTTCGAGACGAGAAACTGAATCTCTCGATCCACTCAACCCAAGGGGCCCATACGTCTGTCATTTGGTCGTCCTCAGGGACATACCGGTGAGGCAAGATGGCGAACAATCACGCAGAGGATGAACGGCCAACCGACGCCCCCACAGAGAACGAGAAGGAAACCCAGCACCAAACCCAGAACGAAAAACACCTCGACAAAACCACCAGCAATGAATACATCGACGAAGAAGCCGGCCTCGAGTCCGACGAACTCTCCCGCACAGCAACAAACGCCACCAACGTCAGCCGCCTCGCCGCGCGCACCCTCTCCCTCGTCCGCACCCGCGAATCCGGCAAAGACATCGGCCCTCCCCCAGACGGGGGCTTCACCGCATGGTCGCAGGTCGCGCTGGCGCACTTCGTCATCTTCAACACGTGGGGCTACATCAACAGCTTTGGCGTCTTCCAGAGCTACTACACCGAGGCACTAGACCGGGCCCCGTCGGACATCTCCTGGGTCGGCAGCATCCAGATCTTCCTGCTCTTCTTCATCGGGACCTTCTCCGGCCGCGCCACGGACGCAGGCTACTTCAAGGCGATCCTCACGGCCGGCGCCCTGCTCGAGGTCTTCTGCATCTTCATGACCTCGCTCTGCACCGAGTACTGGCAGCTGTTCCTGGCGCAGGGCATCGGCCAGGGCATCGGGTGCGGGCTGATGTTCTGCCCGACGATCGCGCTGATGCCGACGTACTTTACGCGCAAGCGCGCCCTCGCCATCGGCATCACGGCGTCCGGGTCCGCCACAGGCGGACTGGTCTTCCCCGCCGTGGTGATGCGGCTGCTGCCGCAGTTGGGGTTCGGGTGGACGATGCGCGTGCTGGGGTTCATCTCGCTGGCGACGCTGACGCCGTGTCTGGTGTTTCTGAAGCAGCGGCTGCCGCCGCGGCGGAGCGGGCCCCTGGTGGAATGGGGCGCGTTCCGCGAGCTGCCGTATACGCTGTTTGCCATCGGCATGTTCCTGAACTTCTGGGGCATCTATGTCGGGTTCTTCTACATCGGGAGCTTCAGCCGGAACATGATCGGCGTGTCGCAGGAGACGTCCATCGACGTGATCCTGGTGATGAACGGCATTGGGTTGCTGGGCCGACTGGGTCCGAACTATCTGGCGGATCGGTTCACGGGCCCGCTGAACATGCTGCTGCCGTTTAGTCTGGCCACGGGGGTGATCTCTTACTGCTGGGCCGGGGTGGACAGTGTTTCGGGGCTGTACGCGTGGAGCGCGTTCTACGGGCTGGCGGCGGCGGGGATTCAGTCCTTGTTCCCGGCTACGCTTAGCACGCTGACGACGGATTTGAAGAAGACGGGGGTGAGGATGGGGATGGTGCTGAGTGTGGTGGGGGTGGCGGCGCTGATTGGATCGCCTATTGCGGGGGCGCTGGTGGAGAAGGCTGATGGGCATTATCTGTATGCGCAGATGTTCATGGGGACGGTGATTGTGGCGGGGATGTTGACGTTGAGTTGTGCGCGGTTGGCGAAATTGGGGTTGAAGTGGCAGCGGGCGTGATTTGAAGCTATCATTGTGAGCCGCTACCTTATGAAGGGAAGGGGGAGATACTCTCGGAAAAGTTTACTGATGTACATAGGACTAATTAGATCCATGATAATGATAATATACAGATATTCTCGATATGTTTCAATATTTTGATGCCCAAGTTGGCCAATGGTATACAGATACCTCAGGCACTGTACAGTGACCAATGAGAGGCTGGTGAATCATCCATGACTAATAGAGTGTAGTCTAACCAAAACAGGTTAGTCTGTATCAAATGCCTGAATGCTAGACAGCTGTAAGGCATCCATCACCGTGATTGAAGTCAGTGGCTTCAGGACCTAATGTAGATAAACACGCTAAAGAGCTATAGAGAGAGTATGTCGGTTGATATATTGTCACTATCGTTGTGGCAGTTCTTCGTCATATACTGAACATCAGTCCATTACCGCACATAATATATAGTAGTGGCATACTATGACAAACAGTATATATCTTCGCCATGGCCAGTACGTAAAAAGAAAACAGAATAGAACCAGCAAATATGAACAAAATCAGTTCAAATCATATGACTCACAGCCTCTCATACTCCTCTTTCCTATATTTCTACCAAACAATTCCGTTCGTATCGTTGATTGTATAGACGCCTCAGCCCCACCCAAGCATTCGGTCGTTTTTGTCCCTCTTAATCCCCGCAGTCTCTTCCCCTCCCTCATACAACAACCCCTCTGCCTTACCACTGACCTACCCACCGAACCATACCTCATCTATAAACTTCTTGTATTTTCCCTACTCGATCCCTGTCTCTGTATCTCGTGCTCACCATTCTATCAAGAAAACCATCTCCCATTCATAAACTCAACATGGCGCCCCGAGGTCGCGGTGGAAAGTTCTCCAAGCCCAGCCGAGGCGGTACGTACCCCCTTCACACTCGCAAGATGTACATAGCTAATACGTTCGCGGGAGATCAGGTGGAAAGCACTTTAGTCGTGATGTCCAGCCCGTTGACAAAAACGGGAACCCTGTTGGTCTTTGGAGGGTACGTTCCATTCCTTAGCAGTTGCGCTTTAAGGCGCTCCAAAAGAAAGACTCAGAGAGAAACAAAGATGAAAGATAGATAAAAGAAGAAAAGCACCGACTAAACCATATAACGAATTAGGACCCCGAAGACGCAATCCCCTCCTCCTCCGAAGGCGAAGATTCCTCCCAAGAATCCAGCTCCGAAGACGAAGACGAAGACGAAGCCCCCACCACCGCAGCAGGCTCCTCCAGCGCCGCCGCCGCCGCAGAACTAACCCGCGAAGAGCGCCGCGCAGCAGCCAAAGCCAAGAAACGCGCCGCCATCGCCCGAAAGAACCAAGTCCAACCAGGTGACCTCCCCTCCTCAGACGAGGAAGACGACGACGCCGACAACACCAAAGCAGAGGGAGAGGGCGACCTCCCCGCCAACCCCAACCACACGGCCAAATCCCGCTCCCAGCTAGAAGCCAAGAACGACGACGAAGACGCGCCGGCGAAACCGGCCGCTGCTGCCGGCGGCGGGGACCTGTCGCAGCTGTCGAGGCGGGAGCGGGAGGCTATCGAGGCGCAGCAGGAGAGGGAGCGGTATATGAAGTTACATGCGGAGGGGAAGACGAACGAGGCGCGTGCGGATCTGGCGCGGTTGGCGATCGTGCGGGAGCAGCGGGAGGCGGAGCGCGCGCGGAAAGAGGCGGAGAAGGAGGAGAAGGCCGAGTTGGCGAAGCAGAGGGTGGCGGAGAGGGAGGCCAAGTTGCAGAAGGGGGGGAAGAAGGGGGGGAATAAGAAGAAATGAGTAATTAGATGGATTAGAGGTCGTTTTTTTTTTTTTTTTTTGGAAATAATCGATCGATCGATCGATCAATGCATGGATTGAATGGTATATGACGTGAACGGGCCTCATATATATTTGACCTTATGATAAGTTAAAACACTGTCTACACGATCGTGTCGTTTAAATGGACATACAGAACTCCCTTTCGATATCCTGTGCTATTATAACATCCATTAATATACAGACTTCCATTGCAGAGCCGGACAAGATATGTATGCAATATGCGACCATGCACCAGTTCCTAAACCAACAGAAGAGAAGCCACTCGTCATAAACAAAAACCATGTACACCCAGATTCACCGGCGCCGCAATCGAAAACGAAAATCCACAGAGGTTATATTGAACGCTGGACGTTATGTATCCACCATTAATGGAAGAGAAAAAAGACGAAAGGAAATGGAATAAAGAAAAAAGATGAAAGTCATAGGATGTACCCTCTTCAAAGTAGTGAGGGATCACGCCCCCCAAAACAAACCCTCCACGCTCCGCCCTTGCATGACCACGCCCCACCCGGCGATCAGACTGATGAGCCACATGACCGCGAATGCCAGAATGGGGAGGAGGAGGAGCTCCGTGTTGTGCAGGAACGGGAGCGCATTATACCCCAGGAAGGTGATGTAGGTGTAGTAGATCAGGGCCGACAGGTAAAGCGTGTTCCCCAGGAAGGTGGCGAGAAAATTGCTCGGGCTCCGCATGAGGAGCGGTAGGAGGAGAAATTGGACCACGTACAGGTGGAGGTACAGGGGGAAAAAGGCGCGATTTGAGACCTGGACAGGAGAACGGAGTTAGTCGGAAGCAACGACAGGATCAGGGGGTGGACTCACGTCAAAACAGTATCCAAATTCCAATTGCTCCTTCTCACCCGGTTGGGTGAACAGTCCCTGGGCGGCCCCTCGTCGCCGTCCGCGCACGCCGCGGAGTCCCGTAAGGGAGGCGGCCGCGCCATTCGGGCCGAACAGTCGGCCAATGACAAAGTATCCGATCGCCGATACCAACAGCGATGACCCGATGAAATGACCGAAGATGAAGAGGAAGGACAAGCGGACGATCGTTCCGAAGGAGGGGGCATAGGCGAGACCCCATGCCAGGGCTGTCAGAAGTAGAAAGAAGGATAGGAGATATGCGAAGGACGGGTCGGGACGATGCCAGGTGTTTTTGGTTTCTGTGGATGTAGACGGTCCGATGTCAGCGGGGTTGGGTACACTATTTCAGGGCGAATAGTATGGGGTCTGCATACGTTTCTGTGTCTGTTAGTGCCGTGCGTCATGTCATCTGGGGACGGATGAGGAACTTACATGGTAGTAGATGGACTTGAACACCTTCTTCGGGGCGATTAACAGGGAAGTCATTTCCCAGATGGCCATTTCGAAGTCCATCTGGGGAAACTTGAACAGTCTAGAGTCTTCGTCAGCCATAGTCGTCCCACCGTCTTTGTCTCGCTTGATTGTATCGCAGGTGGTGATACTCGGTATACTCCGTTATACCGAGTATACTGATGTACCACTGAGTGTGATCGCAGCAACCGCAGATCGACCTAAACACCCACCTTTTGAAAAACCGCGGCATCCGAAGATTGGCTCGGCGATGAGCCGGTGTGGTACCGCCAAAGTTGGCCGGACTGGCATGTTGGCGCGGAACGGATATGTGAGGGTTCATATTGGGTGACGGGGTCCAAGCCGGCCCAGGAGTCTAGAAGGCGGGATTCGGAAGACGAGAAGATGGGTGTATTTTGTCGAGGATAATGGTATATGTGTCTAGAGTCTAGGGGAGAGTGTGTGTCTGTTGTTCAGGTAGAATGGTAGAGTGGTAGAATGGTTAGTGCCAAGTGTAGTGGAGGACGATGTTCTGGTGTTGAGTTCCGTCTGAATCCTGATGCGCTGTTGACCCGTCGGGTTATGTCATCATCGGGGTGGGTGCCTCAGGCAGGCTTATAGTTCATCCTGATTATTCCTGGAGTATACAGAGTATGGACTTCATCCTATGTCGGCTGAAAAGGAGGACTGTTTCCACGTTCTCACTTCTGACCCAGTGGGATCCTAGGGCTGTCCACTTTACTCCGTACTCCATACTCCGAACTGGTGAATCGATCTACGATATGTTGGATGGTATGGTAGGATCGACATCGGAGGCATCAATTGTCTACCACGATTTTTATGTATCTACTCAACTACTGACCCTCCTGCATGTACAGGCTTATCGATCTAGCCTGAGACAGTTGTCTGACAGATCTCACTCACCATGACCATGAGTTCCCACCGAGATTGGAAAATAGACACGTCTAACGTCTATACCATGGCAAACAGAGTCCGGGGGTCTGATCCCAAGACAATAGGAGAGGCCGATCACGGACATCCTCCTTCAATAGTCAACACTCAATAAAGTCAATTCAGCAAACTTTTCAAGTTCTTACCTGGGTTGCATATAAACTACCACGATTGTTCAAATCGTGGGTACCAGAGTCTCATTGTTATTAGCGTCCACCGGACCCCCGCATGTTGCATAGACAGCCGACAGTGTTTCAAGGGGTTTAGTTCGTCCAGGAGAACCGGCTGGAGAGAGTGAAGAACTGGGATTGGTAGCAACATCGATACCTCTTACTGAGTATAGCCAGGAATGGGTCCAGCCAAGCCGTGGATGTGCCCCTGAAACCTCAGGCCCCACCTCCTCCCCAGACCGGGTTAGTCATTCACGACTCGATGAACGAACTAACTAACCAGTTAGTCCAGACAAACGATTCTCTCCATCCCTGATACTTTCATTCCTTCGTCCCCTCAATTGCCTCAACTCTTCCTGGAATTTCCCGGAATTTGTTGACCAAGTGTGGGAGATGTGTTTCCCTTGTCTCTAGCTGTAAGTGCTTCCATTCGAGGTTTGATGGGGATGCTGGGAGTTCGGTTCCTGTCCTGGCTGGTTCCAGTCTCCGACTTTCCCTGGTTCATCTCCACCCGTGGCCACGATTCTCTGTCTCCTCCCCTGAACCTCTTCTCCGAAGCCCAAACTGATCAATTCCTTTGTTCAATTAGACCTGGATTCTCCCTCGGGTTCATTGCGCCCTAATAAATGAAAGAAAGACCACAAAGAAGTCGAACAGAACAAAGAGGCTTCACCATACGCCTAAAACAGTCCCTCATTAGGAGAACCGAGAAGGAAGCAAAAAAGAAACGGAAATAAAAGAAACGAAACAAAAGACCAGAAGAAAAAGTCTCCCCAAAAAATCGACCCATTTGCCCTCCCTTGCACGGCAAAACAGTCCCTTACGCCATGACCACCAGGTGACACAGACCCTACCACTTCTTCGCCCCTGGTTCGTTTGGCTGTCGGTTTTGACATCCCAAGCCTCGGATGACCTCCATGAGTCCCCGGATTACACGGTCACGCAGCGGCAGGATGTCTCACCAACCCGTGGCCCTGCGTGCGAACTCCTCGCCCCCACGAACCCCTCCGTCTGCCAACGCCATGCCGGTCAAACGAGCGCCCCATCCGCGCCCTTCCGTGCGCGAAACCTTCTTGGACGACTTCAACCACACCGACCAGACCAACAGCAGCAATGAGTCTGGAGACGAGCGCGATCCGCACGATCTGTCCCTGTCCCCCAAGCATGCCGCCCGCACCTCCATCGTCGACAATATGCTGCTCTCCTTGGACCAGTTCGCCACCTCCAATCCCTCTGTCCTCGATGACTACCGCTTGTTCAATTCCGCCTTCGAGTCCGACAACGCCCACGGCCGCTCCTCGCAGGACTCTATGGCCCCGCCGCGCCATCGCGGCCATACATTTTCCTCCTCTCTGTCCTCCGAGGCCGACTTCCACTACGATGACGCCGCCGGCCGCTACGGCGCTTCGCAGGGAAGGACCCGCCGGAGTACCAGTAGCTCCAACTATCAGTCCAGCCTGCGGAGGTTTGGGAGTGCCCGGAGTCCCGACCACCGGCCCGCGCGCGGCCAATTTGGCGACGGGCGAACCCCGACCGGCGTGGTTACCGCGAGCGGCCGTGCCCCCAGGAAGGGCAGCAAGGGGAGTACCACGTCCACGATCGATTTTGGCCCGTCCTTGTCGCGACGCCGGGCCGAGTCGGCGGACGAGAGGCGCTCCGCCAGCTTCGACTACGGCTCGCGACACCCCTTTGTCCCCTTCGTCGAGCCCACGACCGAGTATCACTCGTTGGTCTACCGTGATGATGATGACGACGACGACGATGACGACGACGACGCCGCCCCCACGCCCAGTGTCCCCGCGGGCCCCCGGAAACACCTGGCGTCGTCGCACGGCGAGTATGCCGCGGCCCCGACGCACCAGTCGTCACGCACCCCGATCGTGTCGCGGAAGAACAGCGTGAAATCCTCCAAGACCAACCCCGGCCGGAAGCCGCGCCCCGAGAACCTCGGCACCGCGACCATGAAGGTCCGCACCCAGGGCCCGGCCGACCTCGAGGACCCCGACCTAGACCTGCCCCCGCCGATCCCCGGCGCCTTCGACCCGCCCGCCCCAAGCCCCACGATCTCCTTCAACAAGCCGACCTTCCCCGCCCCGCCGCCGCCCGAACCGGCCCCGGCCAAGGAACGCCAGGGCTTCTTCCGCCGGGTCTTCGGGTCGTCTAAGGCTTCCACCCCGGCCCCGTCGGAGACCACACCATCTGAGGCCTCGTTCCCTGCGGGAGGCGACCCGAAAGGCATCAGTGCACCGGGTCCCGAGGCGAAGACGTGGCGGCAGCCGTTGAAGGCTAACACTACGGGCGCCGGTCCCGCGCGCGAGGGTGCCCCGCAAGTGGTCAACAAGAAGCCCTCCTTCTTCCGTCGCCGCAAGAAGTCGGTCGCCGAGAGCACCCCGCCCCCCATTGTGCTTCCGCAAGACCCCGGTCCGCGAACCACGGTGGACCCTCCGAAGCTCGACCGGAGCCCCGCGAGCAGTTTGCGGGAGGTGATGAACCCATTCCTGGGGGAGGGCCGTGGCACCGACTCGCCGGAGGCGGGGCGGACTGGCCCCGAAAAGCTGGAGATCAAGAAGTCGGGGGGCCTGCTCCCGCAGACGCAGCGCGAGAGTGTGCTGGGCCCCGCTGACGCGCGGCCTAGGTACAGTCTCTACCCGGTTTCCACGTCCCACGGGGCCTACGACACCTCGTTCCTGGCGGGGAACAGTAGCGGGGATGACGACCGATCCAGCGATGTCGACCCCGTCTCCATCGCCGAGCCGAACGAGGACCGGAATGCAGCCGCCGGCCGCGACCCGCCCGCGATGTCGAACTCCCGGCTGACGCCCCAGGACCTAACGGGGCCGTCCCTCTCCCCCGTGGTGGAGAGCTTCTCCCAGAAGAGCATCTCGCCTGTCGACGGTCCCGAACGGCGTCACAGCCTGTTTCCGGGGCCGGGGGAGTCGGACGCCACCAAATCCCCCAGCGACTCGATCCCGTACAGGGACGCCCACAACAACACCCGCCCGTTGTCCGCCTCGATGGTGGGTTCCGGTGGTGGTTCTTCCCCGGGGGGTGCGAGGTCCGAGAACTCCAAGTCCCACACGGCGTCCAACACCCACGAGGTGCCCTCAGCGGGTCCCCCCGCGACGGCGGCCAGCGAGGGCGCCACGAATGGTGCCGGCCAGCCTGCGGCGGACGAGCCCGCGGACTCCATCCAAGGACAAGCCCGAAAGCTCTTTGACAGCCAGGATGAGGTAGTCGGGAACGACCCGGCGGCCGCCTGGCTCGGCGACCCTGACCGGGCCGCCACGCGCAAGGCCTATATGGATCTCTTCGATTTCGCCAATTTGAATATCTTGGCAGCGCTGCGCAGTCTGTGCAACCGGCTGGTCCTCAAGGGGGAGACGCAGCAGGTCGATCGAGTTCTGGATGCCTTCTCTGTCCGATGGTGTCAGTGCAACCCCAATCACGGTTTCAAGGCCGCAGGTATGTCGCCCCTTTATTTTCTCCTTGACGGGCCATCGGGGCTGTTCTCTAACTTTTTTTTTTTTTTTTTTTTTTTTTCTTTACCTAGATGTCGTGCACACCATCTGTTACTCGCTTCTCCTCTTGAACACGGACTTGCATCTTGCGGACATCGAACAGAAGATGACCAAAAACCAATTCGTCCGGAACACGATACCCACCGTCCGTCGGGTGGCCGCCGATGCAACCCCCGATCCGTCTGACTCCCCTCTCGATGGGTCCCAGCCCGGCCGCGCGGATGAAGCCGATCCGGCCAAACCCGCCAACGCACCGGCCAAACTCGTCAATCGACTCTCTCGGACCGACCTCTCGATCAAGCTGGCCGGCGACCCGGACAGCGACGGCGGTCCCTTGGTCAGCACGCCGTTTTACGGCAGCCTGCGGGCCTGGGAGCAGCAGGTGGAGACGGTTCTCCGCGACTTCTACACCTCCATCCAGAAACAGAGGCTTCCCCTGTTCGGCGCGCCATCGGAGGGTCCCCGGGGGTCATCGAACGCGCTTCTGGGCCCCAGTTCCAATAGTCTTCGTCGGAGTCCCAGCACCGTGAGCAAGAGTGGCTCCGATATCTACCCGCGGGGCCGCTCGGCCGATTCCCGCTATGGCACCGCCCGGTGGTCGTCCAAGCCTCGATCCCGGGGGCGACTGTACCCGCCCTCCACTATGGGGTCTAGTCGGACCAGTTTGGACGACCAGTCGTCGCTGTGGAGCCCGTCCGGCTCCAGCACCTGGAGCAAATACTCCCTGGGGAAGCTGACCTCGGCGTCCGTGGATTCCTTCGGGTCGGAGTATCCCCGGGGCGACTACCAGCAGTCGATCGGGTTTGCCAACGCACTCAGCCAGGCGATCATCCGCGAGGATTCTGCCCAGTCGATCACCAGCATGGATGACCCGGAGCGGACCACACCTCTCCTGGAGGATGAGACCCTGCAGCTGGCCGGCGCGCCGTGGGCCAAGGAAGGCAGCTTGACCCACAAGCACCACTTGGACTCGGTCGACAAACGTGCCAAGGACCGCAATTGGGGCGACTGCTTTGCGGTCATCCAGCAGGGCTGGATGCGCCTCTTCTCCTTCAAAACCCCGCCGAAGTCGGGCCGACAGAAGTCGCGGCAACGCCAGCCGGGTGGTGTTGTCGTGGGCGGAGGCAACTGGACCGAGAACGCCGAAGAGACCTGGAAGTTCCTGCTGCGGCAAACCATCGCCAGCGCCCTTCCACCCCCTGGGTACTCCAAGTCTCGTCCGCACGTCTGGGCGTTGAGCCTGCCCACCGGCGCCGTGCACCTGTTCCAGGCGGGCACGCCGGAGATTGTCCGCGAGTTCGTCTCCAGTGCCAATTACTGGAGCGCGCGGCTCTCCAAGGAGCCCCTGATCGGCGGGGTCAGCAACATCGAATATGGCTGGAGTGACGCCGTCATCAACAGCGCGCTGATCGACGCCAACCGGGCGACGCCACCATCGTCCTCGGGGGCTCGGCCAAGCATCCAGAGCTCCATCCGCAGCTCCATCGACCAGCAGGGTGGCGTGCGGCCGCGTCTCCCCGCCGACCGGGTGCACATCAGCGACTGGGCGCCCCCTCAACAGAGCATGATGGCGTCCACGCTGACGGAAGACGACCAGCTCAAGGCCCTCCAAGCGTACGTCCGCAAGGTCGAAGAGGAGTTGCAGCGCCACAACGAACTGCGATCGGCCATGGTCCTCGCCTTCTCGCCGCGACACCCCAACGGGGTCAAGGCGATGGCCAACTGGGAGCGGAAATCCGCCTACTTGCTGCGGGAGATTGTCAAGTTCCGCACCTACATCGACTCCCTCCAGGGAGCGATCGACGCCAAAAATAAGATCTACGCTTCTCGCGAGGAGCCCGCGGAGGCTGTTCCATCATGAGGGCCTCTGGGAGTATCTTCCGAGTAATTGTGAGAGACTTTCCTTTTCTTTCTTTTTGGGTTCATCAGGCCACCCTTAGTTCCTATGTACATTTTCCCTCCCTCTCTTGAACTTTTTTTTTTCCCTTTTTTCTTCTTTTTCTTCTTCAGACCGGGTCTAGAGGATGTATACGAAACGGGATGACTCTTTGCTTTCTTGTATCTTCTTCTTCGTCTTTCTTTACTTCTTTGTGGCTTCTATATTACCTTGGGATTATTGTGACGCGGCATTTACTATGGGAAAGCGATGAGCGGTTTTAGTCTTTTAATCTTTCCCTATATATCCTGTTCTTGTCTTTATTATCATTGCTTTTTTATCAACTCCTAAGACCCTTGAAATATCCGGTCAAATCTATCCCTTGTGCATATTATAGAGTTGTTGGGCTGTGACCTTGTGAGGTGTCAGTCACCTGATTGGTCGTGGCTGTAAACAAATAAGGCATCCAGGCAGGCACGAGTAAACAGATCATCTCGACTCCCTCTTCTCTTTCACTTCACTTCCACTTCTCTTTCTCTTCTCTTCCACTTCATGTCCACACCTCTCTTCCTTCTTTCTCTCCTTTGATCCTTCTCCCCTTTCTCATGATTGATGTTTCAGGCGTTTCTTAAAATGGATCATCTGAAATGATTGAATGAATGAATGAAGATAGCTTCCGTCCCTTAGTAGTGGTCTATACTCTGTCTGGTAAGTCAATACCCACTTTTATGGTTTCAAAACGTTGTCTTGTTCAGTTCTAGTGTGCTCATCCAAACCCCCCCAATCCAGCCGCTTCACCATTCAGATCTCATGATTTCCGGCAAGTGGGGACAACAAACATCTGTGTGCCCAGACACCGTCCGTCACCATGTCGACCATCACTTCCTCCGCCGCCCATCCGCCGTCTCCTCCCACCAACCACTCCCTGTCTGCGATCGATTCCGCGCTTTCGGTGCGCTCTACGTCTCCCTACCTGACCCCTGACCATCTGGATTTGGATAGCGAGCTGTCGCCCTTGGAGGACGAGTTCTGCGACCCGATCGATTTCATGGGGGAGGAAGACGCGCGGGGAGATTATCTCCCCCCGACGACAACACACGACACTACCGCCGCTACCTCTACCGCGACCGCCGACTTCCCGGATCAAAGTCACTACCGTTTCTCACCCAACCCGACGCCGGACACGGATTACGACGGACACCGAGCATCTGCGACGGACCAATTCCCTGCCGACGACTCAAATACCTCGCTCAATCTCCCCCCGTTACCCGACAATGATGACAGCAGCCTCCTACCCGCATCCGAGGATGGCGACTATGAGCGCCCGGATAACCAGACTTACCTAGAGGAAAAGGAGATGCGGAGGAAGCTGATGGATATGGAGTCTAGTTTCCTTCCCGAACCCTCAACAATTGAAGTCACCGGCGCCAATTCGACGACCGGCACGGACGATACTTATCTGTTCGGGGTGTCCGGCGAGGCCGCCGCAGGGCCCGCCTCGCGAGACGATGCTTCGACGTCATTTGTCACACCGGACGAGTCCAGTTACGATGTCACCTCGAATAATGACGGTGTGCCCATTCCCCAGACCCCCGACCTGGACTCGGGAGAGGACCCAATGGCGGACATGGATGCGACGCCAGCGGCTCATCCGGAGCGACACGATGACACTACGATGCTCGGGAGCGTACCATCTTCACCGACGGCGCAGGCAGCGGCTCGAACCGGGGGGCGCGTTCCATCGATTGTGTCACAAGATCTCCACGACACCAGCCAAAATTCTTACGGCGACTCGACCGACAGATCAACCGTCTTAGACGCGGATCAGTCGCTCCAATCTGTACATCAGCGGGTTCGCAGCTCGGCGCGGAGTACCTCACCCGGGCAATCGCGATTGTTCAGCGACAACAGCAGTGTCACTGACGGGGCAGACACGGCCTCGCGCGCGAGCAGTCGAAGGAGCAATCGGCCTAAATATCTGACCAGTCGACAGTCGGTCCATCGGTTTTCATACTCGTCGATGACAAGCGGCCATACCGAGGTGACCAACAGCGATGCTACTCTAGGGGCCGACTACACTCTTCAGTCCGGCGGCGCAACGCCCGGAACGGGCGATCCTACCCAGCATGAAAAGCTAGCTCGTTCGATCAGCCTCGGGAGTATGGCGTCAGGGATATCGGGGTATAGTGAAGAAAATCCCTTCGAGAAGAGGACCTCGAACGGGCAGCCGGTGGATGGTGGCCTACACACGCTAGATGAAGAAAAGACCCCTTCGCACTCCCGTCCGACAACGTCCCAGCAGGACCAACCGCCGTCCAATTCTTACGATGAGCTTTCAGGGCCCATGACGCCCAAGGCGAAACCTCAAGATAATACTTTCCCCACCGATACGGTCCTTGCCGAGCGCGTCAAAGACGTTCAGGTTCCCAGTACGTTTGTCAAACAGTTCCGGGAGGACTTTGGAGGCCGTGGATCGTCTCCGGACAAACGCGCGGGAGCTACACCGGCCTTTGCCAAAAGCGGCCGCACGATGACCTTGAAAGAGCAGAGTAGTACCATCGATCGGCTTTCGAAGGAGAACTTCGATCTGAAGATGCGGATCCACTTCCTCAATGAGGCGCTGAATCGCCGGTCCGAAGAGGGCATCAAGGAGATGATCTCGGAGAATGTCGAATTGAAGTCCGACAAGTTGAAGCTGCAGAAAGACTCGCAAAGCCTGAAGAGGAAGATTCGCGACTTGGAAAAACAACTCAAGGATCAGCAGTCGGACAAGGTCTCCATGGTCAACCATGACCCCGAGGGCGGTGCCTCCGACGAGGACGAGCGCGATCCGGCCCAGGACGAAGAGATGCTCTACCTCCGGGAGAGGGTAGAGACGTATGAGCTCGAAATCGAAAGACTCCGATATGAGAGCCTCGCCCGGGAGACCGAGAAACGGCGGTTGGCCGAGATTGTGAAATCTCTGAGTGATGGACGACCCATGAGCTCAGACGCGGGAGCGAGAGAGGAGAGGGTGAGTCGATCTGACATTGTGTCATGGTTCTGTGCTGACGTTTCGCCCGACAGGACATGTGGAAGGACATGCTGGATGCGGAAGCGGCAGCCCGTGAACAGGCCGAGGAGGAGAACAAGAGACTGCGCGATGAAGCCCTTCGCCTGAGAAGCGAAATGAGCTACGCCGTGGTCCCGGCACGGACAGGACCGCGTGACCGGGTGGGTTCGTTGAACTCGTTTTCGGGCATGTCCGACAAGGAGATTTACCGCCATACGACCACCGGTAGTTCCTCCAGCAGTACGCTGGTCATGGAGCTGGAGCTTCTGAAACAGGAGAATGCGGAATTGAGAAAGGAGGTCAGCGCCCAGACGTCCATGCTGACGTCCCGCAACCGGGAGAAGGAACGCCTCTACCAAGAAATCGAAGAGATGAAACTGGGCCAGCGCCGCGATGGAACTCGGTCGATCGCTGACGATAGCATCTTCGACCGTTCGGCGTCCCGCGCCCACGGGCGACCGTCTTCCCGTGACAGCGACGGGACGGGCCCAACGGCAAACGACGACGCCGATCGCGAGGATCTCGAGATGCGGAACGGCCAGCTGCGTGATCAGGTCTCCAATCTGAAATTGGAAAACCAAGATGTCCGCACGCAGCTGGACGATTATATGAAAGCTTACGAGAGCCTTGACAATCAATACCAGGAAGATGTGGACCATGCCAACGAAGAGATCCAGGGTTTACAGCAGGAGCGCGACCAGGCGTTGCAAATGGCAGAGGAACGTGATGCAGCGTTCCAGGACCTGCGAGCCGAAGCGCAGGACGAGTTGGATGCAATCGGCGAGGAGTTGGATCAAAAGGTCGAAGACTGTCAGCGACTGGAAGAGGAACTCAGAAACCAGGACGAGAACCTCCAAGCCTTGCAAGCGGAAATGCGCGCTGCCAGCGAAGGCATTCTCCGGCTCGAAGAGGATGCCCAGAATAACCTCCACCGATACCACGCGGTGCAACAGGAACTGGAGGATAGTAACAGGGAGATGGAGTCGCTGGAGAAGGATCTCTACGAGGCGAACACCAAGGTCCAGCGACTGACCGTGCAGATCGAGTCGAGCCAAAATGAGATTGCTTTCCTTCGGGAAGAGCAAGACGGTGACAAGATCAAGATCGGCGATCTCGAGTCCGAACTCAAGACATACCAGGTCGCCCTGCGAAGTGAGAAGGACAAGACCCGGGAGCTGGAGGATCGCCTTGCCGAGGAACGGCACCAGCGGGAGGTGGTTGGAAGCAAGGAGAAACAAGAGGTGCAGCGCATTGTCAACGAATTGAACCGTGAATCTACTGCGGCCAAGGAGGAGGTGCGGAAGCTTCGGAAGAGCCTGTCCGCCCAGGAGATCGAAACGGCCACGTGGAGGGACCGACTTATGGACCTGGAAAATAACCTTCGCGAGACGCTGGGCGACCTAACCGGCAGTCGATCCGGCTTGATCTCCAACATTATGAAACTGCAGAAGGAACTCGAGTCGACCGCCTTGGAGCTGGAAAGTATCCGCTCCAAGTTGGGCGAGAAAGAGTCCGTGCTACGCAACCGGGATGCGCTTCTCGAAAGCCACGGGCTGGAGTCCCAGAAGCTGGCCGAGCTGCTGGAGCGCGAACGGCATGGGCGACGGGCCGATAAGCAGTCCTTTGAACAGGCGCTCAAGTCTCATCAGCACGCCTCCCGGACCATCACGCAGAACAACTCCCGCATCTCAGAGCTCGAGAGCGCCCGCAGCCAGGACCGCAAGCGGTTCACTGGGCTGGAGCAGCAGTTCCGGGACCAGCTGAATGAAAGGAACACGATGCTTCTGGACCTGTGGAAGCGGCTCTCGGCCATGTGCGGGCCCGACTGGACGCACTCGAACAGTCTGATCAACGGCAACCTTCCTAGTCAGGAAGTCATTGGTAACATTCTCTTCTGGCCCGGCTTCCGGCGCAATCTGCTGCTGGCGGTCAAGATGGTGGAGAACGTCATCTCTGGATTCAAGAACCGCATCAAAGGCGTCGAGCGGGACCTGACGAAACAATACCAGACCGTGGAGCACTCATACAGCCTCCGGATCAAGAAGCTAGACCGCCTGGAGGAGTCGATGCTGAACATGCGCGCCCAGCACCACGCGTGGAACCAGTCCGGCATCTCCCCAGAGATCTCCAAGCTGCGGGGAGAGAACCGGTTACTGAAGGCGGAGCTCAACCTCGTGCAGTCGCACTCCCGGAGCCGGGGACCGGCCACCGCGGCCGCTGTAGCTGCCACGACGGGGTCACCGCGCACTGGCCTTGAATCGGGAGGCAGCGCCGAGCGAGTCCCTCTAGTACGGCATCAGTCCATGGCAGAGCGACCCACCGAGACAGACGGGCCGCGTCCAGACCGGGGTCTCGTCCGCAGTTCCACCTCAGGAATCCCACAACCATCGCACGTCTCATCCACAACAACCCTAGCAGAGGGCCCAGGATCCATGGTGCACGGCACACGCGCTCGCTCGGGCCCAGTCCCAGGCGAAACCGGGAACAACGAGAAATGGGTGCAGCGACTACACGAGCTGGAGAAACGGCTAAAAGCAGAGCGCGAAGCACGACTCCTCGACCGCAACGGCGCGCGGAAGCGACTCGAAGAGCGAGACGCCGAGAACCAGCGTCTCCGGGCACAGCTGGAGCGACAGCGTCTGCGCAAGGAGATATCCAACGAGGGGCCAGAGGACAAAATGGGGCGCATACAGGGACCTCCCAACACCACCTCTAATGTGGGACGTCATCGTGACGACGAGCCTAGCTCGAGCGAGGGGGAGGGGATCTATGTTGATATTGAGGTTTAAACACAACAATAGGGGCGTTTTGAAGAATAGCGGTGTCTCTTCTCTTGTATTCTCTTCTGTTATCTTCTCTTTTGGTTTTGTTTATTTCTCGGGATACTTAATGTTCTCTGGATGGATGGATGGGTCTGGCGTGAGGATTGATTGATTGATGGATGGATGGATACTTGTATCTATATATACCCTTGGGTTTCATGGCTTGCTTGCTTTGCCTATTGCCAACTCTTTTTGGGCTTCTTCTTCTCTTTTTTATTCTTCTAGGACTGTAGTGTCCATGAATGAGTTGTAATGGATACGTACATACCTATGTGATGTATGTTCATCTTCAGGTGAACCACTCTAGTACATACAGCAGGCCACAAGGTACTATGCATCTGGTTGATAGAAACGACACTCTACACTCATCATCACGTATACACACATACCTCTTAATCCCCTCATTCAATATAAACGTCATGCTCTCCCCCTTCAAAAAAAAAAAAAAAATAGAAGAAAAAGAAAAAAAAGAAATCACCTCAACGAAACCTTCAGCGAAAAATCCACAATCCCCGTCCCCTGGTGAATAGAACTCGTCGACAAGATATCCACATCCGGACAGGCATACGCCGCCGCATTATTCTCATTCAACCCCCCACTAACTTCAATCAGGAATGACCGCGAAAGACCAGACGACTGGCGCCACCTCTCCTTCAACAGGCGCGCAGCGTCGCGGACGCCCTCCGGGGTAAAGTTATCCAGCATGATGACGTCCGCGCCGGCGCCGATCGCAGCGTTCGCTTCGTCGATGCTCCGACACTCGACTTCGACCTTTGTGGAGAAGCCGCCGACGGATTTGGCGGCCTGGACTGCTTGGGGGATAGCTGCTGCGATAGCGGATTCGTCGCCGTCTTTAGAACCGGTGGTTGAGGCACCAGAGGAAGCATTGTTGGCACACGCCCAGACGTGATTATCCTTCAGCATCGTCATCGAGCTGAGATCATGGCGGTGGGGATCCGCCCCGCCAACGAGGATGCCGTATTTCTCGACGACGCGGAACCCGGGGGTTGTCTTGCGGGTTCCTGCTAGGGTGCCGGTCCAGCCGTGGGCGCGGAGCGCGGAGACCAGGGTGGAGGACTTGGTGGCTATGCCGGAGCAGCGGGCGAGGATGTTGAGGGCGACGCGCTCGCCGAGGAGGATTTTGCGGATGGGGCCGCGGACGGTGGCGCATGTTGTTGGGGATGAGGTTGAGGTTGGGGGGAGGGGGTGGCCTTCGGAGATGTGCCATTCGACTCTTTTTTTTTTATTTTTAATATTAGTTTCGTTGCTCTCTCTCTCTCTCTCTCTCTCTCTCTCTCTCCTCCGTGTGTATATCTCTTTTGAAAGATAAAAGGGAAGAACTTACGTGCAACCAAGCTGCGAGAATACCTCATCGAAAAAGGGAATCCCCGCTACGATGCCCTAGATACATCCTTTAGCCACGTCACATCCCTATGGATATATAGAGGAAAGAGTAGAAAAAAATACCTCCGACTTCCCCAATAACCGCGCCTCACTATCCGAGTCCCCCACGACGAACCCGCCATAGTCGAAACTGGGACAGTCCTCTTCGAGCCAGTTGGTGATGAGGCGTTTGTAGGTTGGGGGGAGGAGGTGGCGGAGGTCTCCGTGGGACGAAGCCATGATGTTTTTAACTATTTGAGGGGAAGAGGGGTAGAGGGGTAGAGGAATGAAGAATGAAGAGGAATGAAGAATGAAGAGGAATGAAGAATGAAGAGGAATGAAGGATGAGGAATGAGATCGAGATCGGGGATGCCCCACGCGGGGGTATCCGGGGAGACACGTGATATTGTCGCTATCGTTTATCGTGAAGGAGGGGCTAGTCCCCCTTGGATCTATGGCATTACGATCTTTAAGTAGAACTAGGTTGATTCTGATAGTATAGACTACGTTCGATTATTTTATCAAGTTCTTTCAAACTGACATATGTAGGTTTTGGTTCGATCATAGATGTCATAAGCTACTATCTAAGTAAGTCCTTTGATTATCTCGATGAGATCAGGCCCGCCACGCCTTGTACACGATGGTACTGCCATAAGTCTCCCCCTTCCGGAGCGTGACCATCCCCCGCCACTCCGGCTCGTTGATAGCGTTCACGAACCGACTGGGTTCAACGCAGAAGCCAGAGAATGCTCCCCGGGCCGGGTGGCCGTCCACGGCGGGGACATCGGTGCCGGCACCGGTGTAGAACTGGAAGGCGGGCTCGGTGCTGTGCACCTGCAGGTGGATGTGCGAGTCCGGATGCTCGAACTCAGCCAGGAGGCGCAAAGGCCGAGACCGCGTGTCCAGCGGGATGGCGCCCACGTCCTTGTCCATGATGAAGACGTCGTCGAAGGCGGGGTGGTCGGGCCCGATGGGGAAGGGGTCGGTGACGCTGCGGGGGAAGGGCTCGATGGTGCCGGTGGGGATGCCGGTCTTGTCGAGGGGCAGGTAGTCCGGGGTGACGAGGCGGGCGGTGGTGCCGGCGACGGTGGCGGCGCCGGAGAGGTTGAAGTAGCTGTGGTTCGTCAGGTTGACGACGGTCTCGGTGCAGCCGTCGTCGTTGCCGTCGTCGACGAGCTCGGCCTCGTACTCGATGGTGAGGACAGCGCGGGTGGCGCCCTCGACGGTCTCTTCGCTGCGGGTGTAGAAGACCTTGAGGTCGACGGTGCCGGGGAATCCGGCTTCGAGGTGCGGGGACCGATAGGTGTAGAGGAGGGCGTCGTGGCCGTGGCGGCGCACCCAGGTGGGGCCTTCGAAGTCGCGACGGCCCCAGCCGCGACTGCCGCCGTGGAGGGCGTTGGGGGCGTCGTTGGTTTCGAGCTCGTAGCTGCGACCGTTGAGGTTCTGGATGACGCCGTTCTTGATGCGGTTGGCGACGCGACCAATGGTGGCACCGAACCAGGGGGCGTTGTGGGGGGGATAGAGGTCCTTATTGGCGAAACCGAGGACGAGATTCTGTCCGTCGACGTGCAATTCCTGGATGATGGCACCGAGGTTGGTGAATTTGACAGCGTTGGGGTCCATGATGGATGGGAATCTGTAGTCTGTAGGAGAGAGGAGAGAGGAGAGAGGATTGAGGGGAGGTGGGGAGAAAGGTGGAGGGGGGAGGAAAGGAGCTTTAAGACCCCGCAATCCGGGAGGGTAAGTGGGTGGTTTAGGCTAATTGATCATCTGGATAGGACAGAGCACAGGCTGAATTGTCCGTGGAGGACGGAGAAATCGAGATGTGGAGGTGTTTCATCGTGGAGATTGACCGGGGGGGAATTGTCTGGATAGAGGCGGGGGAGGTCCGTGATGTGCCTGAGGCAGTCTGGCGTGACTGGTATCCAAGTGTCGAGGAGGGAGGAGAGCAGTCTAGAATCGGCATCATCGTAGCATAGACTCGAGCAAGTAAATCAGTAAATCAGACCACCTGAAGCGAAGTCAATCCCGAACAAACGCCGAAAACGACTCGGCATCTCGGCATCGGAGAGTTTTCCAGCCGGTTCAGGCAAAATCAATATTATCTGATAGAATAAGGAACAGTGGGTCGGACTGTGGATCTGAGGTTTTTCTTCCTGTTTCATTTCTCTTGAGTGAATTTTATGTTTTACAATAGATCGTGAATTGATTATTGATGGTCACTATACAAATTATAATCATGATGATTATCATTATAATGATTGATCTGTTAAGAGTCGAGCTAATGATGACGTCTTCCACCTGATTAGTCACAGTCACCCGTTGTATCAACCAACGTCACCCTGACATCGCAGTGAGGACATGAGGAGATGATAGTGTACCCTCCACAGAAGAAATTCCACGGTGTAATCAAAGAACCAAAGTAACCTGATATTAAAAATATTACCCAACGCCAGATGGTTGCAACGCCGTCATACTCCATTAATCCCATTGCCCCAATTACCTCCCCCCAATGGCCCGCATCGTTTGAATCTAGCAAGTAAAGAAAGATAGGGTAGTCCTTAGGAAGTCACTTCCCGCGGGTTGAGGTATTGATTGATGACCTCGTCGCTGCCATCCAGGTAGGTGCAAGGCATCCCCGCCGATCGACCGAATATCGGCGACGACATCGGATCATCAAACGTGAAATTCGCGTAATCCGCCGTCCCCATCATATCCATTTCGTCCAACGAACCCAGCCCGGGGGGCCATGTTTGTAAAGCGAGCGGGTTGACCACCCCCGGCATCGTCATCGGCCCACCAAACGGAGAGGGATTTAATGGGTGCTGCGGCTGCTGCTGCGGCGGCGGCGGCGGCGGCGGCTGCTGCTGTTGTTGTTGCGGTTGCTGTTGCCGGGGATTGCCCGAGGAGGGGGAAGAGATATTGTTGCTGCCGCTCGGAGGGTGGGGGGCTAAACGTGGTTCGGTCTTGATCCTCGGGGCCCGCGACGGGCTAAAGGTCGGGGGTGTCGGGGGCATATGAGGTCGTGCGAATGGGTCGTCAAAGCGCGGGGGGATCTCGGGGGACTGGGCACTGTCGGGGCTGCTGGCGGACGAGACCTGCCGTTGCATGCTGCCGTGCTGTTGGAGGCACTCGCGCTGCATGATCTCGGTGTTCTCTTCGAAGCGCTCCCCTTTGCCGCAGTCTAGGGCGCGGAGTCGGGTGAGGAGGTCGTGGGTGAGGGGATGTCCGTTGGGTTCACATCTCAGCGGTTCTCCCGGCCAGCCTTCCCCTCGACAGGCCCGGCGATAGAGTTCTTGGAGGCCGCGGACCAGCCATTGCTGTTGTTGTTCGAGCATTTCCACATAACTGTAGGGTCAGTATCTAGTATACATATATCCAGATATAGGGAGATGCTCACCCCTTGGGATACACCTTATCGTGTGCTTTCTTCCTCTCTCCAAAAACGCAAATGGCATTGTCGGCTCGACATCGACTGCAAGGGTTGGTGCCGTCACACTATGAAGTGTCAGTGGATGAGAGGGGTGATGTTGATACCCAAGGCGCCATACCTTGGATTTCTTCAATCGACAGCGATCACAGGCCTTGCAGACCCTTTTGCGGATATTGCCATCTGAATTGGAATGATCCGAGGTGGGCGAAGACTGGCGAGCCTTCAAGGGGGACATGGCGCGCGTAAGGGTGGGGAGAAGAAGAAGAAGGAGGAAGAGGAGGAGGACGGAAGGGAAAGATCCAGGGCGAGGTATAGTATAGGAGAATCAAGAGGAGTAGAAAAGGAAAGTGTAGATGGAGAACCAAGGAATGGAATGAGGTCAATCAAGCGCATCGATCAGTCACCACTTTGTTCCAGACCTGGTTCTTTTCTTTTTCTTTTTTTTTTTTTCTTTTCTTTTCTTTTTTCTTGGGGGAATACTTTTCTCTTTTTATTTTATTTTTTTATTTTTAAGATTGATTTCTTTTAGCCTTCGGATCTTCCAACTGGTCGTTCTTTCACGTTCTTGATGGTCCTGTGGTCGGTTTCCTTTTCGTTCCCAGTTGATTTGATTTCCGGATCTTTGATTTCTTGTTGAGGGACTGTCCTGGACTGCCCTGATTGTCTGGAAGTCTATAAAAACGAGGATGTCGATCAATCATACGTCAGTCGATCGATGATCAGGATATAGATGGTGGTTATGTAATCGAGGAGTAACCACTGGGGAGGTTGCAGTGGAATTGGTAGGAGGAACGGTAAATCTGAGCAGAGATCATGGAAGAGATGGAGATGGAGGAATGGCTGGTTATGTAGTTGATCTTTCTAATAGGATATTAAATTATTATATCATTATAATATCAGTAGAATTATTAGTATGGCCGTTAAATGACTCAGATTGATAATCATGAAGATTTCTTGCTCGGCGACGGTATTATTACGTTGTATACTGGATACACATCGGAAATGTATCCTGTCAGGAGTTTTATACATAACGTTCTACATACTTTAGAATCATACACATGATCTGCTCAACCTATGGATCAGTTCATCCTGTTCTCATAATCTATTCCTATCATCTCAATCGATATAGATATTGAGAGACCATGTCTGCATGTAGAGAGGAGGGAATGGAGTTACATGCTGAATACACGGAACTCGGCGCCAACCTCACCCCCGAGCATTTTCCATCCTTGTTACCTCGTACCTCCTCCGTACTCCTAGACTTATATTTCCCAATGTAGCAGTCCATATATCCGAGTAACTAGATCCGAGGGAGTACCTCCTTATCCAGCTGAGTATATCCAACTGAGTATATCCAACCGAGTATATCCAAACTGAGTATATCCAACTGAGTATATCCAACCGAGTATATTCAACAGTAGATCCAGGGACTTGACTCCTGACTCTGCTTCATCCACACGATAGATACAACTACATCATAGCCTAGTAATCGACAACGAAGTTTCAAGAATTACTCCAATGTAAAGATGAATAAGGATCGGTGGATAAGGCATCCGTATGCCTGCATAAAAAAAAAAAACAGAACGGAATCCGGCACTTGGGGACCTCCGTCTCGGCATGATTGTGCCGGATGGAAAAGAGAAAAGAGTCTTGGCGGACCGGAGGGTCTAGTCTTTTTTGGTCTTTTTTGGTCTTTTTAGTCCCTTTGGTTTCCTCCTGACTAACTTTTTGGTCTTCACTCCTACTAACTACAGTAGTCTAGTCAACTACCCAACTAAGGTAGTTCGATCCTCGAGAGAACTACTCTCCACTCGGCCTGTCAATGCCGATTCATCAGTGATCTGGAGTTTGATCCTTTACCCAAGGATGACAACTAACATAGCTAGGTTAGGTACCGAGGTACAAGTCAGTTCCTCACCTGATAGTATAGCTCAAGTCTGGTTCAGGTCAACTATACATAAAAACCATCCTATACTGGACTTCTGGCACCATATGATTAATGGGCACTTCATCCATGACCCATCGTTTCTCCGCGGATGCTCTCTCTCATGGTTCTGGTCATACCAGGCCATTAGTCAAATCTACTCACATGACAACCATACGCATCACCCAAATCTTCCCACAGTTTCCCCCTCTTCCCCTCTCTCAGACCAAGAGGGTTGAAAAAGCCCGCCAGCCTTTTGAGATCACCAACCAGGGCTCGATCGTCTCATGACGACGCGGACCCTGAATCCGACTGACTTGTCCACAAGCTTATCTGCGTGACGGCCGTTCCTGAAAGCTTGGACGGAACCACTAGCCACTAGATGGTTCGATATCCCGGTTTGATGATCGCTTTCCACGTCAGGATTGCTTCATCGCGTTGCTTCTGGACTTGCCCTATTCATGGATAGCTTCCCGGATCTCAGCTCGAGAACGGTGAACGCCGGAAAAGTACATCGGATCGCGTAAAAGCCAACCCCGTACAGCCCCGAAATACAGTCTACCTTTGGATGTCGGTCTCAAGAGTATACATATATACATATGTATCATAGCACGGTAGATTGGGTATATTATATAAAAGACAAGCATGGCCCTACCGGATCATCGACGCGACCCTCTCCAGCCCCTCCAGAACCTCCCTTTCGGCCCGTCCTTGCCCCCCCCGGCTTGTGTTCGTCCCCTCCACGCCCCACACAGACACACGGATATCGACCGACGCCCTCGGGGTTTGCTCGTTGCGGTCTCCGGCTGTGGTGAGGCGCTCAGGCTTGGCATACCCGATGCTTCTTCCTTTACGGGTGGTGGAGTCGTCTGCTGATAATGGACCCGACGGGCCTCCACAACCCGACGGACCAAGTCTGAAACAATACGCAGTTAGAGACAAGGTGAGACACCGCATCGCGGGATCGAAAACGTACGGGCAAAGGTTTCCTCGATATTCACCATCTCCCGCGCACTCGTCTCCATGAACCCGCACCCGTGTCGTCGCGCGTACTCCAGTCCGTCGCGCGCGCCCACCGCCCGCCCCTGCTTCAGGTCGCACTTGTTCCCCGCCACGATCTTGACCGGCGGCGGCATCCCCACATCGACTCCCTGCGCGCTGGGCCCCAGCTCGCGGAGGAGCCGTTCGTTGTCCTCCTCCCGCTGGTCGGCCTCCATGTCGATGAGCTCCATGAAATAGTCCAGTGCCCCCAGGCTGTCTGGGTTGGTGATATCGTAGACGAGGAGGAAGGCGTCCGATTTCAACGTCGATGTCGTCCATAACCCGCGGTATTCTTCTTGGCCGGCGGTGTCGGTGATGGATAGGAAGTACGGGAGGCCGTCGATCGTCCGGGTGACCGAGTACGAGTCCTCTACGGGAATCAATAATTAAACATCGGGGGTTCTCCAGGGGTCGGATCAATACCGATGGTCGGGTCATATCTGTTGCCCATCCATCATATTCGTCAGCGCTGATGATTAGTCGGGACTGGGGGGGAATACTCCGTACTCATGAATCCATTGGCTGCGCACCAAACGCAGGGTGATGGATGATTTTCCTGGACGGCAATCGATCAGAAGGCACTTCTAGGTAAGACTCAATAAAGAACAGTCCTACCGCATCCTCCATCTCCACAGATAGTAATGGAGATCTTGTCCGAACTGTTGGCCATGTCGTCGCGTGTTGAGGGGCCGTCTTAAGGGGCTCGAACGAACAAGGATGATAAGATGATCGGCGGAGATATTCGAGACGCGATTAGATCAGGAGGTGGCGTCGGGAAAAACGGATGGTGGAGATCATGGCTGCCGCATCCTTTTCTTTTTCTTCCCTTTGATTCCCTATCGTTTTTTATTCTTTGTGGTCGGAACAATTCTGTCAATTGTAGAGAGAAGAAAGGGGAGGAAACAAGCATGCGGAAATGGATCCACCAAACCCCCTGGGAGTGGAGAGAGGGATTGACATGACTCGTGTTCTCGAACCGCAGTGGTCCGGGGGTCTCTATCGGGATTCCGATCGGTTTGAGATCGCATTCTTTGGTTCTGGACTGGTGAGAGAAAGAGATTCGACCAGAGATGCAGAGTCCATATCGAAGGATCACGTGAACGCTGCCTATCTTCTCTTCTTCTTCATCTTCTACTCCCGACTCCACCTCCACTCCAACCATCCTATCCGACATCCTTCGACGACTCCACTCCAATCGTCTACTCTCCCATCAATCGATGCATCACAATCCCCTTGTTCCCCCACTTGACATATCCACATACGTTGGGAAATGTCCACCCGCCTAGTTTCATTGGCAGTGCCAACTTTTGTTACCCACCTTCACTTCCCACACTCGTGTCCACTGTCAACTGTTCACTGCGGCGCTGTGGCCTTCCATTTTCTCCCTCTCCTAACAAGCAATGTGGTCGAGGAACATCACCACTTGATGTCGGAGATTTAATTCTCGATAATTTCTGAACCCAACCCAGCCTAATCCCTGTGGAGAGAGTTTCTGCCTCCATGCCAGAATAAACCCATCGCGTGAGATCGATTGGCACAGCCTGAAATGGCCCATCACGGGATGGAAGGCTTCGAGGATGAATTCAACCCCGATTTTTATTCCACACCCATATCTGATCCGTCATCCAATGAGCATCATGTTCCCTTCGCCTCTCCCTATGTCGGCCCGGAGGACTATGCCTTCCAGTTCGCGAGGCCAGAAATGCTCACCACGTCTATGTACAACCCCCTGCAGTCGACAGGAACGTCAGCCTACGAGCCCGGGTTCGATGATCGCCTGTTGACCGCCACAATGGCGGGGCATGCCGCCTCCAGGCCCATGGCCTTGGACGCGAATCATGCCTTTGCGCCCGCCTACGAGCCCTGGCAGATGCAGCCGGGTTTGGCACCTCGGGATCTCGCCTGGGCGCCTCCAAATTGGGAGGACGTGTCCTACCCCATGCCACAAGGGTTGACTCCGGGTCCGGCCGTCTTCCCTCAGTATGCAGCCTCACGGGAGGCCACCCGCAGCGGCCCGTCGAGACCTCCGGTGCGCCGGGCTGCGGGCGCCGCCACGTCCCACCGACTGATTCGACCGAAGCGCTCGTCGCCAGTGAAGGGTGGGTGAATTCCATCCCAGGGATGCCCTGTATGCCACCTCTCGTAAAGTGGAGCCAGACTGACGCTGTCTGCCAAGGGTCCTTGCCGTCGCGTGCAAAACCGACCGCCAGCGAGGAGGCCACCCCCTATGCCAACATCTACTCCCATACTGGCTTTGACATCATGGGGGTCCTCGTAGGTGGTTCTCTTCCCTCCTCCACTCCAAACGCGCGCTAACCCGCTGACCAGGCCGAAGTTGTTTCACGGCCGGATCCCAAGGTCGACATTGGGGCGGTCGACTTGTCGTGCGCCTTCGTGCTCTGCGATATTCTGGCAGAGGATCACCCCATCGTGTACGTCTCGGAAGCCTTTGAGCGTCTGACCGGCTATACGGAAGCGGAGATCGTGGGCCAGAACTGCCGGTTCCTGCAGAGCCCCGGCGGCGTCGTCCGGCGAGGCATGGAGCGCAAATTCGTCGACCCGCACACGGCCTTCCAGCTGCGCACGACCATCGACGAGCGGACCGAGATCCAGGTATCGATCATCAACTACCGGAAAGGGGGCCAGCCCTTCATGAACCTGGTCACCATGATCCCGATCTGCTTGCACTCCGACGACTACCGGTTCTACGTCGGCTTCCAGGTTGATCTGGTCGAGAAGCCCGATGCGGTCACCCGACGGAATCCCAGTACGTGCTTTCCTCCTGGTGGCTACCTCCCCCCCACGGACCGATCTAACCGCGGGCTGCAGATGGCTCGTACATGATCAATTACCAGCGTAACCAGTTGCCTCCCTACGTGGTTCCGCCGGCGGTGCTGTATCAGGCGCACCCGGACTTGATGACGCAGTTTGGCCCCGAGCAGGTGTCGACGATCTTGCGTAGCCTGGACACCCACGGCCCGGACTACCGCGGCTACCTGGACCGGATCCTCGTCGAAAACGCGGACGACGTGATTCACGTCATGTCCTTCGAGAGCGAGCTCCTCTATCTCTCCCCCTCGTGCCGCCGGTGTCTGGCCTACGAACCGGTCGAGCTAGTCGGCAAGACCCTGTCGATGCTGTGTCACCCCAGTGACATCGGCCCGGTCAGTCGCGAGCTATGGGCCCAGACCACGACAGACCCCATCTGCGTCGCCTACCGGATCCGGAAGAAGGACAGCGGGTACGTGTGGTTCGAGAGCCGCGGAGCCTGGCATATCGGGCAGGGCCGACGGCAGTTCATGGTACTGGTGGGCCGCGTCCGACCGGTCTACCACCTGGAGCAGGTCGTGAAGCTCGGTGGGGGTGCCCTGGCAGAGACGGACATCTGGATCAAACTCTCCGCGTCGGGCATCATCCTCTTCGCCTCATCCAAGGTCCGGCCCGTGCTAGGTCGCGTGCCAGACGACCTGGTGGGAAAGAGTCTCTTGGATCTAGTCGACGCGCCGCAGGAGACGCGGCAGGCGCTGGACACGTGCTACCGTGGGCAGGAGGCGCGCCTGGGACACCGTATTCGTCACCAGAAAGGGCACCTTCTGGCAGCACGGACCACGCTCTTCCCGGGGGATGTCCCTGCTGGTGGGCGACCGTCGTTCCTGGTCGCCCAGATCCACTTCCCGACGACGGCGGCGGGAGATCCGAGCACCTCCACCACGACCCAGGGCGATGCACCCCTGGAAGTTTCTCGACACGATCCACAGCAATATCCGTCAGACAACCAGTCCATGTTCACGACCTGGGGGCAACCACCCCAACCACTCTTCCGCGAACTCCACCCAACCCGCGGCTCCCACTGGCAGTTCGAGCTCCGCGCCCTAGCCCAGCATAACCAGACCCTATCAGAGGAAGTCCACCGACTGCTCGCACGGCGAAAGAAGCGCAAGCGTCGACAGAGCACCGTCCCGGTGGAGAAGAGCTGCGTCACTTGCCGCACGCGCCGCACGCCCGAGTGGCGGCGCGGACCGAGCGGGAATCGCGATCTATGTAATAGTTGTGGATTGCGGTGGGCGAAGCAGGTGCGGATTGGGCAGGCTTCGGAGAGGGTTTCGTAATTCTGCGTGTAATTGACTTGCACTTGATGGATTAGGTTTATGGTAATTAGTGGATGAGGATGACGATGTTGGCATAATAGTAGTATTTAGTGTTTCTTTTTCAATTCTATGTAGATAGAACTAATCTGCCATGTCGAAACGCTCTGTCCAACGGCACCGCGAAGACAGAATGACGACATTCCTCTGGTCTTTCCTTTCTGGCTTTTATCTATGTACAGTCAAGCTCAACAAACAGGCCTATGGGGCGGAGCGCCGATCCAAAATTGATTGATTGATTCTATCGATCTGTCTGTCTTTCTGTCTTCATCTATCTACTATCTATACTATGTATTCAATTTATAATACCCACAACTGCAGTCCATTATAGTACAGCACATCAACCTCCACCCCCTTTTAATAAAAAAACGAGAAGAAAAAAAGAAAAAAAAAAATCTATTCCTGACGCAACCACTTCTGCAACCACCTCCGTTCAGCACGCTCCGCCTCCCAACCCGACAAATCCCCAGCAACATCCACACCACCGCGCTCGTCAACAGCGATAGACACCTCCGCGGCCTCAAGAGCAGCCACGCCGCCTCCCTCACGGATCAAGGCATCATCGCGCGCGATGTACTCCGCATGGCTGGACAGACGCGCGCGGTAGCGCAGGAGGGAAACGATCGGCTCAGGGAGCGTATGCGATCTCGCGAGGCCGAGGGCGGCACACGCGCGGAGGATCTCAGAGGCCGAAGCGGACGCGATCCAGGCGAGATTGGTGAATTCCGCTTGGAGGATGTGTAGCTCGGGGTCTGAGCCCGGGGGGAGGGTTGAGACGGAGCCGGTGGTGGCGGCGCGGTGGGCGCGCAAGGCGGCTGATTTGCGGACGGCGCGGAGACGGCGGGATTTCGCGATCTGGGTCGGGATACGACATGTGAAGGGGGTGACTGCGTTGCCGAGGGCGAGGACGACGAGCGGGGTCATTTCGCCGCAGATGATGAGCATTATGGAGAAGGGGATCATGCGGCGGACGTCGTAGGCGGCGCGGTGGACGAGTTGGAAGTTTGCGCGGCTGGGGGGGTATTTGGTGGATTTTGAGAGAGAGAGGGCGGAGGGAGAGGTGGGGAGGTAGGGGGGGAGGTTGAGGGATTGGCGGATGGGGATGGAGGCGCGGTAGTTGTGGTAGACGTTTTTGAGGCCTGTTTTGTAGAAGGACAGGTATGCGCGGCCGAGGGTGATGAGGCGTTTGGCTTTGTCGGCTGCTGGGGCGGAGGGATCGAGGGGGGAGGGGAGGGTGAGGTCTGCGGGGCGGGTTGAGGGAGGCGGGTTGACATCGTCTGGGAGGGGGTGGGATGCGATTGATGAGGTGGAGGGGACTGTTGAGGAGGTGGGCTGCGCGGAGGATGGAGGGCGAGCGTGGGATTTGGGAGAGGAGTGGGAGGAATATGGTCGGTAGAGGGGGGTACTAGCGATGAAGGAGATCGCCGGAGGGGCGCGGCGAGTGAGGGAAGAAGACAACATGGTTAATGGATGGTGGTGGAGAAGAGATGAAAGCTGGAGAAGATGAAGATAGGATGGAGATGAAGCCAAAGTGAGAAATGACTTTGATGCCTGTATGATAAGGCAGCACAGGGCAAACATTAAGGCAAACTTAATGCAAATTTAATGCAACCATGAACAGTGCACAGCTGAGTCAGCACGTAATACATGACGTACATGATCGACGTCCACCGTCGATCATCCATTCCCCTCATCTTCATCCATCTATCTCATACATCTCCACCATTCAATCCAGTGATCCACTCCAAACTAAACAGTTATCCAACAAATCATTCACCCAGCAATCAACATGTCTCTCGACTTCAGCATCCCCACAGCCCTCATCCTCATCGACAACCAAGCGGCCTTCACGCACCCCACCTACTGGGGCAGCGCCCGGTCCAACCCCTCCTACGAGAACAACCTGCAAGCCCTGCTCTCTGCCTTCCGCGCCGCAAAGCGGCGCTCCTCCAGCACGCCCCTGGAGATCATTCACGTCTTCCACTCGTCGCACACAGACGAAGAATCCCCGCTGCACCCGGCCCACCCAGGCGAAGGCATCCACCCGCTGGACTTCGCCGCCCCGGCCACGGACGGCTCCGAGCTGGTGACGTGGAAGTCCGTGAGCTCGGGGTTCATTGGCACGGAGCTTGCGGACCATGTGCGGGAGAATGGCATCCGGCAGCTTGTGTTTGCGGGGTTGACGACTGATCATTGTGTGTCGACTACTGTGCGGATGGCGGCTAATTTGGGGGTTGTTAGCCGGGGGCCGGATGATCCGGGGAGGATCGTGCTTGTTGCTGATGCGACTGCTACGTGGGCGAAGGGGGGTTTTGATGCGGAGACTGTGCATGCTGTTTCGGTGGCGAGTTTGAAGGGCGAGTTTGCGGATGTTTTTTCTACGGAGGAGGTTGTGAAGGCTTTGCAGGTTGCTGCTTAGATTGCCACTTAGGGTTGAGGGTGGTGTTTTTCTTGTTCCAGGAAGGAAGTGGAATGGAAAGGAGGGAAAAAGGAATCAAAAGGACGGACTAGTATCGACGGCGTTTGCGTTGATAGTTAATGTCCATAACCAATAATAGTAATCAATCACAGATCAACCTCAACAGCAACCACACTCTCCGAAACAAACCCAGACACAAACAGCCACGCCTTCTTCCCCGAATCAGCAGGAACCAGCACTGCCGCACTAGCCGAGCGGATGTTCGTCCCGTCGTCCTCAAACAACACACGCTGTTCCCAGGCGTCGGCCGACTCGTTCCGGCGCACCAGCCACACAATCACGCTCTCCTTACCCTCCGGATCATGCACAGTGCTAGGCAGATCCACAGCACGGCGCAATCCAGCCAGCACATAGCCGCTGGCATCGTTGCCGGGGACACCCTTCGGATCCTTATAGTAGCTGGGGTTATCGATCGTGCTATCGACAGGGATGGTCTCTTCGACGGTGATAGTGTGGTTGGACGAGGCGCTTGCGCGGTACAACTCGCCGCCGATGGCGCTGGTAACGAGGATCTCATCAGGGGAAGCGCCATGGCCCAGACCATTATTGTTCTTCAGTCCTGTGAGTGCCGTGTGCGCGGTGACTTCGTCTTCGGCTTCCGCCGAAGAAGCAAGACCACCCAGCTGGACATGCACGGTACTGCTCCACCCGAGATAGGGCACGAAATCCTCAACATGACGGAGTAGGCCCTCGCGGTGGGAGTGGTCGTTCGTGACGTAGAAGCTGTCTGGAGCGACGGCGTAGACATCGTTGGGCGTGGTGATGAGAGGGTGACGCACGGAGCGCACGAACCGCGCAGTCGAGCTGCCCAGCACGTGGTGGAAGATCTCGATCTGGGAGCGGGCTTTGGGAAGGTCGGACTCGGGCGCGTAGGCCGGGTTGGGGAGGTGGTTCACGGCGAGAATGTAGACTGCGTTGGGATCGGAAGGGTCGGCGACGATGTCGAAGCCGTGGGTGATGAAGGGGCCGGGGAAGTTTTCGAATTCGAGGCGAGTGGACTTCATGGTCTGTCCCATCCACTGTCAGTTACGAATCACATTTACTAGGTAGGTAGGTAGGTAGTAAAGATGGGAGAGAAGGATACCTTCGGATCGATCAAATGAATCGACCCCTTCGTCTGCGCATTCCCCTCCAGCGTCCCGAGAGGAGGGAACCACTCGAAACGCGGGAGAATAGAGTCTTCGCACGCGGCGAAGATCTTGCCCGAGGGTTCATGGTAGTGCAGGTCCTCGCACTGCATTGTGTCCTCGATGCGGTAGAACCCCTCGCCTTGGGCTCTGACGGGGCTGGTCAGCGGCCCTCGCGAGAAGCCTAGCACGGTGGCATTGCGGGAGACGGGCGTGTAGAGGAGGGCCGCGAGAGCTGCCACTAGGAGGGAGAGGATGTAACGGAGCATTTTGTTTCCTCTCTTCGTTTATGTAAACTGGACTCTTTTTGGAAAGGAGTGGATGGACGGGTTCACTCTTGTTTTCGTTCTCTCTCTGTGGGGGAGGGAGGGAGGAGGATTCTGATTTAAGAGAATTAATTCTTTTCTCCCACCAAATCAAACAGTGCGGGGAAGCTCAACCGTTTCGATGATAAATGATAGATCCCGTCCAAATACCGAGGTAACAACAGCCTGTTGGACGTGGTGGGGAACAGAGTGGAGGATGTGGAGGGAGGAGTGGAGAGAGGGCGAGAATATTGATTCGTCCATGTCTAAACCTCCGGTTTCATTTATGGGTTGGTTGGTCCTTGGTAGTGCCATGGTGGTCTCATACGAGGCTGGATATTAGCCTGGCTACTGCTTTGGGAGAGATCGTCGCTGTTGCTTCGATCCTTTATGGCTTCGATATAACTCCGAGCGTTACGGTGGTTACTCCCCTACCACTACATCTCCCGATAGATAGAACGGAATTAAATCAATCCAAATTTCCCCATCCGACTCAAGAATGGGTTGCGGTCACTGGGAGATTGGCCAATATCGAAACAAATTATTTCTTCCTCGCTTCCCAACTCCCGCAGTTCCGAATGTCAAAGCAGGCGTCGTCAAAATAAGGAATATTAGTGCGCGACAAAACCGAACATGATAGAAAAAAAAAAAAAAAAAAAGGAAAAGAAATGTCATAATAGTTGTCTCGACCGATCATCCGATACTTCTTGATCACGCACTGGCCGATTTAGCATCCAGGTACTCCTGATCGCTGGCATCCAAGATATCGTATTCGTCGTCCGTCAGAAGGTCCGTCTCCGTATCTTCATCCAGTGTCAAGCTCTCCACCTCCTCCAACACGTCCCGTTCCGAGGGCTGGGACGGGATTGTGGGAGCCGCCTCCGCCTCCGCGTGGGTGCTCGTCTCCGGGGACTCCTTCTCCAGCTTGGGGAAGATCATCTGGCTGCCGCTGCTCGCCTTGTCCGCGTTGCCCGCGTTGCCCGCCTCGTCCGCCGAGATCGCCACGGGTTCCTCCTCGCGTACTTGGATGTCACACCACAGGCGATGCCCGAACGGCAGGCCGTTGGGCAGCTTCAGTCGCCAGTACGAGATGGCCGTACCCACCCGGCTGGGTGCCTTGAGAGTGACGGTGAACGTGGCGCTCTCGCCGGGCGCTACCGGGGCCGTGAGCCTGTTGGTCTCCATGGCCGCCGACATCGACGACAGACTCATGGCGTGACCCAGATCGACGTTGAACATGGAATCGCCCCCGACGAAGCGGACGTCGGTGCCCGCCGGCCACGCGAGGGGACCGGGATTGCGCAGGGTCCAGTCCTGCTGGAACACCTGGTTGGGCGCCCTCGTGCTGCCGTCCAAAACCGTGTCGGCGACAAAGACCGCTTGGTAGTCAGTCTCCGGCTCAGTGATCTCCGGCGCCGGGACTCGGGCCTCTACGTCCATCGCATCCGGGACCGGCAGTACCGGCGATTCTGCCACCGCGGGGGCCGGTGCCGGTGCCGGGGTCGGGGCCTGGGTCGACGTCGACTGCTGGGGACGACTGGCCGGGGCGGCGGGCAGCGCACCCGGGGCATTGTCGTGGACCGTGCTGACGGTGACGTTGCGCACGGGGGTCTTAAGCATGACCATGGGGTGGGTGCGGTTGTGCGAGTTGGACGGCAGGGCCTCACACTTGGCGCACAGATCGAGGTCGTAGCACACGGAGCACTTGTATCGGACGCCGGCGATGTAGTTCGCATACGGCTGGCCCTTGCACAGCGGGCCATCGCAGAAGATGCCGTAGTGGACCTCGTGGGACACGGGCGGCTCGGCAAGCGTCTCGTAGACGGGGACAAAGCGATGACCCCCATGGCTCTGCGCGGCGTTGGCGTGGCAGTCGGAGCAGTAGTCCCAGTCGGGGCACGTGAGGCACTTGTGGCGGACGCCCACGATGCGTTTCTCACAGCCGTCGCAGATGGCGGCGTGCTGGCGATGACGGCCGGGTTGGCACCGGGACAGCACCAAGTTCCGCAGGCTGAATTGGTGATCACCAAGCAAGGTGAACGTATGGGCCGGGTGGTGTCCGTGGGCATCTCTCAAAAGACAATTGATGCACAGATCATGGTCTTCACAGTCCTCACAGGAGACGAAATGGGATTCCTCCAGCTCTACGGCAGGTCAGCTAACTTGCTGGGGCACCAGATAGGGGGGAGGGTTTCACGTACCTTTGACGCATGAGTTGCAAATGCGTTTGGCCGGTTGGTCGTTCATGGCGCCTGGGAAGGAAGAAATCACCTGGGGAGAAGGCTCTTGCGGGGTGATCTCCGGCACGGACTTCTGCGAGTTGATGGTCTCGGTGGTGCTGTTGATGACAACGCCATCCTTGACGAATCGACGGATCAACCAATGGTCCTCATCGGGACAGGCGGCGCCGGACGTGACACAGGGCGGGCAGAGGTCGTAGTCGCCATCGAAACAGATGCTGCAGTGGTAATGCTCATCGGAGATGGAGCGACCGCAGGCGTTGCAGTCGATGAAATAATTGCCCGCGTCAGCTGAATGGTGGCGGACCATCGGCACGGCGAGGCTATCCTGGCTCAGTACGAAGGCGCGCTGGTGGGACTGGGCCTGAGGCTGGGACTCGGCCTGAGGTTGGAATTCAGCCTGAGGCTGGGCTTGATCCTGAGGCTGGGGCTGAGACTCCGAAGAACGGGGAGTGGTATCTTCCCAGACCAAAGCGGGGAGCTCAGGCACGAGGGAGGCCGAGTCGGCAGCGGTGGGGTTGGCCGGAGAGCTGACGGCGGGCGAGCCCAGAACAGTCTCGAGGTAGTTGCATCGAGGCGGGCTCTGGGGTTCGGGGACGTCCTCGTCCTCTTCCTTTGAGGGTGCTACGGTGGCCTTGATGCGCAGCTTCAATTTGGCCTTGGCGGCGCGATAGAGCTGTTTGTAGACGGCGGGATTACTGGGATCCAGATGGACATGGCAGCCGGCACTGTCCGAGTAGCGCTCGAAGATGACGGTGTCATCGGCCGGGATGCCAAGCAATTGCTGCAGCTATTGGTTGTCAGTACGGAAGCGGTGTGACGGGATGATCTAATTTCTGTAATTTTCGACTTCAGATAATAAGGGAATCAAAGAAATACAATAAATTCAAATTGAAGTATTGTAAAAAAAAAAAAAGGTCCCACCGAAGAGGATGGGAAAACGAGGAAGATGGAGCTCCGAGGAAGCTAAGAAGGAGAGTGGAGACAATCCATACCTTCTGGGGCAGCACCGAGGGACCCAGATCGCCCAAGGGGATCTTAAAGCGGCGATTGTTTTCGTGGAGCTGCACCTTGACGGAGATCAAGGTGGCGGGACCGACCGGAGTAGGAGGAGGAGCGGTAGACGACATGATGAGATGGGGTAGGATGTGATGGGAGATGAGATGGGGATGGGGTGATCTGATCTGACTGGATCGGGATAGGAAGTATACGGATGGCTTCCTGGCTGCCTACTCACGCTGGATGAGTAGGTCAACTACAAAGAACCAGACAGTCCGGCAAGTCCCACACAGAGTAGAGAGAAAACAGTGAAGATAAGAATGATGATGGATGAGAGAGGAAGGGGGGGAGGAAGAAGGAGATGGAAGCAGATGAAGAAGACGAAGAAGAGGAAGAGGAAGATGAGATGAGGTCCAGAGGAAGAGAGAGAGGAAGAGGTGAAGTAAAGAGAGGAGCTCAGGTGGGATCCGCGCTAGTCTCGATCCGGCCTGGCTGGCCGCGGGAGGTCACCTGACACTGCCGCAATCGACGGCGTTACCGTACCGTATGGGCAGTACCATACACACCGTGTATCATGTACCGTCTGGAACCCGTACGGTCCTGTACGGAAGTCTACGGAGGCACCGGCCGGTGAGGGGAAACCAAGGAGATCAATCCATCGGAGAGTTATTAACTAGGTAGGTGGCTTGATCTGACGTCACTGGCGTACAGTCCTGTTCACCTCCCGAACCAAGAGGACAGAAACAAATGGGGGAATAAGGTTGGAGGAGAGGGGGTGGAGTGATGCAAGACCCGTGTATTATCACTCTTGCAGAGCGGCTGGTCCGGGAGGAGAGATCAGAGGAGGAAAGGTGAAGAAAGGACGAAGGAAACAAGAAAGAAAAAGAAAATAGAAACCGAATCAACGTAGAGAATCATCGCCAGATATCAACGGTCCAGCTCGTCCTCGGCGTCATGTCCGTCGTCACTTTTTGATCCGTTCGCTCGAAAAGGAGATGGTATCCATACACAAGAAACAGGAGGCACCCCCGCACGCAACCATAACGGAAGACCAGCAAGAAACTCAAGACTGCAATCGCTAGAAATGCATGGAGCCCGGATCTAACACAAATCAAAGAAAGAAAACACACGAAAACAGAAAAAGAGAAGGCAAGGGAGAAAGAAAAATGAAAGGTTTAAAAGGAAAACGTAAGGGAAACGTATCAATTCGACAGGGAAAAGGACAATGTGGAAGAGTCCACGCGGTGGAAACATACGACGGAGAGATCGTGAAGCTTGAACATGCCAAAAGAACACATGGAATCGCACAGAGACGGAAAGGAAAAAGAGTCAGCGAGTGATGATCGAGGTCAAGGCTCGGGGAATGACCCCGGCGGAGTATCAAAGAAACAAAGAGAGAGAATGTCACAGAGAACGGGAAAGGAAAGAAAGGACAAGAAAAAAGAAGTCGATGAACGACCAACGAGATGGCTACTGCGTGCCATAATAGGCGGCACCGCCCGGGCCCGTGGGATAGTAATATGTTGCCCCCGGCGGGGTCATCATCCCGCCCATCCCCACCACCCCACCAGGTCCGGCCCCCGCCGGCACACCATACTGCGCGTTCGGGTACAGCTGGGACGCGTCGTAAAAGTAGACCGTACCCCCGGCCTCGTGCGCCACCGTGCCGGGCTGCCCCGGCGCGAAGGGCGGCACCGAGGTGGTGCCCGGTCCCACGCCCGCCTGGTACGGCGGATACTCCGTTCCCGGACCGGGGTAGTAGACACCCCCGCCGGGGTAGCCAGTCGGGTAGTACGGTTGCATCGGCGGATACGCGTGCGGCTGGAACGGCTGCGCGTGGATCGCCCGCTCAGGGATCTGAGACAGCGGCGTCATCGCGGGCGGAGCCGACGCGTCGGGGCCGTAGCCCGGGCCGCTGACGGGGGCGGGCACCTGGTGATGGAAGGGCGGCTCCGCCTGCGGCTGGGGCGGGTTGTAGGGGAAGCTGGCGGGCGTCTCGATGTCGGCCACCGACACCGTCTTCTGGGGGCGGGGCTGATGCATCGGGATGGGCGCCGGACGGCTCTCGCGGTAGGCCGGATGCTGCGGTGGGGGATGCGGGAGCGCCGGAGGACCGACCGGGGGCATCGCACCGGGGCCCGCTGTCGCCGGGGGGAGACCCCCGGGGGGCCGATGCGGAGGGGGCAGGCGAACCACGGGCTTGTTGCTCTCGGCGGCAGCGGCGGCGGCCACCATCGTCTGCCGCGAGAGCATCGACCCGGCGGGCGAGGGATATCCCTCGTGCGAGGGCGGTTTCCCGAGGGAGGAGCGGCGGCTCATGGCCACACTGGGCGCGTAGGTGGATCCGGCATAGAAGCTGGGACGGCGGCCGCCGCCGTAGAACCCACCGCGGCCTCGACCGCGATAGGCCTGCTGGTTGGGACGCAGCGCTCGGGGGATGAAGATGAAGGATCGCTCGGTGGCCGGCAGGATGTACCGGGCGGGTTGGTCGGGGAGCGAGATGCGGACGGGTTTATCGCGACGCAGGGGCGGACGATGCTCCGGGAGACGGGTATACTGTTTCTTCGCGACGGACGCGCAGGGAACCGGGGCCGGCATGCCCGGCAGGAAGACCACGACGGGGACATTCCCGATCAACGTGGTACTGGAAAATGATCGGTTGGGCGGGGCCGACTTGGGGGCAATGGGGACGGGCTTAGGCGGATGGTTGACGGGGCCGTGGGCGGCGGGGGCCAACTTCGAGGGCGGTGGACCGGCGCCGACGACGGTGTCGTGGAGGTCATGTCTCCAAGGCCCTTGGCTGGCATCCGTTCGCGCGGGGTGTCTAAAGCGGTCAGAGACATGTATTTAAGGGGTGGGTAAGAGTACATACCGGCGGACGTTGCCGTCCACGATCAAGCCGTACGGGCGGGACTTGGATTTGTTGAACGGCTTGTGGCCGTTGGAGGCCGACTCGGTGGAGCGCTTATCGTGCAGGAAGAAGCTGCCGCGGGTGGGCACGAAAGGAGGATTCTCCTCCTTCTCCTTGGCGGGCTTTTCGGGTTCCCGGCGTTTCTTGTCAGCCAACGATTCGCGCCGTTGCTCGGTGGGCGGAGCGGACGGGGTCCGCCCGGTCTGGCGGGCGCGGTCTCCCTTGGGACTCCTGATGCGATCGATCTCGGGCCCGTCGGCGGTGTCGTTGGATACCCTGAGACCGTTCATCATCGTCTCGGTGTCGGATACGGTGGTCGTCAACTGCCGTTTTCCGGGGGAGGCGGAATGACGTCGAACGGACGGCGGGTGGGTGGGTTTGGAACGGCGACCGCCATTTACCTGGGGATGATGGTGCTGGCGGTGATGGTGTTGGTGGGCGTGATGACCGTTGGTGGTGTCCTCCGCCCGGACCGATGTCGACACCTCATCATCACTTTCATCGGTGACCTCCCCATCCGCATCTTCCCCATCCGGATGACTGGCAACCGACCCCTCGCTCAGGGAATCCTCTTCCAAGCCTCCATCTACCGAACCTTCATCTTCCCCTTCCTCCTCCCTCCTCCGGCGACGACTCGCGCCGATGTTGTGACGGCGGGGAGCCATGACGGTGGTGAGTAATTATGATGTAATGAGGACCGCAGTGGTCGACTCCTCCACAGAGCTCGGTGAGCGACGAAAGACGAGGAGAGAGGGGAGGAAAGCTGTGGTTGAAATGATCCAATATGGCAGATCGAGATCGTAACTGAAGGTCGGTTTACACTGGGGGAGGCACGACGGCGGGTTGACCGTCCGGGAGGAAGAATGGGGGGACCGAGATTCCCACAGTCGGGTCAAGCAATAGAATCAACAACAATACGGCCGTAGAGATGGAAGAGGGAAGAAAATAAGAAGAAGAGAAGTAGAAGGAATCAACGACGTGCGTTCAGAATGGAATCAGGATTAAGGAAGAAGGTGGAGAAGAAGGGGAAAAGGAAGGGAAGGAAGAAAGGCAGCTCGAAAACGAGGGCGACCCAGACGAGGGACAGAGGGAGAGAGATAGATGAAGAGGAGAAGAAAAGAGGATGAAGAAGAGAATCAAAAAAGAGAAGCGAAGGAGGAGAGGAGGAACAAGTTGAAAAGAAGAAGAAGGGAAGAAGAGAAGAAGAGAAGATGAAGAGATGATGGAGGTTGAAAGAGAGTTGGAGAAAGATCATAATAATAATAATGACGATAGGATAATATTATCCCATTGAAGGTGGAGTTAAGCGACTGGGAATATTAATCTGACATCCGTGTCAATCTGCCCGATCGGGTTTAGTCTGGCTGGTGATTCTAGAACTTCTTCCTTTATCAACATAATTATATTATATAATTATATCATTATATGCTTGTATATTTGTACTTAACTATAGACTATTCTCTTTTTTTTTCATCTTCTCGATCCTCTTCTCTATCATCTTCCTCCTGAGTCTTCCATGGCTCGGAAGACTTCACACCGCTATGCCATTCCAAAACAAACCCAATCAACCACTATAGTTTCGTGGTCGTCCTGCCATCATGAATGTGACCATGATGTCGTCCACTGACTAAGCGTGGTCAATCCATCGTCTCCTCTCAGTGTCAATCCAGTGTCAATCCAGTGTCAATCCAGTGTCAATCCAGTGTCAATCCAGTGTCAATCCTAGTACCAATCGCAGTTTCTGTCTCTGCCAATCCCTGTGCCAGTTCCGTCCGTTCCACCCCAGTCCACCAATTCCAGTCCAGCGCTGGGTTGGGGTGATCTCGCAGCCGGCATGTGAAACGTCGCCCCGCACACACGGCCTGTTCGATGACTGATAGAAACAATGAAACTCCTTGATTAGGAGATGGTCAAAGTCTCGATACAGACATGAATATGAGAAGAAAGATTGATGGGACAAGGGTAAAAAGGAAAGAGGGGGGAAAAAAAAAAAAAGAAAAACAAAAAAAAAAGAAATAATATTGATAAAAGTTAAATAAAAAAGGTAACAGGCAACTCGCGGGTATCAGTGGATAAGAGATGGGCTCATGTCCGCCAACCTCGACGTGGTGAGACAGCCAATACCAAGGCATGATCGGAAAGTCGACGCTGGCCCTGCAAGGAATCCCTCCAGAATCACAGTCATCAGAAAGAACACCGGTCTGTCCAGTAAGGAGTTCCCCTTGCCTTCCATAGCGAGTTCGCACTCTCCCAAGCTGTCCTGGTTATCCGGTTGTCTCTTCTGTGCATCTTCTCGTTCCTCCTCCTTCCTTAACCCTCCCTCTCCTTGTCTCAGACACATTGGATGGGCTCAGTCAAAAGTGACCTTCTGTCCCTTGGCCTCCACAATGGCACCGCTCAGCTTCTGCACCGTATCCGAATCGTATCTAGTATAATCCGGTTTATCGCGCTTGGCACGCGCAGGCATTTCCCTGATCGCATCGCCAGTCGCGTCACCCTCACCATCCTTCGTTCTGGTCTTGCTGCCCTTCCCGTAGCGTTTGTTATACCGGGTGGTGGCATCTTCCGCAAATTCCATTCGCATGCGTCGCCCTAACAGGTTGTTCACCCACACCCGTCTCTGCTGCGGCTTCTTGGGCTTTCGGCGCTGTTTCGAAGACTCCGCGTCCTCCTTCTTCTCCTCCTCCTTCTCCTCCTCTTCCTCCTCCTCCTCCTCATCCTCGTCATCTTCCTTGACCATCACAAATCCCTTGACCGCGGCTTCCGCTGCCGCCAGATCCTGGAATCTCACCCACGCGTAGCCCTTGCATTTCCCACTGTCCTGGAAGGTAGCCATGTGGACATCGTTAATAGGGCCGCACTGCCCCAGGTGCTCCTCCAGCATCTCCTTGGTCGTGTCGAAGCCAAGGTTTCCGACGAATATGCGCTTCGAGGGCGGGGGGCCGGACACCGCCGCCGCGGTGCCAGCCTTCTGGCCGTCCTCTCCCTCCGTCGGCTGAGGCCGACCCGTAAAGCTTTTCGCATCCTTGATCAACACACGGCGACCCGTCAGGAGCTTCTCGCTCAGGCCCACCGCCTCCGTCGCGGCCTTGGCCGTCGAGAAGTCAACGTAGGCGAATCCTCGGTTCTGCGCGCGGGCGTTCTTGTCGGCCGGCCGCGGCATGTGCAGGCGGGTGATGGTGGTCTCCGAAAAGGAGCAGTGGGTCGTGAAGAATCGACGGACGTCGTCCTTGGTCGCTGAGAAGGGCAAGTTTCCAATCCAGACTCCGTACTCCGACCGCTTCGCCGCGGCAGGGTCCTCCTTCTTGGGGTCCGTCTCCTCGGTGGGCTTGTCGGTGGTGGCGTCGGATGGGTCCTCGGCACCCTTCTTCTTCGCTTTTCGCAGGGCCTTCTTCGAGGGCGGTTCGGGGGCCGACACATCGATCTCGATCTCCGAGACCTCGGGCAGCTTGCGCTTTTTCTGGATTCCTTCCCCGGCGTCCGTCATTGTGGGAGATGTGTTTGCTGCGGTCTGTCGGTTTTAAAAAGATCACAAGAATGGAACAAATCGAATATAACCCTTAAAAAAAAAGCACCCGTAATGTCAAATATAGAGCGATTGATCGAATAGAAAAATAGATGAGGAATCTGAGACGGCTGATCGCTTTTTTTCATCTTTTTTTTTCTTGGGAAAGACGGGCAGAATACACTCCGCCTTGGACCAGATACCATACCATACGATACCGCCTTCCGTCTCCCTCACTCATCCCGGATTCCTTCATGGAATGATATTGATTGTTCATTCAGCTTCATCCATCCATCGTGTCTCTCGGTGTCGACTCAACGACGATCCCATATTCCATTCGACCTCACTTCTGATCACTCTGGGAGCCATCATGTCCCATTACCCCGAAGAGGCCTCCGCGGCCGAGAGCCTCCCCGATGCACCCGCAGCCCCTACCAAGGCATCCGCCCGGTCCTTCAAGTACGCGCGATTCATTCCTATCCCGGACACGGTCCCAGGAAACCCAACTAACACAGTATGCTTATAGGAAAAAGTTCGCCAAGCTCAAGGTTCAATTTGAGGTGCGCATGCGAGACAGCGAGGCGCTCATCCGCGAGGAGTTACGTATCCAAGACATCTCCAAGAGGATCCAGGAGCAGAACGAGTACGCGACGATCTAACCCCCCCCTATTGAGCATTTCGGTGATTAACCCGGATACAGTCAGCTGCTCGAAGTTCTGCTGGAATTCAACGACAGTCTCCACATCGCCCCAGACGTGCGGTACGACCTGACGGCTCCCGGCGACGACGACGAAGGCGACTTTCTGCCCACCCCCCACAGAGAATCATCGCCGGTACACCGAGACCCCACGGCAGCTGTGTCTCGACTGAAAGATGCGAAGGCGGAGCTGGCGGCAGGACATCTCTCAGTCGACGCGTACCACGACCTGGAGAACACCATCAAGCACGGCAAGGCGTTTGCGCCGCGACTGCACTACCGCTCGTTGATCCAAACCCCTCACACGGACCCCCGGCCCGAGGAGGGCGCCGACGACCGCGCGCCAGGCTCCCAATTTGAGCAGTCTCTGGGCTTTCTCACGCCGGAGCACGAAACCGAGTATTACCTGTCGATGGACGCCAAGTTGGGCGACGAGTCGGCGGCGCTTCAGCTCGGCCGCGCGACTGACAAGCCGTCCTTTGCCGAACGGGAGCGCGATGCAGCGCTGCGGAATCCCATCTCCGTGTACAACTGGCTGCGACGGAACCAGCCGCAGATCTTCCTCCAGGACAACGAGAATGCCTCGGAGAAGTCGACCTCGCGGCCGTCGAACCTCCGCACCTCGAAGAGGGCGCCTCCCCAGCGCAAGGACGACGACACGCATGACGAGGACGGCTCAACGGTTGATACGGGACCTACGTCGGGGGGTGCGAAGAACAAGCGGAAGCGCGATGATGAGACGGGGCCGAAGAAGGGCGGAGGTGGTGGTAGCCGCGCCAACCGCAAGAAGAAAGAGGATGGGGGTTCGACTTCGAAGCGGTCGTCGAAGCGGTCATCGGGGGCGGGGGCATGAAATTCTCTCCCTTACCTCCGTCTCTTTTCTTTTCTTTTATTTTTTTCTTTGAATCGTTTCAGTTTCTTATCTCTGTATTATTAGTCCCGGCGTCGACGATCTGATTATGATGGAACTCCCTGTTGACGTTCTATTCATCTGTGTAACGCATTGCTTTTTGCAGCGATTCTAACATTGTCCATCTATAATTTGCCATCAATAGTAAAGATATCATACGTTTGTACCATAATCCACAGCATACATATCTCCCTTGGACTGTACTGCACAACTACAGTCAGAGTCCGTGTTTGTCCAGTTTGTCCCGTCTGTCCCGTCTGTCCCGTTTGCCCTGTTTGTATCCCGCCAAGACTTCCACCAAAGAAGAAAAAAAGATGCTCAAGACGTCACTCTCCCTCACTTGATTCTACTTTTCTCCCACCACATTCTTCATTTCCCTTCTTAATCTCCCTTGAACAGAGAGAATGGCAATCACGATCCTCCCCCCGGTCACCGACACCGGCGATGTGACCTACCCCGACTCCGACATGGACTCGATGTCCGTCGACTCCGACGGCGGCGTCAACCTCGAACCCGGCCAGTCCTCCAAACAAGGTCTCCGGATGGCAGGGCTAGACATCAGCACGGGGGTAGTGACGCCCGGCGAGGTCGTCACAGATGATCCGCAGTGGATGAGGTATTCCCTCCTTTCCCTCCTTACCATCACAGCAACCTCCCCCAGTCGGGGAATGACAAAACGAAATACATACTAACCAGAGAACCAGAGGCCACGGCACCTACTCCGCCCCCCTCTCAACATCCATAATCGCCACCGTCGCCGGAACCGTCCAAAAAACCAACAAACTGCTCTCCGTGCAGCCGCTGCGCGCGCGGTACGCGCCCGAAATCGGAGACCTAGTCGTCGGCCGCATCGTGGAGGTCCAGTCTCGCCGGTGGAAAGTCGACGTCGCGGCGCCGCTGCTCGCCCAGCTGCCTCTGTCCGCGATTAACCTGCCGGGTGGTATCCTGCGCCGCCGGACCAGCGCCGACGAGCTGCAGATTCGCACGTTCTTCAGCGAGGGAGATCTGGTTGTTGCGGAGGTGCAGAATGTGCATCAGGATGGTGCGGCGTCGTTGCATACCCGCTCGCTCAAGTACGGGAAGTTGCGGAATGGTGTCTTTTTGGCTGTGACTGGTGCGGGTGGGAGCGGGGCGTCGAGCTCGAGTGTGAAAGGTGGGGTGGGCGCTGCTGCCGCGGGGGGAGCCGCGGGGAGTGGTGCTGGTGCGGCCAGTGCAGGCGGCGGTGTGGTGCGGTCGCGTCGACAGGTGTGGACGGTGAACACGGCGAACGGCGGCGGCGACGTGGACGTCATCCTGGGCGTGAACGGATACATCTGGATCTCGAAGCACGCGGAAGACACAGCGGCCGCGTCATCGACAACAGAGAACGTGTCGATCACGCGCATGGAAGAGATGGTCTCCAGCTCGGTGTACTCCAGCCAGAACGACGAGATTGCCCCCCAGACGCGTCGTGAGATCGCGCGGCTGGCGCAGTGTATCCGGGTGCTGGTGCAGGGGGGTGTGCGCGTTGACGAGGAGACCGTCATGGGTGCTTACGAGGCTAGTTTGCAGGTCGATTTGGAGGTTGGGGACGATCACGATGAGGAGGACGATGACCTCAGTCGGGAAGGGAGGGAGTATCTCGAGGGAGACAAGTCGCAGCGGATCTTGGAGCAGGTGTTGGCGCAGCAGTAGCCGATGATCACACTGTTTGACATCGACTTAGCACTGCACTGTGACAGAAACGCTATCTCGATGATCCTATATTGACTGCGGACTGTCTGTTTTACACATTACAGCCCGGTCGAAAGGCATCTCGGCCGGTCCGACCTGCCTGGGGATTATCACGAAAGCTGCCTACTCCATAGACCGACTGGCCGCAGAATCACCCGGTCCGCGATGTGGTCGACACTACAGAGTGGCTTCAGAAGACTGGAAGCCAGACCAGCAACCGACCAGAACTGTGTACCCACAAACGGTCGTCACCTTTTCATCAAGCGACAACACCTTCAGTGCTCGACTCCTATCAAACACTAACAGCACTTCGGAAGACATGCGTTATGAGCATGGATGGGGGGAGCAGGGTATACAATGTATCAATTATACTCCCTCTTTCTAGAGGAACAATACCAGAACCAAGTATATTCCACACACCTCCAAAAGAACCAAACCCGTAGAGCGAACCAACATCGATCTATTCATCTAATCATTTTGCACAACACAAATTCTACAAAGAAGAAACTAATTACAAAACCGAATGTGTGCAAAGGTTAGAGAAAAAAAAAATATGTAAGAAAAAAAACTACTCAAACACCGGCACCACCCCGGACCAACTCCCCCTGGCCCTCTCCTCCCAATACCCATCCTTCCCAGCCTTCAACCGCCAGTGCGCCTCGCCGTCAGCAGCATTATCGTCCGCGACCTTGGCGAACCAGCGCGGCGTCCACGACTCACCCGCAGCTTCCATATCGCGACGGCGAGCGCGCTGGCCTTCTTCCAGACGGACCTTGACGGTCTCCGCGCGGTCGACGTCGCCGTCTTCGAGGGCGCGCTGGTCGGGTCGCATGCGCGAATCTGTAACAGGGACGTGGCCGTCTTCGATGGGCGTGACCTCGTTGAGCACGGCTGCGAAGCGGGTCAAACCGTAGTGCTTGGGCGCCTGGGAGACGAGCGGGCCGGCTGTCCAGAGCGGGTTGCCTCCGGTGGGAGTTCCGCCTTGGGTCAGCTGCAGGGAGGTGGTCCACGTGCCTGCTAGGCCGAGGGGCAGGTCGCGGCCGTTGGGGTCGACGACCTTGGTGGTGACTTCTTCGCTGCGGCCGGAGAACATGCCGCCTGCTTTGAAGGTGGAGATGGCCTTGTGGCCGGTGGATTCGTTGAGGACGGTCATCTCGCCGACGGGCTCGACGTACTTCTCGCCGGCGATGATGTTGCGCAGGAAGGAGGTCGCCTGGGACCAGGAGAAGCGCTCGCCGGTTGCGTGCAGCGTCAGGCGGACTTTGCCCTCGGTGATGATCTCGGCGGATTTGCCCCAGAACTTTTGCGTCGGGACGGGCGCCTGGGCTAGACTCCAGTCGCGCGAGTCGGCTTGGTAGGCGAGCTGCACGGGGCGGTGCGATACCTTTTCGGCGATGAAGCGGAAACCGAGGTCTTCGCGTACGAGCTCGTAGGTCTCGCCCAGTAGGGGGTTGAAGGGCTTGCGGATGGCGCGCTCGCGCACGCGGTTGCTGGAGAGCGGGGCGAGCGCGAACGCCGTCACGAGCAGCAGCCGCTGCACGGGGTCTGTGGCCGCGGCAGCCTGGTCCAGCAGCGCTGGGTACTCGAGGACCTCGGCGGCGCGCTGCAGAAGGGAGAGCGGCTCGTTGGCCGACACGGGCATCGAGATCTGGGACAGGTCCTTGCCGACGTTCTTGCGCAGGAAGCCGATCAGGCTGGGCGGCATGACCGTGGGCGCCGTGATGTTGGCGCGCCGCGACACGGGACGGAGCGGCAGCGGCGTGAGCGACTTGGGCTTCGGGGGGAACAGGGAGGTGGCGCGGCCGTCGCCGCCGGGGGGTGCGTCCGGCTCGTCGTCCCCCTCGCTGTCCGATGGCACGTCGTCGTCCACCACGTCGTCCTCGGCCTCGGCGGCGGCAGCGGCAGCAGCAGCAGCGGCCGACCCCGCGGCGGGTGCCTCCTCGTCGTCGCTGTCGCCGTGGATGGTCAGCAGCGGCGAACGGTCTCCGTCGTCGACGGCGTCAAAGAACTCGTCCTCCGACTCCATGCTGGCCCGTGGCTGGGTGTGCAAGGTAGGCAGCTGGCGGCGACGCTGCTGGCTGGCGGTCAACAGGCCAGAGAAGTCGTGGACGACCGCGTCGAGGTCCCGTAGCAGGCTCATCAGGTGGCGGTGGACCTCGTCGGAGCCCTCCGCGGGGCCAGCGTCCGGCGGGGCCAGCTGGGTGGACGAGGCGGCGGCGGCGGCGGAGGAGGAGGAGGAGGAGGCGACGGGAGTCCGCCGCCCGCTTGGGGGTGTGGGGTTGGTAGCGGTGGAGGGAGGGCCCGCGCCGGGCGGTCCCTGGGTGCGCCGCTTCCAGAACGGACGACGGTCCCGCGTCTCCGCCGACTCGTCGCCGGCACCTTCAGGCGGCGTCACGGGGTGCGGGCTCGGGGAGCGACCGCGTGGGCGCTCCGGGGCGGCACCAGGGACGGTCAAGTACTTGGGGTCGGTCTCCTGGGCCAGGCGGCGCACGGCGTCGCGGGACCCACGCACGCGACGGACGAGGTTCTCGACCTGGGACCACTCGCGCTCCTCGGCCGCCGTGGACGGGGTCGGAGCGTGGGGCATGGACGGGACACGCAGCAATGGCTCGGACGGGGCGTGGGGTTGGTGAGAGAACTCCTCGGTGGCGGCGGCGGCGGCGGTCTTGGTGGACGCGCCTTTCTCCAGGGCGCGCTTCCAGGCGACGAAATCCTCATCGCTGTGGGCGCGCAGGTGCCATATCTCGGTGCCCGAGTCGATGGAGATCTCGCGGGAGTTTTCGTTGCAGGCGACGGCAGCCAGAGACAGGGGTATGGACCCGCGCAGGGCGGAGGCGTTGCGATCGTGGTAGTAGGACAGCGTGGCGGTCGCAAAGTCCAGGGCGAAGAAACGACGGGCCCAGCCCTGGTGACGCTTGCGGCGACGCTTGTGCAAGATGCCCGTGTGAGCGTTTGAGCCGTCGTGAGCGGCGGCTCCAGGCTGAGGAAGGACGTGGGCGACGCTGTTGCCGCGGCGGCGGGTGGTCGGGGGGCGGCCATCGACGGCGGCGGGGTCCCCGCGGTCGGGACCGGCACCCCGAGCGGCGGCGGCATGGGGCACGGGGACGGCCTGCGGGGGCAGGGCGCTGGGGTAGGTCAAAAGCACGAGGGTGACGGTCTTGGAGATCTGTTTGGAGAAGGTGTTGTCGAAGACGAGGGCGTAGTTCCCCCCCTCATGGGGGGGCACGGCATACGTCCCCTTGACGATCTTATCAGCCTCGCATTTGCCGACCCAGTGGATCGTGCGCAGGCCCATCCCAGTCAACTTGTCGACGACTGAGGCGCCGGCCGGCAGATTCCCCCGGGCGGAGGTAGCAGGGAGGTTCTCATTGGAGACGTTGACGGTGTTGTCGGTGGGGAGGCTGGAGGAGGAACTCAAGACGCCGGAGCCGCCGGGATGCTTGAAGATGCCGAAATTGATGGATTTTTTGTGGGGTTGGATACTCCAGGAGATGGTATGATCGGATTGGACATGAACCCAGCGAACGAAGTAGGACTGGGGGGGGGGGTGAGTTTGGTCAGCATGAGGTTATCCAACGTGAGGCTATCCAAGCGGGGGTTGGGGGAATCACCTTGCTGTGGATCTCCAACTCCTCCATGGCGGCCATGGTGGATCAAGGGGCGATTGGGGGTTTGAAAACCCGAGCAAACATAAGAGCGACAGAAGAGTACAACAATGGAGGTGAGATGAGGCAGGGGAAAGGCACGATGAGGCTGAAAGGAGAGACGAGGAGAGTGAGATGGAGAGAGCGTAAGATGGAGAAGTGGAGAAAGACTCGGCCAGGTTGAGCCGAGTTGACCGAGGTTCACATGACCGTCTTAGTTTATATTATTTAGATTGAAAAATATATTATTTGTATTGAGATTTATCTATTGATTTAGATCTATTTATATTTGTATTGATAGTGGTATCCATATTGATGTCCCTGTTACATTTCTATCCGCATTGTATATCAATGACACCCTACAATCTACCCAACCTACGAGAAAGAATGAACAAATAATCCATATAATACAGAAAGAAAATAGAAAACTACCGTCGTCGAGTGGCTTGCATGTTGGTAAACAGCAATTTGAACCCATTACACAACGCTCGCATGTCCGGGTACGGATTGCGTTGCAGCTCGTAGCCTTGCGGAATCACCTTGACCGGCCAGCTGTGCAGCGGTGCCTGCTCCCCGGCCTTGAAGCAGAGGAAGAAGTACCCCGGATGTTTGGGATCGATACAGAACGCGTACGCCGATCGTCGGGGGTTGGCTTTGGTGTAGGTGTTCAACCAGGCGTCTACTACATTAGCATCATCCAATGTGGAGAGGGGTGATAGGGAGAGGGAAACATACAGGTTGCATCGCGCGTCCCCTCCTGGTACTTCTCGTGCAGCGTCATCTCGTCCACCTTCTTGGCCATCGCCTTGACGTGGTTGAAGATCAGATCGTCCAGATCGCTGTACGTGTAGCGGCCCCCCACCTTGAGCGTCCGGCCCACGGAGAACTCGTTCTCCTTGTCCAGCTCCAGCACGTCCAGGTGCTGGAACACTCCGTCCGCCACCTTCCACGTCACCGCCAGGTGGTCCGGTCCCTTGGACGACGGCCGGATCACCACGTCGCCGCGTGCCTGCGATCCCAAGAACTCCTCCGCCTGCGCCGACCCGAACGGTCGGAACAGCGGGTGCTTGATAACTCGCACCGCCCGTTCCCCGCGCGGTGTCTCCGCCTGCAGCGCCGCCTGATCCCGCTGCTCCTGCCGCTCGTCCCACTCGCCCGGCGCCCGCCGGGAACCAGCACGCCCGGAGCCTCCGGCCGTCGGGCGCTGCACCTGCTCTGCCCGCAGCGACACCGTGCAGGTAAAGGTCTTCCGGTTGAGGAACAGCACCTTGGCCGGCACCGTCTGGTGCGGCGCGTACAGGGCCCGCGCCGGCAGGTCGTACCGGTCCGTCAGCTCCGCCTCGGGCACCAGGGCGTCGACCCCGCAGTCGAGCCGCCCGTCGATGTGGTCGTCGGTGATGCGCTTGAGGGACACCGGCACCACCATGCCCTCGGCCAGCGTCGCCGTCGTCTCGCCCGTCAGCATCGTGAAGATCGCGTCCGTGCCCAGCGGCGCGAACGGCTTCCGCAGCTCCTCGTACGGCTGCTGCAGCTCCGCCCGGATCGTCTCCAACGTCGCCCGCTTGCGCTGGTTCAGATTCCGCTCCAGCTGCTCCGCGTACTCCTCGAGGATCAGGTCGTTGACCCGGTCCTGCGCTTCCTCGCGGAACAGCTTGCGCACGATCGCCCCGGCCCCGTTCTCGTCCGTCTCCGCCTTGATGTCCTCCTCGTCCAGCTCGAGCGCGTCGGCCGCCATCTTGCGCGCGATGTCGTAGTCCTCCGGGTGCACCCGCGTGTTGTCCAGCGGGTCGGCGTCCGGGTCGGCCGTCTCGAAGTCGACGTAGAGGAAGCTGGCGCAATTGTGCCAGACCTTGACGCCCACCGCCGGGTACTGGGTGTGCACGCCCAGCAGGGCGGCGCGGCCCGTCACCACGCCGCCGTTGAGGTGGACAATCTGGAGCAGGTGGGCCGCCTTGCGCGGGCCCAGCCCGCAGACGTAGGGCAGCAGGTTGGCCGTGGCCGTGTCGCCAACCGCCTCGTTCAGGTCGACGCCGACCAGGTTGACCATGTCGACCAGGGCCGTCTCGAGCTGGCGCTGCAGCAGCTCGGGTGCGACCAGCTGCTGGCCGGGCTGGAGCGGCAGCGAGGTGACGTCGCGGCCGAGCGCGGCGTACTCGCGGAGCGGGCTCTGCAGGTAGCGGGCCAGGGCGACGCAGTAGCGGGTCAGCGGGGCGAACCCTGGGTGATCGCGGGCGGCGCGCTCGCTGTGCTGGTAGAGGCGGGCCACCTCGTCATTGACGATGACGACCTCGAGCCGGTCGGTGATCTCGGCGTCGCGGTCGTCGGTGTAAGGGGCACCGCGCAGGTCGCGGCGGTCGACGGCCTCGGTCAGCAGCTTGTAGAGACGGCGGGTCTCGGGGGTCTGGCCGGAGACGCCGATAACGTCGGGGCGGCGGCGGCGCACCAGCTCGGCGAGGGCGTCCAGGTCGCGCCCGTCGGGCACGTGGCGGTCGGCCGGGTCGCCGCCGACCGACAGGTCCGTGAACCGGCCGTTCTCCAGTACGCGGCCGTCCTCCTCGACGTAGGCCCAGTGGATGGGGTCGCGGCCGACGATGCCGGAGCCGGTGGACAGGGCGAGGACGCGGGGCACGGTCCCCAGCACCATGCCCTTGGGCTTGTAGGGGGCCTGGTCGAGGCGCTGGGAGAAGGCGTCGCGGCACTCGCGGGCGACGTGGTTCTCGCACTCCTGGCGAATGTTCTCCTTGACGCCGCGGTGGATGAGGCGCTCGAGCTTACCGAGAGCCAGGTCGAGGGACTCGCGGCGCAGGCGGTTCCAGGCGTCGGCCAGCTCGCTGTAGTTGTCGGACTCGAGGTCCGGGTAGAGCCGCTGGCGGAAGTGGTCGAGGCGGTCGAAGCGGACGCGGACATCGACGAGTCCCTCGGCCTCGGCCTGGAGCATGCGCAGGTAGAGCTCGGGCTGACGGGCGATGTCGCTGAGCTGCTGGTTGCGCAGGTACTTGAACTCGTAGTAGGGGTGCTGCTCGTCGATGCGGCGCAGGCCCTTCTCGGTGCGGATGCAGTCGACGGCGCCGTTCATGTAGTAGGCCTGGCGGACGACCTTGCGCATCTTGGGGCTCATGACCATCTCCTCGGCGAACATGGCGCGAGCGGCCTTGGTGACGTGATCGGCGGAGGCAAAGTCGGTGTCGCAAAGGCCGTCGGCGACGGCCTCGGGGGACTCGGCGGGGTCTTCGGTGTACTGGCGGCGGCCGGCCTTGAGAGCATTCTGAGCGAACGCATCGGCGGTGATGCCGCAGGCGCGCACGAGGCCGTAGGCGCGGGCGTTCCGGACGCGCTCGAAGAACGAGCGGCCGGCGGCGCGGCGGCGGCTAGGGCCGCCGCTCGCATCGTCCGTCCGGGCCAGATCGCGCAGCTGGGCCGCGTACTGGAAGTGAAGGTAGTCCTGGACGTCCTGCAGCTCCTCCATGGTGGAGGCGGCGGGCAGCATCTCGGCGACGACAGGGTCGTCGATCTCGCCGACGGCGTGGAGGTTGTCGACGGTGCGCTGGATGGTGTTGCGCTTGTCGACGAGGGCGCGGAATTTGAGGTCGTGGTCGAAGATGTCCCAGAGGTCGGTCATGTTGAGCAGCTTCTCGGCCTTGGTGGTGTAGGCGGTGCCGGGGTCGCGGTCGGGATCGTCGTCATCGTCGACGGGAACCTTGACGGCGTGGATCATGTAGTCCTTGCGGTGTTGGAAGATGAAGGGAACCTCCCAGTCGTCGGTGACGAGGAATTCAAGGACCTTGGCGACGGCGCGCTGGAAGGGTTCGCGCAGGTCGGGGTCGAGGCGCTTCTTGAGCAGCATGAGGTTGGAGATCCAGGCGGCCTCCTCGCGGAACTGGTCCTCGGTCAGGACGACGTGACGGTAGGGGGCGCGGGCGATTTGGTGGCGCTCGGGCTCGTCGGTGAGGCGGATCTGGTTGTCCTCCTCTGTCAACATCTTCTCGGCGAGCTGAGAGGGCTCGAAGACGTCCTTGAGGTCCAGGTGCTTCTCCTGGACGACCTCCTGCTCCTCCTCCTGGTCCTCCATGTCAAGGGCGAACCCGTACTCGTTGCCGTCACCAAAGGCGGCGCGCATGTCCTCGAGAGCGTTCTCGTCCAGGCCGGCGGCGTCGGGGGCGCCGAGGGCGGAGAGACCGGGGCGGGCGGGGCGAGCGACCTCGAGGTCTTCCTGGTCGCGCTGCTCCTCATCGGAGAAGGTGTCCTCCTCGATGAAGTCGCCCATCTCCTCATGCATGTGGCGTCTGTATCGACCGTATTCGGCGGGGGGTTCCTCCTCCTCCTCGTCGGAGTTGAAAATGTCATCGATGCCGTGGGAGGGTTGGGGATGGTCGCGATCTTTGTGGCCACGCTTTAACCGTTTGAACTTGGACTGGGGGGGGGATTAGTCTGCATCTTTGCAACTTTTTGAAAGACGAGAAAAAAAGTAAGATACCTCTGCGGCGACAGGGGCTTGCATGCCCGGATGGAGCTCCCCGATCAGCTCGAGATCCTCCTCATCCAGATGTTCATCTTCGCGTTCGCGTTCCTGTCGTCTTCGCTTTCGTTTCTCCCGTCTCCGTTCGGCGCGACCTTCGAGCTCTTCGTCGTCGTCATCGATGAAGCCTTCGCGGACCTATTACGATTAGTACACATTGATATGCATATGAACATATCGATGTTGATGTATGTGTAAACATATAGGTGTGTAGGTATTGAACATACGGCGCGTTCGGCCTCTTCATCGTCATCATCCTCCTCCTCCTCACTCGAGTCATTGTATTGCTCTCGGCGCTTGATGGGAGCGCCTTCGCCCGGTTCGCCTTCATAATCGTCGACCAACTCCTCCTCGTCGTCATCATCGATCATGGCCTCCCCTTCGACGAGGTCGCGAGCACTCATCTTTTTTCTGTCGTGCCTTGCTTGCTAGATTAAGGGATTGATGGGATCAAGGGTGGGGGGATAAAGAGATGGGAAGGGAGAAAAACATGAATCAGAGAAAAGAAATAGGAGAAAGAGAAGAAAGGAAAGAGTCGATGGGAGAGGAGAAGGTGAGGTTCAAGAGAAAGAAGAAGTTGAAGTGAAGAAGAAATGAGGATGGAGTTGGTGACTGAGAATCCAGGCCAACTGTGGCTGGTGTGGCTGGTCACGTGGATACATCTCGTTCTTTCAACAATATCACCGTCTCCATGTTGATTCATGTCGATTCTGATGATATATAGTTTTATTTCTTTTGTCTATTGTATATTTTCTCTTGACCTATCCTATAGACAGTGCCTCCGTTTGAATATCAATATATAAATAGAAATATAGGAAATCGATAAATATAGACCCAATAACCGCCCACTTCTCCCCACCTCATTTCTCCCCTCATCTTCTTTCTTCTTTCTTCTTTCTTCTTTCTTCTTTCTTTCTTTCTTTCTTCTTCACCTCTCTCTCTCCCCTCGGTCTTCCTCTTCTGTCTCCCCTCGGTTTCGGTTTTCTTATTCCAGGCTCACCATGGCCGACCAATTCAAAGCCCGTACGCTCAAGCGCAAGAATGTCAAAGGTCTCGCCCTCAATGCCGCTCCCAAACCCGCCGCCAATGCCTCCGATCAGGATCTTCCAGGAACGGGGGCTCCTGCCGATGCGAACCGCACAGATACTTTGGAAATTGGTCTAGAGTTTCGTCTTGATCTGCGCAGTGAGGATTTGATCACCCTCAAGGAACTGGGAGCGGGTAATGGAGGGACCGTCTCCAAGGTCAAGCATGCCTCCACCAACGTCGTCATGGCCCGAAAGGTATCTCTCTTTCTCTCTCTCTATGTACATTTATATATTCGCGATAGACTGACTGTTCAGATCATTCGCGTCGACGCCAAAGAAAACGTTCGCAAACAGATCCTCCGCGAACTGCAGGTCGGCCATGATTGCAACTCCTCCAGCATCGTCACCTTCTATGGCGCCTTCCAGAACGAAGCCCGCGATATCGTCTTGTGTATGGAATATATGGATTGCGGGTATCTCCTCCTTCTTCTTCTCCTCCAACTTTTCCCCCCCCGGGCATCCAACTCATCCCCGTATAGCTCCCTCGATCGCATCTCCAAAGACTTCGGTCCCGTCCGTGTCGATGTCCTAGGCAAGATCACCGAATCCGTTCTGGCCGGCTTGGTTTACCTGTACGAAGCCCACCGCATCATGCACCGCGATATCAAACCCTCCAACATCCTTGTCAACTCCCGCGGCAATATCAAGCTCTGTGACTTTGGTGTCGCTACCGAGACCGTCAACTCCATCGCCGATACCTTCGTCGGGACCTCCACCTACATGGCCCCCGAACGTATCCAGGGTGGCGCCTACACCGTCCGCTCTGACGTCTGGAGCGTCGGCCTGACCGTCATGGAGATGGCCGTCGGCCGCTTCCCCTTCGATTCCTCCGACTCGTCCGCCGGCGACCGCGCCAGTGCCGGCCCCATGGGCATCCTCGACCTACTCCAGCAGATCGTTCACGAACCTGCCCCCAAGCTGCCCAAGAGCGATGCCTTTCCCCCGATCCTGCACGAGTTCGTCGCCAAGTGTCTCCTCAAGAAATCCGACGAACGTCCCACTCCGCGTGAACTTTATGTATGTCTCCTCCGCTCCCCTCTGCTCCTTCTCCGTCTATTAACACCTTCCAGGACAAAGACGCCTTCTTGCAGGCGGCCAAACGCACCCCCGTCGACCTTCAGGAGTGGGCTATCAGCATGATGGAACGACACAACCGAAAATCCTACCTGGCGCCCCCGCCCCCCAAGTCCCTGAAGGAGGAGCAGTCGTCCAAATCCAAGTCTGGCTCCGGGACCCCCGGGCGCACCCCGCCCCATCCTTCGCCCCGCGCCCCCGAGGAGATCCCGGTCAACATGGTCCCCGACCGGCCCGCCTACCGCCCGTCCACCCAGTCACCACGACCTATGCGGTCGGCGCGCTCCCCGCCCCGCATCGCCCTCGAGCACCTGTCCCTGGAGACCCGCGAGGACGACGGTCGCTCCGGCCGCCGCCCCTCGCGCCACGGCCTCGGGGGTCCTACCTCAGCCGTGGGTTCGCCCGGACACGTCTCGCGGGGTTCGCGATCCAGCTCGCATAATCCCCACGCGCGTCTACCCCTGCAGACATCGACGCTGCCCGTGCGGGCGGCCCCACCCCCGAGCGGCCCGCCGCCTCCGCCGCCCACCTCATCTGGTAACGGGTGGTCGCGAGGAATCTAGCCTTCTTCCTTTTCCCACTCTTGTCTTTCCATTTCTTTTCTTTCATTTCTTTTTTTTCATCTCCATCTCCACACGTTGATGTCGGTATGGATATTAGTATGGACGTGATATGATGTTTGTGATGTGATGTGGGTATGGACGGATCCCACGTCCCAGCGCTGGACCATGAACTACTTACCATGACATGAACCCCAGACGACTTTTTGCATCAGCAAGGCGTATTCAAATTCGTTCGTTCGTACTCATTACGAGATGGTCATTTCACTTTCCCCCCTTTTTTTTCCCCTTTTTTTTCTTTTCTCTACCTTTTCATTTCACTACTTTTCTTCTCGTCTTTTTCTCCCTTTGACTCCCCTTATTGCGGATGGTTTCTTTCTCAATAGCAAGCAGCCTACGTCCAGGGCATACATTTTGTGTATCTCCTACCTGTACAGGACAGATGTTAGGGCTGGAACTTTTGCATCTGTCTTTGTTTTTGTTTCTTTTCATCTTTTTATCTTTTTCTTTTTGACCATATACGATGAGAGAGCTTTTTTCTATACATACCTCTATCCATACATACATATCAGTCGTATTTCTTTGTTTTCTCTAAAAAAAAGAAAATCGCCTTGTTTCTTCATATCTAAAACGACTTCTGGGACAGCAGGAAGAAAATGATAATGGTTGGATTGCCAGCAAAGCTAAAGTCCAGGTTGAAGTCAGATCGATATAGCAGACAGGAAGAGAATCAAGCATCACTCCGGCAGATGCGAAGGGAAAATAACACAGTATGAAGGGACGCACCAAACAGGAATCACAGGCCATGGGAGAGAAAACTATGGAATAAAACATATAGAATGGATGGTAAAAATGACACCACAAATTACACGATGGAAACACGCCGGGAAGAGACTGTCTCCTGTCGACTGGCGTCCCACCCTCCGGTTTCCCGATGCCGACAACGCCAACGTGAAAGAGACAGCGCGATCATACAAAGGACGTGGTCGAACACCATCTGTCCAGGAACAATGAGAATGAACTGGAGAAAATGAAGAAAAAAAAAGAAGATATGCCATTACTTCGACATCACTTCGGACCCGGCCAAAGGACTGGGCCCCGGGGGCGCCGGGGCGATGTTCGGTCGCGGCGCCAGCTCGACCATCGACGGGGTTTTGCTGCTGCGCGACCCTGCTGATCCACCCCCACGGCCCGCCGTGCCCCCGCCCCGACCCTGGGACGGGGTCGACCCGCCGCCCGACTTGTCCGCATCGTCGGCTTGGGACTTGCGGGGACGCGGGCGCGGCCGACGCGTCGTGCTGCCGCCGCGGGAGCCCGGGCCGCGGAGCGGGAGACCGGTCTCTTGGGAAATGGGGACGGAGGCAGCGGCCAAGGGGACCTGATGCGGCGCAGCCGGTGGTCCGCGACTGCGACCACCACGTCCGCGGCCTCGGCCACGTTTGATGGTGCCATCCGCGCTGTGGGAGTCGCGTTAGCCAAGGGTTCGAACTTGCCCATGGTCACGTAGAATAAAGAAGACTAACCGTTCGACTTGCACCTTCTCCCCCTCGGGGACCAGCGGTCCGCTGTAGACGAAATATCCATCCTTACTGGCGGCAGCACTCTCCTGCCAGGCCAGCTCGCTGTCATCCACAAAGGGATCGTCTCGGTCATACTCCTCCATCTTCTTCCGGCGGCGTTTCTTCTGGCCGTCCGCGGCGTCGGTGCCGTTGGCGCGGGCGGCGGCGGCCGCGGAGCCCGTCTCGCCGTCCAGGTCGCTCTCCCGGTCCATCTCCAGGCTTAGATCTTCATCGGCGCTCTCGCCCGCCGAGAGACCACCGCCGCGACCGGGTCGATCCTGCCGCTCGAGCGCGGCGCCAGCGGCGGCCACGCGGGCCAGGCGCTCCTTGTGAGCGGCCAGCCGGGGGTGCAAGGCGGCAAAGCCGTACTGCTCCTCCGCCAGGCGGGCAAAGTTCACGATGTGATTGCCCGCCCCCGTCTGCAGCGGGATATGCAGGACGATACTGGGGTGGCGCCGCGAGGTGGACTCGTCCGTCGCGCCCCCGTCGTCGACCCCGAACAGGGCGTTGGAGATCAACCCCGACCCCTGGGGCAGGGGCGGGGGCGCTTCTCGCGAGGGGCGGGCGGCCTTGGGGGAGGGCGCGTTGGATGACGGCGCGGTCGCGCTGCCCTTGGGCTCCTTCTTGGGAGCCTTCGACCCCGTCACTGGCTCCGCATCCACATCCATCGGGGTCGGCTCCGGCGAGGCGGGGGCCCGGGGTTCGGACGGCGCCGCCGAAGTTGGGGCCGGGGCTGCTGTCGGAGTCGCTGCCGGCGCCGGGGTGTGGGTGGGGGCCGGCTGTTGGGGGGGCGAGGGCGCGGGCGCGGGCGCGGGCGCGGGGGCGGGCGAGGGCACGGGGCGCGACTCCGGGGCGGGCGGGGGAGGATGCGGGGGGATCGGACCGTAGGGGGAGCGGTGCGCGTAGGGGGGGGACGCGGTCGTGGTGGTGGTGGAGGACGGGAACTGGGGCGGCGTGTGGGCGATCGGGGCGGGGGCGGGCGACGGCGGATAGGCGGACGGACCCCGACCGGGGGAGGCGTAGGGCCGGGGCGCGTAGATGGGCGGGGAGGCGTTGGCCGGCGGCAGGGGCGGGTCGATAATGCTGGCGATGGAGGGCGAGGCGCTGGCGCGGAAGGGGGCCCGCGGGGAGACGGCACGCGCCGGAGGGCTGAACGCGGTCATGGGGGCCGGCGTGTGGGTTGGCGTCCGGGCGGGCGACGCGGTGTCAAAGGCGGAGCGGATGGGATCAAAGTTCTGACCGCTGGTGCGCGTGGGTGGCGGCGGCGCGGGTTGGGAGTGTGGGCGCGCGGGGGGCGGCGGTTGGGGGGCCCCGGCGGGCGCCATGGTGGTCGGATAGGAGGGCGCGGGATACGACGCCAGGGGGAGGGAGGAGGATAGCAGGGGCGGACGGAGGTGGTGGGGAGGTAGGGACTGGGGCGCGCCGGGACCGGGGGGTGCCGGGCTGGCGGACGGAAGGGGACGCGGCGGGCTGCGGACGTGGTCGACGACCGCCTCCTCCTCCAACTTGGGTTTTTTGCGAGAATGGGAGGACGCGGCCGGGTTGTTGGCGGAGGTGGAGGTGGAGGTGGAGGTGGAGGCGGATTTGTCCCGGGGACGACGATTACCGCGTTTGGGTTCCTTGTCGGGATGATTCTCCTTGTCCTCCTTCCGATCGGGATCCCTGTCCTTGGCCTTTTCCTTCTCTTCCTTCTTCTCCTCTTTCCTGTCCTTAGGTCGGGCGGACGGTTCGTCGTCCTTCTTGCGACGTGACCGACGGGGGCGAGATTCACGGGGGTGGGAGTCGAGGGAGGAACGCGCCTCAAGATCGTCCTGAGCCGTCAAATTCGACGGCTCCGGGGACATGGTGAACAAGAACCAGCTCAGAGAGGATGATGGCGGAGCAGCATGGAGGGGATTGATGGATCGAGCTGTGGTGGTGGGCTTAGTTCTTTCTTTTTTTCTTTCTTTTTCCAAAATTTTGGTATCTTTTCAATATTCTGCTTGAGTAATTTGTCCGATTTTCTTTTTGGATTCTTCTGTGGTGGGAATAAAAAGGTTCGGTGTGGTGGATTGATTGGCGTGGGAATGGGGATGGCACGGATGGAAACACCAGTGAAGGAAGAAGAAAGGGGGAAAATTGAAAGAAGAGACGCGAGAGAGAACCGGAGATGGAGAGCAGAGGAAAACCCTAGCTCGAGATGGGGAAGCCAAGTAGAAAGGGACCACAGGGACCAAGGGACGAGATGTGGAGAGAGAGAGAGAAAGAGAGAGAGATGGGAAGAATGGGGAGAGAAGGGAGAAGGAAAGTGGAAAAGAAGGAGAAAAAGAGAGGGAGAGAGAGGGAAGAAAGGAAAGCGACCTGTGGAAAGTCATCAGTTAGTCCAGTTCTGTATCAATATCGCGTCCATTCATCAGAGCCAACAGAGCCAAGTCAATATCAGGACCCGGAGATGAGGGCCCGTCTGATCTCCTCTCGACCATCCTGTCATTACCTTTGCAATCAGTCAATGAAACAGAGGATCTCCGCCGTGAGGAGACAGAGATAGAGACGTGGGAATGAGCCGAGAGACAGGAAAGACAAGAGAAGAAGAAGAAGAAGATACAAAAGACAAAGAGAGAAGAGGAAGAAGTGAAGTTGATCGAGGCCTTTCCCGATCGGGCAGTCGGATCATCCCACCTGCCTTGCCTATTTGGGTTAGTCCATCTGGATTCACACTAGGCTGCGTCTGGACTAGCGTGTGGTTTACCTTTTGAGCCGCATGCTGACTCATCCCTGACGTAATATGGCCCACTCCAGATCGTCATCTTCATCTCACTGGCATCGACAGCTTCATTTTTCATCCTCACCTGCAGACTCCCCCACCATGGCCTTTCGTGGTGAGCGCTTTGTCATTGACCTCGACTCTGACGACGAGAATGTCCCCGATTCCTCTTCGGTCGCCATCCCTGGCATGATCGGTGAGATTCGTGAACGCTCCCCCGCGGCTGCCCCGGCCCCGCCGACGCTGAAAGCGCCCTCCACTACCGGATTCCCCGCCCCACGTCGTCGGGTCAAAACATCTGCCTTTAAACAGCGACAGCAGGGGAAGGCGGAGAAGGTGGAGAAGGCCTCGGAGGTTTCTCCGCCACCCGTGTCGGAGGAGAAAGCGGCGATCGATGACCAGAATCGACGCCAGCTGCAGGCCATGTCGACGGAGCAGATCGAACGGGAACGAGAGGAACTGATGGAATCGCTGGACACGGGGCTTCTCGAGCGATTCCTGCGCCGGGCACGCATCGACGGTTCCGGGGACTCTCCCGCAGACTCGACGGACCGTCAATCCACCGGGGACACAGACCAGAAGGGACAAACACAACCCGCGACAACAGCGACACCCCCCGAGGTGGAATCGCTCGCTCCGAAGAACCCTCCCCTCCCTTCTCCCCCTGCAAAAGCATCAGTCGCAGCGGCAGCAGCAGCAGCAACAAACACCACATCCAGCCGAGACGACCTGCCACCCTCACAGCTCCCCCCGGACCTACGAGCAGCAGCCGAAGCAGCACTACCAGCCGACCTACACTTCCCCACCCCGCCCCAGGCCTCGCAAGCCCCCAATCTCGACCCAAACTCACCGTCCTTCCTCACCGACCTTCAAACCCACTACTTCCCCAACATCTCGCACAACCCCTCCGCCCTAGACTGGCTGCAACCGCCCCCAGCCTCCACCGACAGCCCCGACGTCACCTCCGCCTACCACCCCGCCAGCGAAGCCGAGGCCGTTCACCCCGCCGACCTACGCTTCTCCCTCCTCGGCACCGTGCTCGCCCCGCGCACCGCCCTAGCACTCCCCACCTCGCTCGGCCTCCACCACCACGGCAAAGACCCCCACGCCGCAGGCTACACCGTCCCGGAGCTAGCCATCCTGGGCCGCTCCTCCTTCCCCGCCCAGCGCTGCATCGCCTGGCAAGTCCTCGGCCGCATCCTGTACCGGCTAGGCAAAGGGCAGCTCGGCGAACGCGGCACCCCGCTCGTGGAAGGTCTGTGGGGGGTGATCGAGAACGAGCGCGTCGTGCCCGCCATGCTGAACGAAGCGGACGGCTCGACGACCGGTCCGACCTCGCGCCGGGCGTCCGACCGCCGTGGGTCCTCGTCAGAGGGGCAAGTCGGCTCCGGCTTGCAAGGCGCTGTCGGACGTCATGCGAGCGCCGTCGCGTGGGCGGTTGAGGGCGTCTGGTTGTGGCAGATGGGTGGCGCTGGTGATAGGGGGGTAATCAAGGAGAATGCGGTGCGATCGCAGTGATGTTCTTTGCCTCTAATTGTTCTTAATATGTATATTTCTTTTCTCTTTTCTTTTTCTTTTTTTTTTTTTTCGTTTCCTTCTTATCACGTTTCACGTTGATTTTATGAATGTATGCAACTCTAGCGCGAACGGGCTCTATTTGACGCTATAGTTTACAACCGAACAACAGGTGACCTATTATAGCCAAACCCGAGAGGCCAATTGAAGTGATGCCAAGTGCATAGCCAAATCAGTGGGATGTGTTTGAACCTGAAATCATGGGCCCGAAGTCAAGGTAGAGGAAGGCTTCTATATTTCTCTTCTTTTTTAGAATATCGCGCAACTAGCAAGTAAAGCACAATAACCAATAAGGTCATAGAATAAGATATGTCATAGAAGTCCCCAAGCCATGTAGCAAGCCTGACGTAGGCGGGCGCTCACGAGTAAAGTACTAGGCAAGAGGGGCAAAGTGGCATCATCTGTATTGAAGTCTCATGTAAACTAGCCAGAGCAAGAACTTGGGGATCTGGCTGGTCTTGAGCGCCATGAGGCGAATCGAAGGACCGAACAAGAGCGGATGACGAGAGAAGAGGCGACAAACGGGCAGAACGGGCACGCTATGAACTGGATGATATCCTCTGCATCCCGGATCGTCGAAGATGAGTGTGATGTAATATGTTTTTGTTTTGGAGCATACATCAAGGCACATCTACGGGCATGGGCTCTGGGGCGTTTGAAATTGGGCATAGGGCCGATTAGCATGGACGGTGTTTATAAGATTGGAATCATCTATATTCTGCCAATCAATCCAAGATCAATCACAAATACCAAGTGTCTTCGATTGCTGACTAGGTAGGACAAGTCAAGCCTCGGGTCCTAGGGAACGAACTCCACTGTTAATGCTCACGGAAGTCTCCTCTGGAGAGTCAAATATTGTGAAGTAACAAGTACTTGTGTCGAAACAGTCCGCAAAATGAACGCTCAAATCGTATATCTGAAATCCGCTGAACCCTCAATGGTCTTCTTTCCCTCATCAGCCTGTTTGTTTGAATAACGGAACCAGAGAGACAACGATGCCACAATAAGCAAAATCAAAATGTTGCAACTACACATTACTGATCAGCGCCATTGTACCTCTCTCTAGCGACGGAAAAAAGAACACTCACACAATGGTTGTCCACATTCCTAACCGATACACAGGCGCGTCTTGTTCTCGGAACACCAAGCTGCTCACAATGCCACCAATACCTCCGAAGCCCACAAGGGTAGCACTAGAAAACGCACGAGGCCACTGTCCTCGTACGTTATTAGCTTGATAGGCCATGGAAGCAGGCACATTCGCGTTGGCGCCCGCTACAGCCAGAAAAACACCAACATATCTGGCAGCGTTGCTTTCTGCAAACCCCATGATTGGAAGCCCGACGATGCCAACTAAAGCATTCAAGGCCAAGATGGGACCGCGCATGCGGTATTTATCACCCACCCAGGATGTTGCAAACATCAAGATGGCAGCGAGACCAAATGGTGGTGCGACGAGGCATTGCGAGGCAGCGACGCCGTATCCCATTCCTTGTTGAAGAATGATAGGGAGAAAATAGGAGATTGCATAGGTGTTGGTGGTAATACAACTGTCACTCTGTCAATGCTATGCTCAGGAAACAAGGAAAGAAACAGTGTGGTACTCACAAGAATATCATCGCAAAGCCCCAGATTTTGAGGTCCAAGGCTGGCATTAGGAAATTTTTCATGCTGAAAGCTTCTGCATCGCCATCCGCTCGATCTCGATTGATACGTCGGATAATGAATGCACATTCCTTCTCGCTGAGAAACTTGAATGATCTGTGGGCTTTGTCGGGAAAATCGACCAGGAAAAGAATGGTCAGAACACCCACGATACCTGAGATCTTGAAATAGTTAGGCTCGTTATCAATAAGATTCGGAGAGAGCTCCACATACAACTCCTTCCATGATGAAAATCCAGCGCCAGCCTTGTATCCCCTGGATTCCGTCCATCTGGGACAAGCCATAAGCCAAGATGCCGGCCAATGCGGATGAGACGCAGCCAAACAGGTAGAAAAACGAGAACCGTTGTTGAACTTCGTCTGTTATTCTGTCAGGTACCAGTAGCTTGGTTCCATCACGATTGGTACTTACAGCGGACATACCAGCTAGACAGCAGATATACACAACCGGGGAAGTATCCTACAACCAATGTCAGCTTTCAGGCTCTCGATCTCAAACTGTGTGCAGAACAAGTATGAACTTACCAGCCTCCAAAGCGCCCAGCAGCACACGGCAAGCAGCAATATGTTTCCAGTTATTCGCGAATCCCATTCCCTATAGAGATAGTCAGAGAAACATCATATCGTCTAGCCTTTTGCCCTAGGGTCGTGAACTGACGACTAATAATGCCCCCCATGACATTATGATAGCGCCTAGGAAGATTCTTGGACCGATTTTTCGCGTGACAACAGTCATTGGAGGTTGCATGATTACATATGGAATGAAGAAAACCAGGATAATGATCGACTACATGCGATTAGTTAATGACCAACCCATAACGTAGAAGGGATCGGAGCGTGGACACGTACATATCGCTCGCCAAAGAGCTCTAGATCCTTTGTCATGCTGTTTGATGTTTGTAAATTCCGCTATTCGGCGTGTCCTGGTAGACTTTGACAACTTACCCAGCCACAGCGGCCATGCTGAGGTTTGTCCTATCAATCAATGACAGACAAAAGGCAAGTCCGCACATTGAAATTAGCCGGCGATCAATGCGATGGATGATTTTGCACTGCTCTGGGACCGAATATTCTTCGTCGCAGTCGACATGGTTGCTGGGTGGTTGGTTGGCTTGTTCGAGGTCCTCGATACTCGAAGACTTTTCAGATTTTATATTTGGTATAACCATTGTAGATATGCTTTGGTAGACCACGATGAACAAAGATCTCCGAGTTTGCTATTTCAGCGAGTGGTAGACTATTTATGTCGAAAGATGAGTATTGAGTCTAGTAAGTGGAGATGAATTTGCCTTCGTCACTTTGACACTGTGTGACTCCCGTTGGCTTTTTCAGACAGCAACTAATCCATTACGCTCACATAGCTGGAACTGCAGAACTCAAAACCATGTTCTTAACAGCCATGGCCTCGGCCATCGGTCAAATTGTCCACAGAAGTGGAGCAGGTAGGGACGCTAGATCGTCATATTGGAAATGGACATGGGTGTTTCCCCATACCCTGATCGAACGACAGTAGTGCGGGGAAAGTAAATCCGGGGAAATCATGGGAGGTAGCATGTGGCAGTTCAACTGGCCTTTGCTATTCAATTCAGCTCTCGAGGCGGTTCTAGCCCATGTCATACCTCATTTGGAGAACTTGGTAGATATACGGGGTCTCGAAGGTTCAGTTTCCCGCGGCTTTACAATTCCGGCACGAGTGCCTCAAGTGTAAGCTATACTCGAGCTATCTCAAAAGCGGCAAGCAAGATTTACGTCGTCGACTTCGGCATCTAACTCAGTTCAGACTACTGTAATGAACCACGCGGGCAGGGAAGAACCATACAATGCTGGTCGCACTTTCACCTCGAGAAATTCATCAAACGTAGCCGCTAGATTCTGTACGGAAGTTAAACATCCATATCGTTCTGAATAATCAAGGAAATTGCAATCTCTAATGACCGAGCATGAATGCTACAGTCTATCATTCCGTCGGAAGTAGAACAAATTTTGACCTGACCCTGAAGAGGACGGCCAGATATATCCACTTCGCCCGATAGGCTCCTCGGTCCAGCTTGCGAGTTGCTCCAACGTCGCTGGATCACCATGATTTGCAATGACACGCCTTCCATCAACCTTCAGTAGGCACACTATATGGCCCATCCGTGGTTGGTTCTGCCGGTCGTATTCCACGGTATATGTCTTAAGATCGAATTAGAACGCGTTTGAAGATTGCAAAACAGCGAAGGCGCATACCTCGATGACGACTTCCCCTTGTACGTCCATGGCAATAGACGGAGCCAACTGGACCGAGCGAGACAGTACCATGTCTTCGCGTGGATACGGATCGCTAGCTTTGCGGGGGTGCGTTGAGACGCAAATCGCATTTTCCGTGGTCAGGACACCTCCGTTGGCTAGAAGCAAGCCGTTGGAGGGCCCGGCATTACCATGCAGCTTTCGTAGTTGACGGACCATTTCTGCAACAGCCTGGGAGAGAATGTCAGGCTTGGTGTTACGTGGCTCAGTGGAGAAGACAGCTCTTACATGCATGGAATAATTTGCGCCTGCGCCTCCAAAAGAGGTCAACCCGCCGATGAGGGTGATTGGCTTTGGCGGATTGTCGAAGGAGATACCTAAATGACTGCATGCCAGCTTTGGAACAACTGGAAAGCACCTGTGGGATGAATAGGTTAGAATATGCAAATTATAAATGTTTCAAGAGAGGTGGTTGTGTCACCCACGAGTAGAAATCGAACAGATCGATTTGATCTTGATGCAGACCCGATGAACTCAGACACGAGTCAAGAGCAGTCGCAATCGCTGGACTGGAGTAAAAATTGGGACGGTCCCAGACTAAGAAAGGCCAAATATGCGATCAGTGGTACATCCAGTGAGGGATCTGCGCGGATGAACCTCACAGTCGTTTGAGTCCTCTGCTCTTCCTCCTCCTAAGGGATATATCCATTTCTCGCGTGGGATGCCCATTCGTTGCGCATACTCTGTGTTGGTCAAAAGACATGCACCAGCAATGTTCACATCATTGAATGCATTCATGAGCAATGGATCTTTGGGGATGAAGGTTAGCATATCATGCCGAAAAGCCCCTTTCGGGAAACTCACAAGGGTGGCAGATCATTCTATTCTTTTCAGTGATTGTGCCTATAGTATTCGCCGTGTGAGGTTGCTTTCCATAGTTCCACGCTGTCGGATGTCTGGACGCAATTTCGGCATATCGCCCGTACAAGGAAGCCGATTCCTCGAGGTTTTCAACGAGCTGCTGACCTCGCTGGGCACGCAGACCGTTCTCATACATTGCGTAGACATGCATCGGAACTCCTACTCGATGAATTTTTCCAACACCTGTGATGGGGAAGTAAGCGTTGCTAATCCTAAAGAAATTGGATGGCTCTAGTTACCATTCAACATGTCGGTATCATTGGCGTAGTAGACTTGATTGGTCTCTGGTGTCGTCCATGACGGTGGATACGAACCATCTTTGATGAACGACTTCACTGTAAAATATATGCACCGTCAGCTGTTGCAAATGTGATCCAAAAGATGTCAGTCTGTCAGGTTGAAGACAGGAACTCACATGACGCCATCGCCTCCCCTCCCACGACGATTCCAACCTCCACTTCGCCAGTTGAAATGAGCCGAGCCGTATCATCAATCAACTGCACGGATGAGCTTCCAGCTAAAGCGCTGTAGGTTGTATGGAAAGCTTCAACGCCTAATCCTTGACACACAAGGGTTGGGAGATTCTTGTACGGCCACGTCGAGCTCGCCACAACGCTCACGCTGTTGATGCTGGAGAGAAGCGTGGCCTTGTCAGAGCTGGAAGCATCCGATAGCGCTTCTCTAGCTGCAGCAAGCATCAGATGCAAGGGCTCGATAGCATCTTCTTTGCGTCTAGAAGGGTTTTTGATCTCCCCGACACCGATGATGATGGGTACTTTTGGAGACGCCATTGTTCGCATTCTGTGCAGTTCAATGAAGCTCCCCGGGAGTGAGCTTTCTATCATAAAAAGATTCAACCTGAAAATTACTCTGGTACTTCCAAAGGGGTTCTCGCCTTTTCGTTTCTTTGCTTGTAGGTCGTCACTGACCTCGGCCTGGAATTGCGACTTAAGAGTTGCCGAGTTGGACACTGGACACACTTTGCCGGCCGAGGATCGATTGCAGTCAACTTTGCCTCAACATAGCCATTCTAGGACATATCAAACATCATGCTCTGATCAACGTAGTCTACTGGTAAAGGTATGCTGGTTCGCTTTCAAGATATTCATGTCTTACTCATCGATTGTCATGGATCATGGTACGGAATCCTTGCAATACCCATGTCGCCCCGCCTGTTGAGAACATAGTATAGGCCATGGAGATTTACATATGATGGCTTCTGCCAAGTGTTCTCTCTTCCCTTTGGGCATATGTCTTGAGCTTACACCTTCGTGATCCAAGTATTGATTATATTCTATTAAAAGAACTAGACAGCCTAATGGAGACAGAGGAAGACGCATAATCGAAAGCTATGCAACAGCCGAACATTCACAGCTTAGATGACACATTCAAGTATTGTCCACCAGCTCTTAAGAGTCCAAATGCCTCGACTACCATCTCGAGGACAATTTCATTCGCAGATTGCTCTGACTTTGTAACCATGGCGGCGCCACAGCCCATAGGCCTAGAAGAGTCAGTATCGCCATCAAATGACAGGTCCTCTAACATACCTCTGAGTAGCTTGTTCTTCAATCTCGTCCGTCAACTTGCCTTCATGTGTCAGCCTGTCTAGCTCATAATCCATGACAATCTGACCATCGTTTTGCAATTTCTCAAGCTCTTCGCGCCGGCTAAGCTCCCAATCCCGGATATAGGGTGTTGCAAGAGCCCGTAGCGGACGGCCCGTCCACAGCGTGCTTCTCATCGTGTCTTCGAACCCTGCATCAATGATTCTGAGCAATGAGTTAGTTAGCACGGTCTGGAATCTACCATCAAGGAGGACTACTAACGCCTTCTTGCCAAGCTTCGAAGCAGCGGACTCACGCGCTGTCACAAATCGAGTGCCGACCCACACGGCACCAGCGCCCATGACCAACGCCCCGGCCACACCCCGACCATCAAAGATTCCACCCGCCGCCACCAAACGCACGGGCTGCTTTGTGAGAAAAGACGTGTACTGTTTACAAACGTCGATACAGGCCGGAATGAGCACGCTTGTTGGAATTTCACCCGTGTGGCCGCCTGCTTCTCCGCCCTGGGCGCAAATAAGATCTGCTCCAGCCTGGCAGGCCTTGTGGACATGCTGTATTGATCGTCAGAAATTTGTCGCGCAGAGGCAATATGGAAGCAGCTTACCTTGGGATGGCCGACCATGTTCTGTTTTTCCAGGGGATCAATAGATTAGGTTCCTGCACTATATAGTAGTGGGTATATCACTTGAGCTTACCATGTACAAGATTCCCGCAGCGTGCAGCCGATCTACCACACGTTTGGGGGGAACTCCCACAGCAGAGACAAACAAAGTCGCCTTTTCTTCGATGATGACCTCGATCAAGTCGTCCAGAAGGCCCTTGGTGTAGTCGACGTTGGTCTTGCGGGCTGTGCCTCCCAGCTGCGGAAGCAAGAGGTCAACACCAAAGGGAAGACCTGGCCGACGAAGCTTCTGCTTTACTTCACGAATTGAATCGCGTAGCATTTGGGGCGTGTATCCCAAACCACCAAGGACTCCCAGCCCTCCTGCATTCGAAACTGCAGCAACCAGATCAGACCCGGCTGTATGACCCATCCCCGCCAGGAGGATAGGGTGCTCGATGCGAAGGAGTTCCGTGATGGGGGTGGTAATTAGCGCCATTGTGTCTTTCGTATGGTTTGATTCAAATTGAAATTAATCAGGTGCAAGACGGCATTATCTGTTATATTTTAATGTACTTCGGATGGTCCTCGGCAGTAGGCAATATGGAGTTTTGCGCGAGTTGGGACATTTGGGACATTTTGGACAGGAGACTGTCCAGCCTCGGTTTCTGGAACACCGAGGACTTTCCAAAACTACATTGCTATAATCTCCACCTTGATTTCCGAATGTTGATATTGTGGGTTGGGTTTTATTTGCGCCATTTGACAATTATCATTCTTAGGATTTTGGTTGCCTTGAACCTAGCTTCTGTCAATTTACACTATCTATTCATCTATCAAATCACGACGTGAGAACTCTCCCAAAGGTTTTCTAATCACATCGCCTTCGCTTTCTAGGTGGTGTTTGGGATGGTCTCCTGCCTGACTGGTTTATTGACGAGAGCAGTTCCCACAGGTCAGCGCAGGTAGCATCCTCGACTACTACCGTCAAACGGCGAGCGATTTCAGAGGCTTCCTTCAGCTTTCGGATGACATTCCAGCACCTATGAAGCGAGCGAGAGCTCCTGGTCTTCTCGTTTTGCACACCATTCTGCAACATCTGTCTGTGAAAGGTCACAGACAACACCAACAAGAGTGATGCTAAACACGGCAACTGCTCGGATAAGTCTAAGCTATCAATCTCATCGAAAAGATCCGTCATATCCATCAAACATTGCTCGGCGGCCTTTGAATGCGAAGACATTACGGAGTCTACGAAAGCATCTCCCAGCGATTGCGATTCCTCGCAGTGCACGGCGTAGGTTGACCCAAGATAGAGCAATCGAAGCCATGCTTGATGCAGGTAAATACTCCTTGCACATTCAGTCGGTACCAAGTCAGGCGGACAGTGAGGGATCGTCCCGTGTGGAAGCTGGAACAGCCATCGGCGAAGTTCCTCTGATTCGTCCGGAGTCGGGGCGGTTTCCAGACATATTTCCATCTCTGGGTTGCATCTTCCGTTCACCAGTCCTTTAAATCGGCTGGAGATGATCGAGAAACGTGACAACCGACAAAGCCTTGTTTTTTGGATAAATACCAAAGCCTGCGTCTTTTGGTACTCTATATTGTATAGGAGCTCGCAGTCATCCACGACTGCCCGAGCCTCGGGAGAAAGCACGCAGAACTCAAAGTCATTCAACGTGATGATCGGCATTTCGAACCGGAGCCCCTTCCCATGCTCCTTCTGCATGCTAACCATGGATGGCAAGTTACCAGCGGTCAGCTGAACATGGTTGTGCACACCCCACCAAGTACGTCTCCATACCCTGCTATCCGACAATGAAACTGTAGAGTCGGGGTTCTTGTGCAGCCCGATGGAGATTGCCAACGAAAACCCCTTGCCAATCCAATGAATGGCGTCTCCTTCGGTGGTGGGGAGATCATTCCAATGGGTCAATAGGAGCAGCCCTTGAACAGTCGCAAGGGCATCGTCCTCGCAATTCAGGTCCAGAAGCGCCTATGGGAGCTGTCAGTCACCGCTCTTCGGGTTCATTGGTGGGAGTCTCACCTTTACACGCTGAAACAGGACATAGCGAGCCTCCGTCCGTGATTTGTATCCTTCGTTTTGGATATGCGAGATGTCCACAAAGGCCGAGGCAGCAAACATGACCGCGTGGAACAAAAGCAGACTTAGGCGGTTTTTGCCATCATTATCGGCAATTGCGCGCAGAAACCTCTCGAGATCTAGTATCGGCAATTGAGGGTGAACCCATAATATGTAGCTTTTGAGTAGTTGTTTTCGAAAGGGGTCAGGAGGAAGACACAGAGCCCCTTTGCTCTCGAGGGAATCTAGGTCCCTTATATCTAGATGCTTCGGGATCTCGGACACAAAGCGAGGAAAATTGACCGTCGCTGGCGGATCGAGTGGTTTAGGGCCGAGAAATTGATGGATGATGGAAACATAATTTTCCAGAGGGTCGGCCGCGGTGACCGGTGCCGTGAACGGTACCGTGAAGCGGACCGGACAGGATGCCTGTTCCTGCTCTACTCGACGGATTTGCGATTCAAACAGCGCTTCTGCACCAACCTCGTCCGTTAGGCCCGAACTAGAGAGACACGGGGCGGATCTGCTCACCGTCACAATACACTCTCGGAGGAATCCGCTTCTTGACTTGGAGCCTGGTACGTGTCAGCGCGTTCACCAGAGGTAGATTACAATAATACGTACTCTTGGCTCGCAAGTCCATCGCAACGGACCTTCGAGCGCCGGCAATTAGAGCAAGGGATGCCGCGTACACCAATGTAACACCGCTCACGCTGTTTGACACAGTGTGAACAGGCACCAGACTCAATGGTCCTGGTACGTTTTGGAACGTGATTCATCTTTTTCCCACAGTACAGAATAATCTTGGGAAAATGTGACACGAGCAAGGAATTGCGGGGAAGCGAAAGAGGAACGACGGGTGCCAGTGGGGGTGGGGGGAAGGGGCCCACAACCAAGTCTCCGGCCGGGTGGGGTTCAATCAATGAGGCAGGACGGTCAACAGGCTCAGCGTAGTAATTTCGCCCTAAACTCATATTCCTCGGGTTTACAATCCCGGCGGGTATGGAATTTTGGGACCCTGGAGAACCAGATGAGCCTCGACCTGGAGCTTTAGGGATCTAATCCCCAGCCACTAGGCCCAGCATTGTCTGGCTATCTTTGCCTCCTACTCACTCCTTGCCAATCTTTCGTGGATTGTCTACCTCCGGATATCATCATATCCTGCAACGTCCGACCGCGATCTTCCCTATCCCAGTATAGCGTACTCGTGTACAAGTCATGGTGAAATGCAGGGTGCAACCGCGAGCCAGGCAGGGGCAACGGAAAAGGTCCAGAATAGCATGTTCCGGCTGTCACCACCGAAAGATAAGGTGTGATGTGACTACTCGAGGATCACCTTGTACCTCATGTCACTTTTACGACGTCCCTTGCTTGATCCCGCTTGATAGAAGGGAGAAGTCGGCGAGGCTAATAAAGCAAGCTGCTTTGGTGGACGATCCGGGGGACGTGAGGGAAGACAGTCATGATCTGGATGCAAATCCTTCAATGGAGATGGGAGGTAAGGAGGCATAGATAGCTACTTGATCCAAGCTCCTCAATAGCTGCGAAAGAAAAGACAGCTAAGGATATCATCAGATCAACCCCCCGAGTATTGGATTCGATTAGCTGCCAGAAATTCTGAAACTTTGGACGACACACCATCATTGGGGGGACAATCGACGAATCAGTGCAAATGGCTACCAGAATATGCGAGTCCCCTATCGCGATCTATTTCCTCGGACGACTACAAGATCCTGCAAAAAGAGGGCGTTTTCGATGTTCCCGATGAAAAGACTCGAACCGAACTTCTCAGGAGCTATGTGCAATTTGTGCATCCGGTATTACCAGTCTTGAATCTCGAAGATTTCTTCATACACATTGACCAGAGCTATCCTGGTAGCCGTGGGGTTAGCTTTCTGCTTTTCCAGGCAGTCATGTTTGCTGCCACTGCATTCCAAACAGCCGAGTCGCTCGCCCTGGATGGGTTCAGAGATCGCCGGGAAGCCCGCAAGACCCGGTTCCAACGACTCAAAATGCTCTACTCTTTTGGTGGCGAAGATGACCGTATGTGTGTCTTGCAAGCAGTTCTTCTCATGACATACTGGGACGATGACTCCGATGACGATGCCTGGCGTTTCGTTGGTGTGGCCAAGGCAATCTCACAATCAATTGACGCAAACCCGACGGCTGCCGAGCTCGACATTATCAAGTACCAACGGGGACTTTGGAATCGCATATCTTGGTCGTGTTACATCAGAGATCGACTTATTGCCCTTCGAACAAGACGTCCATTTCAAATCGAGGAGACCAGTTACACAAAGCCTATGCTAGGGCTATCAGACTTTGAAACGGGCCCGTTATCGACAAAATGTTTTCTCGGTAGCGATGGCTCCCACCCGGCTATCCGGGATCCTTCCACGCGAACGCTTCTCTCGCAAGCTACTATCGCCTTGGCGCAATACTGTAAATGTATCACGCGTATCCTTGAGTGCCAGTACACCGTCTGTGGAGAAGAACAAGGGCTGGAAAATGAATCTCCGAAGTCCTTGATTCCGAGGCGTCCGGCTGCGACAAGTGCTGAAGTTTTGCTTTGGGACAGCGAGCTTGAAGAATGGCGTAATTCGCTTCCACAACCTCTGATATTGTTGCCATCCGGCCCTCTTGGAAAGATCAAACGACATAGCGAAGTAATACTCCATTTTCGGACTTTACTGAATGGAATATACAATCTCGCGTCGAGCACCTTGCATCGGCCTCAGCTTGATGTAACGTGTTCTGCGCTTCCTGAGTTGGTCGAATTGTCAAAGTGCCGGGTTCATTACGCGGCCTCTGCAATAACGGAGGCATACACCGTTTCCAAAAAAGTCGGCCCCGACTGCATGCTTTCAGATGTCCACGTTAGCATGCTTGAGGTGGCTATCATCACTCATTTCGCAGAGCTCGAGTCTACAAGCTCGCCAGCCCGTCAGCTATCCATTGAAAACTTTCAATGCTGTGCACAAGCTCTACGACAGCTTGGAGATACGTATCCGTCGGCAGATATCGCCCTTACTTTCCTAGAAGCCGCTGTCCGCAAGCGTACATCTCCAATCCAAAATCATCCCATCGGAGACCATGCCGATGACAACTTGTCTCCAATATCAAACGACCCCATGCCTGATTTCGGGTATACCGAGACCCCAGAAACACCTTCACCACCAACCCTTGCACAGCAAATTGAAAGATTGAACCCGCCACAGATGAGTAATCTGCTTTGTTCACACTTCATGATGACCACGTCGGAAAAGAGCTTGTTGCAGGGGCTTGTCAACATAAGCGATCACGACCAGGATCGCCCCTCTAGGGATTACGATGAGATCAGCTCTGGTAGTTCAACGCCATCCCAGACGCAAACTTCACCCACAGAGAGCCTCTCATACCCACATATCGCATACGGTAACCTTTCTGTGCAAGAATTCAATAGTGGGCATGAAACACTGAACTGGCAAGATGTTTCTGAGCTCTTTCCCACATCGCCGTCTGTGCCAGATGATAGCCTAAATCCGTGGATGCACAGAGATGGAGGGACGGATGACTGGAATGTTTTCCAAATGTTTACTCAGTGTATGGAATAATTGTACATTTCATTCTAGATGCCTTATGATAGACCAAGATTATACATAAACAAACTTCCGGAGTACCCTTCCCCGTGAGATGTAGTATATTATTGTAATTTGATATAAGTGATAAGATAGCAATGATCAATTTGACTCTATAATAATAAAAATCACACTAAATTATAAAAAAATGCATGTCAGTTTAGTGTCTAAATCTAGGCACCAAATCTGCAACGAGTTGTTTCCTACCCGCCCTGAACCCGCACCGAACCGCACCGAATGCAACTGTAAGCTTAACTTCTTACAGGTCTGTTCTACATCTTATCAGGATATCTTTAAGCCCCGAAAGATTCAGGATAGCTTTGCTGCTGCTGGGATATGCCTATTAAATACTTAACAAGTCCTCAAGAAGCTGTATATTATTATAACATTATTTCCTCCTGGAAGCCACGGCGGAGCTTTAACTATATCTTTCATATTTATAACTTCTTATAAAGTTTATTAAGTTCAGAAACAGGTTTTATCTGTTAAAAAAGATATTTGAAAAAGACTCTTAAAGTCCTTGTTTATTTATAAAAAGAGTATTATAATAGATAAGAAAGGGCTATAAGATAATTACATATAATACTATCTTTCTAGTCAAGGAAAATCATCAACTCTGTGCTAAAAATAATAGGGATAAGTAAAAAGAACTTGATTATATTATAAAATAACTCTAAATAAAGATATTTCCGTGCAGGAGGCTAGGGATCTAATACTCTAGTAGAATCAGCCAGAAATCTCTATAGAAGAGGGTATAGAAGATTCTCTATCTCTATCTTCAAGCATGCCAAGACACGCCCTATTAACAGGTTCTCATTATAATATTCAGGGGCATACTAGAGTCAGGTGTCCTACATGTTGCACTTAATTAGCTTCAATAAAAAACATTTGTTTGGGTGATTGGGAATAACTTCAAGTTCTTTAAGCATGCTCGTTTTTGAAGAGGTGGCCAATTCAGGGGGGGGGGGCGCCAATTCGGTGGGGGAATCACGTTAGCTATCCTCAAGGGATGGGATGGTCCGCGGTGTGAGAAGTAACAAGCGATTCCGTAAGCGATTCCCATGATGATTGACCAGGAAGAGGAAGTTGGCCCGTGAAAGAAGCATTCTTCTCCAAATCGCCCTCCGGCCTGATGTCAAACCCATCGAGCATTCCACCGCCTGTGTATCCAGCGGACCATGAATGGGAAGATCCAACATCTGCCCCAAATAGAAGTGATGGAACCTGAGCCAGCGACATCATGGAAGTAGGCTGACCAATCATGTCAATACCTATATCAATCGCAGATGTGCCCAGGTCTCGTCGCAGAAGATCCGACTTGATAGAAGTGATGACCTCCAAAGCCCGAAGGGCATTTTTGTACGCTTGACCGATCTCGCCAAGGGCCTGGGAGCAAATCTCGAGTTGTCTGCGCGCTGTATCCCGGACTTGGTAGTCGGGGGACAGAAAGGCGCTGTGGACATGGACTAGCATCGTTGTAAATATCGAATGGACAGCTTGGATGTTGACGCGCCGGAGTGAGAAGTGGCGACGTGTCGCCTGGACAAGCTTTGTGATGGACCATGCTGCGTCGTGGCAGCATTCACGACTGCTTTGGATTTCCTGGCCAGTCAGACCGTCTCGTCCGACGGATTGGAACGCAAACGGTTGGTCGACAATGATCCGGACTGCATGGAATTGCATACTTTCGCCGTATCAGTATCTATTTGTACCTCTGGGGAAGGGGTCGTTCGGTACGTACTGCAGTTGCATAACGTGGGGGAGATGCTTTTGTTCAAGGTCCATCATATCCACGACGAGCGGCTCGGATAACGAGGATAGCCAAACAGCAAGGTCGTTTCTTGCCTTGACTGCAAAAATGTATAACTTTTTCATATCAAGCGGCTTCCCTCTCGGTGTGCAATACCTACTACTAGTCAGCGGAGCTCAAGGCGTCGGATCTTTCTTACACTTACAAGATCTTCCGTATGGAAGCCATCTTGTTACATAAGACAATTGTTGCTTGAGCAACATCATTCAGCCTAGCAGGTACCTCCCAAGCAGTACCTTGTTGGTCTTCATCAATGTATGGGCGCCAAGTCTTGTTCGCCTCTGAGCACGAGTCACTCGGAAAGGGCAACTGAACGGTGATATCCAAGTGGTCAATAGACTCAGGGCGACCAACATATAGGCTCCACATTCTGATAATATAGTGAGCATTGCGAACTTATAACACTGAATTCGGGGACTCACCGCTCATGAATATAAGTACCCCAAAATGTGGAACTACGGAGTCGAAGTTCGTCCACGTCCATCAAGCCACGTTCGGCGAAGGGGGTAGCGTCAATGTGCAAACCAAGATCTGTAGCAAGGCGCATGGCCATTCCTTCGCAAAGTGATTATGAGTAAAAATTTCCATCACAGTACTTGCTTTTCCCGTGCTTACCGCTGTATAACCAGCCACGAGCATCCCTAGTGAGAAGGGCCTCTACGCCACTCAAAATGCCAAGGGATTGCACAGTACTCAATGTCGGTGAATCCATTTCGACCTCCAGAAGAGCTTTGGATCTTGTTGCAAAGAAGTCGACGAGGGCTTCTGGTAAGTCAGAGCAGTAACGAGAGGTCAAAGCAGCCCCTACAGCACATCTATTGTTGTTCTAGTCAATGCAAGCTCATGATAAAAAAAAGAAAAGAAAAAAAGAAAAAAAGAAAAAAGTCTTCTAGGGCGACAAGCGCAAATGATACCCAAGGATCTACTTACATCGCATTATTCAAAACCTCCGAGTACCGATGACTAGGTTGATTGAGTCTCCGGTAGCGGTCTTTCTCTTGGTAGTATGTTGCCTCGTCAACCAAAGGGATATTGGGGTTCTCCCAGGTAAAGTAGAGATTCGTGAGATGATCTTCCAATTCCCCTTCTACATCATGTCCCACACCAGCTGCCTTCAAAATGAGAGCTTCGTTCCAATGGACGGACCGAATGTTTGAGTTGAAGAGTGGGAAAGGGCCGACATGGGAGATATGTAGATTTGACGTTGGCCCGAAAAAACGTAGCTGACCATCTTCTGCGATCTGCAATGAGCCCATCCGGTCGGACAGAGGGCTCATGTATGAAGATTCTCCGGATATGGACAGTTGATCGTGTGTTTCTGGGGTACTTTGGTTTGATACAATCGATATCCCGTGCTCGACTGTAGTTGCTGTCTGGTCGTCTGCATTCTGCGTCGGGGCATTCAACATAGGCTCTGCATCATCCACTGGTGAAGACGTGGAGACTGCAGGCAGAAAGTGTTTTGGTCTGCTAGGCGGAAGGGGGATTTGATGACGAAGGAGCAGAGACTCGAGATCTTGCACGTAGGCTACCAGTAAGGAAATCCTCCCCTTTGACGCCATCCTCCGTCTGTCTATCTCTTGCGAGAACGTGCATTCCTGCTTGTAGAGGGAGCACGTTGCACATTGTGGTTTCACTCCATCGCATTTGGTTTTGCGCCTTTGGCAACCAATACACGCGCGGGTCACATGTTTAATTGCTCGTGATCTCGGCTCTGGGCCGGTTTCATTTGGAGACGTACCAGCCATGGCAGGCTGATGCTTAATAGGTCAACAAAGTTGAATCGAACTTGTGCGTGAGGAATATAGCGAGTGTCGAGATCCCTCGGGGGAATGTGCGGGGGACAATGCGGGGATGGCGCTCGGCTATTCAGAGCGAACATTTGGCGCAGCTTTTGGAACAAGTGGCGATTCTTACACGGATTCACTAATCTTCGATATATCAGGTCGAACAAAATTGAGATCAAGCTAACTTATGAGACCCCCCAATAGTTACAGTCTTGATCTCAATGCCTCCGAATGGCGTCTCAGCCGCGCTGATCAAGCCGGTGTTAACACCAACCATACCACACTCTAAGCGCCATTCAAGATATACCCCAAGGTGTCGAAGTAAAGTTGGTTTGGCCTGATCAGGAAACCGGAGATACACCCGTGGACAGCGTAAGGGACCGAGTCTACTGTCTACATGTATCGCTAATCCTAGACCATTTTTCATTCACTCTAAATAAAAAGAAGCAATAGGTAACACTTCGGCAGTATCCTAAAGATGCGATGCACCACGCTTTGGCACAAATAGAGCTCTCCCATTACTCAAGACCACTTTCCCATCTTGGTTACTCGTGGTAAAACGAACTTCCTCCAATCCCTCAGTGATTCCCATGCGCCAGATAGTCGTAACCAGCTTGTCACCGGGCCTGACAGGCGAGGCAAATCGCGCTTGAAATTTTTTGAGACGGGTCGCATCCCCGTTGTTGATCTTTTCCAAGACACCATAGCATGTGGAACTATAAGTGAAGATGCCATGGAGGATAACACCGCCGAGGCCCATCCTCAATCCCACCTCGGGAACCGCATGAAGCGGGTTGTAGTCACCATTGAGGCTGGACAATGTCAGCGACCTATAGTTCAATCTTTTTTTCAAAGAGGGTATGGCTCACCGGTAGAGCATGGGCGTGTTATTTGTTGTCTGCAATTCATAGACTGCATCTGGGGCTCGCTTAGGCTGGGGATATGCCGGCGAAGTTGGTCCTAAGACGTGTTTGTACACAAGTTAGTAAGCCCTAATACAAGACCTGCAAGATCCTTTCTTCCATTCTGATGCCCTTACCTCGTGGGCCACCCCAATTGCCTTGTTTCGAAAGGAAACTCGAAGTCCGCGTGGTGGTATACACCTCCCCTGTCGTCACGTCGACAATTTTTTGTTCTGTCTCTAGAACACTACCCGCAGAGCCCTTGTCGTAAATCCCGATGACTCTGTTTCGGAGTTCCAAGTGGAATCCAGCACTCGCCGTAGGGAGAGGCTTGTGGATCGTGAGTTCCCGCTGTCCATCAACCGCATACCGGAAGTCTAGATCAGGAGCTCCAGGTATGGTGTTTGTAGCATTACGACCATAGAATTCGATAACCTCCTGATCGGCAAGTTTGAATGCTATAGATGCGACATGGTTAGTTCGTTGTCTTACCTGTTTAGGGGTACAAGCTTTGTTACGCACGCAAGATCAAAGGAAAAGTCGGAAACACTGCAAACTCCGGGTGTAGTTCCTGTTCGAGAATTACGGTCAGATATTCTGTACCTTGAAACCGATAGTCAGAACTGATGAGCTAACATATAGAAAGTGGAGTCGTTCGGCGGAGACGCCGATACTGTTGGCGAACAGCAGCACATCGCGACGGAACCAAGCAACGTCCTGTGGAGGATATTGGTGTTGAATAGGCATGTTTGCGGAATTGATCTTTCAAGCAAGCATGGTCTGGTTCCACGCTTCTTGTCGTCTTTTTCTATGCAGTCCGGAATTGTTCCATCGGCCAGGACCTACGCTAGCGTGGACAGATTTCTGGACAACAAACCCAGCCTAGGGCCTCCTGCCAACCTCGGAACCGAGGGGATGTCCAAAGCTCATACTGTGGCCAAGGAATTGTAGATCCTTCTGTAAAATTGGAGATACTTTCCGTTGGACGATTGCTTATATTTGACCGGTACGATGTTCGCTGTATGAAACTGGTTGGATGGGCAGCCACAATACAGAATATTGAGATCCAGTTTTCTCTGTACCCCCACCATGCATCATTATCTTCCTGAAATCGACTGTGATATTCCTTCCTTGGATTTGCTGACTCTGGTGTTTGGTAAGTTGTCTTGACTCTACACCCCGCATGTGAGCGACTTGGCTGATTGAAATAGAGTCGCAGCATTCATGGGCTAGGGAAGACACAGTCATCCACGCAGAGGCAGGAAATGAGGCGAACAAACTCACCAAGCGTGAGGTTAGAAACCTAGTTCGCCGACTGGCTTTCGTCCTGAGAAATGAGCTAGGCATCGGCACATCAGGCGCAGGCAAGGATGTGGTCACAGCAGTTTGCTCGAACCATATTTTAACACCAGCTTTCTTCTATGGTATCATTGGAAGTGGAGGAATCTACTCTGCTGCATCCACTGCCTTGACGGTGATGGAGTTGTCCCGCCAGATCCAGCAAAGCAAGAGCCGCTTGGTCATTGCCACTGAAGACATGGCTCCCATTGCTATTGAAGCGGCGCAGATAGCTCATGTTTCTCCGGAAAGGGTATTGATTCTTGGATCAATGCCCGAGCAGACCTTGAGTCCAGTTGTTGATCGCATGCGGAACTATTTACAAGAAACGAGAGAGCTCGACTGGGAGAGAGTCACCGATGACGATGTTCTCACGACTCGAGTGGTGGCCCTCTTATTTTCAAGCGGGACCACAGGCGTACCAAAAGGTGTCCGTCTCTCACACAAGAATTTCGTCTCCGAGGCCCTGATCACTCAGACCGCTATTGGGACATACCTTCAACGCACTGGGCGACAACTTCATGTCGACTTCGAATATCGCACAATCGCCCACCTGCCTTCCTGTCATATTTCGGGGCTCCAGGGCTATATCATCAACGGCACCATGACGGGGGGGACAGTATTCTGGATGTCCAAATTTGTTTTCGAGGATTTCGTACAGGCAGTGAGGATGCATCGGCCCACTTTCATCTCCACAGTCCCGTCAATTTACTTGCACATTGCGAAGAGCCCCTCAGTTACAACCGAGTTCCACAGCCTCGAGCACGCTCAGGCAGGCGCTGCCCCCATGGGTCCGGAGCTTCAAAAGCTGGCTGAGACAAAGCTCAAGTGCAAGCTCAGTCAAGCATGGGGACTCACGGAAACAACAGGGGCGGTCACTTGGCTGCCTTGGGATCGTGAGGATAGCACTGCCAGCATCAGCCAGCTTTTACCGAACACGCGGCTAAAGATCGTTGACGATGAAGAGAACACTGTTCCGGATGGCCAGGCGGGTGAAATTCTTGTGTGCGGCCCCAACGTCACTCTCGGATATTGGGAGAACCCTGAAGCCACGGCGGAAGCATTCACTTCTGATGGGTGGTTCCGAACTGGAGATATTGGTGCTCGCAAAGATGGGAAATTCTACATCGTCGATCGCAAAAAGGTCAGTTCTTCGACAGTGATATGAACGTCAGTGAGCTAATTTGTCATAGGAGTTGATCAAATACAAGGGACTCCAAGTGGCTCCAGCAGAAATCGAAGCGGTTCTCATTGCTCATGATCAGATCCGTGATGCTGGAGTGATTGGGATACCTGATCCTCGGATTCCAGGTAATGAGATCCCGCGTGGGTTCGTGGTTCGCAAGCCAGGACACTACCTCAGCGAACATGAGATTAAGGAGCATGTTCGGAATCAGTTAGCTGGACACAAGCAACTGCGTGGCGGTGTCAGATTCGTCGACCAGATTCCCCGCAATCTGTCAGGCAAGATCCTCCGCCGTAAGTTGGCAGAGGCTGAAGAGCCAGGGCGGCCAAAACTGTAAGGGAGACCCAGACTTGATAGTAGGGATGATCAAGTCGTATACCAGTTGATAATGCAAGTTCACTGAAGAATAATTCATGGAGAATTGTTGTATTTGATTCACGCGCAGTCAATAAAAGAAAGAAACAAAATATTTATCTGGGAAGAAGTACTGTTAAACAAATAGGAAGTTGTCGCCTCAGGGGGTCTACCGTGGATACCACCTACTGATGAGAATGAGGGCGTTCGCATCATGCTTTATTCCATTTATTTTAACGATCAAATGGCTTTGTTCCGAGGACTCTTTCCATATACTCACCATGGACGTCAAAACTATAAGAAATCCACTTGAATGGTAACAGAACTTTAGCAAAGTGTAGCAATGGAGGGTCTACCTGGGGTGAGAAAATGCGGGACACCACAGCATGGCGATAGTTGAATCAACGTCAAATTATATTGAGGGTCTTCGATGCCCGCGACGGAAACAGAATGAAATCACTTGTGATAAGCAGAATCGCCCAAAGCCAACAAGTCCAATAAGCTAAACATGTACACTGAGACCCCCTCAGAAAGAATATGCCAGTTTCTTGAACATGCCTGGTCCTTGCACGTGCAGGTTTTGCCCCTGATGATACATCAGGCCGATGAGAGTCACCAATAAGAGGTGATACGTCTTTACCTTGGTGCTTCGAATCCATCGCCACACAGTATTGAGGAACCAGAGTCTAGATCCTCGCTCTTTCTTGAAAACGCCAAAGTGAGGTAGAAGGCTCTCTTTCCAATAGGTTGACGCATAGCCTGGCCACGATGCCGAGTTTCGTCCCGATGAATTTATATACCAGTTCGAACATCCCGCTTCGAAGACACTACCTTTGAGCTCAAGTTGTAGGCTATTTACCCACTGGTCTTCCGCGGTGCGTTTGACTTCGAGCGAGGATATCCGGCGATCAATGACTGGTGCAAACAACGTGCGTGCGAGGTATTCTACTTGAACCTCGGACGCGAAGAGCACGGAGTTGTGCGCTGGGAAGGTGTTTGGGCCAAACCTATAGTGGCTATATTAGCAAGAAAAGACCAAGTATCGAGCTGGAATCTGCGAATGCGAAACATACAGAATTCCAAAGTTTGGGAAGTTGTGTACAAAAACCCCCATGTACGCCTGTGCACCCCGGGACTCTTTCCACTGCTCTGACAGGCTCTTCCCATCATTCCCGTATACTTCCATGGGAACTACGAACTTCTGCACATCAAAGCCCGTTGCCAGCACGATCGCGTCGAACTGAGACCGGACACCATCTGTACCGGTGATGCCCGTTTCGTCAATATGATCGATCCCCACGGGGGCCAACTCGACATTGCTGCGGTGGAGGCTCTCCAGGTAATTGGGGTCAAAGATACGTCGCTTGCATCCTTGTTTTCAGTGACATCGTTAGTGTCCATCGCGAACTCGAAATTGGAACCCTGCATAGAACGAACCTAGGGGAAAGTCGGGAACAAGGAATTTATGATATTTCTTGGGCGCAGTCTGGTGGATGTACTCGCGCGCGCCGCTTTCAGCCTTCGCGCGCACTTTTGCAGCTGCCGGGCCTGGCAAGTATGTTGCCACGAGGCTATCGCTGGCAAGGAAAATACGGAGGCGAAGGTAACGCTCCCAGAGAGGAATATTGCGAAGACACCATTTTTCGAAAGCCGTGAAATCACGGTTCGGTCTCTCATGGTACCACTGTGCACTTCTGGCATACTGCTTTACGAGACCAGCATCCTTTGCGAGGGCAGGAACCACCTGGGCTGCGCTGCATCCGTTTCCGATCACCGCTAGACGTTTTCCATGGTAATCAAACTGGTGATTCCATCGTGCCGTGTGGAAGATCTCGCCGTTGAACTTTTCCATTCCAGGAAACTTGATATCTCGGGGTTTGGAAATTCCACCGACGGCAGAAATGAAAACGGTTGCTGTTCGGGTGTATTCAACCTGTGTCTTCGTATCTAGCAGGCGAACCTCCCAAAATCCTTGACTATTCCATGTTGCAGAAATACATTCAACGCCGAATTGCATGTGTTTGCGCAGGTGGAATTTATCCACTGTGTCTTCCATATCTGCATGGTACATGATGTGTTAGTGCGCTTGCTCAAATCGGTGTGTTCAATGTGCCTTAACCCACATTGCAGGATCTCGGGGCCCTCGCATAACTCCTTTGACCAATTTGGGTTTGGGTTGAAAGAGAAGGAATATAGACGTGTAGGTACATCACAGCCCCTATACACCCAGTTAACATGAGCCCAGGCACTTTGGAACCAACGATCACGCTTACACTCCTGGATATGTGTTCATGCGCCAGGTACCACCTGGTCCGTCCAGTTTGTCGTAGAGCTACATGGTAAGGTTGTCAATCATAGCTCTTCAACTTCCAAGCAATCATCGTTCCATCTGACAGTGACTTACTGTGAAATCAGCAAACCCCAGTTTGTGTTTCAAGGTGTGGCCGAGGGCAATGCCCGAGGGTCCAGCCCCAATAATGATAACCTCTGGACCGGTCATTATGGGATAACACAAAAGATATGCTATTGTTTCTGAAATGAGAATCTTGGTGAGTGAGGCAAAGGTTATAAGTAACCCATCATTCATCCAGACATTTGTCCATGGCCCGAACAGGGGTCGTATGAGCCGAGAGCCGACATAACAGCAGTTGGTTGAAGACAGGTGGATTTAATTCCACGGAGATGATTATGTCCAAATTTCATTCCCAGAGCCCAGAGTCTTGGCTGAAGGCAGGGGGGAAGAGACAAGAATACCTTGTTGGTATAGTGATCGTCTCTCTGACCTGAAAGCCGCGGGATTGTAAACCCGCCCTAGATGAAGGGTCTCCACGCAGGACTATTGTCAGGTAGACCAAGGATTCCCTACGCTAGTCTAGATCAACCCTAAGTGCAAGAGACAAGCAAAAGATAGCTCAAAAGACAGGCAAAAAGACAAGCCCAGAGATCATTCAAATGGTGTCAATTCTACAGGATAGGTTACAATATTGCGTGAGCCATCAAAAGTTCCAGGGTTATCTACGCAACAGAACTTTCGTATGCCCGATCGTGATGAGTTGAAGTGGATTCGCAACAAATTGGGCAACTAAAACCTCGGACAGTCTGGTGAGTTCATGTGGATCGAGACTGCTAACCCCCCTCAGCCAATTCCTCTGACAATCAGATGTATGCCAGCCAACGATACGGCTGCTTTAGTTCAATTATATTGCCCAATGCTCCCTCGACCTGGGAAGTCCGTACTCCTCGCCATCTTCTCCTGTCTCTCTAGATCTCGTAATGTCTCATTGCACTGGCTCCGAACAACATCTAAAGCATCCGAGCCAAGTACTATACGCAGCGGAGCCTCTCGCTCAGCGAAATAGCCTCTGTGACACACCACATCCAAAATCCGTTCAACCGCCTGTGCCGGGTCACCTGGTTGCGAGCCATCAGCCCGCTCAAGCCTGTTTTGGTAGGCCTCGATAAGAGCATCATACTCCGTAATTGGATTGGAGACCCGCTCTGGCTTTTGTCTTTTAGCGAGTATCTCAGTCCTGAACTGGCCCAATACAGCAAGATGCACGTTGACCCCGAATGGTGCAACTTCTTTTTGAAGACTTTCCACAGCGCCTGATCAATATCCGGGTAAGTCAGTTATAGGTACATTAAAAGCAGGACTGAAAAGGGGTTCCGTACCTTCCAGAGCATACTTTGAGGCACTGTATGGTCCACCCACAGCAACACCCACCCACGCAGCTATGCTGCTCATAAAAACGAGATTCCCAGTTCTCCGGGATCGCAGATGTGGAAGCAATGCGCGGGTGAGATTGATAGACCCAAAGAAATTTGTATTGAATTGTGCAATCAATTGGGATGGACTAGATATTAACAAGAGTAGAACGTTAGCTGGGAACAGAAGGCAAAGCCATCGGGAGTAAGACCAACCTCAACTCTTCCCACACGCCCGACAATACGTAACCCGCATTGTTGACCAAGACGTCGATCTGACCGAGTATCGTAATTGCCCTGGTGATCTTCTCATACAAGATATTCTGGGATGCAGTGATGTCCAGTTGTAATAGGTGGACATTGTCCGAAGGCGCAAATTCCGATAATGAATCAATGTTTCTCGCAGTGGCGATGACTCTGTCACCGCGGGCGAGAATCGCGGAAATGAACAATCTGCCAAAACCAGAGCTGCAGCCGGTGATCAGCCAGACGCGTGATGAAGTCTTTTGGTCCAGGGTCATTGCGAAGGAAAAGAATGATGCCGTACAACACTGCCGTTTAGGGGGACAACAGCATATGATGTCAATTCGACTGTGAAGATAGAAGAACCCTCTACATTCATTATATCAAATGATCTTGCTTCTCTACTGGTATTTACTCCAGCCCAGAGAAAGGATATACAATCAAGTCTTGGCCGATGGTCCGAGAGCTGTCCATATTGTCCAGGACAAATGTGCCGAGGCAGACTTTGGCCGCGATTTGAACCAATGTCTTTTCTGTTGGCACAACTGTACGTATATTTTTTAAGTACTGACCAGGGTTGGTATATTCATTATCTGTCTGCTTTTAAAAGTACTCTGTTTTTATTACTGGCTTGTAGGCTCCTGATGGGCGCTGATAAAGGTTCAACCAGTAATCCTAACCCTATTAATGCACAAACAAACCTGATAATAGTCGCCGGACTCATCTATCACCTGAGATGGGACTTATCCTTCTTGAATGTGGAAGTACAGAGGACGTTCAAGCAGTAGATACAGAATTTTTCCACGGTGACTTGAGACACAACCGACAAGCAGAATCCGCAGCAATGGGGTAGTGAAGCCACAGATTCGTTTCCTCGCATAAGCGATACGGGGAGTCACCACTTACCTGAGGCTATCAGAATGGCTGGCTATGACATCAAAGGTGTCAAGGCCATAATAATGGATCGCGTGCATTCAGATCATGCAGGTGGACTGGAGCACTTCCGTGGAACAGAGATCCCAATTTCTGTGCATGAGGAGAAGTTCAATCATGCCTGCTGGGTAGCCGGGACTAAAATGGAAAGGGAAAGCCCTCGAGCTGGCGAGAAAATCGAGTACGTATGCATATTGCAATAACTCAGCTGGTATCCCCAACGAGTGAAAGATAGCCATGCTCGCTAACCACCCCACAGCTAGGCTGACTGAATCTTGGTTCCTGTCATCACCAAAGCTCACTCACACGCCAGTTCGTGGCTGACACTCCTAGAGAGAGCTCATGCCAAGGCATCTTTGGGGGACACTACTATGTCAACTACACATTTATCTGCTTAGCGAATATGCTGGGGCAACCTATAGAACATAATATTGTACTCTACAAGAAGCAAAACGGCCGAGCAAATGTCCACTTAATCAGTGCACACTCAGAATACCCCGGTATCTCAAAAATTACTACACGAGAGGAATATTCTGACTCCCACGGTGACTCTCAGTGTCGCCCATCCTCTTCGACTCCATCTTCTGCTGTTGCCCCAGCGGCGGAATCTGAAAGATCGTTACCGTAGCTATCGCCGTAATCGCCACCTCCGGCAACATCGTCATCATCAAATACGCCGTCGAATCACCCTTGACAGCGTTCCAGGTCATGTCCGCCGTGATGATGAAAACCAACGAGTAGACAATGCGAATCGCCAGAATCGGCACGCAGATGGCCACGCTCATCAACAGCCGGTGCTCCAGCAGCGGGAAATCCTTTCGGCGCAGCCAAAAGGCCACGAAGGTCCCCACTTGCCAGAGGTAGATGACGAAGAGGATGGCGATTCCGGCACGGCTGTAAGGGGTTGGGAGCAACTGGTTGTGCTCTTTTTGCTTCACGGCGACGAAGCCGCCGATGGAGATGCCAATATCGATCCAGGTAATGACCTGGGGGACGACGAATAAGTAGCGGTGAATGACCGGAATAACTTTGTTTCTGTTGACAATTAACCTCGATTTCAGGTGTGCTGTAGGTGTGTGAGGTGGTTGTTGTTCGACAAGAGAACTGTGGGGACGGAAAATGTGCTGGAAAGAAATTGAGGGAGTTCCCAAACATACATCCGCTCTAGCATTTCCAGCAGCAAGAATATAATCAAGAGCACTCCGAGTGACTCGCAGACAAATATTGCCGCCCAATAATTATCGGTGTCATGGTGGATGGTCTGTAGCATGCAACTTGCGCTCACGAGGCGGAAGATAGAGAGGACTCCGATACAGAACCAACCGATGCGACGAGTCCAGCGCAAACGAAGAGCAGCAAGAACCGCTGCGGAGAAAAAGACGACTTGGGCGACGGCGATGCCGTCTCGATAACGGAAGACGCCGTCGCCCGCTTTGTTGTTCATGATGTTGCAACGGTAGACTCGATTTCTTTCTGGGAGATAGAGTTACACGGTCGCGATAAAAACCTCGACTTTGTACAAGCAAAAACAAAAGAAGGAATAGAGGAGAGGAATAGAGAGTTCTGCACTGTGTTGCTCTGGGGAGGGAATAGGCATCAAAATAATGGCTGACTCGCAAACAATATCCCCAATTGTGTTGTCCCTTGGCGCTGACAAGGGTCTGTGAGGCTGTACCCAAGACCAAGGCCCACTCCCGCTGAGGTTGAGCACCCCCCCCCCCGGTTGACCTGTGTTCAAAGACTGGCCGAAATGCATGTTGGAGTTCGAGTCGGTGGGCTAAGCCCTTGCAGATCATTGCAATATTCGCTGAAAGCCCCTGCCCAACAGCGAAACACGTCGAAATGCAGTGGGACAGCGGCTGCACTGGCTGACACTGCAGTGTCAGCCAGGTAGATGACATTATCAGGGCGATTCTGGCATTACAGATTGAAGAGTGAAAGTATTCGTGAAGGTATAGTCAGTATAGTTCAATGACAACTGCAATTTATGATATAACAGAATCGTAGAAGATGTAAACATGAGGATGCAGAGAGTATATTGTTGATCCAGCACATGCCCTACTTATCCCTACCATGGACTGGATTTCGCCGCTTCGAAACATTTCCTTGTCCTCCATCGCCATTCCCTCGGTCCTCTTCTACGCTCAGGTGAAATCACCACGCTTTTATCTGGAGCCTCGCTTCTACATTGCAGTCTACATAAGCTGGCTGCTCCAGTTCCTCCTCTGGGCCATTTCCCGGGTCCTAGTCTACCCGAAACTCCTCTCCCCCTTACGACATCTCCCAGAGCCGACAGTACGTCCTGTAATCGAGTTGCAGGTGCAGCCATTAGGGGACGGGAAGGCCCATTGCCCGGGGTTATTCAAAGCTGGATTGATTGCTGGCATTTGAATGAGCATTGGATCCAATCCTGGCCACGGTGATGTGGCCTGGTTAAACAGGTCATCTGGTAGCAGGGTGGCGTCCATTGATTGAGATAAGGTGAGAGATGGGGAGTCGGGCAAGGGATCGGAGGGCGTTTGTTGAAAAGTGGATGCAGGTTGTACGTCCTGTATCTCTCCAGCTTCTTCAGCAGCAATCTGCTCTTTGAGTCTGCGTCCTTGCTACAATGTCAGTGTGGCACATGGTATGTTATTTGGACGTTTACTCACGGTGGTTTCGTTGCGCAATTCTGTTCTGCAGTCTATCGAAGCTTCTGGGTGAACATGTCCATTGGTATGGTGAAAGGGTGGGGGGATTCCGAACGAGTACTTACCTCCTTCTTTCCATAGCCCGCGGGCTCTGAGACCGGCCTGACTTCTTCGGTGCAGGTGGGGGAGCTTCTGAATCTTCGGTATCATGCGAAGTCATCCCTTACGATGAGAACATTCTTGATCAGACACTCGAGTGTCTAGCTGGCTGTAGTCTCGGAAAACAAGCTTCATGCTCATATTCACCCCTGGCATGAAATGCTATATGTACTTCGGGCTGCTGCGCTCACAAGGCTCTGGAGATCTACTCCATCAACGTCGCTGACAGTGTCATCAAGGTTTCGATGACTAGAGCTCTTTTGTGAGCAGATTACTAGTTGAGAAAGCAGTAACAACCCATCGTGTCCAATAATCCCCAAAAGGAATGACTGGATCGCACGCCAAAGGATTCTCCAAGTTGCTACTAGTTTGCCCCTGACCGGGGTTGTTCCGTATTTTGTAGGGGTCTTTAGGAGTTGACAAGGCCACTCACGTAGCTGACTTGGATTTATCAAGGCTAGAGTTCTTGGTATGAGACATGCATATTGATTAGTTGAGATTGCCAGCAATTTTTCCAGTTCTAGTGTGAGTCGTCTGAATGGAGCCCCACGTCTTTTGTAACTTGATCGTTGAACGCTTCATCCCATTGTAGGAGTTGTTTCTCACAATATTTTGACGATCGCGATCACATTGTCCATCCATACATGGGAGTAGCGTATATACTCTGTATCAGAAAAGTCCAGCGCTGGGATACTAGCTTGTACGCGGATTCCATAGGTAGTGCCTAGAACACAGGTTAGTAGGGGCCAGCCGGCGCCAGCCGGGGCGGGGTGCTCAACCTTAGCGGGAGTGGGACTTGGTCTTCTGAACGTGCACGGGCGCGATCAGCGGTGATCCCTACAGAGTGACAGGGATGTATCTTAAATACTTTCCACGGATTTTATTGGCTGGAACTGACAGGACAATAACAGGTCATATCTCAGGTATACCCTGGTCGATGCTGCATCCTGGCAGAGCTTAGCCAAAGGGAAACGCACGTTTAATCTACTTTTCTCTGAACTATATACTTAAGTATCTACCTCAAAAGGTATATAACAAAGTATACGCGGGCAAGCATACTAATTAGATATACTTCACTACTTACTTAAAAAGGTATACCAAGAAGTATATATACAGGAATATATAAGGACACTTATTTATCTATATTTACAGTTTAATTAGTCGTGTTTAATATAAGTTTCAAGTCTGAGTATATATTTAGTCTAGTTTCTACTTATCTAAACTTAATCTAAGTATTAAGTATATATACTTGATATATCTTAACGTATCGTACAAGCGAGCCACACAGGACACCGGGCAAGTGGTGGACGGCAGGTAGGTCGAAGCCAGCAAGAGTTGCCCTACTAATATCTATATCTACCTAAATATAATATCATATATGAAACCAGACTTCACGTGAAGAGAGATGGTCATGGTTTCCACTAGTAGGGATGCATTCTATCAAGGCTGGCTTACTCAGTGCACTCAGCCCTTGCTCAATGATCGCCTCAGGCCGCTCAGGGGGTGATCTACTCAGTGGGCAAAAAGCGGCGAGGGGTGAGCCCTAAAACGGAAAGGGAAAGACTTCGAGCTGGCGAGAAGATCAAGTACGTATGTATCTTTTCGCCCTGTAAATAAGAGGGTGTAATGTATCAACAAGAATCGACCCAGAACCAGAAACGACATGCACAATTGTCTTTTGTAAATCTTATCATCATGAACGTCATTTCCATACGAATCTATCAACAAACTATAAGGTGATATATCGATACACGATACGCCGAACAACCCACGACCGCTCCGGTTCATCAGGATAAGAACATTATAAAAAGAGATCGAAAAGAAAAGGAAAAGGAAAAGACAAGGGAAAAGGAAATACACGGCTCTCAACGCCAGACATCCACACCCGCATCGTTCTCAGAGATAGTAGAGGCAGAGGTAAAGGTAAAGGGAGAGAAGAGTAAACTAAGCATAATCCCCAATCTGCACCCCCCAAATCTTCCAGCGCGCCTCCTCCACAAAATCCCGTCTCAGCCACAGCCCATTCGACGGTCCTGGAGCCAACCCAGCCGGCTCGTCAGGTACAGTCGTCTGTGTATCGTCCGCGTCGTCGTCCGCCACAGGGCTGCTCTCCTCGCCGAGACGGTCGACCCAGCTGAAGAGCAGACGGAGCTGCCAGATGCGATCGCGGACTTCGTCTGCGTTGGTGTCCCCGCTGCGACCCTGCGCCGCCTGCACGATGTTCTGCACGGTGCGTTCGACGACGAGCTTGCTGTCGACGGCGGACTGGCGTAGCCAGGGGGCGTATGATACGCTGTTGGATCCGGATGGCTGGGTGCGCGTGGGGAAGGATGAGGGGAGGACGAGGGCTTTCTCGCGGATGTCGAGACCTCGTAGGGATGCGAGGTGGAAGATCCATTCCCAGATGCTTTGGGAGGGTGATGGGGGGTGGGTGCGCGGTGAGGTGCCCGGGTTGAGGATCGATGCGGATACGCTGGGCCATGCGGTGGGGGGAAGGCCGCGGCCTTGGGTTGACGCGGGCGTGGAGGTTGGGAGGACGTCTTGCGCCTCGCTTAGTCCGGACAGTGTCGTCACGAACACCGAGGAGCCCGTTGGGTTGTAGGTCGACTTTCGCCGGAGGTACACGGACTGGTCGCCGCGGTGGAATTTCTCCCGCAGGCTTGGGTTCTGCGTGAGGTCCAGCACGAGAGGCCAGTAGTCTGGGCTCTGGACCTCTACCTTGGCTACGTCTCCGAGGTCTGGTAGGAGGCAGGGCGCCGTGACGTGCCGGATCTCGCCACTGGCGCTGGTCACGCTGATGGGAATCGGGATGGGTCGTCGTGTGTCGATATCGCGGGGGACCAGGCAGCGCGGCTCGGCGGCCAAAACCCACAAATGCCGGAACGCCTGCAGGTGGCATTTGTTGTCGAGCACCGTGGTCGGGAAGATGGGATACAGCGCGCAGATCAGCGATGCGACTGCCAGATCCGACGTGCCCAGCGTGTAGCTGCCACCGCCCAAGAACAGCAGCCCCACCGCCATGTGCGCAGCCATGTGACTGCCGTACGGCGTGTCGGCGTCCACACGACCGTGGAGGGATCGCAGGCGTCGGAAGAGAGCCAGGTCGCCGGTCCCGGCCATGACGGCGGCGGCGGAGAGCGCCACGACGTCCTGGCAGTGCCGCACCGAGTTCCGCGCCAGCTTCCCATCGTAGTTCAACGCCGGGAGCCGGCTGATGCGGATGAATTGATCCAAGTACGAGAGCAGGAGATCCCGCACCGCGATCTGACCCGAGCCAGCATAGCGGAGCCCCAGCGTGAAACAAAGGCCCGCGATGATGTTGAAGAAGGGCATGTCGTCGCTCTTCAATCGTCTCACCCCTGTCAGGCGGTATCGGCGCCGATAGATCTTGGGAAGACTCTGGATGAACCACGCTGCGGTGGGCTGGATGCGATCCCACATGATGACATGTCGTGCCAGAGTACGCAGGAGGAAGAGGTCGGGCCGCACATAGTCGAACCGGACGGTCGTGTCGGGTATATCGATCTTCTGGGCCAGGACCTCGTCGTTGGTCTTCATGAAGATGATGGCGAACGCAATCGTCGCTCCAGCGGTGGCCCGATCCAGAACATGCGACAGGTCGACGTCCTTGGTCCCCACCGCAACGGCCAGCAGTCTCTCCACGATGTGCATGTCCCTCATGCCTTTCAGGTCTTTGCCCTTGCCGAGGTTGATGAACCCCAGGGCGAATCCCGCGGCCAGTCGGTATCCCTCGTCGCGGAGATCCTCGTGGGACGCTGAATGTTCCTCGGGTTCCACGCTTTCGATCTCCGACAACATCACTTCGCTCATGCGCCGGTGCTGAGAATTACAATAGAGGAGGCCGATGCCCATGATTCCCGCCGTCTGTGTCAAGGCCGACAGGTTGAGTTCGGCCGCCCCCATGGGGAGCATCCGTGTTACATGCACCGATAACAGTCGCGTGATCAATGTATCCATCGTGCCCAGGTAGGAGGCCGAGAGGCCGAGCAACAGGCCGATGGAGGTCATCGTGTGCTTGGGGGTCAAGTACTTGAAGGCAACCCACTTGGCCAGCGACTTGAGATGCCCGTTGAGCCCCAAGGCAAGAAGGAAGCCGGCATGCCGGTTCGTCAGGTCCTGGGGTTTGTTGAAGAGGATCCAGGAGGTGTCGATCCCTTTGCAGTTTCGGGAGATGGCCAGTCCGGTCGACACGCCGTTGTGGAAGAAGGCCCAGCACACCTTCTCCTCGCTGAAGGATGCTCGGTCTGCACTGATAGTCACGTTCGATGGCTTCATAACGCACTGCAAGGAAAAGGACGGGATCGGGAGCTTCTCTGTCAGCAGTGGTAGGCGTCCGCTGAAGGCCAACATGGCACGTCCAGTGGGAATCGACAACGTCCGCAACGTCACCAATTGCACCACCTCTTTCTGCGCCTCCAAGAGGTCCGAGTCGGTCCATTCCGGCTCGGGAACGCACTCTGCTGCGGGCGCCTTCGACTGGTTCAGCAACTTGGCCGCTTCGACGAACCGTTTATCCTCTCGGAAGAGCAGTCTAGTGACCGAAAATCGGTCGGCCTCGGCAGACGCCTCGAAAGAATTGATCGAGTCGATATCCATCGAGGACGCACCGATGTGGTGGAAGTCACGAACAGCATCGTGAGACACCGCAGACTGGACGGGGGTGACCGAGGTATCGGTGTTGTTCGTAGTCAGCGATATGCTGAGGTCCTCGCGGTCGATGAGCTCCAAGAGTGCAGGACTCCACGACGTCGAAGCGTGCATTTGCGACTGCATGATGACTTCATACAGGGGCGTGCTGACTCCCTCGGAAAACGTCTCGATGATGCTTCGGGTGAACCCACAGCGGTGCAAAAGCCTGATCCGGTCGAGTGGCGTCGACAGATTGTGGACCTCGGAGAGAAAGCCTTCCAGGGCCAGCGTCCTCGGAGTCAGGGCAAAGCATTCCTGCCACAGTCTTCCCTTTTTGGGCGTGCGCTCCGACGCCGTGACGAGGTTGAGAAGAGTGAAAAAGGACGCAGATCGCTGCCGCCACGCAGTTTCCAAATGAGAGAAGAGCGACGGAGGCGCGAATGGCTCCGCAGGTACATCGAGAGTCGAGATACGAGTGTTTTCAAATTGCCATCGATCGATACTGGCAATCTCCAACCCATAGTACGAGTCCTCCGCCCACGTCCAGGACTTCCATCCGAGCCACCCACCGATCTGGGCCAACACCGGGGCAAGAAGACCTAGGTCTTTGCGTGACTGTTCACTGTCACAGATGGATAGCTTCTGTTCCTCGCGAAGCAGGTGCAGCGCGACTAAGATGGTACCCAAGGCCGTCCGTCGTAGACTTGAGCTGTACGAGAGCGCTGTCGGGAGACGCCCGTCCGATCCAACCGCCGCGATGCCCTCGGGCAGCCGGAGGAACTCCCGCGTCAAGTCGGCACACCGGACAAGGTAGGTGTTATTGCGGCATGTCGAAGGGTTCGATCCGGCCTGCTCATTCTTCGAGCTCCTCTTTCCACGGCCGGTTTCGCTGGCCTCTTCGGCATCTTGCTCCACAACCCACCCCCAGGAACTGTTGGTCATCCAAGGCGCAACGACGCCGGATGGCCCGGATTCTTGATCTAGCATTGTCTCCCAGCTCTCCAGATCGATGGAGCTTCCACTGCTAGACCTTAGTAGGCCTTTCTTCTTGCGCGGCTGGCGGGCTGGCGTTTGACGCTGGTCCCTGGTGATAAAGGGGATGGCCATCCCAAACAGGACAACCACCATGGCCGTCCACTCCAGATTCTTTTCGCCCGTCTCCATACCTCGCAGCCATTTCATCACCTCCCACCAAGCAGCCAGCATGCCGTCACCGGCCTTTTCAGAATCCGGCAACGCAAACCTGCACACCTGGAAGACCTTCCGCACCAGCTCGTTGCTCGGTTCCATTTGGACCTGGAGCTTGTGTCGTCTCTTCTCCGAATCGATCACGTCAAATTTGCCTCGAGCCAAGGGATGATCCAACCCGGTTATCGTCACCGAGTCGGTCATGATCCGGTGCATGCCGCTCTCTCGGGGGCGGTTCGCAGGACTCGTTGAAGATACCCCATACGTTTCATGCAGCATGAGCTTCTTCGGGATCTCCACATTGGTGGGACTACTCCAGGGCGTCTGTAAACACAGTTCATGCTGCCCATTGTCCGCCACGCTCAAGGTCATGATGCGGGATACTTCGCCGTCAACAATCCGGCAGGCATCCCGTATGCCAGAGAAATGATGAATGCCCGTGGCCTGAACTAAAAGGGACCGTTCACCAGAAGATCCGTGCTTTTTCGCCCTTTTCGAAAATACGACATCTTTCTTGGGCAGGGTCACTTTGTCTGCGCGTAGGTTCACAACAGTCATACACTTTGAATCCTGGTCGACGACGCACACCGCCACGGCCGCCGAGGTTGCGCTCTGCGGGTTGCCCCCCTCAGGAGGGCACAAGGTAATGATTTTTAGATTCTGGGAGGATCTGGATTTGGTAGGAGTTTGGAATGTCCCCGAAAACTTGGAGGAGAAGCTCTCCACCTTGGAAAGCAGAACCTCCTCCGGGAGCCCCGAAGCGGTTTCCTTGAGGTCCATGTTCTCGATTCCCTCGAATAAACTTTCGTTATTCAATTCTTCCAGCAGTCGGTCCACTGGGGCGTCGACAAAGCTGCTCGTGGTACTGTAGACAGAGGCACTCCCGGGTGGCAGGGAGCCTCTGGGATTGAAACCGAAGCTGCCACGGGTGCTCGCAGCCCCGATCGATTGTCGTAGATTTCCATGGGGCGTGGAACTTGACTGACTCCCCGTGGCTAGGTCTGAGAATGTAATTCTGTCTTGGCTGGCTCCAAGATCCGCCCTTGCGAGTAAGGAGCTCACCCGTCTGGATGTCTTTAACGGAACACCGATGTCCCCGAAATCCTGGCCAATTTTCGAGGCAAGGTCCTCTTCATCATCCCCTTTCCCTTCCGTGGAGTACTGGGAGTGCGAGAAGCCGGACGCGTTCCAATCCCCTCGCGGACCAAAGCTCTCCCTCGTAGCAGAGGGGCGGGCGCCGGGAGTCGTCGTCCCTGTGGTCATCCCGAAGTGGGAGCTACGGCGCTTCGATCGAGTGCCACCGGTCTCTCGTCTCCCCTTTTGCTTTGACAAGGGGCCGGGCTCGTCCTCTCGGTAGCGTGCCGTCCAGATAGTATAGAGTCCCGTACTAGTGTTGACTGTTATCACGAGGATCAACGGGCCATTATTCACCGTGAGATTCGACGTTAGAAGCTCATCCTTAGAAGACACATAGACGATTTCATCCGCTGGGTCCAGCGCTTCGAAACCCGATGGTCTGTTGCTCGACACGCTGGACTGCAATCCGCGGGGTGATTGATTGGTCACCACCAGACCCATCTCCGACTGGGGGTCCATGAGAGAGAATACTCGTGGCAGGTTTGCATGCTTTGTCGGTCGCGATTTCACAGCAGAGCTCGCAGCCGGGGAAACCGTCAACGAGGGCCGTTTCGATCTGCCCGACGGAACCTCCAGGGACTGGGAAGCGCGGAAGTCCATGCCCGGTATCGACGACATGAACGAATTGGGAGGGGCCATTGGATAAAAGCTGCCTTCGTCGGATTTCTTCTCTTGTGTTTTCCTCTGAAATAGAAGTCCCTTGGGGGTCGCAAAGACCGAATCGACCTCGAACGGCAGAGGGACGACATGACTATTGCCGGCTAGGAAGAAGATATGCGCCTGGGACTTGAGCACCACCACCAACGCGCGCGACAGCCCATCTGTCGCGTCTCCAGACCCATTCCTTGGTGAGCCGTAACCACGCAGGTTCCAGGACACGTCAGACGAAGCGGTCTTCGATTCCCCGCCATGACGCTGATTGTGCGAGCTTCGAGCCCGGGCCCCGTCGTTGCCTGTCCCCGCCGAGATCCCACTCTTTCCCTGGGAGGTCGGACCACTGGATCTCTTAATACCTGCCACGGAGAAGTTGGCTAGCAGAGCATGTCGAATCTCTTCCCTTTCAATGTCCAAACGGAAGACTCTCCTCACGACCCCCGCACGAGACCACACCACACACGTCTTTGTCCATACGATTTCATCTTCGATATGGCCATCCGGACCATCCACCACACTTGTCGTCCATGTATAGAGGTCTTCGGAGGGATCAGGAGGGAGGAGATCCTCTGCGACGAGGAAGGGAATGGCGGAGGGTTGGTGGAGACCCAGGGATCGAACGGTCGCCATTATCGATGCAGGTGGTCAGAAATCACGGAAATCGAGTCCTCGGCAATGGGTGCCAAGAACGAGGTCATGTTCATTGTCTGAAAGCAGACATTAGTGTAGGAGGGTGGAGAAGGCGAAGGTGAAGAGAGGTAGAGAGGAAGATGGTGAGGGAGGGAATGCCGAAACTAAACAATAACGCGGCGAGCCAAATAAATATCGCGGAACGCTTTTTCTTCCTCTTCTCCTCCGCAACTCACCAACTCTCTCCACCACATCCCTCAATTCTCCTTCTCTTCTTTTCGATTATTCCAATCCACCAATATAGACCATCTTCATAAACGATACTATTCGATCATTCTAAATCCTTGAACTCGAACCCGGTTATTTCCTCCGGTGGAATCTTACCGCCCTTCCAACTGAACTGGACCCATACGAACGATGCCGTCATTTCCATCGAAGCCTCTAGTCAGGCCAAGAGATGATGGCTTGCAATTAAGGTGATTCATGTTGGAGACCTCGATCCGGGACCAGCGCTGACAGACGATTGTGTAGTCACCAACTCCCCCATCGCGTCTACACAGCAAAGAGCTACCCGATCCTGGCGCCCAATGGCTCATCGATTATTATCTACGGATACGAAAACGGGTTGAAGGTGGTCTGGAGAGGAGGTCGACACTTTGCGGCACGGCAACCCGCTGTCGAGAAGGAGGACAAGCCACAGAAGGCGAACCGGGGCAGCGACGATGCGGTCATGATCATCGATTCGGACGACGAGGGTGTGCCAGAATCCCCGAGAGAGGACGCGGAGCCCAGCTACCAGTTTGAAACCGAGGATTCCGAGGTTGATCCAGCCCATCCTTATGAAAGTGTTTTCCGACAAGTCGACATCCCCCTTGGAAGCAGGGTTCTCGACCTGGCCGTGCCTCGCATTCTCCCAGAACCGGCGCGCTCATCGCTCGATCCATTTCCGCCCATTTTAAAGAAACTGATGGTCGTGGTGGTTGTCTGCGCGGACTACTCAACTCGGATCGTGACTGTTCCCTTGACGCCGCCCTACTCTCAGTCGCAAGCCTCATCGCTGGGGACGCAGATACTTTCGATCGGGGGTGGCGTCACGCACCAGGAGTTTCCCCGGGGCGTGAGCGTGACTTTCACATATCAGGAGGCTGAGCAGCAAGAGGATACGGATATGACCCGAAGCCGGAGCTCGTCCAGTAAGCTCAGTGCGAACGGCACCGGCCGGTGGGACCTTCTCGTGGCGACGCACTCGGCAGAGTCATCTGGGTTACTTGTGCTACACCGTGCTCCGGTTGTGGAAGAGAAGGAAGGTTCATACTGGATAGACGAGGAGGACATCGAGACAAAGCGGCGGTATCTGCCCGCGCCGGCGCAGAACGTCGCCTTCAACCCGTCCCCCTACCCGTCACCCCGCCATTCCACGCTGCTGGTTTCGTTCCACAGCGGCTGCGTCAAGATCTACTCGTGCTTTTCCACGAAGCGGTCCAAGTCGTCGCGACGGACGTCAAGCTCCAATGATTATGAGACGTCCGAGACGGATGGAAAATGGCTGATCAGTCTGTATCCCGGGTTTGAACAGTCCCCTTCGGGAGTCACGCGGCGGAAGACCATCGTCAACGCGGAATGGGTCCTCGGTGGCCGGGCTGTCATGGTCCTCATGGCAGATGGTGAATGGGGAGTCTGGGATATCGAGGGAGCCGGACCCGGGACGTCCAAGGGCCCGCTCCACCGTCAAGCCAGCATCGAAGGGGTCTCCGGAGGCTCCCTGACCACATTCTCCGTCAGCGGTCGGATCCTGAGCCCGTTGCTCCGAGGGCAGGACACAGAGACAGCCGGACCTAGCGTGGTCGAGCAGCGGCCCAGATTCGCCCCGCTGACGCCATCCACCAAGCGACTTCGCGAGGACTCGCTCTTGAAGGGCTCCACGGTCAGCCCGCCCAGCCCATCGCTCTGCGGCGAAATCTCGGTGTACCAGACCAATTCCTTCCGCGACCCGCTCCCAGACGAGTCGATTCTCCTCCGCCACGGCGACCACAGCGCCATCATCCCCAGCCTGCTGTCATTATGGCGGAACGCAGTCCGCACATCAGGGACATTCGACGCGTCGAACCGCTGCCGTGTCTCAGCTCTCCAAGACATCACGCTGATGGGCGAGCACCTGAAAGGCATCACCCACCTCCCGGCAGCATCCCGGACCAACCGCATGTCAGCGGGACAGAAGTTCGACATCATGCTCACAACAGAGCACCGGGTCATGATTCTAGCACCTAGACTCAGCGAACCCGCCGAAGCTTCCTCCTTCCGCCAATCAGCGAACGAGGCCCCAACGGCAGCGACAGACCAGATGATGCTCCAACGGGGCGAGCTCGACGTGACCGGAATGGACCGACTGCTAAGCGGGATGGCGAGCGCGAACCGATCCATCGGGATGGGAAGTCCGATCAAGCGTGCGCGGATTTTCACTTAGCCATACGCCTCAGTAGCGACCAGGATCTCCAACGCAATCTTTCCACCTTAATTGTACAACAGATACATCAGCATCAAGAATAATGGGGACGTGTGATCCACAGGTAATCAAGATACCCTTCAATTCCGTCCACTCTTTTTCCCTCTATACGCGTAGAGCTCTTCCCTTCCTATCAATTTCGCGCTGTCAGGTGGAGCGCAAGGCGAGGACCATGCCTTGAAATCCCTCACGGGATAAGCTCTGTATCGGCTGCGATATATCAAATTCAACAACCCCACCCACCTGTTCCCAGCTTTATTGCTGGGCCAGGACCTCGGTTCACCCGCAGTGACAGCTGGCTGGATAGTTAGCCAGCTAGCTACCAACCAGTTGAGCAAACTGCACCCCTACCAACAAACCAATCTACACAAACAGTTCGTATCAGCTATCGCTTTGATCTTGACCAGTTCTGCTTCGGCGGACGGGCGTCATCGGTGTGAGTTAGGGAGTGAGTGTATGGAAATACCTTACCTCCAGGCCCACGCTGGTAGACGTTCGTCTTGGACATGTCCACGTCAGGATCAGAGCTGGTAGATGAAGCGGACTGTGGCTTGGTTTGATGGTGGGAGGAAATGAATGAGCTGGGGGTTACGGGTGGGGGACATCATATTCCCTTTCTTGCTTTATTTATATTTTGTGTTGTATACTTCGTAGTTGATGATAGGTATTTGTATTTGGATTTGTAGGTAGATTTGTAAGAGTTGAATGTTGTGTTGGTAGGTACATTGGTATACACGATGATAGGTCAAACAGCAATAGATAGTTAAATGTGTGATTCTTCTACTATTTTCTCTCCAATGTATATACATACATGCATACATACATCCTTCTCAAACCCCATCTAACTCTACTTCTGACTCCATTTCTACCGCTCTTCCTCTGCTCTTGACAGAGTGTCAAGAACAGAAGATAGATCATGAACGTCAATCACAAAGATGTAGGAGCAAGAACCAGGCAGTCCAGACAGTCAGGTCACCACCAACAACTGACTATACATATGCATAGGCGGCAACCCAGTCCAGTCCAGACTCACCTATTCTCACGCTTTCCACAACCAACCCTCCATCCTATCAATCCCCACAACGGATCTAGTCAGGCGAGAGATGGACCGGATCTATCCGGTATAGCCCAACCCCTCAAGCTCCTTCCGCACGGACTCCTCCGTATGGATCTTCTTCATCTGCGTATCCTCCAGCTTCTCACCGCCCGCAAGACGCATCTTCAGCTCGTCGATCGCCCGGATCTTCTTCAAGAGTCCGCGGATCTTCTTATCGTGCGCCGAGGGCACACCCTCCTCGACGGCCGGGGGGGTGGGTTCCCTGGCGGGGGGAGGGGGCGCGGGCGCGGGGGTGCCGTTGGCTGGCGGGCCGGACTTCTGGCCTTGAGCCTTGGACCGGCTTCGCTCGTGGCCCTTGTCGTTGCTGTTCTTCTCGCCACGGCGGTCGGGCGACGTCTCAGGGACGCCTTCTTCGCCCTCGCGCAGCTTACGGGCTTCGCGCTTCTTCTTGTTGCGCGCGGCAGACTTGGAGAGCTTCTCCGGGTGGTCCGCGCCGGGGGGCAGGGCCACGCCGCCTCCAGGAGCGGCTCCCGGAGGCAGAAACTCGGCCGGATCGGCGCCCGGCACGTCGCGTCTCCGCGGCTTGCCGAAGCCGTTCACGGCTCCGGCGGGGGCGCTGCCGGCCACGAAGGCAGACCCGCCTTGGTCCTCTCGCTTGAAAGCCAAGGGCGTGAGCTGACCGCGGGCGCCCGGGGGCCGGTACGCACCGGCCGGCTTGACGGGGGCCTTGCGGGTGCTCAGGTAGGCGGTCGCCGACGGGTGGGGCACCGGGAGCGGGTGGAAGGGATCACCCAGCGGGTGCTGGATGGTCGACTGCGGGCGCCAGCAGACGTCGTACAGCTCGTGCATGTCCTCGTTGTAGACCAGCGCGCCGCTCACGTGCCAGATGCGGAGGCCGTTGTCCACGCGCAGACGGGGGCTGGTGGTGGCCGTCAGGATGTACTGTCCATCCGGCGACCAGGCGCACACGCTGGAGTTGGCCGCCTCGACGGTGGTCACCTTGGCGTAGTTCTTCTCCAGGTCGTAGATGTCCATCTGGCCCGCCAGGTTGCCGAATCCGGCCACGAGGACGAACCGGCCGTGGGGCGAGAACAGGATGGTGTTCCGCGGCGCCATGGGGAAGTCATGTTGCGTCACGCCGCGGAAGTTGAAGATGCGGGTGCGGGCGGGCATGTAGCCGTACACCACGCCGAACTCCTTGGAGTTGGGAGACCAGGACACGTCGTGGATGGGGCCCTCCTTATCTGTTACTAGTTAGTATTTCTTCCATGCCATGATGTCGGATAGCCACTGACCCAGTTCCACGCGAGAATCAAAGCCGCCACTGGCACCCAGGAGGTACAGAGTGGTCTCTCCGTAGTAGCTCTTGTTCGAGCGGTCGACTTCGGTTTGCGCCAGCACCAGCAGGGTGTTACCCGATGCGTTCCACTTCAATTGAACCTTGTCTCCCTTGAAGAAGTTCTTCTGGGAAACGGCGGAGGCGAAGTTCGGCACAACGAACACCTTGACTGCGGCGGGTTGACCCTGTGAACGTTAGCAACATACATATAGTAAGAGAGAATAGAGGTAACCAACCTTACGCTCCGGAATGAACACAGCGACCGAATTGGTCTTGCCCGGGGACAGGGCAAAATCGGCGACACCTTCGACGCGCAGCCGGTTCCAGGGCTTGGACAGGTCATCGCTCTGGTAAAACTGGACCTCGTTGGTGACGACGCGCGCGCAGAGCTTCTCATCCGCGGTATACTGCAGGTTCCAGCCGGTCTGGGACTTCTGGACATAGCTGCCGACCACGACGTTCTCATTCACGACCTGCCACACCTTGAGGTTCTTGACGGCGTCGCCGTTTCCATCCTTCGAGGGGCGCTGCCAGGTGATTAGGTAGGTACCCAGGGGGGAGAAACCCAGCTCGAAGACGTTCTCGGCGGCGATGGTGGAGATGACATGACCGACGGACGGATCGACGACGGTGACCCTATTACCGTTAACCCAATCCTTCACTTCAACATTTCGGAGGTGGAGGAGCGCAGCGCATACTTATCGGGAGAAGCAAAGGCGAAATAACGGCCGCAGGGAGAATAGGCGCTACAGCGGAGGTTTCCCTCAGGTCTGGAGAAACAAAATCATATTAGTAACGAGTCCAAAGACAACCCAGTTCAAGTATAACCAAAGAATTACCTCTCAAACCCCGACAGGGACTCATAGACGGGGGTAGCATCCAAGATGCCAATTCCCTTCACCGTGCGGTCTACCACAATTAGCCATTTCCAGTCCAGTCTTCACCCCCCCAAAAAGTCCCGCAAAACAGGTGAAAAACCCACAAGAAAGCTGCGTCGGAGCTGCCATATCGAACAATCCTTCTTTTCAATTGATATCGTTTGTTCTCCGAAAAGCAATGTAATAAAGCTCGAGCTCGTGCAGCGATTGGACGTAAATGCGCGGGGTTTAATAAGTCGGGTAGGATGAAATTCAATTCGATCCGCGAGTCAAGGAATAAAGATCCAATCGAAAACGAAACGAAACGAACTTGTGGTGTTTTGGGTATAGCCAAACAATGACAGGCTTGTATGAATGGTTTGGTGGTTTAGAACTCGGTGGCGAATTGTTGGCTATGTAGTCTTCTGCAATTCAGACACACACAAAGAAGGCGGGCCGGAGAGAGACGCGGGGACGATCTTTGTACAGTGACGGGGGACACGGTAGAAGGAGAAGGGGGAGCAGTCCAAGGAAGACCTCGATGCTTGACAAGTCAATGCCAGCAAGAAAGCAGGGGACCAGAGGGGCTGTCGGGGGAGGAGAGAGTTGAGGAGGGGTGTGGAGAAGAAGAAGAGAGAGAGAGAGAGAGAGAGAAGCAGCTTCAGCTGGAAAAAAACCAGGCAAAGAGGCGAGTACGTCTTAAAAGAGTAGGCGGTGGACGGACGGGCGGGCAGAAAATGGATACCTGAGTCTGGAACGTGTCAGGCAGCCATGATGTATAGTATGGGGTCTACAGATGATGGATTCAGACCAAGAGCTGTAATTCAATCAACTAGACAAGAAAAGATCACTCCTCCCATTCAAATATTCTACAATCTTTCCAACAGATCCCAATCCATAGAGTCACTCAGTCCGTCAGTCGACGAGTGTCCTCATACAAATACAACAATCCATCCCATCCAATCGCAGTTTCTTTCTTTTCTCTTTCCTAGGTTTTCTTCCAATCCATCTCAACAATGACCTTTTCCAGCGTTGTTGGCAATCGTCTACTGCGTCTCCGGCCCCACCGAGCCATCCCGACCAAGGGGCGTCGCCAACCGGGGCGTCCTAACCGTAGTGTCCACCACATCCGGATCAAAGGTCATACCATCCACCATGCGCGCATCCTGCAGCGGCTCAGGCGTATTAGACCCCGTAGGAGACAGCGTAGACGGAATAGTCCCAGGATTCATCCGACTAAGCCCAGGACTCCCCAGGGAACCAGGTCTCCCACCGGAAGATCGTCGGGGCTGCGGGTGGGAGATAGGACCGCTGATAGTGCTAGCGCCCTCGCCGAAGCCAACCAGACTGGCGTTTCCTTCATCGCTGAGGTTATCTCCGCTCGAGTCAGCGCCGTCTTCCGGGTCCGGGCCCTCGCTCATCTTATCGGCGTCAAAGGCGTCGCTGCCACTGGCCCATGTGGTGCGCGCGCCGACGCTGCCCGTCGCGCTGGCACTGCCGACGGTGCTGCGCTCTTTCATGGTCTCAAAGTAGCTGGGGATGGGGGCAGCGGGGGCAGCGAGGTTGGGGGAGGTATGACCTCCCGCTCGCGCCGTGGCTACCCGTTCGAGGCCCGCTAGGCGGGAGATGCGATCGGCGCGTTCGGCCTCGAGGGTGGTGGTCGATGTGGCCGATGTGGAGGGGGAATGGTGGGCGTGGTGACTGTGTGGCAGGGGCTGGCCCTGGTGGCCGTCTTTGATGGCTGTTGTCGATAGGGCTGACAGCGATGTGGTGCCGGAATTGGGGGTGCCCCTATCAAAAAAGACCGGTTAGCGATATAGATCAAATGGAAAGTATCAGGATGGGATACGAAAGACGTACGGGCCCATCTCCGACGGGGTGACCGGGTCGGAGGGCGGAGGAGGGAGATTGATCAAGGTCGGCGTGGTCATCTTGTCCAGGCCTCCTTTGCTTGTTTTTTACTTATCCTTTTCTTTCTTTGGCTTCTTTCTCTTTCTATTCTCTTTCTTTCTCTTTTCTTTTTCTTCTTTCCCTGTCTTCTGAGGTTCAAATGACCCAACGGAGTAGAAAGGGAGATATCAATCAAACGTAGAAGAACGAGAGCGTGATCTCTCAATAGTATGATCGCCGAGAACAGACAATCAACCTGACTAGAACAGGGTTAATTAAAACAAGACAATGTCGCAGATAGATAGAATCCTTAAAAGGTTGAACTTGTCTCAGATAAAGATAGAGATAAAAGTGTGCCAGCCAGCGTTCACTTCAACGAAACACAGGATGCCAGGATGGATAAAGAGGGGAGTACCAAAACCAAGGATGGGCGAGAGTTGGATCAGTCAGGAAGAAGTACCAATAAATACAGAAGTAAGGTTAGTTTCGATCAGTCAGTCGATCAGGGTCAAGGGAGGAATTGATTGATTGATGGATCGACCTCCGCTTTGGGAACAAGTGACGTCATCTGGGGTTTGATCAGCTGATCTTGCGGGGTAGCCTATCTTACTATTGTTATATCTGTAGTTGTAATGTACGTACAATTCGTAGGTTTATATTTTGGTATACAGCGTAGTCGCAAAGAACGATCATGATTAAAGATCATGCACCAGAAAAAGAAAAGAAAGAAAAAAAAAGGAAGAGAAAAAATATGATCAGTCGTTCAATCGTCCGGATCCAGCAGACCCTTCCGTGGCTTTTTTTTTCTTCTTTCTTCTTTCTTTTCACCATCATTTCTCCTCCATGCCTAATGACTAGCCTTCCGCTCGTAGTGCCCCCGGAGATCGTCCACCTCTCTCTGTAAACGCGTAAGGTCGGCTAAGATGTCCCGCGCGTTCGACGGCGGCGAGACAAATCCCTCCTCGTCCTCCGCGCGCGTTTCCGACCGGAGGCTAGTTGGGCGAGTGCTCGGGTTACTGTTATTCCCTCGAGTCCGGCGTGGAGGCGGCGGCGGTGGTAGGGAGTTGCCGTACGAGACTCGTTTCGCCGACGTTGACGGGTCCCGCGGTTCCGGCTGCAGGGGCCGCGAAGTATCTTCGGACATTCGTGTCCTCTGGGGCACATCACGGGTGCGGGAAAATTCCAGCGTCTGGGCGCCCGGGCTCAATGGCGGGGACGTGTCGGAAGAGGATGCTTCTGTCGAAGAGACCGATCGACGGTGTGGCGTGGTTTTGACAGAAGCGGCCGGTTGGGACCTCTTCATCTGACTGTGGCGTCGACTGAGAGGGGGTGTTGGAGGACGTTTATACTGGGATTGACTGCGTCGAGGCAGGTCGGGCCGGGAGTGACCGTCCGCGACATCGCCCCCTTCCTGCGGATGGAGGCTAGGTGAAATAGAGGGCTCAGAGGGGAAGCCGTGGAAGGAAAAGCGGTTGGACGGCATGATGGATGCCGGACGTGAGGCGTTCGTAGTGGAGGAATTGCCGGAAGAGGGGCTGATCAATCGCCCATGATGACTCTTCGGGGGAGGGGGTGGAATCTTGTCCTTGTTGCCCGGGCGGCTCGCCAACGGTCGTCTCCCCTCGTCAACGGACGATGGGGACTTGCCGCTTCTGTAGTTCTCATTCCCGGCCATACTAGCACGTGGACTGTCTTCGAGGCTGGTGGGATCTGATAGAAAGACACTGCGACGCGCCGATTTATCCGAGCTCGCCGCCGTACGAGGTGTTCGATCGCCGTGTCGCTCTTCGGGGCCACCGTAGATATCCGTGCGCATGGCTTTCCCCCGTGGCGGTACCGGCGGATACGGGCGCTCCTCCTTCCCTTGTTCTTCCTCCTCCTCATCGCTTAATGATTCTTGACGGAAGGGGTCGGATGTGGATGACGGGTCATCCTCGGATGTCGAATCGTCCGCATCGGTGGGGTACGACGCAGACGGGGTGGGGACGATACCATTCCGCGTGGTTGCCGCGGTGGCAACCGTATCGACTGCGATCGGATGCTCCGAGACAGCGTCGTTGACTGTGACCGACGGGGGTGGAGGATGGTGGTCTTGGGGGTCTGTCTCATGAGCGTTCATTCCGGCTTACCTAGTCTCCCCACTCCACGAACCGTTGGACGGAGCATAGGAAGGGACAGGGTGGGGTAGAACTCACTCTCTGGTTTTCTAGGGCGGAAAGGATTTAATCCAGACATCGCAAAGGAGGATAAAGGGGGTGAGCATGGGAGCCAGAAAGGAGGAGAAAGAGAAGAGAGAGGCTGACAAGGCGGAAGCAAAGAAGACCGAGGGAAGGCGAGGCCACAGAGAGGGTGGAAGTAAACACCGCTCGCGGCTCTCCGGCAAGCACCCCGAACCAAGTAATTATTGTATAGATTTAGAGGCCGTTTCTATGCCGGGAATTCAAAACTAAGGCAAGGAAAGAAAAAGACAAAAGGAAGAAAAGTATATGGTACAGATATGTTATCCCAAAAAAAACCAAAGCCAAAACCAAAACCAAAGAAAAAGCACAGCGCAAACCGATCCTCCCCCCGTAACAAAAAGCACTCCGGGTAATACATATCATTCTCTGTATGCGAACCAACACGTCTCCACCCGACTAGCAGCCAAAAAAAAAAAAGAAAATCAAAAACCAAGAATTAGGAAGACAACAAAACAAATCAAAGGGAATGAGAAATAGGAAATTAGAGATAACCGGTCATCAGAGTTCCTCCCTTGAGTTTCACTATCCAAGAGAGAAGGGTATCAACTCGCCCATTTATATCAATATACCACGAAAACCACAAACAAGACAATAAAAAGACAAAATGAAAGACAGACATGAAAAGAGAAAGGGAAAGAAAGGAATGAGAGAGGGAAGAGGGAGCTGTCCTCTGAGAAGCTCTCCTTCGTGTATATGTCTTCCCTCTCATTTCTCTTTCCTTCCCATCCTCGCACATTTATTCCCGTTCCTCATACACATGCCAATCGACATCGCCGAAAAAGGACCGGGCCAAAGCTCGACCGCTCTCCGTTGGTTGGCTAAAGGCCATCTGCTCCTTGGGGATCTCCATGCCGTAGATAAAATTGCTCACGACGCAATCCAGGAGATCCATGGCGATGCCTTTCCGCCGCGATGCGCCCGAGGTCCAGATGCGGGAGATGCCCACGATGGCCGGGTGCGTCTCCGGGCGGACCGTGACCGCCGTGTCGGCGCCCTCCTTCGGGGTGGCGACGTGGTCGACGGGGCGGGACTCCCAGATGCGTTCCGTCAGACAGGCTCCGACGCAGCGGCTGTCCTTCATGTGGAGGAAGACCTTGTAGCGATCGACCTTCTCCCCCGGGCCGTCACTCTGGCCCGCGGCGGCGGAGGGCGGCGGTTCCGTCTGGCTCCAGAGGACCTCGTCGTCGATCTCGGGGGAGGACAGCTCCTTACTGATGACCTCGAGCACCTTCTTGGCCTGGCTCTTGGCGGTCGGCGAGGCTTTGCGATCGACAATGACCACGTAGCCTTCGTCAAAGCGTGTAGCCTCGTAGACCCAGCGCGACGCGTTCGCTCGCATGAAAGCCTTGCCCAGGTCAACCCCGGTCGCGTTCATATCGTGGAATTTCTTGTGCAGCGCCGCATCCTCGGCGTTGGACGGGATATATTCCATGCCGCAGGTGGAGCAGGTGCGTCGCGTCTCGTGGCCCAGATCGATCTGCATCTGTCGCAGCGGCGGTTGCGGCAGGGCGGACGGGACCGGGGTGGTCTTCTTCTTCTTCTCCTTCTTGGGGGGATCAACGGAGGCGCGCACGCTGTTGGAGTTGACCTCGGTGAGGGGGGTGCCGTTATTGGTGCCGGAGGTGGGATGATGGGCGGTGCCGTTGGCGGGGGAAGCGTGACCCCGATCCTTCGGGGCGGCCGACTGTTTGCGTTTGAGGAAGGAAAATGTCGGTTTGCGCGTGTTGGCCGGCGGGGGGCTCAACCGTGGTGGTGGGGAGGAGGGTGGCGTCGACAGGTCATCCCCATCCGGGGAGCCCTCGGAGAGGAGGATGGAATTCCGACGCGACGGACTGGACCGCACGGCGGCGGAGGACTCCCGAATGGCATATTGGATGCTGTTCTCAGCCTCATCAGACTCGGTGCCCGACAAAACGCGTCGTTTCTTGGCCGCGGGTCGTGGGTCGTCGTCGTAGACGCGCCACAGAGGTCTCCCGTATGTTTTCATCGTCAGACCGCTAGACGAGGAAATGACGTTAGCGTTGAGCAAAAAAGACTGAGGGATCAAACGACACGTACCGCTTGAATGAGTTTGTTACAGTCCACGGCATCTCCCTAGTAGCCAAACATGCAAACGACGGGGATCATGGATGACCCTTTTCTGACTGAAGAAGAAAAGGGATATATCAAGGGAGGATGACGGGTGATGATCAGAGGAGGAGTTAGAAGCTATAGAAGTCAAAGTCGGAGTCAAGTCAGAAGTCGCAGTGGTCAAGAAGTGATGATAAAAGAGAGAGAAAGCAGACAAGGGAGAAGGAGGAGGTTGGATGACGAGGTGTTCCAGTCGCCGATGAATTGAATTATTTTCCACAACGGGGCGGAAGGTTGCGGCGAACTGATCGACGGGGCTGACGGAAACGCGTGCCCAGCGAGACTAGGCTGGATCGGGGTATATTACTATGATTCAATTTACATGTATTATTTATATTATATTATATTATATTATACTATTTTATTATGTATTTATTGATTGATTTTATTCTGGCCAAACGCAGGAATGCCTGACCTCGGTCGCCGTCGATATATAGTTGATCAGTAAGGGAGATTTGCCTCTGAGTTGGAGGATCTCATGCTGTTGATCGTCATGTATAGGAGACTGGAGCCTAACGCCACGATTTGCCTCTATACCTACCAGTAAATCAATGAATAAAATAGAATAAATTCATGATACTTGTGAGAAATATTAATCAACAGTCAGAAGTATAATGTATCTACATACATTGAGAGAATAAGAAATACGGCTAGAATACGAATCAATAGGATAGATATAGATAGTACGCCCTTGCTGGCATCCCGGCAGTCCTACTAGTACTTTCCTACATGTTGCCCATACTATCGCATCATGAGTCCAAACAACATCCACACAGTCATTCAGCATGAACAGAATCCTCTATCCGTCTGTGACCAAAAAACCAACGCGCCATATCCAACCTCAAGAATGTGGGCGCGTCCCGAATACCTTCCTACCCAATGTCTGGCCCTGCCACCACGAAACATTTGGGAAGGTAGGAATGGAAATCCAATTGAATACCACAAAATAGAGAGAGAAAAAAACAAAGACAAAGACAAGAAATTGAAGGGGAAAGCAAGACCAGAGAAGATCACCAATCAATCCCTCATCCAATGTTGAAGCTGATCCTCACTCTTCCGGTGTCCATACTCCATACAATCAGGCAAACCCAATCTCCAACACCATCATCATTAACCATCCCCGCTGATTACGGGAGTCTGACATCATCTCAAATGGGATGTCACTTTTTTACTTTTTTTCTTACCTCCCCTGGATTTGTCCCCAGCACCATCTCATGCAAGAACCCTTGAGTGATGGTGACTGGAGGCGCGTTCGCCAAGGCGAGCTGGGCAGTGTCACTGCGCCATGACCAAAAATAAGGAAAGAAAAAGATAAAAACAAAGCAATGATAAGAACAAAACAAGACAAGGCGATTGCCAGATCCCCCAAGGGTCGTGGTCCGGTCCGTGAAACAACTCAGATACCCCTCTTCAGCTTCTGATTCGTCCCCGACTACGAAGCACACTGCATGGGATGGATCAGATTCGTCCGCAGTCACGGCCAACCATCCTGTTTCAGTCTGACCGAAAACTCCAGACCAAGTCTGGGGGCGAATTTCCAATCTGAAAAAGGAGCGATACGGGGTACCTGACCACGATCTCCTCTTGGTGGCCCCCAGGAGAACCCCCCAGAGACCCCCACAATTCCATTGACCGCCGATATAACGACCCCTGCGGCTGCTGGGCCTGAATAGCCACGATCAGCAATGTGATGTGCTGACTCTCGGGTTGAGATCCTCCTCCCTGCCAACTATAATCCTTTGTGGTACAGGAGGGGTGGTCATTGTGTATCTTCCAGGGTTTCACACCCACGGGGCCCCGTGGTCCCCGTGCTCCGGATTGGTCTGGTCCGCCAGAAATTCCCCATGTCATTTCACCTGCTCGCCGTTCCAGAAGTTCCCAGTAGCTCGGCGAAGTTGACCAAGGCATTGATCTACATCGACGAAGCCAAGCAAGCGACAGTAATCACAGGATGGTTGCGGACGAGAGGACCCATGCAAATCCCCAGAGGACATGGCATAGCTGATCAATCCCATATGGAGCACGATTGATTTGATTTCCATCTACGGAGCACTCCCAGAAGAACTGGTCTCTCTCTCATTCTCGGACGGTTGATCGGTCGACTTCGCCTCCAGCCGGTGACACACGGAGCGGCTCCATCAGGATACTGGATTCGGTTCGTACATGTGCATTCCATCGTCAGGCAACGTCCCTAGAGGTCCGGTCTCGTCATTGGCCCCTCGTCCGATTCTTTCCCCAAATCTCACGCGAGATCCGGCTCAGGGCTGACAGGTGCCTCCATGGTCGATACGACGTCCATCATGCTGACGGGGAAGTCACCGATCAACCAAACCATGAGGCTGATCTATATAATCGATCTATATGATCATGGACGTAAATATAATGAGCACAATGGACTAAAGGAGGACAAAGGTGCGGCTGACACGAAGAGCATCCAATGTAGTTCCAATGAAGGAATCTATATCTTGTGGTGGAGTACAGTAAGACTGGAGTACCTCAGGCACCCACGGGACGGACCCAAACTTTTTTCTTCGTTTTTTTCCTTCAATTTCTTCATTCTATTTTTTCCCTCGTTTTCTCTTCTTTTTCTTCTCCGATTTTCTTCTTTGGATTTCTGGAAAATCACAAGCAAGAAAAAAAAGAGAAGCAAACCAGACAAACAGGATCCTTCTCGGCCAATTTCCCTCTTTTTCTTCTTCCCCGTCTTCCTTCCACGTCTTCTCTTGCATCTTCACCCCCCCGGTCTCTCCCTTACTCGCAACCTCGCGCAAGACTCAGCCAGTAGCCGAGGAGAACCAGGATCAAACCGATCAGAAAGAAACAAGGGAACGAGAACCGACTGCGCTTACTTCTTCTCTTCTTTTTCTTCTCCGTCCTCTTCTTTCTCGTCCACCTTCATTCCTCTCCTCGATTCGATCTTTTCAATTCCTCCCCTCTTCGTCCCTATAAATCTTCTTGGCCGTTTCGTCAACACCACGCATTGAACCACACGAGAATATCATAATGTCGGATCCCGTCCAAATAGCAGGGAAGCGCAAGAGAGCCAGTACGTATACCCAATGGAATTCCAGCAATCTGTGGTGGTGTATCTATCACATTCCACTTCCTTCTTTCACCCCACCCCGCTTGCGCCATCTTTCTGCTGGGTGTCAACACGGGGACGATAGATCTGGGATGATCGATCTGGGTTTTCGTCGGGAATGGGATACAGGATATGACCAGTGAATCTTCAAACGAACTTCATATTCCCGTGTTGTGGTCCACGTCGGAGACAACCACCTGTGTTACCCGCCTTTCCCCTCCTCAGGCCACCGCAGACTTACCGTCTTCCCCTCCCTCTTCTCCCCTCCTTCTCCCCTCCGTCTCGTCCCCACCTGCGACCGTCAATCCCTACATCGTCCCTCGGAAATTGTCCCCCCCACCCCCTGCAAACGTGAACCCACTGTGGAATGCAAGTCAGCGATGGACGCTAATCAAACTCGAATCTCAGGGACGCAGTCTTGCCCACCCCCGGAGTTGCCCCAACTCGTCGCGGAGCAGCATGTTCCGATCTCCGCCCATGACAAGGATACCCAACGTCTGATCGTCGTCCTCTCGCACGCCAGTTTGGAAACCTACCGGGCGTCCTCGGGGGGTCGTAATGGAACCGCACGTGATGAGAAGTATTCTTTGCTCAACAGCGACGAGCACATCGGTGTCATGCGCAAAATGAATCGGGATATCAGTGAGGCGCGACCCGATATCACCCATCAGGTGAGACTTGTCCATGAGATTCCTCTGGAATTTTGACGCCGAAACTGATCTCGTTCCCGTCTCCAGTGCCTTCTCACCCTGCTCGATTCCCCCGTCAACAAGGCCGGTAAACTACAGATCTTCATCCACACGGCCAAAGGTGTCCTCATCGAGGTCAACCCCAGCGTTCGCATCCCGCGAACCTTCAAGCGGTTCGCCGGTCTGATGGTCCAGCTTCTGCACCGTCTCTCCATCCGCTCCACCAACTCGCAGGAGAAGCTGCTCAAGGTCATCAAAAACCCCATCACCGATCACCTGCCCCCCAACTGCCGGAAGGTGACGCTCAGTTACGAGGCGCCCGTTGTCCGGACCCGGGATTACCTCGAGACCCTGGGATCCAACGAGAGCGTGTGTATCTTCGTCGGTGCCATGGCCAAGGGCCACGACGATTTCGCCGACTCCTTCAAGGACGACACCATCAGTATCAGCAACTACAGTCTGAGCGCAAGCGTTGCCTGCAGCAAATTCTGCCATGCCGCCGAGGAAGTGTGGGACATCATCTGAGCGGGCCTCATCCGTCGCATCGTCCCACGCTCTCCCCTCCGTCCCGTCCACCCCTTCCTCTCCGGACAGGAACGGCTTCGGTTTTCACGATGTCACGAATCTCCTTGCGATGAGTCAGTCCTCTTATTCCAGGTGGTCCGGGCCGGCGGGGACCAGTCCCCTCCGATGGGTGTGGTGGAATTATTTAAACCGGTTGTCTCCTATGTGTTTGGTGTCTGTTTCGAGTCTCGTTCTTGCGCATCGTCCGTGCGGCTCCTCAGAGTTGCGGGTCCCCTCGTCTGTGGACCCTTCGTGTGGCGGTAGCGGCAGTCTCCAGGCAACCTCTCCTCTTCCTCTCCCCTCCCCCTTCTCGGGAAGCAGACAAATGAATCTCCGGGTGAAACTTCGGGCGGGAGGAAGTCCTCGCTGTCGATATCCTCAGCCAGGTTTTTCTCCTCCAATTCAACTGGGTGGTGGTCAGAAAATAGCGGCCCAAAAGGGCCGTATAACCCTGACCGTTTATATATACACATGTATGGTAATCCTCCCAGGTCTATGGAGATTTAGGAAACGGTAGCATATCAATCAGAGATCTATCAGTCTTTGGATGTAGTATCAGCGAGTTGTGGCATTCTTCTGTAGAGACCAGAGAGAGAAAGAGAAGAGAGGAAGATAGATGGACAAGTGCCTGAGGCCATGGTGCGTGACTTTTGCTCTTCTTGGCAAATCATTCCACTTCTCAACAACCACCGGCCTTCCTCATCCATCTATTCATTTGGGATATCTCCAGGTCAAGTCAACAAAGAGGTGATAGACTTCCACCGGGTATCCAAAACCGTCCCTTATCTCCCGCAAGTTACCCTCAATCGGGCGCTTCCGGTGGCAATGAGGGACTTCGACGTGGCACCCTGCCGACCACCTCACTCTCCCGGTGGATTCCGTCGGTGGATCAACTAATGTGATGATCGATCTCGGGGATTTTTCCATGGAAACTTCGGCTCCCTGCAAAATGACTCATCGAGGGGGAATGGATATTTGGGGTGAAGTGAGGGTCCAGGGAGTGGACTACGGAGTACATTACTACGGAGTACTCATGAAAGGGGGGACGCGCCGTGATTTGTCCCACTACAATTCGCTCTGGGCTATTCCGCCATTTGAGAATGGGCTTGGGAGATCTCACGATTTCTCATTCGCCTAGCATGGAGGGCGCTTGACCCCCGACACCATGCTGAAGTGGGTTGCAGTTTGGCGGTCAGGCGAATCGACAGCGCCATCCGGCGACTAACAGCAGCAGAAATGCCCAAAGCAAGAAAAGCCAGACATCTCTTCGTCCCCCGTCGGTCAAGAAAACCAGATGGCGCTGGTGGAGCCCCTTAGGGTGGTGGGTTTCCCCCGCCTTAAACCCAGTGGCCCTACCATTGGCCCTAGGGGGTTTGTTGTCCGGCGGTCATTGGCGGTTAAAATGGGATTGGGAGACATGATTCCAGCCCTCTTACACTCTTACTATTATCGGAGAAAAGCCTCGCAGAGAAGCAAAGCAAGTGGCTAAACGGAGCTACCCTCGGACAGGAGACTGCGACACATCCTTCCTTCCATCGATTTTCGGTAGGGGTTAGTCCATCGTCAACTTTATTCCGATGAGGGTCCGCGTTTCTTCGCCTGGTTGTCTCAGAAGTTACTAGTCAGTTCACTGTTCATAGTTGTTCTGCCCTGATCCGCCAAATGGGGATCCACTGCTGCCAATCCGCATCGTCCACCTTGTCATGGGTCCGGTCGCCTCACCCAACTCGACTTCTGACATGATGCTGTTCCTTGGCCCCATGTGCCGTATCCACCGTTTGGTCTTGCATCTTCATACTGAGAGGCGCCCCATTTTCAGAGGACGGGGCCACCTACAGGACCCGTTCATCGGACTTCCCCTCTCCTCCCCCCCGCCTAGATAGCCTGTTTTACAGATGGTGGTTTAGATTAGGAGGTCAGCATCATGGGGCCTTGCCTTCCCCGAAGTACCTCACCGTTCTGGAATGGACCTGCAGATTTCAAACACCATTGGTACCTCACCGATACTGGGCACCTATTCGGGGTCGGTACGTGAGCGTATGCATGACGGCCTGCAATGCTTAACCCGTATACTAAAGGCATTTTTGCTAACGTCGGGTCTACCATGATTGGACACAAATTGGGCATGCTTGGGTCTTTTTTTTTCTTTCTCCTTGGAGGGGAGATCGTTCCCCTCGTATGCTGCTTCGCTTTGACATAATTCATGCTATCGCCCCATTTTATCATACTGGTCCTTGGCTATCTCACACCTCCATTCCTTGTGATTCCATCTGTATAAATAATCCACGGCCAGCGCCGTCTTTTCTTCTCAAATCAAATTGCCCCAGAATCTCAGACTTGACTGTTGTATACTACCCTGGATTTCTTTCTTTTCATCTCCTCTAGCTTAACCTACCTTGTCCTTTGTCTTGACCAAATCCATTAACTCGCTGAGACCCTTTCAGCGAGTCTCTCGCCCATCCACCATGCCGGTGTCACATTTAACCCTAACTGTCGCCCACCTCCCCACTTCCACATCCTTTTTTCTCTCCTGTTTACAGCCGCTGGGGTACCAGTTCATCGGCCGTCATGACGACTTTATCGGCTTCGGTCAGAAGTCGGGAGAGCCCGCAGACTTCTGGATCACCGAGCAAAAACCGGGGTATGTCATTGCTTTCCGTCCCAGACTCAAATACACCTGGTTCCATGGCTGATTCATCCCAGAGTCCCAGCCGGTGCAGCTCATGTCGCGTTCCCCGCCCCATCCAAGGATGCGGTGGGCACGTTCTTCATCAATGCCTTGAAATCCGGCGCAAAACTGCACGGGGAGCCCAAAACCCGCGACGCCGACTCGGGGTACTACAGTGCAGCCATCATCGATTTCGACGGCAACAGCATCGAGGCGGTCTACCGGCCCAGCCACTCGTCCGCCCGGTCAGAGATCAGCCAACCGACACTGGCTCTGCTGGAGGGCGGCTCCGTCGTGTCCAAGGCTAGCAGCCGAGCCAGCACCATGAAGACGGAAAGCATTGCTCCCCGGTCCGAGGCCAAATCCTACAGCTCCAAGGCCAGCACGGCCATCGACCGGGGCTCACCGTCGGGAGGCTCACGGGACATGCAGTCGGCCCCGTCCCCAACCTACGTGGTGCACTCGACCACCACGCAGAAGACCGACGAAGGCAAGACAGCCAAGACCATCGTGGGCTCGCTCATCGGCGCCGCAGCTGGCGCGGCCCTCGCATACGCCATTACCTCCAGCACCTCGGACTCCACCGAGGCCGCCACCACCACTTCCCCGCCGCCGCCGCAATACTCCCCGCGGGAGTTTCTCCCACAGCTTCTCTCAGCCTCGCAGGCACCCTCACAAGTGTCCGAGCGGCAGGGCTACCGGGCGATCGAAGCAGGCCCAGCCCGAAGCACCTACTCCCAGTCCGAAGGCCGCCCATCCCTAGCTCGGAGCGTCAGCTCCAAGAACCCCCGCGCCAGCACCATCTACGAAGGCACGGAGTTCATCCCCCGCAGCAGCGGCGGCAGCATGTACATGGACAACAACGGCCGTCGCGCCTCGGAAGGCGGCAGCGGCGGCGGCAGCGTCTACATGGACAACAACGGCCGTCGAGCCTCAGAAGGCAGCGTCTACAGCAGCGACCGCGAGATCCCCCTGCGCGCAATCGAGTACCCGCCTCCACTAGACGAGTCCTACGAGGAGGGCTACGACGCAAGCACCCTGATCAGCAGCTTCCCCGACCAGTCCCGCGCAATGATGGACCACGGCAACGGCAGCGTATACTCGTCCGCCTCGACGATCAAGCCCTCCAAGGCCAACTCGCACTACTCCGAGCGCCAGCGATCATCTCCTCCGTCCTCCCACCACGGCAGCTCCGCCTCCTCCTCGCGCCGCTCCTCCCACCACCACTCCACGCACCGCTCCCCATCCAGCCACCGCAGCACCCACAGCCACAGCAACCACCGCAGCCGCTCCTCCGAAGCAGGCAGCCACGCCCCCTCCTCAACCTCCACCCGCAGCGCACGCCACGTGCCCCTCCCAGACAACGGCTCCTCAATCGCCTCCTTCGCAACCTACCGCAGCGGCTCCCACGCCCCACCATCAAAGGCCCCATCATCGAAATCCTACATGTCCGCCCGCGACGTGCCCCTCCCAGAAAGCATGGCCGACCTCGACCTCTACGACAACGACACAGCCGTCACGCCAGACGACTCAATCAGCCAGATCGACGAAGGCGGCCGTCGCCCTTCCTACTCCCACCGCTCGCATACCTCCCGCTCAGGAGGCGGCGGCGGTGGTGGTGGCGGATCGCGCGTGTCTAAGCATTCGTCCAGATTCGACGAGCCCGTCCGTCCAGCCGACAGCGTCAGCCAGATCTCGGTCAATCCTAGCCACGTGTCGAAGGCGTCGTCGCAGCGGACTATGAAAGCCGGTGGCGGGGGGAACTCGAAAGCCGGGTCGAGGTTTGGGGGGACTACCACTGGAGGCAGTCGGAGGGGGAGTCAGGTTGTTTGATTCCTTTCTTTCCTTTCCTTTCCTTTCCTTTCCTTTCCTTTCCTTTCCTTTCCTTTCCTTTCCTTTCCTTTCCTTTCCTTTCCTTTCCCTTTGCTTATTGTGGATATTCTCTTATTCTCTTTTTGTCTTCTCTTTTCGCTTGTTTACTTGACTTGACTTGACTTGACTGTTTCTTTTCTATACTTTCACTGTCTTATTGTTCATTTATCATCATCATCGTTTATCATTCATCGTCGTTCATGCTGGTTGATTGTTGATTGATTGCATTGCATGATTGAGAGTTTGGCATATACATACATACATCATACATCATACATGATTATCACACAACGTTTATGAGAGGTGGAAGAAGGAAGAAGAGAGAGCGAGAGAGCATCATTGTTGGCGTTTGGGTTTGAAAGAGGATTGATCACATGTTTGTTATTACTATTTCATGATTTCATGCTGTTATCTGATTATTGATTGATTTACTTGACTATCAAAAGATTGTCCTTTGCTTTACTTTGCTGCGATTAATAAACTGTGTCATATCAATATCGTTGACATGCGATTCAATCAAAATCTGCTATATCCTAATACGGTTGGTGTACTCATATCAACTACTCGTTCTACAATTCTACATCACCAGAAGAAAACACTGCAATAATGTGACGGACGAGTCGTGGCTACTCCTATCTGATAGTAGATACACACCACCAACCTCGCCCAGTCCTCCACCATCTCCCTCCCCATCAGGCCAAGCTCCATGACCATACCATCCCACCTCCTCACCCTCGTCTCGCATCCGGCCTATTCGACCGCCTCACTACCCAAGAAGGTAGGAGGAGAACGACAGGCGCAGAGGTCAAACGAAAACGAAAACACAAAGAATCCGACTCCATTTCAGTTTAAGATAATGCCATGAATGCATGATAAGAAGGTGGTCATAATGATCGTTGGAGATGACAGTTTTTTTTTCCCGTCAAAAGGAAAAAAAGGCTGCAAAGAAAAAAAATGTAATAAGAAAGGAAAAAGAAAAGAGAATAAAAAAAGGACACCCAAGGATCGCCAGAGCCAGACACACAAAAGGATTCACCGAGAACAAGGCCAGGATCTACGATCACGGGACGCAGAGCTTCGGATCCGATCTAACGCACGGGAAGAAGACACAGAAGCAGCTGGGACGATATGGAGGGGTCGTCCCACGGGAACTGCCGGTGGACGATCAAATGGCGTACTTGCGCGTCCACTCACGAGCGGTGGCTTCGTACCGGGGACGGTCGGTCTTGTAGACGTGGGCGATCTCGGGCACCAACGGATCATCCGGGTTGGGGTCTGTGAGCATCGAGCAGATGGACAGCAGCACTAGAAAAGTATTAGTTTCGATAACGGTCGGGCACTGGAGAAGAGCGGAGGAAAGCGGGCGCACCCTTGGAGATGGTGAGAGCGGGGCTCCACTGGTCTCGGAGAATATCTAGACAGATGCTGCCGTTGGAGTTGATGTTGGGGTGGTAGATGCGCGTGGTGAAGTTGACCTTGGGGGGCTTGAACGGATAGTCGGTGGGGAAGTGGATCGAGAGGAAGAAGACACCGCCGGAGTATGGGGAGTCACCCTGGATGGTTAGTGTCATATCGAGGTAGAGATTCAAGAGATACTCACAGGACCCATGATCGTTGCTTGCCAGTGGAACTGTTCAATGTCAGTCATTTGTTGCGTTAATAGGCGGGTGTATCGATTTGAGGGTAGACAGAGGCGGGGTCGTCGGATCGCATGGAACCCCGCCACCGTGGGCAAAATGGGAGGCACTATGGCGGTGAAAATCATACCAGGTCATCTCCAGAAGGACCAGCCGAGCAAGACGAGGGGGGATCACTATTAGGTATCAGTATATATTGATGGTCATAATGGGTGTATTCTTGAGATGTTGGAGGGGCAACCGAGACCGCCCCGCGGCGGCACAAGGCTTGATTGAAGAGGTGGGGTGTAGATCGTTCAGTCCACCAATTTTCTTCTTCTTTTTTTTTCTTCTCTAAATAAAGAAGATCATACATACCGGCCGAGGTCAGTGAGTTCCTTGTTGATTCTCTTGAGAGCCATCTTGAAGGTGTTGTGTGTGGATCGAGGCGGAAGTGTAGGAGAGAAAGAAAGACGGAAAAAGATAGGAACCTGCGACCAGAATGAAAGAAAGAGAGAGACGAATCAGTCAGCAAGATCAAAGCGTGGAATGTGGATATGGGGGGAGGCGATATTTATAAGATATTGGGTAAGAGGGGAGGGTGGAGGGGGCTGGGTTTGGTTCAGGATAACCCTATTGCCACTGAATCTAGTAGAAAGTGGACGGTGGAGGGAGAGACCGGGAAAGAAAGACTTACTGCTGGTGTATTGGAGAGAGAAGAGAGAGAGAAGGAAACAGGAGGTTTGAGGTCAACGGGAGAGAGAAGAAGAGAAGAGGAAGAGGGGAGAAGAAAGAAAGAGAGAGAGAGAGAGAGAGAGCGGGGGCAATTGGGCTGACAGTCGAACAGATTTCTCGCCCGTCACTCCTTTCAGGACCGTACCCACTTAGCCACCTACCTTTATAGTCTTACATCGATATCATTTTACCTATATAAGTAAATATTTCTTGATATTCTAGATATTTGAGATATCATATAGAATATACTCTATATTATGTTATCCATCGAATAGCGTAGAATATCGCCACATTGATTGCCCCTCGATGACGGAGTGTCTGACCATACCTGACCATACGGTATCGTACCCGGTCCTGTCGTACGCTGTGGCGCAGCAGTCACGTGTATCGTTTGCCTCAGGAATCACGTATACTCCTATCGAATGGATAGTTACATATAGTTAGATGGATAAAACTACGGAGATCCAGTAAAAATCTATCATCAGTTCATACTCTATACAAGTCTCCTAACTGTCTCAAACAAACGCCTGCACCCCCGTAATGGCTCGCCCCAGAATCAAGGCTAATCCGTCAGTACCACTCTTCGATGGAAAGGAAGGGGAAAACTCACCATGGATATCACTTTGTCCCTCGTAAGTCTGCACCACAAACAGATTCGCCACGTGGCGCCCGATGTGGTACTCGTCGCTCGTCGCGTTGCCGCCGAACACTTCTTGTAAGCTGTATCCAGCCAGTCAGTACCTTATCCACAATGAAGGGGGAGAGCGGGGGGAAAGGGAGAAAGAGACATACATCCGCGAGTTCGCCAACGCCCGATCACAGTTCTGTCTCTTGACCAGAGAAATCATCTCCGGCGTCGCCTTGCCCGCGTCCTTCAGCCGGGCGACCTGCGTAGCCGCCAGCGTACCGTACGTGGCGTCCGTGGCCGCATCGGCCAGCTTCTTCTGGATAAGCTGGTACTTGGCCAGCGGGTTGCCCTTGAACTGCTTGCGCTCGAGCACGTAGGTGCGCGCGCGGCTCAGACAGTCCTCCAGGGCGCCCATCGCGCCGAAGGCAATGCCCAGGCGGGCGCTGTTCAGGCAGGTGAACGGACCCGTCAGGCCCTGCACCTCGGGGAACATGTTCTCGGCCGGCACGGGGCAGTCGTCCAGCTGGATCATGCCCGTGATGGAGGCCCGCAGAGCCGTCTTGTTCTTGATAGCCGGCGTCTCCAGCGTACCGGGGGGGCACTGGTCGCGCTCGACCGCAAACCCATGGATCTTGCCCGTGCTCTCCAGCTTCGCCCACACGACCAGCACGTCCGCGATCGGCGAGTTGGTGATCCACGTCTTAGCCCCCGACAGCAGGTACGTGCCCTTCTTCGTCGGGTGCTCGCGGGCAACCGTCTCCATCGCGCCCGGGTCGGACCCGTGGTTGGGCTCCGTGAGGCCGAAGCAGCCGGCCAGCTTGCCCTTGGCGAGCCCGGGAAGCAGGCGCTCCTTCAGCTCCTCCGTTCCGAACTCGTGGATGGCTGTCATCGCCAGCGAGCTCTGCACTGACATTCCTGAGCGGTATCCGGAGTCCACGCGCTCGACTTCCTTGGTGATCAGACCCGATGCGACCGTGCTCACGCCGGCGCAGCCGTAGCCTTCGATTGTGGCGCCGAGGAGGCCGAGCTCGCCCATTTCTTCGAGGATGCGACGGTCGTAGTTTTCATGTCGGTAGGCGTCTATATAATTAGTTTGATGAATTCTCCATAGCCAGCATGGTGGGGTCGGGGATATAGAAAAAGAATGAAGAAGAACCCACCCAAAACTCTCGGCTGCAACTGCTCCTGACAGTACTGACGAGCCGTCTCCTGGATAGCCAGCTCCTCCTCGGTGTACAACTCCGACGCCGCCAGCGGATCCTCCCAGTTGAAGGTGGCATAACCGCGCGTGGCGGTGCGGAGGGATCCCGGGCGTCCCGCCTTCGAGAGATGGCGCGAAGCCATACGAAGAACAGAGGGATTCATGGTGCAAGTAGATAAAAAAAGATAATATATACAGAAAGACAGGAAGAAACCAGAAAGATCAAGAACGATTGCGGGGCAGACCGACTTAAATAAAGGGTCCTCAAGGAGTCAGTCAAGTGGAAGTAAGAGTAGGGTGGAAGAGGCAAGACCTCGGCAATCGGCGGGCCGCCTTCAAAAGAGAACCAAATACTCCAATCACGTCGGCCATCCGATTCCAGCGATCGTAGCCGTCCAGCCCGAAGACTTAATAAATGGAGCCGAATTCCGCGGAAATCAAATCGCCTACCAGGTAGCTAACTATAGGTACTCCGTACTAATAAGGAATTGATTAATGCAGGTCGGCGGAGGCGCGTCGGTTCGGTGGTTGTGTCCAATCACGGTGTTTAGCACATAGATACCTTGGCTTGGCTTCAGTTGGTATGCCGGTAGGCCATTCTCCCTTGATACTAGCTATGTTGAGATAGGATTGATATGGTATTTGTTATTCGATTACTGATAGATTGAATATTGACATTGAGATATTTGCGGCTGGAGTATACATGTCATTCTCAGAACAAACAATAGTATCAACAAGAGTAAAACAAACCCAAACAGACAACCCTTACCATAAATGTATATACAATCCTAAGCCACCCATTAATACAGCATCATATACTATATCTCCACCATACACCCTGATATACATCTAACCAGCAGATCAATCATTCACAGAGGACAGAGAATTATGCCGGCATCTGGGACTGCAAAAAATCAAACACCCCCGTCGGAAAATACTCCTCATCGAACCCCCACAAATCCGCCATCATAGGGTCGATCGACCCCTCCGACAGACCAGGCTGCGGTTTATCCGCCTCCGCCGCCGCCGGCGGTTCCAAGCCGTGACCGCGTTCCGCCGACAGCGGCGCCACCCCCAGCAGCGGCGGCGGAGGGTGGAGGATAGTGTCTCCCGCTCCTAGAGGCTGGGAGCCCGGGATGATGACTGGCTTGAACAGCGGGGTCGGGTCGTGTGAGTGTGGCCGGCCCGCCCCTAGGAAAGAGGAGGCGGAGGAGGAGGATAATGACGGCGGGCTGCCGGCGGTCCGCTTCTCCCACTCTTCCAGGCCAGTGAGCATCTTGCGCAGGCCGCGCGCAATGTGGTGGCTGAGGTGACGCTCGCTGGCGCGCTTGCTGCACGATACCATCAGGTCGATGACCTGGCCGACTAGAGTGCGCACCGAGGCGTTGTCGATGGCGAGGCCAGCGGCCGCGATCGAGTTTGGAGGTCCGGGAGCCCCGCGGCGGCCGCAGGAGCAGCATTTGGCGGCGATCTTTAGCAGGAAGACTGCCGCGAAAGTGATCATGCTGTGGAGGTATAGTGGCACGCCTACCAGCGCTGCTTGGATGTCTGGCTCGTCGAGCACGACACGGAGGGTGCCGATCGCCGACTCGATCGCTAAATTCGCGCGTTTGCGCCGCGCCTCGGACATGGGCCGGGTCGACGTCGAGGAGTGGTAGGTCCGTAGCGCTACCGAGTTGAGTTGCAGCCGCGAGAAGTTGTAGTGTAGGTAGACGGCCCGATATGGGTACGCTCCGACATACCGGCTGCCCACTGTTGAGGTCAGCAACGGAAAAATAAAGGATGTATAAACAAATAAGGTTGAAATAGAAAACCCACCTAATCGGGGAAACCACGCCGCCTGCCACTCCGCGAGGTTGGTGTCGAATTGGTCGATGGTTGGAAAATCACTCTCGGGGACCTCGAGGTCGACATCGGGCCCGAAGGCATGATAGATCCGGGTCAGGATGATGAACAGGTCGACCTGGCTGTGCAATCGCAGATCGGACTGCGGCGCGGTCGGGGAGAGGGTGAAGGTGTGATGGTTGATGATACTCTGGTCTTCGTGGATGATGGGCGGTCGTCCGTACGCAATTGAGAAATGATGTTCGAGGGTCTGCGACGTTAGAAGGATCCTGATGGGGGGAGAAAAGTAAAGAATAGAGAACAAAGGAAAACAGAAAACTCACGTAAAGAAGATACCACAGTCGGGCCTGCTCCACATGTTCAGGCAACCCCAGAGTGGCCTTCCGATACGACTGATGCAGGCCACGCTCGGTCGCAATGCGGACGGCATATCCCGACAGCTTCCAGCTGACGTCGGCCAGCCAGAAGGCGCCGATGCAGAGCGCGCGCAGATCATCCAAGGTATGGTGACGGTCCAACATCGACTCCGACGCCAACTTGGCAAACTCGGTGTAGCAGATGTCGAACGTCCGTTCCTTGTGGGGCCTATGCAAAGCCGTCACGGCCAAGATGGCAGCGGAAAGCATCGAAGAGGAATTCCGCGCCGACGTGAGGTCCTTATGCACCAGTGCAATTCCGTCCCACAGATATCGGTTCAGCACCTGGTCAAAGTAGTCGAACAATTCCTCCGCCTCGTCGACACCGACCACTCCCTTGGATATGAAGTCCGTGACGAGCGCTCCGTTTAGGGCATGCTGTCGTTCAGGGGTGCCCGCGTGAATGTCACTCAACTGCGTCACTTCGTACAGGCTCCCCATGGGCGCCGTGACCAACGACGACGTCCCGTTCTCCTCGCGGTCGAGAGCATATTGCGTCGGCTGCGAGAAGGTCTGCGGCGCGGCGGTCGTCGGCGGGGCGGTCACGGAGGGGACACCCGCCTCAGCAGACTCCATCCTCTGGCCACCGTTCGTCATGCTCACGGGGTCTTCCAGGGACACGGTCGAGTCCTGTCGGTCTCTTCTCTTCCGGGGAGGGGTCTGGCCATCCGCGGGGCTTCCCCGCGCTTGGTAAGAGGCCAGATCCGGGAGGCCAGCCTTCCGGAGAAGATCGGACATGGCGCGCTCCATGATCGTTTTCCACCTGGAGGATCACACGACAGCGTATCAGCAATGGCACGGCGGAGGAGGTGGTGGTGGATCGTAAATACTCTGTCTCATCGTCCAACAACGTTTGGAGATTCTTATTGACAACGCACTTCAAGTCCATCCGACAGCATCGGTGGCAGGCGGCGTCGCCCTCGTTCATGTCACATCGCACCTTGTGTCTCTTACACTCGGTGCAGGCGCGTATGCGCCGGGAGATCTTGGGGAAGTGCGTGGGGCCTTGCCGGGCACCCAGTTCGGGGACCCTCGGGAGGGGGGGAGGGCCCTGCGGGGACGACGCGGACGACGCATCTTCCCCGGCTTCGAAAAGGGTACGACTTCTTTTCATGGCGGAAACGCATCCATCTCCACGAGATCTGGGAGAAGAGGAAAAAAGACTATGATGTAGAAGGTGGAGGAGGGGAAAGCGTGGAGAATTACATGGGCGGGGAGGAATCGTTCTAGTCCGACGTTATCAGCGGTACTAGTATGGGTTTCGTATTAGTTAGTGTCATGCTTACCTCGTCCGGTGATGACGATGCATATTTTCCAAAACACAACGGTAATAATCATGATGGTGATACAGCTGCGATTGGGGTTGTCCTTACATCTCTACCGTGAAGTCCAGGTCAATTATATAGACCTCAGGGACACTGTGTCTTCAATCCGGTATCTCTCCGACGTTGAATTCTAATTCTTGGAGCAGGCTGGACCTGGCCCTGCCTGAGCGTCGTCACATGGCCGGCGTGATCCCAATAATCCGATCCACGGTCGAGCTGAAGTCTGTTAGATGAGGTGTGTAACATTGCGACTCATGAATCAAAAGTACCCCTGGACGCAAGAGCACACTCTGAGTCATGGCGACAGGAAGTTGTAAGTTGTAACTATACCGGATGTTCAGATGTGGAGATCCGGGGTCATCACGTGCTGATAGGGTTATCGCTGACTATGCACAACAACCGCATAAAAGCAAAACAACTGCTTCTCCTACTCGCTGTCCTTCTTCTCTCCTTATCGTGTTGACCAGTTTTGATGCTACCATAGAGGCGATCTCTCGAAGTACGAATCCTGTAGATCAATGTCCATGAAGAGAATGCGACAGCAGCAACCGTTATGGTCGACCCATCCATCATCCCTGTTCGTAGTCTAGATCAACAGCCGAGCCGACGCATCCCCCAAGAACAGACGCAGAGCGTGATCGTGGCGTCGCAACGGTCCATGGTTCTTTTGAAACATCCAGGATAGACGGTGAGTCACGTCTGGTCGGGGCTGGACAGCCAGGTGGCAGTGATTTGGGCGACTGTGTTGGAAGACTCTGTCCGGCGCATAGCTCTCATAGTTCGGACAGGACGATACTAGTGAATAGATGCCAAATACCGGTTCGTCGTCGGCCAATAGAATATAACTTGGTGATTATGGCGTCGTATCGTGGGGAAAGAGAGTTTCTCTTTACTTGTTTGATAGAAGCAACCATCTTTCATGTATTTCTGGGTCCGGTGAGACCATCCGAGAAAGTTGGAGGGAGAGATCATCGCCGCCGGTTGAGATATATAAAAAGTGTGGATGTGGCTACCGAGAGCCCCTGCCAGGTAACATCGTTCAAGGGCCACCACCACTCTCATCCCGTTCCGTTCAATAGTCGAAATTCAATTGAGGGGTGTAATTCTCCCCGTCCAGTTCAGGTAAATCCTCATAGAGCATAGGAGACGGGACCTGCGCGGTAGATCACGACTTCTACGATTGGATCACTCCGTCCCGATGGAGAACACCAGCCAAGCATTCCACTCGGATGCGCTGGACGGCTGTTTTCGACCGTCGCAACTGGCATCTACTGTTGGAACCTTTTTCCAAAATCTTCTCGCCAATGACGTGAATGGCAAAGTTAATACTGCCTGCGATGGGAGGGGTCCCGTGTGATGATCCGCGCGTCTCCTTTGTCCGGCTCGTTCTGCGACGATGCCCATCCACGGAACGAGGCGCTGTCAGTGCTCGGGTAGAAAAGCCTATAAAGTACAGACAAAGAAATCCGTGACCACATGCAAGCCGTTGCTGAATCCAATCCATGGGACTTCTGAAGGGTAATTCGCAGAGAGTGGAGGTTGGCAGCTAGTGAGCTGACCGGGTGATCCTGACCCATCCGGCAAATGGATGGATCACCAATCTCCCCCGTCAGCTTTCCCACCCATGGTCGAGGATGAGAGTTTACAAAAAACTATATTCCAGTAACTTGACTACCGAGGGGACTCCTCTAGAACGGTTCGTCTCACGATACACAGTGCAACGTAGTTGTGAATGGTATATCTATCTCCGTATGTAGGGTTTGGCGCGTTACTCGGATGGCTTCATCGACCCGCTTCCGGACCTTGGGACTGCACGACAGAGCATCAATCGCATTTGCGCTTTCTGCCTCCCCACCTGGGTTAACTTCTGTAGCTTGGGATCAGAGAGGGGAAAGATGCAAGGGACGGGCCACTCGGTTACTCCGGATATCCCAGAACGGCGCACGATGTGAGGAGGTGATGAGCTTGATTGAACTGTCGCGTGGAACAGAAGTATATACGTCTATTGATGCCAACCGGCCTATCTCAATTTACTGCTTGGGTTCACCCGATGGATGAGTGCCTTATCTCATGTAAGACGATCGCTGTATCTCTTCGATCCAACCATACTCGATGCGACCCTGGAGAGGAGTTGCGACCGAAGATGCGCTGGGCGTTGGGTTGCGAACGCGACCATGCGATTAGGACCCAAGAAAAACCGAAACACCACAGGGGGTCCGAGGGGAATGGACAGCACAATCGGTCCGTGTAACTGGTAAGGTTTGGAAGTCCAACAGCCGACGAACGAGCCGGAGCGATTCTGAGACTCGAGAGCCAGGAGAGCCAGGGGGGAGAGAGCATGGAAGGTTGGAGGATGGAGGAGTAACGCGTGGATGGGGGATGTTCAGAATGCGCGACAACGGAACAACAACAACTGACCAGACCACCGTCCTCTTTCTCGCCCACTACGTAATGGATGGATACGAGTACTCAATATAAACAATCATTGCGACCCAGAAAAGAATTGAAAATTATCTACAACATCCATAATCAATGGTGGACTACAATCGCTACGGTCAACCGAAGAATGTCGCGCACACCAAAGTCAGTCGCAAGAGAAAAACAGCCAAAAAAGCCAGGCCAAAGGGGGAGAAGACCAAGCACATGATAAGACAGTGAAACAGAAGGGAAAAAATCCAAGCGAAATATATCGAGAAAAATCAAATCCAATTAGAACCATAAGAATCAAAATTAAAAAGAAAAACGAGAGAAAGAAAGAAGGGAAAAAATAATAAAACGAGCGACTTGACGTGTTGTGCTTGCGAGTGATCTTGTGTCAACACCCGCTGCCCTATAAAGCAACGCATGCCCCGCGGTTCTCCCACCCCTTCCCCCCCCCTCGACACTTCTTCTTCTTTCCCACCACATCGCTCTCATCTATCTTCTACTTGAACTCTTCTCAGCTCTTCTAGCTTCGATCCTCCTGTAGTTCCCATCCGTTTTAATACCCAAACCACTTCAAGATGCCTCCCAAGAAAGCTTCCGTTGGTGCCCCCAAGAAGGCTGCTGCTGCTCCGGCCCATGTCTCCTACCGTGGTATGTTTCTCCTGATCTTTTCTCCCCAACCCATCGCATGATATTATGTTATATATCATTTCTGTCGCGAGCGACTGCTGATTCGAATGATATAGCTATGATCACCAACGCCATCCAGAATGTGAGTTAATCACGTTGTCCGTGGCGCGTCTTGAGGGGGATGACGGGCGCCCGGGTCGCCCGACCGGTGACACGTCGACCCTGGCGCTTTCACCACCACGACTCCCAAGACTTATTGGGGTTGATTATGTTGCTGACTCTTTTTTCCTTGATAGCTGAAAGAGCGCAATGGTAGCAGGTATGTCAACGTGTTCTTCTTATTTCCCCCTTTTTTCCTTTTTTCTTTTTTCTTCCGATCCTCCCATGCAGGGTCCCGACCCTCGGCGACGTGGCAACCGTGGATGACGTTTATATCGGTCTGGTCTCCCCCCAGCTAACACATTTCCCCTCATAGTCGCCAGTCTGTCAAGAAGTACGTGCTGGCCAACAACAAGATCACCGCCGCCTCCACTCCCGCCTTTGATAGCCAGTTCAACAAGGCCATCAAGGCGGGTGTCGAGAAGGGTGAATTCACCCAGCCCAAGGGTAAGTCTCCGAGTCGCGTCCTTGATTTTTCCCGGTGTACTGGTCGATGCTTTCCATGCAAGCGACCAGTGTTCCTGCGTCGATCGCGCGTCGCCTTTGTTTAGGAGGTGAGATGTTTTGATGGGGTCGCTAACGCGTCTTTCATAGGCCCCTCGGGACCCGTGAAGCTCGCCCGCAAGGAGTCCGTCGCGAAGCCCGCCGCCAAGGTATGTTTTCTTCTTCCTTCACCTTTCTTTGTGTTTTGTTTTCTTTTATGGATTTATTTTGTTAACCTCTGAATAGAAGACTTCGTCTGTCAAGGCCCCCGCTAAGAAGACCTCGACCGCCAAGAAGGCCGCCGAGAAGCCGGAGAAGGCTGAGAAGCCCAAGACCACCACCAAGAAGGCCACCACCGCCACCAAGAAGACCACCGCCACCAAGGCCAACACCGCGAAGCCCCGCAAGACGTCGGTAAGTCTTAAGCCATCATACTCGCGACTAGACGGCCATCGTGCTAACGGGCAGCAGGCTCCCGCCGTGGTCGACAAGCCCAAGGTGACGGGAAAGACCAAGTCTGGCCGCGTGACCAAGACGACGGCGAAGCCCGCTTCCGAAAAGACCAAGAAGTCGACAGCCAAGAAGGCCTAACGGTGTTGATTGAATCAATACCTGTTTGACATTCTCAGCGACCGCTTGATGTTTTCTTTTGTGGGTTTCGTTTCTCTTGTGATGTGTGCGCGCTTTGGGTTCTTGGGCTGTATTCCCTTTCATTTCTTCGGCTGTAACTTTTTTCTCATTTGTTTGTTTCCATCTCCTTGACTATCTCGAGAGACCATGTGGTGAATCTCAGGGATGAAAGGGGTGTGATTGTGATTCTGTTGTTTGGTTTTGTTGCGATTTGGTCGGGTTGGCGTCTTGTGGTGGATTTTACTATGGGGAATCCTCTTGATCTTTCTTTTCTTTAATTCTTATTCTTTTTGAGTGGATTTAGGAGCACTGTCCAAGGACGGTTGTCAATTTGCAATGAACGCGTTGTCCATGATTTGGTAGGGACGGTTGACGGGGTGTTGTAGATGTATGGCGGATGTAATACTACCTATACTATGGCAACTCCATCCCGACATCTTTCTTCCTTGGTGCCTGTATTGAATCAAGACCACCATATACAGAATCTAGAATTCTGACAGATGTCTTTGGATGCATCAATGGCACTAGTGCTACTGGACTACGAGTGGGGTAGACGATAGATAAAGGGATTGCGTCAAAATGGGCTGGAGGTGACGTTGTCTTGTCGATCTTTCGGGGTCTGATTCATAATTCTTGTCAATTCGACTACCTAAGTAATATATTGTATGTACTAGCTATTTACTTACTATATGGTGTGAGTGTTCATGGTGTCGTTGTACATTCCAAGTATATGGACACACTTAGGTGGATATATATATTAAGGCATAAGTATAAAATATGTTGTATCCAAAATCCGGATCCTACAAACATATGCATAACTCCTGCATATATATATATACATCCCGTCCGGTCAATACGGAACCATCCTTGCTGCTGTCAGTACACCAAGAAATCCCCCGACTGACAACAGTATCTTACGATAGACAATCTGATTAAAGATTTCAGAATTGACAGCTGAGAGTCAAGAATTGAGTGAGAGCTGAAAGTGGATCCGATTTTTCTCAGCCAGTATTGGCCACGATGGATCCCTGTGGTTCGGAGTGGGTTGGATAAGAATAACAACATCTCAGTCTGGACTCTGGACTGTGAATATCTTGCTTTATTCCGGATTCTATTCTTATTTCCTTCTTATCTTTTCTGATTTTCTCTCGATTTCTCCAGAGTCTCTCTGATTCATCCGCCTTTCTTCCATCCTATAACTATAACTATATATCAAGGGTGGTATTATTCTTATCCGTATTATATGTACCACACTCGTATTGAATATATTTTCCTTCGAGTCTGGCCCGTCCATCCCGCCAAGGTCGCCCCATCACCCTCCGTCTTGGCCCTTGAAACCGCCGGTAATTCCAATACAGCGTAATCAATCCTCCCTCTTCCCCTTCTTCCTCTCTTACTTTCTCTCTTCCTCTTCTTCCCTCTCACTCTCACTATCCGATCTTTCATTTTAACTTCATCCTCCCTCTCCATCCCATTCCGGCGTCGTCTTTTCTCTCTCTCGTTTCGATACCCTTCTGTTTTGCTCGTCTTCCTTTTTTTCCGTCCGCCTTGATCGCCATTCTCTGCCTCCTTTCCTCTCTAACCCTCCCCCTTCCCACTTGGATTGACGGTCATATCCCGTTACTGAACACGCCAACACTACGGTGCCGGACTGTCCGACCTCTCCTCCTCTCGCATGATCATGCCTATCGGTCGTTAAATTTCCTTTTACCACGCCTGTCCCGGCTGGCTGCCAGCTCGGGGACTTTGTTTCGTGCATCTCGCTCGGTCTATTGATCGGATTCTTAAACAACCCCCCCCCTCTTCCTTTCTGCGCTATCCTGCCGCCTATTCGATCCAGAAGTCACTCACAGATCCTCCTCGTCCACCCTCCTCCCTTTTCTCCTCTCTATCTCTTTCCCCGATTGACCCTTTGGAAAGTTACCCCCGGGTTCGTTTGATCGACGATCGCAGACTGCACGTCACCGTGCTGTCTGCCCCCCCCCTTTTTCGACCTCCGTTGTCCCGGTTCCCGCTCCCCTGGTTTGACTCCCCGGAGTTAAATCCCATTCGATCATGCCGTCGTTTGCCAACGACATCCCCTATCAGAGTCAGACGGCTACCGCTCCGTCGTCACATCCTCATTCGTTTGATTCACCACAGGGGAAGCGGCCCGAAAAGGCCTCTGTCGGGAACACGTTTCTGTGGACAAATTGGCCCAATGGTGACTCCAGCCATCTCAACACCCCTCCCAACGAACGCCCTTACCTCACCAATGGGAGCGCCTACTCGCTCCACCCGCCGCGATCCAGCGTCAGTTCGTATACCCGAGAATTGCCACAATCCAAGGATGGCAGTCTCCATTCCTTGAATGGGTCGCCGCGAGATCCCCGCGATGGGGGCAGGCCCTCCATCTCGCTGGACCGCGACTTCTCGAGGCGGTCGTTGGACGCCGGCGGCGGCGCGGGCTCCGCGGCGGCCTCCGTCACCAGCCAGCCCGTCAACGGCACCCCGATAGGGAGTCGGTCGCTAAATGGGAAACCCATGCTCAACGGCGACCACGCCCGCCCCTCGGTCGACGAGGTGGCCACACAGCCGGACTCGGCCCGTCCGTCGACCTCGCAGCTTGACGAGGCTGGTCGCCTCTCGCCGGATCCCGACCGCTTGTCCCCCTCCCAGAACGGTCCCAACCGCTACTCCTCCCCGCCCATCCCACCCAGCATGGAGGGCGCCAACCAGCTTGAAGGGAGCGCCTCCAGCTTGCGCCATCGACACACTCTGCAGGTGCCGCGAACCACCAGCGGTCGTCGGAGCAGTCGCGACCACGGCGAGGACGCCGCCCTGGCCACCGGTCGGCTCTCGCCCACCTCGGGGAATATCCGGCGCACCTCCCTCAGTCTGGGCCGCCGGGCCAGCCGCACGAACCGCTCGGAATCCTTTCCCGACGAAGCGAACCCCGACGAGGATGCTGCCCGATGGGCCGAAGCCATCAAGCAGCGGCGCGCCTCGCGCAAGCGCCGCCGCGATGACGACGATGACGACCGCGTCATCGTGGGCACCAAGGTCGACCAGAACCATGTCAACTGGGTGACGGCCTACAACATGCTGACCGGCATCCGCTTCACCGTCTCGCGGATCAACGCCAAGATGGACCGCGAGTTGACCCCGGCCGACTTTCAAGCCAAGCATAAGTTTTCCTTTGACATGTTCGTCCCCTTCCCCCTCTTTCAAGTCTACCCCTGTTTTGCTGACCGGAGACGGGGATGCAATAGAACCGGCAACGAGCTCACGCCATCCGCCAAATACGATTTCAAATTTAAGGACTATGCCCCCTGGGTGTTCCGGCGTCTGCGGGCCAAATTCCGCCTGGACCCCGCCGACTATCTCATGTCCCTCACCAGCAAGTATATTCTCTCCGAACTGGGCTCCCCCGGCAAGAGCGGGAGCTTCTTCTACTTCTCCCGCGACTACAAATACATCATCAAGACCATCCACCATTCGGAACACAAGCTGCTGCGGAAGATCCTCCCCGAGTACTACAAGCACGTCGAGAAGAACCCGAACACGCTCATCTCGCAGTTCTACGGCCTGCACCGGGTCAAGATGGCCTACGGCCGCAAGATCCACTTCGTCGTCATGAACAACCTGTTCCCGCCGCATCGCGACATCCACGAGACCTTTGACCTGAAGGGGTCGACCATCGGCCGCGATCTGCACGAGGAGGACCTGGTGAAGAACCCCCGCGCGACCATGAAGGACCTGAACTGGGTCCGCCGCAATCGACACCTGGAATGCGGTCCGCAAAAACGCGAGTTCTTCGTCGCCCAACTCCAGCGCGACGTGGAGCTGCTGAAGAAGCTCAAGATCATGGACTACTCGCTGCTGGTGGGCATCCACGACATCGAGCGGGGGAACGAGGAGAAGCTGCGGGACAAGACGCTGCAGGTGTTCCAGCCCGGCGGGGACCGGGACGAGGATTCCAACCCCAACATGCTCATGCGGACCCCGTCGAAGCTGGAGAACGAACGCAAGGCGCGCGAACTGCGCATGCTGATCAAGCGGGAGCGTCCGGTGCCTCTCGATAAAGCCACGGCCAAGATGCCGGAAGAGATCCTCGACGAGCGCAAGTTCCACGTCTTCTACTCCGACGACGGTGGGTTCCGCGCCACGCATGAGAGTGGCCAACCCGGGGAGGAGATATACTATCTGGGCATCATCGACTGTTTGACACATGTAAGTTGGACCCGAACTTAGCCTGGTGGATGTGAAACTGACATGGCTTTCTTTGCAGTACGGGACCGTGAAAAAGATTGAACACTTTTTCAAAGGCCTCTCGCATGATCGGACCCAGATCTCCCCGGTCCCCCCTGAAGGTTACGGGGACCGTTTCATCCACTTCATCAAGGGCATCACCATGTCCAAGGAGGAGGCCGAACGGGTCCGCGAATCGCGCGCCCTTGGCCGGCCATCGGTCGAACGATCATCGTCGGTGGAGCGGACCATGTTGGCGGCGGAGAGGGAGGCGGCCAAAGAAGGGACCCAGACGCTCGCGCATCCCCGGACGATCTCGACGATGCGAGATCCAGCCGACACCCCCGGTTCGGGACCAGCATCCATGTTGCCCATCGTGGACGAAGCGGGGGAGGCCAGCAGCGTAGGCGGTCATAGCCAACACAGCCGTCATGGCCCGCCTGCCGATAAAGATCTACCCCCGCTTCCGGCCATGGAGAAAGGCAAACATGTGGCCATGGACGGGCCGCGCGATAGCTACTTTTGATCGTGCAGCTAGCCACATGGCCTGGCGTGTTGGTGTTGATCGATCCTCATGATATCCATTTCGCAGCCGTTCCGTTCATCATTGCCGGCGTCTTGTTTTCTTTTTTTCCGACTCTTTTCCGCTGTGATTCCCTCTCCGCCCGTTATCATCGAATTCCTCTCCATCCGTTCTCCTCTTCCCGCGGTTTTTACATACGAGAGCTCACATTTCTGGATCTACCTTCGTGGCAAAGTGGGCTCGTATACGATGCACTCTCCATATTGTCAGCTGCTTGGTAGATCTGCTGAGCCTTCCTTTTAACCCAACCAGAGACCGGAACTATCCGGTCTCTGGTCTCACCGACTCGACTCTCCTTAACCTTGGTTTGTTTTGCATGGCCTGCATTATCTTATCTGCTCCACTATCTTTGAACACATATCCATTTCCTTATTTTGTCCATTTCCTTATTTGTTTATGTTGAGAGGTCTTTTAGATGGCGGAACACGCATCTCAGATTACCTCCACATCCTGCATGTACCGCATATTTTCCATTCTGTTCTTTTACAAGGAGGTCGATTGACTGACTCCCTGGCTGACGGGATCTGCGATGATGCAGTCCCCTTACATTCATTGACCCAAGCGGTCTATCTATCGTTTCTCGTATAGTCATTTCCTTCTGTTTTGTGATCTACAGGTCCCTTTATACAATAGGGTTCCCTTGTTCCTTTGTTGTTATCCTTTTTCTCTTTTTGTCCACTTGTGATTGATTGATCGTGTCCCCCCTAGCAAGGCCTGTCTGTCTCTGTCTATCTGTTTTGAGCGGATTCAATTCATCCATCCATCATTGTTGGCGCTTTTTAATACATCTTTCCTTCGTTTCTTATCTTATTTTTTTTTGGTATGCTTCCTTTTTTTTTTTTTCAATCTCATTTCCATTACTCTTTAGAAGATCGTTTGATAGATGTGATGCATGGAGAGAGAGATGAAAGATGAAGATGAAGATGAAAGAAAGAAGAGAGCGGAAAGAAGAGAAGTCTAGAGAATTGATACCAATCTGTTTTGTTATGATTGTTCGTAGTCGCTAGATAGTGAAGTAGTAGCCATAGTATTATTACTGGGTAGTAAGAAGTATCGGAATAGAATGACCCTACATGAAAAGAAAGGAAAAGGACAAATCCGAGAATTCATTCGTTATTACAATTCTTTCACTCTCGAATAGACTAGACTAGGCTCATCCATCATCTCAGACTGACTCTGACCCTGATTGAATTGAATTGAATTGAACCAGATCAGATTAGGCTGAAATCGAGATATCCGGGGAGAGATGATGGGATGAAGCCAGGACACTAAGAAATGAAAGTACCGGAGAAACGAAGAGGGAAAAACGCCAGGAAGACATGCAAAGGGATTCAACTGATTCATTCGTTCTTTCGTTCATTGATTCATGTGGGCGGTAAAAGAAAGAAAGGATACAAGGAAAAGAAGAGAGACGGAGAAGAAAGGGACAGAAGAAAGAAAGAAAGAATCATCAGGTGGATTGCATCACTATAAGTAAGGTAAGGAGGATAAGGTAGGGTAAGGTAGGAACCCCGTAGACACTATCTCAAGTATCAAGTAGCAAGCAAAGATAATAAAGCAATGAAAAGAAAAGCCTCCGACGCCAGCTAACAACCAACCCAATCAACCAACCAAACCAAACCAACAACTCATGAAAAATGAAAAAAAGATAAAATAAACCGAGGTACGAAAAGAATAGCAACAAACGCCAAGTTTGATGCAAAGAAGAAATGAACTATTCGGCCTTCCCCTGCGTGACCTTCGCAGCTTGAATGGCAGACATCTTCTGCGTCCAGCCCTGCGTGGGCTGCGGCTTCTTGATGGTCCGGAGATCGTCTGTGGAGAAGCCTGAGATGCGCATGTTGTAGTTGCGCTCGAGGACGAGTTGGATGTCGCGCATTTCGAGGGTCGATGAGGGCCGGAGCTTGGCGAGGCGGCAGGCGGCAGTGATTACGTCGTCGACAAAGTCGTCGGCCATTTGGAGGACGAACTGGAAACAAACAAGTCAGTTGGAAGTTGATAAAGATGTCGGGTAGGAAGGAATGTACCTCTTCTGCGTCCGGGGTGAGTCCCTCGCCTTCGCCTCCGCCGGTCACCTGGCGGACCAGGATGTCCAGCATCTTCTTGCTCAACACACGCTGGCCCTCGCCCTCGAGGACGTAGCCCGGGTGCTTCTGGATGGCCGGCTGGCCCATCATTCCCATCGCGCCGTGGCTGGGCCCGCCGGAGAGGGTGGGCCGGGCCGGGGACATGCTGACGGGTTCGGGCGTCGGCACGTTCAGGTTCTTCGGGATGACCATATTGATGTTGCGCGCCGTGTTCTCCGTCGAGCGGTTGGGGATGTAGCCCTGCGGGTGGGCGTGGGATGACGCGCTGGCGGACTGCGACATGCTCTGCGCTTGGTTCAGCGGGGCGTTGTTGTTGTTGTTTGCCGTGTTGGTGTAGTTCTGCGCGGCTTGCGCCATGGCGGCTTGTTGGGATAACGGACGCGGGGGCCCTGGGGCGGGTGTTTGCGCGGTGGGCGTCGGCGCTGACCCGTCGAGGTTGGGCACCTGGCCGTAAGGACCCTGCGATACGGGCGGACCTGGCTGCGGTTGACCCTGTGGCGGTTGCGGTTGGGGTTGCGACTGGGGTGGCATCTGCTGCGGGGGTTGCTGGAGGGGTTGCGGCGGTTGCTGCGGCATCATCTGTGGGACGGGGGTGGCCGCCCCCGGGGTCTGTCCGGCCGGTGCCTGGCCCGGTTGGGACGTGGAGGGCGACATGGCCGCCGCCTGGCCGGCCTGGGTCCGTGCCGCACTCACGGCGGAGTTGATGGTGTGGGGGGCCGGGGTGGGCACCTGTCCCGGGTGCATCGCGCCCGGGGGATTCGCACCGGTCACACCGGGCGCGGTGGCCGCGGGACCGGTCGTCCCCTGCGACAGCTGCTGCTGCTGCGGCTGTTGCTGCTGTTGCAGTGCCGGCGCGGTGGGGATGCCCGTGCGCTGCTGTTGCGCCTTGAAATTCTCCTGCTGTTCCCGGAACTTGGTTAGGAAATCGCTCCCCTCGCGGAAAAGCTTCTCGGCCGCCATCTGGCGATTCTTGTACTCTTGGATTTCCTCCTGGGTCAAATTGCCTTGGCTCTGGCGCTGGCCAAACTGATTTCGTACGTCCGCCGCGCGTGCCCGACCGATCTCCTGTTTCTGCAGGGCGATGCCGTACCGGAGCTTGGCCTCGGACAGCCAGTTCTGCACGGCGTCTGGGTTGATGTTGGGCGGCAGGAAGAACTGCAGGGTGTTGACCTTCTGTTGGATCTGCGGAAGGAGCTGCGCGAAGCTCTGGGGGTTGATCGACTGCGACCGCTGGACGGGCTGGCCTTGAGCGGCGGCCTGGAGCTGCTGCTGCTGCTGGAGCTGGCGGCTCTGTTGGTACACGCGCATGCCTTTCATCAGGTTCTGGGACAGCTGGGCGAGTCGGGCGTGGGCTTGCTGGTATTCCGGGCTCTGCGGGTCGCCGTGGTTCAACGCCTCCCAGAAGTTGCGCACCAACTGGGTGTGCTGGGCCTTTTGCTGGTCATTGAGATGAGGCAGTTTCTGCACCTGATCGGTCCGGATCAAGTTCGAGTGCTGGGGGGCCACAGGCTGCTGCGGCTGCGGCTGCGGCTGGGCCTGGGGGGCAGGAGCCTGAGAGCCCTCCATTCTGGTTGTTTTGACGTTGCTTGTTCCTTTCTTTGTCTGTTTGTATCCGTTTGAAGCTTCACGTTTTCTCTATCGATGTCGTTCGGAAGGTCGTCGTCGGTCGTAGCTGGGGGTGATGTAACTAGCGGAACGCGTGCAAGGTTTCGTGGGTCGCCAGGGGCGGGGATGGTGTCAGAGGAGTAAGAGCGGTACGGCGATCAGGGTTCCGCAGGGATGACCTGACGAAAAGAAGTGAGATGAAGTGGGTGGACGAGACGAAAGGGAGAGAAGAGATGGCAGAAGTGGAGTGAGGGAACGAAAGAAGTTGATGCGACGGAGCGGACAGAGAGAAAGCGGCGGAGACTTTTGGCCGGAAACTCGGGGCCGCCGAGCCGCACGCTTGGCATTTTACAGCACCATTTATGCGATCAGATATCAATCAGATTATTATATTATCATATGGTCATACGGTCATATTATCATATCATCTGGCTATTCTATGGAACCAATCATCCCGGTTATCCATTTCCATGCCACGTCCATACCGTCCAAGCGACGAGGCGGATTCCCGCGCTGTCACCTACAACAAAGAGACAAAGCGAGTGGGCACATAGCTTTCAATGACAGTGCAAAAAGCATGGGTCAAAGAGCGGTGGGATAGCGGACAACGCCCAGGGATGGGAGGCACCCGGGCAGTGGAAGGTCATACCATGGGTGTTGCCCGCCCACCAAGGTGTTAATGGGTAGCATCCTCTGGCTGTTTCCCGGAGTCTATATGCTCGGTATGGACGCACCAAAGGTAGGGTGGCGTCGACGCGAGTAGGCGTCCCTTGCTCGTCCGATATTGAATATTCTGCTTGGTGGGACACACCCACGAGCCGGAGAAGCAGAGCTAGGCAGATCACCCCATCAAACCGCCTAGATCGCGCTCGAGACCATGAACGCGATGTTCCATCATCCGTTTCCGCCTTTCCAGTTCTCTGATTTCTTCCATTTCCCGCTGGATGTCCGCGTCGGTCACGTCCACCGTTTCCGGCTGCGAGGGGCGCGAGGCCTCGTAGTCATCGTAGTCATCCCCATATGAGTGTCGCATACCCTCCAGCTCGGCGGTGTTCCTCTCTACGCGGTCTTCTAACTGAGCGATGGAGTCTGTGGTCAGCTGGTGGCGGTAGCGGAGGCTGGCAATCTTCTCTTGCGCACCAGCAACTGGGCTGAGGATGTCATTAGCGGGGAGATTACGAGACAACGAGAGACGGGGTCATAGATGAGGAGAGTCCGGGGTAAAAGGTGTCCCTCTCTTCATGATCGCGTGTACTCACTAGACGTTGCATAAGATCTCCGCCCCTCGGAGCAGCACATCAATGTTGACCTCGCCGCGGGTACCTCTGGAGGATGCGCCGGCGGATCGCTTGATCTCCTCCATCATGTCAGAGCCCAAGACCCGAGCCACGGCAGACTGACTGCGATTGTTCCGCGCGGAATAGATGCGGCTCGCCATGGAATCCCCCTCGGACTCGGCGGCGAACGCGGTGGCCCGTCGGGATGTGGCTCGTCGCTGCGAGGCATGAACGGATTTGGCCGCGGGATCCGTTTGGAAGAGAGCCCGCTCATGAGCCTCGGTATCCCGAATCAAGGCCGTAATATCGTGAGAGCCTAGGAGGGCATTCGTAAAGAGACGCGGTTGAGGGAATCTGGAAGGTGGGTAGGTTAGCATTGGCCATGATGGTTGATCGCGGACAAGAGAGGGTCAATCCTTACGGGAGCTCCGCGATGGCGGTGGACGAGAGCGAGATCTGCTCCAGATGACTTTCTAGAAGCGACATGACTGTATAATCTGAAGCAACTGATTGATCTGACTGGGGGGGCACGAAACAGGACTGTCTCTTGTTGTTGTTGTTGCGGGGATGGAGAGAAACCTCGCCGTAGTCGTGAATGAGTCAGCCGGTACGCCAAGCTGCCTGAGGTATACAGCACTCTGTCGAGGCCACAGCGCCATCTGCTATGGGAGATGCTCCAATACATATCTCTACTGTATGTTCTACTCTGTATACGATCAATTTGACAGTACTCTCTGAAGTATCAACGAACGAGGAAATCCACAGGTTGGGTTGGCTGACTCAACCATCCGTCTGACTCAGCAGCGCTCTCAGCGTCGTCGTCTCGTCCATCAACCTAACCCGACCTGACATCACTTCAACCACCTTTCTTCCCTTTGCTTCCTGCTGCATCCTTTCTTCTTTCACCCCATCGACCAGAACCAGAACCCATTCTATCCTTTCCTTTCTTCATCGCTTTTAGAGTTGATTCTGTGTTTGTTGAATTGTTTCTTGTGGTTAGTATGGACTCCTCATCAGGCTCCCCTTGGTTCTGTTTTCGGTCGCTGTGGTTGCAACTTCAGCCTTTCAGACACACATCTCTTTCTCTCCCACAATAACCTTTTTTCCCCTCCCCTCCAGTCACTCAGTGAGCTTGATGGTGAAACGGTGCTGATCACAATCTTAATCAGAAACGATGCCGGCCGAGAGGCGCTCGCTGAGATCGAACAGCAAGTCGGATTCCGCGAACGGTGATAAGACCCGCTCGACCTCCCAGAGCTCTAGCTCCAACAAGGACAAGGTCGCGCCCGCCCGCGGCGCCGCCGGCAAGACCAGATCGGCGTCCAAGGCCGCTTCGTCCAACACCAACGCCAATACCGAGATGGGTGAACAGCGGGATCAGCCGCAGACCAACGGCTCCGACCCCAAGAAGAATGGCGTGAATGGCTCGGAGGATGTGGACATGGGAGAGGACACGGCAGGTGCGCCTACATCCTCATCCAACGCCAGTAGTAAGGATCGGCAAGGTGACGAGAAGATGACTGTTGTAGTGCCCCCAACCAAGGGTTCGAGGTTATCTGGCGACAAGGGTCAGAACCAGGATGGTGATGTGGCCATGGACGGCGCCGAGGGGGATGACCAGACGCCTGAACAGATCGACCCGAAGACCAAGGCCATCCAAGGTGAGATTCCTTTTCTTTTTAACTATACCTGAATCTATCTATATCTACACCTATCTCTATGAGATAGAGATAGATATAGATGGAAATAGAGGATCGCTCGATCCGATCGGAGAGACCTACTAACCACGCGTTCTTCCCCTCGCCATTCCATCTAGATATCAAGGCCAACTTCACATTGCTGGACCGTGCCGTGACCCATTTCGACCCTCGATTTACCCTGCGTGTTCTGCGGTCGATATCGTCCATGCGGAAGCACATCACCGCCGATGTGCTCGCCCAGGTGGTCGTCGAGACGTACTCGCCGTCAAGCTCGACGGCATCGTTCCTGTTGGAGGCCATCAACCAACCGGCTGCCTTTGAGAGTGCCGCCCCTGCGGACTCCGAGATGGAGGTCGATTCGGACAAGAACCGATCGGCCGCCAAGGAGGTGCTGCCCGAGGTCGATACGTACCTGTCCATCCTGGTCCAGATCTACCTCTACGACCGCAAGGAGATCCAGAGCGGCGCCCAGTTCTCCACCGCCCTGATCGAGCGGCTGCGGACCATGAACCGCCGCACTCTCGACTCCCTCGCCGCCCGCGTGTACTTCTACTACTCCCTCTTCTTCGAGCAGATCGCCCCGCTGCCGCCCTCGCCCGCGGCCGCGGTCACCACCATTCGCCAGCCGCTCCTGGCGGCCCTGCGGACGGCCGTGCTGCGCAAGGATGCCGACACCCAGGCGACCGTCATGACCCTGCTGCTGCGCAACTACCTGTCGACCTCCCACATCTCGCAGGCCGACCTCCTCATCTCCCATAACCGGTTCCCGCCCTCGGCCTCCAACAACCAGATCGCCCGGTACCTGTACTACCTCGGTCGCATCCGGGCCATCCAGCTGCAGTACACCGAAGCTCACGGCCACCTGATCGGGGCCACGCGCAAGTCTCCCTCCAGCCACAGCGCCCGCGGCTTCTACCAGGCCTCCCACAAGCTGCTCGTGGTCGTCGAGCTCCTGATGGGCGACATCCCCGACCGTGCCATCTTCCGCCAGCCGGCCCTCGAGCGCGCCCTGCACCCCTACTTGCTCCTGGTGCAGGCCGTCAGCGTCGGCGACCTGGATGGCTTCCTCAGCATCGTCAACACCCACAGCCCGACGTTCCGCAAGGATGGCACCTACACGCTCATCCTGCGCCTGCGGCAGAACGTGATCAAGACCGGCATCCGCATGATGTCCCTGTCGTACTCGCGCATCTCCCTGCGGGACATCTGCCTGCGTCTGGGACTGGACAGCGAGGAGTCGGCCGAATACATCGTCGCCAAGGCGATCCGGGACGGCGTCATCGAGGCGTCGCTCGACCACGAGCGCGGGTTCATGAAGAGCAAGGAAGTGGGCGACATCTACGCTACCCGGGAGCCCGGCGAGGTCTTCCACGAGCGGATTCGCGCGTGCTTGAGTCTGCATGACGAGAGTGTCAAGGTTTGTTTCTGCCCCCCATTCTATTTCCCACCACCCTTCTTTCCTCCTCGTTTACTGACCGGCCATAGGCGATGCGGTTCCCGATGAATCAGCACCGACTCGAGTTGAAGAGTGCGCAGGAGGCCCGCGAACGCGAGCGGGAGTTGGCCAAGGAGATCCAGGAAGGAGACATGGACGATGACGATGCCGGGGGCGAGTTCGATGCCATCTAAGGGGACTCGGGCCGTCTCGTCCTCATCCGTCACCATTACATTTTTAATCCGGGGACTCCGATGGTGGACGGGGCTCTCTGGGCTTTCCAACCTTTCTTTGTTCTGATCTGCAATGTCATTGTTCGGGTGCGCGTGTATCTTCGGTCTGACGGGGAAGGGGGAGGCAGGAATTGAACAGGGCTTGGGGTCCCTTGCGAAATCCCTCGATGTTTCCTATACTCTCCCTTATTCGAATCATTTCTTCCGACGGGGTTTGCTCATCGTTTGTCCTCCAGCGGTGTTGGGTTTTTAGAAGGGGAAGCATTCGTGCGGGCCTGGATCTGTAATATTGACCAAGTCTTGGCTGGCATCGTAGATTCTCATTTAATTTCTTCTCTCTTTCTCTCGGTTAATTGAGTATATTGGATAAATTCTGGATACAGATGAATCTATTTTAGTAGTGGATGCTCAGGTAGGGATGGAAGAATGACGGGGCAGTGAGCGAATCGATCCCGCTTCCCGTTCCGGCCCGAATGCAGCTCCGCCGATGGAAATCTTTTGGTCTCCGTCGGTTGTCATTTGCGCCGTCTCTTTTCCACTCCAACTTTCTCTCCTCCACACCTCTCTTCCGGTGGAGCCTGTTCCTGGGGATTTGTTCGTGAGTTCTTTTCGTTGCTTCAGCTCGCTTGTCAATTTTTATTCCTTATTCCTTATTTTTTAGTGCCCATTAGACGGATATCAACAGAAGGAAAAAAAAAGCTCTCTCTCTTCCCCCGTCCCTGTTCTGCTCTCGACCGAGCATGAAAGCTCGAACCGCCCCGGCCTCTGCGCTGGTCCTCTCCTCTCGAATCGTAACTCCCTCGACGACCACCATCTGCTGGCAATGTCTTCGCAATGACCTCCTCTCGAACCGGGCGCCGGTGCAGGCGCGCAAATACCACCCGACCCGCCGAAGAGACGCTTCGCCGTTTGGGGCCGCCGTGTCCGCCGCCCAGACAATCTTCAAGGGACTGCCCAAGGCTCCCGCGGGGATCTCGGTGGATCCATTGCGGATCGTGGGCAAGGAACTCAAGTTCCTGACGAAGAACATCCGGCAGTTGTTGGGTTCGGGGCATCCGGCCCTGGATCGCGTGGCCAAATACTACTCCCGCAGCGAGGGCAAGCATATGCGTCCGTTGCTGGTGCTGCTGATGTCCCAGGCCACCGCGTTGACCTCCGACCACCCTCGCGCGCCTCGCGCGCCGTCGGAGACCGTCAACGATCCCATCACGTCGACCGCGGTCCTCCAGGACGCCAATCCGGACGTCCACCCTCTCACCGCGGCCCCCCGCACCGCCGACGGGGCCCCCTACGACTTCATCGGGGACGAGAACATCCTGCCGGCCCAACGGCGCCTGGCTGAGATCACCGAACTGATCCACACCGCCTCCCTCCTGCACGACGACGTGATCGACAACGCCATCACGCGGCGGTCGGCCAGCTCCGCCAACGTCCAGTTCGGGAACAAGATGGCCGTGCTGGCCGGGGACTTCTTGCTGGGGCGGGCCTCGGTGGCCCTGGCGCGCCTGCGGGATCCCGAGGTGACGGAGCTGCTGGCCACGGTGATTGCGAACCTGGTGGAGGGCGAGTTCATGCAGCTGAAGAACACCGAGGCGGACGAGAAGCGCCCGGTCTTCACGGAGGAGACCATCACCTACTACCTCCAGAAGACCTACCTGAAGACGGCCAGCCTGATCAGCAAGTCGTGCCGCGCCACCGCCGTGCTGGGCAACAGCAGCCCGGAGGTTATCGAGGCCGCTTACGCCTACGGCCGCAACCTGGGACTGGCCTTCCAGCTGGTGGACGACATGCTCGACTACACGATCAGCGAGGCCGAGCTGGGTAAGCCCGCCGGTGCGGATCTGGAGCTGGGACTGGCGACCGCTCCGCTCTTGTTTGCTTGGAAGGAGAACCCGGAATTGGGGCCCATGGTGGGCCGGAAGTTCAGCCAGGAAGGGGATGTATCACGGGTAAGTTTCCTTTTCTCTCTTTTTTCTTTTTTTTTTTTTGATCTTCTATCGTCATGAAATATGTAGAGAGACTGACTGACGGATCAGGCCCGCGAACTGGTGTATCGAAGCCACGGCGTGGAGAAGACCCGCGCGTTGGCGCAGGAGTACGCGGACAAGGCAGTGGCAGCGATCGCCCACTTCCCCGACAGCGAGGCCAAGGCGGCATTAATCCAGATGTGTGAGAAGACGATGAACCGACGGAAGTAGGGGGATCGATATGGATAGTTTGGAATATCTACTGGATTGATTGATTTCTTTCTTTTTGTTTCGTGTATTGTCTTGGGGGGTTCTCTGGAGACGTCATGCTGGGTTTGTGTCCCTACTGTATACGATCACCTCTCTTCTCTTGTCTGTCTGTTTGTCTGTTTCTCTCTGTGTTGGTTCTATATAGATGTGTAGACTGTATATTATTGAATTCGTGCCTTTGTGCCTGCGTGCCTGTGTGCCTTTACGCCTGAGCCTCGGCTTGCGTGGGTCGCGTGACCCTGGGGAACCGGTGGATCCGGTGTCATCATCGATCGTACTCGATTGTACAGAACGAGAATCTTGAATATATAAGACAATAAAGAATCGAAGAAGAAACAGAGATGGTAGGAATATATAAGCAACAAAGGATAAGCATAATAATATAATAGAATATAATATGGACAGATAAACGGACCATCGTTGTTCCTCAGGCATTCCGTCATCGCGCTTTCAATACGTGACCATGACCTCCTCAGGTTGCAGCCAATGTACCTGGTACCGATCGACTGTATGATCTCCTCACCTTGTCAGAAGTAGCCGCTACTTTGCTTCGCCTCTTATCTTCTTCCTCCCTTCTCACTCTTCTTCCTCCTTTTCTCTTCTTCTTCTTCCTTCACGTTTCCTTTTTCTACTCGAGCCCTCTTTTTCTCGCCTTTCCTTTACGTCGATTTTCGACAGTATTACTCTGTCCCGCTGCTCTGATCAATTCAACACTCCACTCACTACATCAGAAATCAATCTACTAGTTCCGCGCTTCCGTTACGTGGTTTCTTCCCACCACCACCACTCGACCCCAACCGTGTCCTCATCCGCAAAGGATGGAGGTGTCGTTGCTGTGGTGTCTCTGATCGTCCGGCTCCTCCAATGGGTTCTTTCGGTGGCTTTCTATTCGTCTATCTCCTCGGCGGACTCACATTCGTTCCACTGGTCCTGTCGCTGGTCTGCCTCTTCTTCTATCTCACTCTCCCGCCGGCCGGCCCCTCGTCCCCCGCGGGCAACTCACGCGATGCGCCCTCCGCGCGCCCCCTCAGCCGTCCCACCGACGATCAGTACAGTCTCAAGTCCGGCACCGATGAGTTAGCCGAAAAGTTCCAACGCTCCCATGATACCGATGTCGCCGCCGGTTACTTTGCCGTCTGTCGGGAGTATGTCCCGGGTGGTGTCAATGGCAAACCTCCGGAGAGGACGACGCCCGCCGGCGAGGTGATCGCTACGGAGAGTCCTAGCGTCTACCAGGCGATGTATCGTAGTCTGTTTGATCGGAAACAGTCCCCCACTATCGACCCGGGGAAGAACCACGCAAAGAACGCTAAGAATCCGAAACGGGCGCGCAATGTGTTCTATATCGTTCTACGGTAAGTACGGGGTGTTTCCTGGGGCTATCTGCTGCCGCTGACCTGGACGGTGATGTTAGACATGGCCATTTGATGCTGTTCGACGACGCGAACCAGGTGGAGGTGCGCTATGTCATCTCTCTCGCCCACCACGATGTCTCCATCCACGGCGGAGAGAACGAGATCCCCGAGGGCGAGCTGTGGTTGAAGCGAAACGCCATTTGCCTGTCGCGGCGGCTGGAGTCCCTGGCGGACCTGGGCGGTCCCACCCCGCCGTTCTTCCTCTTCTCCGAGAATCTGTCCGAGAAGGAGGACTTTTACTTCGCCATGCTTCAGAATCAGGCCAAGATGTGGGATGCCCTTGACGCTCCGCCCCAGCTGCAACCGTTCGACGTCAAGCACATCGTGACGCTCGTCCAGCGCCTGCACTCGTCCGAGGAGCAGCTGCAGACCCGGTGGATCAACGCCGTCCTGGGACGCCTGTTCCTGGCCCTGTACCGCACCCCCGAGATGGAGGAGTTCATCCGCCAGAAGATCACCAAGAAGATTTCCCGCGTCAACAAACCCACCTTCGTTAGCAAGATTGCCTTGCAGCGCATCGACATGGGCGAGGGCGCCCCCTTCATCATCAACCCGCGCCTCAAGGACCTGACCGTCGACGGGAACTGCTGCGTCGAGACCGACGTGCAGTACGCCGGCAACTTCCGCGTTGAGATCGCGGCCACCGTGCGCATCGACCTGGGCCAGCGTTTCAAGGCCCGCGAGGTCGACATCGTCTTGGCCGTCGTGCTGAAGAAGCTCGAAGGCCACCTGCTGATCCGCTTCAAACCGCCCCCCAGCAACCGCGCCTGGCTCTCCTTCGAATCCATGCCCGACATGGACATGGACATCGAACCCATCGTCAGCTCCAAGCAAATCACCTACGGCATCATCCTGCGGAACATCGAGAGTCGCATCCGCGAAGTCGTGGCCGAGAGCCTGGTCCAGCCGTTCTGGGACGACATCCCCTTCCTCGACACCCTCTCCCAGCGATTCCGCGGCGGTATCTGGAAACGCGACATCCCCCAACCCGACGGCGCGGCCGACGACATCCCCGACGAGTCTGGCGGGGCACCATCCACCCCCGGGGGCACCACGACCCGCCATGGCTCGGAGTCGATCGACGTTCTCAAGGCCCACGACGAGCGGACCCGGAGTGCACCCGCGCTGTCGGATTCTCTGCCGCTGTCGCCCCCCTCCCGTAAGGGCTCTGCAGACGCAGCGGCAGAGCCGGACAGCGGCCCCACGAGCGCCGTGTCGCCCGCCGCTCCAAACTCCCTCCCAGGGTCGCCCCCGCGGGCCCTCCGGTCGCAGACTTTTGCCAACGCGGCGGGCCCCGTGCTGACGGCCGACCATGGGCAGCGGGATAAGGCCGGGTCGGATGTCCCGAGCGAGGAGCGGCCGAGCGCTACTAGCGCCATGATCGAGATCACCGCCCGTTCGCCGCCCGAGTCCCCCGCGGAAGGCCCCGGAGCATCGTCGAACGGCCGGCCCCCGAGCCGCGATCCGTCCTTCGTCGAGTCGATTGAGAGCGGAGGGGCGCCAGACCACCACAACCACGGGCCCCAAGATGCTGGATCGTCGTCGCGACCGGCCTCGCGCGACGACCGGCCTGGCGATGCGGGAGCCACCACCCCATTGCAGGGCCCGGCGAGCCGTTCCACCGCCTCGCTCGCCAGCACCGGGACGGCCAAACGGCGCACCACGCTCGAGACCCTGACGCGGACTCTCACGCCGGAGACCAATCGGTCCCAGGCCTCCATCACGCTCGGCAACGCGACGTCCGCCGCCAAGAAATGGGGGTTGACCATGTTTGGCAAGGGCGAGTCCCGCCCCGGAACGGAGCCATCGCGACCCGCGGGGACGCCCGACGAACCGATCGGCCGCGGGCATCCCCTGCCGCCGCCGGGCACCCCCCTGCCCACGCCCGCCAAGTTTGGCTTCCGGCGCGGGTCGAGTGCGGTCTCCGTCCCGCGACGCAAACCGGTCGGGCCGCCGGAGGAGCACCACGGACTGCCCCGGCGCAAGCCAGTCGACGGTCGCGCGGACGGGGAGTCGCACCGACAGGAGGAGCTGCTGGTGGTGGAGGCCCCGCCGGATTCGGATCCGAATAGTCCAGTGGTGGACCTGGCTCCTGACGACGACGACAATGACGCGGGTCTGCCTGCGCCCGCCGTGCAGCCGCCAGTCGCCCGGTCGCAATCGGATCGGAGCACGACGGCGTCGAGTACCCCCGATACCCCGACTGAGGGGGACCAGAGCCCCAGCGGGTCCGAAACGGACTCGACGGAGGCTCGCGCCGAGCGGGAAAAGCATGGAATGGAGATTCTGTCGGCGACGGATGGGATCATTCCTGGCTAGGGGTGGGTAGATAGATGTCTGATCTTGGGACCGCTCGTGCGGAGCAGCGTGTGGTCTGATCTTCCTTCTTTTCTTCAACTTACTTTCGCCTCCCGATTATTTCTTTTCTTTTCTACCCCAGCGGGCGTTTGAGATGTCACTTCCTACCACAAGCCTAGCTATGAGATACCCGTGCTGGATTCGGATATGGCATTGCACGGTGCGAATGGGCGAGAACTACAATATTTGTTTGTACCAACGTAGGGAGTAATCTGACTGAATCAATTTACATCTGTCTACGTAAGACGTACAGTGAAGATGTGGTAGAAAAGTTGCTACCTAAATTGCAATAAATCTCTCAATGGACTCAGGAGGTGACGACGCACGTGCCAAGACAGCGTCAGCCTTTCCCACCCAGAGACGTCATGCTTCTCTCTTCTCTCTCTCTCTCTTTTCTCTCCCCTCCTTTCTGCCCCCTCCTCTCCAGTCTCGACGGATTGATTGATTGATTGGAGTCGTCGTCCTGTCTGATTCTCCTCGAGAATCGTTATCTCATATCCTTCGTTCCCCTCATTCCCGTGGTCTGGCCACACGTCTTGCTACTCCAGGTTTCCCGCCTTCGGGCCCACCGGCTTTCCGTCGCACTTCTTTCGTTACCCCCTGTTCCTATTTTCCACCCCCTGATTTACTCACCACCTACGGAACTCTGCTGTCGAGGATTGAGATCCGCTGCCAGCTGTCAAGATGAGTCGGTATGTGTTGGGCTTATGCGGCGTGCGGGGTGTGTCTTTTTGACTGACTGCTTGGGTTTGAACTTGGTAGGACGGAGGCCGATCTGGCGATTAATATTCGCAAGGCTACTAGTATTGGTATGTTTTCTGGGTTTGACAATGGGTTTGGTGATTGTTGGGGGAATGCATAGTTGGAACTGACAATAATTGTTTCAATTGCAGAGGAAACCGCCCCGAAACGTACGTGAAGAGTGTCCCGGTCTCGTGCCTTGACAGGCGCATTGAAGAAGCGGTATTGATAGCCCTGTCTAGGAAAACATGTCCGGAGCTGTATCGTCTATACCTGGGACCACAAGTCCTCCGCCGCCTTCTGGGCGGGTATGAAGGTGTATGTGATGTCGTCCCCGATTATCCTCCTCCCCTCCGGTCGCGCTCGTTTCCAGACTGACCCTCTCGTTCCGATTCCGATAGCCAACCGGTGCTCGCCGACGAGGTCCAGACGTACAAGGCGCTTATCACCATCCATAAGGTTCTGCAGGAGGGCCATCCGATTGTTGTCCGGGAGGCTCAGCAGCATGTCAATTGGATTGATAGCTTGATGCGCGGTGTTGGTGGCGATGGTATTCGAGGTATGCGCGGGTTCCCTCTGAGGGGGTTCTGGGTCGTTGTGGATGCTGATTGACGTGTAGGCTATGGACCTTTGATTCGCGAATATGTGTACTTCCTCGAGTCGAAATTGGCGTTCCATCGGAACCACCCCGAGTTCAATGGTATGTGGATGGATGGCTTGGAGGTGTCCGCCTGAGGGAGGACGCTGGGCTGACTGCGACAGGGCTGTTTGAGTACGAGGAGTACATCAGCTTGAAGACGACCAACGATCCGAATGAAGGGTAAGCGGGATTTGGCAGATGTTGTGGGGTACTGGCTGACCGAGACAGTTACGAGACGATCTCCGATCTGATGACCCTGCAGGATCAGATCGATGGGTTCCAGAAGTTGATCTTCTCGCATTTCCAGTCGGGAAACAACAACGAGTGTCGGATCTCCTCGCTGGTGCCTTTGGTGCAGGAGAGCTACGGGATCTATAAATTCATTACCAGCATGTTGCGCGCGATGCACACGAGTATGTTCTCTATAAGCCACCCCCCCGTCATAGTTGGATGCTCACAAATCAGCGACTGGTGATGACGAGGCCCTGGAGCCCCTGCGCGGCCGATACGACGCCCAACATTATCGACTCGTGCGCTTCTACTACGAGTGCTCCAACCTGCGCTACCTGACCAGTCTTATTACGATCCCCAAACTGCCCCAAGATCCGCCCAACCTGCTCTCCGATGACGACGAACGCCCGGCCCTCCCACGGCGTCCCGCCCGGGAGATCGAGGAACCGTCCCCGCCGCCCAAGTTGACCACTGCCGAGCCCGAGCCGATCCAGGACTTCTGGACCACCGAAGCCAAGCGTCAACAGGAGGAATTCGAGGCGGAGCAGCAGCGCCTGCAGCAGCAGTGGGAGGAACAGCAGCGCCAGCAGATGCTGGCGAACCAACAGGCGCAAGTGGACTTTGAAGAACAACAACGCCAGCAGGCCGAACAGGCGCGACTGGCGCACGAGCAGCTCATACGCGATCAGTACCAGACCCACACCCAGGGTCGCTTGGCCGAGCTGGAGCAGGAGAACCTGAACGCCCGGGCGCAGTACGAGCGGGACCAGCTGATGCTCCAGCAGTACGACCGCCGGGTCAAGGACCTGGAAGAGCAGATGAACCATTTGACCACGAACCTGAACCAGCAGAACGCCTCGCGGGACGACCAGATCCGCTCGCTGCAAGAGCAGGTCAACACCTGGCGGACCAAGTACGAAGCGCTCGCCAAGCTCTACTCGCAGCTCCGCCAGGAGCACCTCGACCTGCTGCAGACCACCAAGAGCCTCAAGCTGAAGGCCGCGTCGGCGCAGGAGGCCATCGAGCGCCGCGAGAAGCTGGAGCGCGAGCTCAAGACCAAGAACCTGGAGCTGGCCGATATGATCCGCGAGCGCGACCGCGCCCTGCACGATCGCGACCGTTTGACCGGATCCAACAAGGAGGAGCTGGAGAAGGTGAAGCGCGAGCTGCGGTTTGCTCTCGAGCGGGCTGAGAATGCCGAACGCTCCAAGGGCACGGAGATCTCGGCTATGCTGTCTAAGTATAACCGGGAGATGGCTGACTTGGAAGAGTCTTTGCGGGTATTTCCCTCCTCGTTCATTCTCCTCTAAATGCGTGCTGACTGTGTAGATGAAAACCCGTGCGTTGGAGGACGCCTCGACGCGCACTCAAGAGTCTTCCGGGGACCAGGAACTCGCTCTCCGCGAGAAGGACGAGGAGATTGAAGTGTACAAGTCCGGCATGGAGCAGGCGTTGATGGAGTTGGAGGAACTTAAGATGGTATGTCTACGAGGTTTACTCTTCAAGTAGATTACGATGCTAACTTCATATAGAACCAAGGCGATGTGGATACCGCTTTAGATTCGCAGATCGACACCGTGCTGCACGGTACCGTTGCCAAGATCAACGATATCATCGATTCGGTGCTCCAGACGGGTGTGCAGCGGGTTGATGACGCGCTGTACGAGCTGGACTCGAACATGCAGGCCGGAAACCAGAACGCGTCGGCGCCGTACGTGCTCTCGCAGATCGAGAAGGCGTCCGCGTCAGCAACGGAGTTCTCGACGGCGTTCAACAACTTCATCGCGGACGGTCCCAGCAGCCCGCACGCGGAGATCATCCGCACGGTCTCCGTATTCTCCGGGTCCGTGGCCGACGTGCTGAGCAACACCAAGGGTCTGACGCGGTTCGCCAACGACGAGAAGAACTCGGACCAGCTGACGACCTCGGCGCGCAAGTCGGCGCAGGCGACGGTGCGGTTCTTCCGCGGTCTGCAGTCATTCCGACTGGAGGGCCTGGAGGCACTGCAGAAGACGGACGTGGTGATCAACAACAACCTGGAGGTGCAACGCGACCTGCAGGCGCTGTCGAAGCTGGTGGACGCGTTCGCGCCCAAGAACTCGAAGCTCAGCACGAGCGGCGACCTCGGCGACCTGGTCGACAACGAGCTGAACAAGGCAGCGGACGCGATCGACGCGGCAGCACAGCGACTGGCCAAGCTCAGGTCGAAGCCGCGCGACGGGTACTCGACCTACGAGCTGCGGATCAACGACTCGATCCTGGAAGCAGCCATCGCGGTGACGACCGCAATCGCCGAGCTCATCAAAGCGGCAACAGTCTCCCAGCAAGAGATCGTGCGCGAAGGACGCGGCAGCTCCTCCAAGACAGCCTTCTACAAGAAGAACAACCGCTGGACAGAAGGCCTGATCTCCGCCGCCAAGGCAGTGGCCAACTCGACCAACACGCTGATCGAGACAGCCGACGGGGTCATCTCCGGCCGCAACTCGCCGGAGCAGCTCATCGTGGCGAGTAACGACGTCGCGGCCAGCACGGCGCAGCTGGTGGCAGCCAGTCGCGTCAAGGCGACGTTCATGAGCAAGACGCAGGACCGGCTCGAGACGGCCAGCAAGGCCGTCGGCAAGGCGTGTCGATCTTTGGTCAGACAGGTGCAGGAGATTATCAAGGAGCGGAACCAAGACGAGGGCGAGAGGGAGGATTACGGTAAGCTTAGCTCGCATGAGTTTAAGGTGCGAGAGATGGAGCAGCAGGTTAGTTCATTCTTTTTCCTTTCCTTTCCCCTTTTTTTTTTTGCTCTCTTTGCTGTGACGACACTACTTTCCACTATCGCCCGAGCAAAGCGTTCCCCAAGCCTTCGTTAAACGTCCCAATTAACACAATATCCACAGGTCGAAATCCTCCAACTGGAGAACAATCTCGGCCGAGCTCGCCAGCGTCTAGGAGAGATGCGCAAGATTTCCTACCAGGAAGACTAGCGGGGGCGGATATTACTTTTTCCTTCTTCTTTTCTTTCATTGTACCTAGCTGTTCGATTTTTTTTTCTTTGTGTAGTTGGATATACCAGACACAGTACAGTACTACTTTACTTTAACTTCTACTTATCACCAATCATATGTATCTACCGATCTAGGTCTGGAGGTGGAGGTAGAGACAGTCAGTGGTTCGGTTGAACATAACTTAGTTTACAAGTAGGTTTCACTTCTTTCAACGTGGAAGAGTTAGACGAAGTTTATAATATAAAAAAGTAGAAATAATAGCAAGTCCAATGAGAAGTATAGAAGTAGAACGAAGATGGATGTATGTGGGGATCTGGGATTCTTTGTTTGAGGAAAGTCTTGAAGGCGAAGGTTGAGGATTAGGTTTGACTACTGGATTCATTTATCCGACCCACCCTTCGTCCGTGGGTATTGATTGAGGGTGGGATCGTGTAGGATAGGTTAGTATAAGATAGGTTAGTAGGCAGTAGGTACTAAGGAGGAGAGGAGTGGTTTCTTTCTTGAGGGTTGTTCTTTGTCTTTCTCTATCTTGGTATCATTTCCATCATTCCCACCCAATGGATAGAAGTAGTACGTAGGAAGTACCCGTACTAAGATATGAGTACTATGGATAGGGAAGATATCTCCCACCCCTCAAGCAAAAGTAAAAGAAGAAAGAAGAAGAAAGAAAGTCAGATGAAATAAGTTAAGGTGAAGAGCGCGGCTTGCCCCAATCCGGCGATGACACTTGAGTTCGGGGGTGATGATACGTGCATTTTTCTTTCTTTGTTCATTAGTTTAGGTTTCTTACTTTAGTCTACCGGTTTTACTACTACTACTACACTACTACTACGGTACTTACTAAGGTACTGCTATAATACTACATACTATGGTGATGGATGCTGTACTACATCCCTACTTCGACGTACATACGGAGTAGGTATGTACCTGGGTGTAGATAGTACAGCCTCCACCTGTGCTACATCCAGAAAGGAAAGAAAAGATTGGCCAATGCAATCTGTATGTATGTAGTACGGTGCCTTTGGGCTATCAATGGAGGTTGACTGCGGTTGGATATGTGCTACATTTCTCTTTACCTGACTCCACTGCTGTGATACTTTCCCACGTCGACTTCAACTCTACGATTACGACAAGGAAGAAAGGGAGGGAAACTCGTCATCAATTCAGTTAGATACAAAACGTGGCATGTCCACTGTAACCGAGCCATCCTCTTTCATAATTCATTCCGTTTCGTTTCGTTTCGTTTGATTCATTCATTCCATCCGTTGATTCCTGATTCCGTCGAACGCCAGCAAAAACATGATATCGTATCTCGAGTCCTCCGTCGATCCATCACTCCGTAGGAAAGTAGACAGAGACAGTAACAATTGATAGGAAAGACATGTAAACAGGATCAAGAAGGCCACTCCAAGTAAGTGGCAAATGGACAGACAACACATGTATGTATGTCATGTCCGATCCTCTCGTTCGTCAATCCAATCTGTTAGGGAAGACAGGAGAATACACAACATCAACTCGAAAGAAAATAAAGAAAAGAAACTTCCATATGATTTAACCGCCGCGACCAAGGTCATTCCGCTTCAAGCTCAGTAACTACGGCTGAAGGTACTGACGGCGGGAAGATGAAAGAAAGACAAAATACAAAGGACAAAGCCGATTCGGGTCATCGTCATAACAACACATGATGAGGAAAGAAAAAAGATAAACTCAAATCCACGAAATAAAGAAAAAGAAAAGGAAACATTAGAAAGAAATACACACTGGTTGCTTCCGTATCAAATTAAAAGTGTATGTGCCGACGCTCGAACCCGATCGATGCCTTCTTGTTGCACAGCAACTGCAATGGGAAATAGAATCACGGAAAGATAAGAACAGACACACCCCTTTCTCCGCTCCTGGTTGTCACAATTTAGATGGTGGATATGGCAGTTTGGACTGGGTTGGAGTGGTGGTCCTTTCGGTATGGTACATGATTGTGGTTTTGTTGGTTGTTGGTTTTCGGTGTGGTTTGTGAAAGGTGTAGACAGGATAAGGACATCGTCAAGCTTAAGCTGACTGACCAACTGTCAATTGCACTCTCGAGTCTAGCGATTTTTTATCATGGTCTTGGTTTGATCTTTGGAATCGGCAAATAGTTAGCAAGTGTGCGATTGGATGGCGGTCTGGTGGGATTGATTCTTACATTCCAGCCCGATCAGTCTGTCCAGCAACGCAATACATTTTTTCATCGCAAAATAGGATTTACGACTGTTTTCAAGCCAATCGACTAGAAAGAAGTTAGTTTAGTCGAAAATTTGGACTCACTTTACTTACAGAATTTGTTTGCATCTTCAGGGACACTGTGTGTGATTTGAATCAGGATTTGCTTTTCGGAGGCATTGAGACGAAGGCGGCGTTCTGCAAACTCATAGCAGATTCTCTGGGCACGAGCGCGGTGTTCGTCCCCAAGGGGGTGTCTTCTCCAGAAAGTGACATGTTCGGTGACCAATTTGCTATGAGAATTAGTAGGTATTTTATGCAGTCAAAAGAGTAGATCAACGTACCTCACGTAGTACTCCTGGAGTCCAACTTTGAAGATGTAATGGTATCCGTACTTTTCGACACATCTGGCGAGATCTTCGTTTGCCTTGCGCTCCATCGCAAGAAGATTGTCATAGAAGATCATTTTGGCGGGGCCATTCAACGCAGGTTCAATAGAGCTACTCGCCATGTGAAGGAGGGAAATAGGACGACCGTCAAGGTCGGACAAGTTGGGGAAGATCCCGTGCTCGTTCATCAAATTCTGTACGGATATACCATGGCGATAAACAGCGGTGTTCGGGTCCTGAACACGATGAGAAGAGTGGATGAAATTTTTGCCCTGGGCCAAGGCACTGGCTTGGGCCACAAGAAGGTTGACGTTTCTATGGAAGTTGTATGAGATACAGAGAAACATCGCCAGCTCTCTCTTTCTAGGGTCAACTTCTGGATTCTGGCTGGCCCTGGCCAGAGTCTCCAGGATATCGACAATGCTTGCATCCATGATAAAAGAAATTGAGGATTCAAGGTTTCAGGAGGGGCTTTGGAGTATCCGAGATCGATGGGTTATGTAGTCTGAAGTGGGTAGGGAAACAACTGTAGATGAAGTATGAAGGATGGGTTGGAAGGATGAAGGAGAGAAAGAATCTGAAGGGGAAGAAGAGGGGGAGACCTTGCTTATATATACTGAGGCTCTATTGAATACCAGAAAGGGTATCAATAAGGAAGACGATTTGGATAAGTAGTCGGTTGGTGATGGTGAATAGTGACGCGAATTTTGACATTCACTCACTGGCCCAAGGTGAACAAAGAAATGGACCAGCCTCCCGCCTCTGACTGGAACATAATTTCATTTGTCATGTCCTGCTATGTCTTTGAAACTTCTCGCATTGATTGAGACACAACTTCTCGCACTCTTCCCCGTCTACCCTTCTCCTGTTTGCCATCCTGGAGCTTTGAAAACAACTTTACCGGATGACTAGATCGACATCGGGGTTTCACATCAGCTTCAAAATATCCGTCTCATACCACAGACTCCAGATATAGACCAGTACTCACCATCATGAATTTGGCTGTCGATTCAGCCGACAAACTTACAGAGCTGCTTTGGCAAGATGCTTTGCGACACCTGAGCTCTACAAACAACGAAGTCCTCCTGCCGGTCAATGTGACTGAAATGATCGGGAACGACAATGTCAATAAAATAAAGACCAGGCTCCGGTAAGCATTGCGCAGTATAACATCTTCAAAAGGTGGAACTGACAGTTGAGACAGTGCGCTCATTGATGCTCCAGTCGTGGCATTCGTTGACGAGACGATCAATGCTCTCCGTGTGATGCGGACTCCTAGCTTCTCAGGTTCATCGGTCTCTGTCGCATCTCATGGAAGACTGAACATTCTCAAAAGAGAAGCTACAGACTCATCTGCAAATCCCCATGGGAGGATAATGCCTGCCAAACAACCCAAGGTCCCTCGTCCACCCAATGCATTTATACTTTACCGCCAGCATCATCATCCTTCGGTGAAGGGAGCGTATCCTAGTCTGTCCAACAATGAAATCTGTATGTTACGCTATAATAGTACATTGACCCAAGGAAGCTAATGACATCAGCAATAATGCTTGGGAAGCAGTGGAAAGCCGAAACTGAGACAGTCAAAATGCAATTCCGCAACATGGCCGAAGACCTCAAGAGAAAACACACCGAAGAGCACCCCGACTACCACTACACACCACGCAAACCATCCGAGAAGAAGCGACGCGCTCCTTCTCGCCACCACGCCAAACCAGCCCAACAACTGCCCACCCCGTCAGACACCACGTCCTCCACGCCAGGCATACACGACGCAGCCATCCCAACAACCACCAGCCCGCCCACAGCCGCAGTGGCGAGCACAAGCGAGAGCCCGACCGGCCTGGAGACGCTCGACTTCGACACCGACATCTTCGGGCAGCTCGTGCAGCAGGTACAGGGCGAATTCAACTTTGGAGAGAGTGCCTTTGCGTTTGGGGTGCCTTCTGGCGAGCCGTTTGAGTTCTCGGACTATGTGACGGATTGTTACTAGGGTTGGTATGGATAAGATTGATGCGATGGAAGGACGGGGGCGTATCTGGGATAATTCGATCGATCGAGTTGTTGTCTTTTGTTCTTTTGCTTTGTCTTTCTTCCTTTATTTCTTTTAATTCTGTACTTTAGTTTATCGGGGTCTGGTGTCGTTGAGGTTGGTTCTCCACGTGCCTAGACACGTTGGTCGGATAACTTTATTTTCTTCTTGATTTTGTTACTATTTCTTTGTCTAATTTTCTGCGTTGCTATTCTGTGGTTTCTCTTGATGAACAGACTACGATAGAGAGATATACCTCGGTGGAAAGAAGTTCATGACACTGAGTTGAACCGCGAGTAGCTAGCTCTAGATACTAGATAGCAGATAGCAATGGACATACAATGGAATTGTACTTATGGATATCTTTACTTCCATCTACAGCAAAGACAACTACAAAAAAGTATAGACTGACTCGAGAAGTGGATGTAGATAGCATCGGGGCCCTGCATTATCCTCATGCACGAGCCCGCGGCCGTTTGCATTGCCACCAATGGTGGATAAAATTTCTTCTGTGCGCTTTGGACTCGTCCCTTTTTTTCATTTTCCCCATCCCCCGACTGGGTTTCTCTTTTTTTCTTCTTCTCTTCTTCTCCCATTGTTCAGGGAGAAGAATGTCATTGTTGGAGGGAGAAGAATGGTGGGGCTGGGTGGCTGGGATGGAGTGAATGGATATCAGTCCAATTCCTATATCCGTCAACGACGACTGATTCATTATGTCAGTCACTGCTGATTTCCTCTCTCCAGCCACACTGTGTATTCACGTACAGATTAGGCAACCATGAGTCAACACAATAATAGTGTCATGTTGAGTGAATGAAAGGATGTCTATCACTGTCAAAACACCAGTAATAGCCACTGTCACTGGCCGCTATTCTCCTTTCCCACTTTCCTCACATTAAGGATTGTAATCACTGGCCCAGATGAATGTAGGACATCGCCACTGAGTCCCCTTCTCCTTCTCACCACTCGGACCCAGCGGCCGCGGACAGATCCAGAAGGCCCGCCCACAGTTGACACCTGGCTTCTTGGTCGTCAGGCTGATGCACGGCTCCTGGTGGCCATCACACCGGGGGATGGGCTTCTTGCTGAAAAGCTTCGTCCAGTCTTCCTTGGCGGCGATCGGGTCGATAACGGTCTCGCGGTCCTGGGTCTCGCTCGTAGGAACGGCATCGCTGGCGAGGGGCGTCCCTGTGTCTGGTGCAGTGCTGGGTTCGGATCCCGGTGTGGCTTTGGTAGGGCTGCTCTGTGGTGTACTCTTTGGCTTGAAGAACCCTTTGAGCGTCTTCTGTCCTGCAGCGGACGCTACGGGCGGGGCTCCCATGACGGACTTGGATCGTTTGACTGGGACGGTCGGGGTGGAGCTCTCTCTTTCTGAACGCTTACGAACTATTCCTTGTCCTCCTGTATTGCGGTCGCTGTTGGGTAGAGGCGTACTGGGAGTGTCGCTTGATGTATCCTTCGCTGTAGTTGAAGGTGTCTCTTTCTCGGAGGTGGAGACAGACTTGGTCAATGATGAAGTGGCTTTCTGCGAGGCGGGGGTAGGTTTCCGAGAGAACATGTCCTTGATGCTCCGTCGCTTGTCAAACTCGGGGATCAATCGCCCAGAGATAGGTAGAAGGAATTTTGTTGTGTACTCCTGCTGGCGCTGGCCGTCTCGAAATACCCCCGGGGGATTCATCACATCGAGGATGTTGACGGTCTTGTCGCCGAGGGGGACAGAGTCTTTGAACACCGCATACACCGGACAATGATCGGATCCCTAATATATTAACTTAGCTGGTTCCATCTTACTCAACTAAAGTAAAAGAATAAAACCCACCATCAGCCCCTCTTGGATGTTGGACTCGCAGAACCAGTCCTCCATGTCTCGACTGCACAAGACATAATCAATCCGCGAGCCGTAGTTCCCCGGTCGGGCATTGATCCGCTGCTCCCAGCAGGTGTACATGCCCCTCCGGTCCGGATGGAACGACCGGCAGATATCGTGGAGAACAGGCTGCTCACGGCCCTCGTCCCGCGGCCCCACGACGTTCCCATCGGTGAGCAAATGATTGAAGAGCCGGCGTGCCGGCGCAGTAACGAACTCATCCTCCGTCAGCGTGCCCTTGCGGATGGCCTCAGACGCATGGGCCGCGTCGATCTCGCCCCGAGAGATGTTGATATCGCCCGTGACGAAAACTCTCTTCCCCATGGCGACCAAATTGCGGATCCGGGCATCCAAGATATCGAGAAAGCAGTGGCGGAAAGCGTCCCGGCTCTCATCCCGATTGGCGGGACTGTAGAGGCCCAGCAGAACAAAGGCGGGGAACTCGAGGATCACGCATCGGCCCTCTGAGTCGAGCGTGGCCGCATCCAGCTCGAGCTCGCTGAGCTGTTCCATCGTCGGGTAGCCCCCGATCTGCTGGTCGTCGGGGAGATCCCGGAACGAGACCGACGAATTGGGCGGACAGAGAACGCCCGTTAGTCCCTCCTCGGCGCGAATGGGGGCACACGTCGCATTGCGGGTGTAGATGACGACCCCCGAGTAGCCTAGACGCGGTCAATATCAGATCCCATCCGTCTCCGACCCATGGGCACAGCGAACCTTTCTTGGTCTTGGGAAGACTGAAGTAGCAGTCCCACCCGGGGATGAGAATCATGTCATCGCGGAGGTCTTTGCGCTGGATCTTGGTTTCTTGGAAGACGACAATATCCGCCTCTAGGATATCGAACATGGCCTGATACGATCAGCCCTGTCCTGGAACGTACGATGGCCGCGTGTGGTTACCTCAAACGTCCGCGTTCCCCGCCATGGCTCGTACGAAAATGGATTTCTAGAGCAGGGTCAATACAGGTTGTATTTGTTTACTTCGAGAACATACCGAATCCCATTGACTGCGGATAGTGGTTAGCACCTTGTTCCACAGCCCGTTACCATATACGAGATAGCTATGGCACATGCTTACCATTCCATGTTGTAATTCGAAACCCCATCCCGGCACTACGATCCAGCCGTGCACATATCAACAGAGTCCCCGTCAATAAAACCAGACTGGGGGAGTAAACAGGGTGTTTAGAAACCCGTTTGATGTCTGAATAATCGCGATACGATGGTTCGACGCAGCCCACGTGACTCTAAAGCGGGTGATGTCACGCGATGCTGACATAAGCCCACCCGAGAGCAGCCAAATCACGGGATTTTGCTGGCCAGCCGAATCGCCCGACGTCTTGCGATCAATCCCACCATTTCCGTCCCCTTCCTCAGATTTAACCCCCCCCCCTCCAACCAACCCTCGCGTCCACCACCATGTTCGCTCAACGCACCGCCGCTCGCATGTCCCAGCGTGCTGCTCAGCAGTTCCGCTCCGCCCCGCGCCGTTTCAACAGCACCGGCACCGGCGACAAGTTTCCCTGGGCCGTCGAAAACAGCTTCAACCGTGAGCGGGAGGCTGTCAAGCACCACGCCAACTCGACCAGCGGTGCGTTCCATTCTTGTTCCCTGTTGTGTTTTATGGAATTGAATCTCTGGCAGAGTTCCAGGGTGGAATTGGGTTGATTGGGAGTGTGATACTGACGCAATTGGTTGTCTAGACCTGTGGCGCAAGCTTTCCCTCTAGTACGTATTTCCCCGGGTCCTCCGCTTTCCCTCGCTGGACGTCATCCAATTGGGTCGTTACGTTCGAAAAGAAGAATACAGACAGCAGTAAAGGTGCAAAATAGAATTAATCTTACAATAACATAGTGCCGTCGTCCCCGTCATCGTCCTCGGCGCCATCAACTCCTACAACCTCTGGGAGGAGCACTGGGAGCACTGGGAGCACATGCCCGCTCTGGAGGAGCGCGTCGAGTACCCCTACCAGAACATCCGGGTGAAGAACTACCCCTGGGGCGATGGTGACAAGGTTAGTTTCCTTTTCTACTAGCTGTGATGTTGAAATATACTAACGAGTTACTTTTTTTCTAGACCATCTTGTAAGTTTCTTCCGTCTGTCGACAGATACACAGATATACACGTCGATTTGCATGAAGTATGAACTAACCCCATGCAGCTGGAACAGCTTTGTCAACTACCACAACAAGGACAAGGCTACCTAAGCGTTCCTTGAGCGGACCAGCAAATGGCTCGAACCCCGCGTCTCCGGGAGAAGCGAAGGACCGGACCTGTATATTTACTGCTACTGCTATGCCACCGCAGCCTGTCTGAAGATAGAGCGAGAAGTCTGTGCAGAGAGGGGAGAGGGAGGAGCTGTCGTTTGAATTCACACTTGCCATACTTGGACTTTGACTTTCCTTTGTCTGAATCGTACATTAAATGTGATTGTTCTACCAGATTTAGTCGTAGCGTAGCTATTCGCAGATGTAGTCACGACTGTACTATGGTAAGCAGGTAGACAGACATACTGAAACTAAGATCTAGAAAGATGATAATAATTACTATCACACCACCTCCGCCGCCCCCAGCTTCCGCAAATCCAAATACTTAGCGGCATAATCATTCGCCAGCACCAGATCCCCAGACAGCTGCATAACAGTAGCCTTCTTAGCCATCATCTCGCACTGCCCCCGGATGTCCTCCAATTCCTCAAACTGATCATACGCACAGTCAAGGTACCCCAGCGCGCGGTTCATATACTCCTTCTTAGCGGGGTCGGCTGCCTTGCGCAAGGAGCCCGCCACACCCATATTAGCATCAACAAGAAGCGAGTAAGCACGGGCAGCGAGAGCCGCATCATTTGCCTCAAGCACCTGCGGCATAACGCTCTCAAGCATAGCAGCGACAGCGGTGAACTCGCGCAAGCTGAGCAGCACAGCGGCGAGGGCGCACACGGCGTCGCAGAGGTCGGGGAGGAGACGGGCGCGGTGGGCGATGCTGGCAGCGCGCATGGCGAGCGAGAAGCCGCGCTGAGGCTGGCTGGTTTTGTCGAGGATGCGGGCCTTGAGGCAGAGGAGCTGGATCTGGGTGTGGATGTCGAAGTTTTCGTGGTGGAGGGATTGGGCGGTTTGTTCGATGAGGGTGAGGGCGTGCGCGTGGTTGCCTTTGCGGATTGTGTATTCGATTGTGAGGAGGGTGAGGGTGAGGACGAGGTCTGTGTCGGGGAGTTGGATGGATTGGAGTTGGGTGAGGAGGTGGTCCGCTGCTACTTGGTTGTCTCTGGTTTTTGTTAGTTTACTCTTCGTTTCGTTTTTGCTTTTCTTTTTCTGTGTCTTCTGGTACTATGGCATACCGGTAGATCTGTCGGCGGAGTTGCATGAGTCCCGAGAAAAACGTCCACAGCTGGTTCTCTTTCAACGACCGGAGCTTCTCGGGGGCGATGTCGTTCATCCGAGCTGACGCCTCCTTGTAGCGGCCTTGTTGTGCTAGCTGATGGAAGTTAGCGTAGGCCTAACGAGATAAGGAAGGAAGACGCACCAGCTGGCAGCTGCGGAAGGTGTTCTTGAGGTAATCCTCAAACGGAGCCCGACTCGCGTAGCATTCGAGGAAGATCTCGCTATTCAACCACGCGAGGTGGGTGACGCCTGAAGTGGTCAGTAGAGTGTTCACAGCGAAGGTGGTCAGACTGAATACCTATCCGTGCGTAGAGAGAAGTCTGAAGCAGGAGCTGCGGCCCCATCGAGAGAGCAACATTTTTGGTGACGTTCAGATGGGACGCACGAACAATATTTTCGATTGACGACGCTAGACTCTCTCCCTTCGAGTTGTTAGTTGGAACAACGTATAGATCAGAGCTAGACTCACCTTTTGCAACTCGAGCTTCGCCTCGCTTAAAAGGGTAGTGCTCAGCAGACTCCACATCTCAGTCTCTTTCGCCTTGGCCTTCAAAAACGCCAGACCCTCCTTCTCATTGCCCAGCATTCCCGTGTTCTGAACATCCTTCATATGCTCCGGAAACGCTTTGCCAAAATGGTACAGCCAGCTCATGCAGAAGTTCAGACAGTTCATATCGTGTGACTCGCGCGCGATGGACACCGCCTCCTGCATCGCCGACACAGCTTCTCCGTAGCACCCGAAATCCGCCTGCAGAATGGCCAGGTTTAAAAGAGCATACTGGTAGGAGCTCCGGTCCCGGCTACGCATGGTGTAGTCGAAATACCGGTGGAGATTGTCAAACGACGATGGATAGTCGCCGGCTCTCCAGGCATCGAGGAACCTGACTGATTAGCGTCTATCTCTCTTCGAGCCAGTCGGTGATCGGGACTTACTTGAGATAGTGAACTAGATTGGGCAATGTCACGCCCGCCGTGACAATCCGTTCCAGTTGAGTTTTCATCGCGTCGGGGACTCTGCCTCCCAATCCTGTACCTCGTCAGTAATCGTTCTATCAGTTTCCGAGGGTCCTACATACTCTGTAACTCTCCAATCTGAAACTCTAACAGTCGCTCTACGTCCTTGGTACTCACGTACGTTTCATCCTCAGAATCAGACTCGTCAATGGTGCCGTACGCCACCTGAGCCAGCGGACTGTCGGTCTCTAACGACAGGGCGAGCAGGTTGATATCCACAGGAGCATGATCTTCACTAGGATTTCGCCTCGCCCACATCCAGTACGTCGGCAGACGGTACTTAACAAAGCCCTTCCACAGCTTCACCGAGTCGTGAAATTGCAGGCGCGTAAATTCAAGCTGGGCCCTGCGCACGAACGCCCCCAGCGGGGAGCACCGGGACAAGCGCATCCCGCCCGTCTCGGGGGCCAGACCCTGGTCCCTGTCCCGCATCTGCTCGTCACGGGTCTTGACCAGCATGTCGGAGATCTCCGTAAAGAAGACCTCCAGGGCATCGCACGAGTCCAGGGACCAGGCCTTCCGCAGGAACAAGTCCCAGACGGAGCGGCCGGGGATTGAGGAGGGGCGGTGGGAGAGGCCCTCCTCGAGGTCCGCCATCGACACGGACGACTGCTTGGTCCATTTTCCGCTCGAAAATTCGGGTTCTCCCGGGTCTAACGGGGTCAGACACGAGACTAAGAAGGATAGGACATGGATGGCGGCGGAGTTGGGGACGACTCCTTCCGTGTAGATGGAGATGAGGCACAGTAATGCGACTTTGGAGGGGGTGAGATAGCGACTCATGATGAGTCGAGCATCCTCTTCTCTTCTTCTCCTCTTTCGTTTTTGTCCTCTATTTTCTTCTCTCCGTGTTGCTGGTTTAAGGGTGAATTGTTGGAGTGATGTGAAAGTATGAGCGCGTCGTGGACCACGTGACGGGTATCCATGTCAGGTGGACCCAAACAAGGTGCCTGAGGAAGAGATCGGATCTTCCCCGCCAAGACCGACTCTTCCATCTGACCCTACGAAGCCCTACAAACTACAAAGTACCAAGTCGGTCAAGCGTACAGTCGAACCATTGTATTCTGGCAATCATTCTAATACTACCTCCCTCACAGGTCAAACTGACAAGTAATTCCATGATCCCGGGGCCCACACCGTTTCTCTTCGTGCTGTAGATTGATCTCCTGATCTTTATAACGAATCCCTGCTCTTTCTAAGTTGTTACCGTAAGTATCACAGCCATTGCCCCCAGTAATCCAAAGATCAGCATCCAGGTGGGTTCTGGCTGGAGTAATTGTTTGCCCCTTATCTGAACACTTCACCGCTAAGGGGCTCACATTGGTCCAGCTGGTGCCGTCGTCAGATGGAAGGCAGATGCGGATCTAGTTGAGTTACAAGGGTCAGCAACTATTCAATCCCTCCGGTACCGCTATTATGAGACGGTGGAAATGCGGTAGGGTAGAGCAACGTACCCATGGCCGGCTATAATCTTCAGGGAAGTGACTATCCCGTACAGAAGTGAAGTGCACGACGAACTTGGTGCTGTCGACAGGGAAAACATGCTGGTCCCAATTGCAATCCCAAAGTCCCCAAGCTCCCTGTCCAAGACCAAGCATCATCGCGCCCATCAGGGTGATTTTCTTGCTTGAGGTCGCAAGCATGTTGTGACTGAGATCGTGAACGAATTGAGTGTATTAATAGTAGAATTGATTGTGTATAAGCGTTGATGATGGTGAGCTCGAAGCCATGCGTCGCCAACGACGTATTTATATCTTCTTTGGCAATCCAAGTCCAATGGTAGCGAGGTTCTCACTGTAGCACTATCATATCAGAGGAATATCTGATGACGGATTCCAGACTACACAGCCCCCCCCCCCCCCATATGAAGTTATTTCTGAATTTAATGGGGCCATGCGCGTTGAGATCAAGGAATTTGACGGCAATTGATGTAGAGATCATCGAAGGTTGTTGTTGTTTATCTCTAAATGGAAATAAAACTGCAGGAAGTGGGCCCCCCATTTTGGCCCCAACATCTCCATATTTGGTAACTTGGTAACGGTATACAAATATAGCATTTCTTCCGTCTTCCTCGGTTCAATCGCATGTTAGGCGTTCCACGTCAGGTGTAACATTTCTTAGACAAACAAGTTAATTTTGTGGCGGTCTTGAAATGGCCTCATGGTCGAAGAATGGTGACGGCAGCAAGAATATAAATACTCCTGTCTGCTCGGACAAACTCGACCTTTGTTAGCCTAAGAATTCCTTCCAGAAAGAAAAAAAGAAGACAGGAAAAGAAAACGAAAGAGTGAATAAAGATAGCGTCAAATTCTCAACTAAACCACAACCCACCCGAACATTTCGACCTTCCCATCAAGATGCATATCTTCAAGCTCTTCTACCCCACGGTCTTTGCCCTCTCGGCCAACGCATTATTCGACTGCAACGACGACCAACATGCCTTTGAACCCACTCCCGGAAAGTTTGTCGTTCACTTCACTTCAGCTTCTGATAGCCACTACAACGGAAATGACCCATGGGTATGAACGTCCTCTGTGTTTGAGCATTTGCCCGAAACATGCAAAATTCTAACCTTCCCACCAAATTTAGATCCGGATCTGCCTCCCGAATGACTCGGGGTCGTGGGACAATGTTGACCCGCTGGGGATTCCATGTGAAACGATAGGCGCAAAGAAATTCAGTCCCAGCCAAACCAAACTCAAGGCGGACCTCAAGGTTGGCATTGGTGATGCTTGCACTAATAACCCCATCTTAAATTACGCATATCTGCAGTACAAAACCGTCTATATTGGCCTGTACGGTGATTATAATAATGGTGATGTTTGTGGAAAGCCCAACCATGGAAGGTCTTGTCAGTTTGATCTGTAAGAGAGCTGGAGGGGGTTTTTTTTCTTCTTGGCGCCTTGTATGTAAACCAAGGCTAGCAGAATAAACGGAAGACAATGTCGTCTCGCTTGATTTTGCACATATCGTTTCTTTCCAATTCGAAACCAGAGCTTTCTCAAAAGATTCTGGTAGGATAGAATCATCCTTGGGAAGAAATTTCCATGTCAGAGACATTCCACACAGATGGGAAGATAGATCCTGTGCCGTCATGACATGACATGATATAACAGAAGGTTAGGGCGACCGCGTAAGTAGTTGTCCACATGGCCAAGGTCTCGCTGCACCTGCAATACGCGTTCTCTCAGGGACCCCAATGACGTGAAAGAAGAAAATCTTATCTCTTACCAATGTGTATACTAGTACCAGGCCAACCAAGCTTACCCCAATATATTACCAGGGTTTCTCAACGGTGCGTGGTAGAGGATTCGCTCTGATTCTGTCTTCTTCTTTTTGCTAGTTTATATGGCTCGGGTATAGGTTTGATTTTCAGGTAGAGAGTGGGCTGCAGGACGCGATAATCATAAAAAGATGGAACGATCAATGAGGATCATCAGTAAATGACCTACAGACACTACTTACCTTCCGATCAAATACTTGAAGAGACTTGCTGTATGTCAATGTGACTGCTGGACCAGCATCAAACAAATAGACAGTCTGGAATTTAAATGGAGGGTAAGGAAGAGGAAATAACACTGACTGGTATATCTCTTACCTGCTTGTTTACGATCATCTAACATTGCGGACTTGGGTGACTGAAGACTTACTAGCGCCAGTCTAGAACAGAGAAGCACTGATTTATATACTTACCATAGTCTGCTGATGTGCTATCCCTCATGGTAACTTTCCTTTTCTTTCCCTCTTCTGATTTTCAATATTGACTCTGTTTTATCAAGTGGAGCCTTATAAACTTGACTGACACTGATGCCCCTCAGTTGCAGGCGTACAATTGCACGATATGGGTTTGACGGGATTTCTACCCTCCTGTCACTGAGCTATGAAAGAATGGTGTATACGGAGCCGAAAAACTGTAGATCACTCTGACTAGACTGAGTGGCCACTATTAGTTCCCTGTAACCTCATTTGAGGCTAATGCAGCTGATCACAACTTGGCACTAAAATCCCCCTCATCTCTCCACCTCCAATTCTTTCCCCAATCTTTCTTTCAAAGCTCCAGGCTGTCGTTTTCACAGCCCGTGCGTCCCCTAGAATCTCATCAGGAGTTGTAATGGAGTCCCCCGTCTTGTAAGGCATCTTGATATGGCGGCTGCATAATGAGAATTGAGATCTAACTAACGTGGAACATCGAATTCATCAGGGAAGCCTTTTTCACCAAACAATGGGAATCAGCGACCAAGTCCTTCTTGGAACGGATGGAACCTCAAGATCGCAGGACAATTAGAAGTTTTCGCACCTATGAGGATGTACGGGAATATGTGTTCGTCGAACAAGATGAAGAGGTGTCTGAAGCAGCCCTGCAAGAGCTGGCCATGCTGCAGCCCCGAATGGTTGATTTGAAAGACTTCAGCGATTTCTTTACCTCCCACCTTCATCCGGCTCCTGGGACGGGTGTGTTTTGGGGACTGCTCGGCTTACTGCTCACGGTAAGACAAGTGCCAATATGGATACATATATATACTGGCAGTAGCGTTTTATACAAACCGACTAGTGATCTCTGACACACCTTATTAGTTGGCCTTACAGCATGACGAGACAATGCGACGAATGGTACAGATGCTTAGGAAGCTAAGCAGGAATTGTCATGATTTCATCCTCCATTGCCGAAAAAGCCCGACCATCACCAAAGAGGACAAAGAGTCTTGTTTTGATATTTTTCTGAGGTTCACCAGCTTTCTCACGGACGCTGTGCAGTTTATACGCCAAGCAGACGATGACTTATTGGGATTGACACATACCGGCGGTAAGACCCCCTCGCAAGGATTTCAATCGAGATTGCGAAGAGAAGCTGTGGTGTAATACTAATGGAACAGACGGGTACGATCCATCGTGGACCAAGTTGACCGACAGTTTTGCAGCCGCCATAGAGGAGATTGAAGATATACTTGTTCGCATAGAGCGGGTCGCTGCCATGTATCAGAGGCAATATCAGGGAGACATGGCATCCTGGTTTTCGTATCTCTCGCTCACACCGCGCGTGTTCCGAGATATGGCTCACTTGCCTTGCTTCGTCCTTCCACCCATACGAACTGCTCGTTTTTTCGATCGAGATGAGGTGATTGAGAAGATCGAACAATATCTCCAAGACACCGATGCGTCATCGCCACTGCGCTCGCTGGCTCTCTACGGCATGGGAGGCGTCGGCAAGAGCCACGTTGCCATGAAATTTCTGGAAAAAAAGTTGGCAGCCAAAGATTTTGACGCCATCTTCTGGGTCGGCGCTGAAAGTCCGGTCGCTATTCAACAGAGCTTTACAGATATTGCCCTAAGACTGAAACTACCTGATACTGCGCCGGCCACTCATGACGAAAATAGGATGATTCTCAAGGGCTGGCTGCAGCAGACTGGTACGTGATCTTACACCCTGCAGACTTACTTACTGCTAATAGGAAATTGATTAGAGTGTAGATGGATGATCATCTACGATAATGCAGAGACAACCGAGCTTCTTCGGGATTACTGGCCTCTATCTGGCAGCAATGGTAAAGTCTTGATCACAACAAGAAATCATTTGCTTGGTTTCGATCCTGCCGACGTTGGTATTGAGATACTCCCTTGGGATACTGAAACAGGCTCAAAGTTCTTGCTACATCTTCTCGCAGGACATATCGGGACGGATATCCTGGCTAATGAAGCACAGTCAGCATATAGTCTTGCTGAGAGGTTGAATGGACATGCGTTGGCATTGTCCAACATGTGTGGCTTGATTCATCGTCGATCCTGGTCGATATCAGAACTTGTTGAAGTTTATGATAAATCCAAGGACTTTAAAGACGGACTGGAAATTGTCTGGCAACTGTCTTTCAAGAATCTCCGGCCTGACTGTGCTGCACTATTGTCAGCTTTCACTTTTTGTTCCCCAGACAGCATCCCACAATCACTGTTTGAGCTCAACGAAGAGACAGAAAACCTCACAGATGATATGCTCTGGTATCTTGATTCCGATCGGTTCGTGGCTTCCGGTATCCATACTATTCCCAACATTGCAGTCGCTAACAATGAATGTCACAGTCTGAGTATAAACACGGAGGAGCTGTTGGCCCTTGCTCTAATTAAACGTGATAGATATAGCCGCGTCTATTCGATTCATCGTCTCATTGCATCCCAATTTCGCCGCTTTATGAGCCCCGAAGCCCAGCAAAAGGCCTTCTACGAAGCTTCGATTCTAATGTACAACGCGTTTCCGAAAAGACCTAAGAAAGCGGGTGCTACCAGAGCCAATCTCTACAATGTCTGGGACAAGTGCCAACTTTGGCTGCAGCATGTACTACAGCTCAAGAGTAACTTCATGCAAGAGCGAAAGCGGAACCCAAGTTTCTCCGCTTGTAGAGAGACGTGCGAGACATGGGTTCAATGTCAACGGTCAGTCAAATTGCACAGATATGTTGACGATCTAAACCATAGAAAGTATGCCCTATCATGTACTAATACCGCGATTAGGTATCTCCTTGAAACACAGAACTGGCGCGAACTCGAAGACCTCGTTACCGCAAATAGGATTGCTATGGCTACACTTCCAGATGCCGACAAGGAAATATACCTTCCCTCATCAACCGAAATTCACGTTGCCTCCATGTGGGCCTTCCGGGGAAGATTTAACCTGGCCCTCGAGAGCTTGCTAAATGCACATAATCTCAAGCTGTCGGAGTCTCCCGTTGATCTCCAGAATCTCTGCTGGATTGAAGATAACCTAGCTACTATTTATGGGTGCCTGAGAGATTTTGAAACCGCTATACAATGGATCGAACAGAGTCGTGATACATGGAAACGGTGGTCCGAGTCCACAGGCCTTGAATTCAAGTGTCCTCCGCTGCTGAAACTGACGCATGGCCGGATCCTGGCTCACGGAAGAAACTTCGATGAGGCTAGAGTGCAGCTTACTGAGGCGATAGATGGACTTCTGTCTGCCGAGCCATTTGTTTGGGCTCCAGCAGCTACGTGAGTTCCCCCCCTCTGGCTGGGGGGGACTTTGGAAGATGCATGATTGCATACATAATTGGATACTAATGCCAAGTAGGTGTAAATTTGTCATAGGGCGACTGCTTATGTTTGAAGGAAAGTATGACGCCGCGGACAAGATGTTGTTAGAGTCTCAGTCCATGTGGCTTGCGGGCGACAAGTCTCGTGCTTTGGACTTCAACGGCATCATTGTATATCAGCTGGGCTGCTGTGCTCTGCTGCAAGGAAACAAAGACGCTGCACTGTAAGTGTGGGACGAGAACAGCGGGTACGCGGTAGGTACGCACTGTACTGACGATGGCAACTCTTCCCTATTTAGCGAACATCTCGAAGAGGCGAAAGTGATTAGCTCTATTCACCAAGATACGCATCCTGCCAAGTATGCCCGGTGTTTGTTCAAGTTATCCGAGACGAGACGCCAGATTCCCGGACAGGAAGCGCAAGCCGATCAACAACTCAAAGAAGCGAAAGCCTTATATCTCCAGATCGTTGGCAAGACGCGACCAACGACCACAGAAAGACCAAAGGAAGGCTCTTTCCCGCATCCGGAGCAGTTAAAGGACGAAGACTTCGATGCCCTTATTCACATTAGTCAACGATAGATTTATGAATATGAAACATATGCCAATCAACTAGTACAATCAGTAACGTAGCAGCATTTGCCGACCGGGACATCCACAATACAACCCTCAAAAGCAAGCACACACGCAAACACCAGCTATAGTACTGCCGTCCGCCATTATAGCAACAGCAATTGAAGATCGTTGGCCACTCAACTTTCCCCCAGAGCCCCAAATAACGAAACACCAGAAGGCAACCTCCTCAAAACCGCCTCCCTCAACCCCTCAACCCCATCCACTAACTCGATCCCAAACCTCCTACACACAACCTGCACATTGCCCCTCTTCCAGTATCCCTCAGGACAAACAACAACCGTCTTCCCAGGAACACGCGCACACAGCCCAAGCTCCAGCAAACTAACCGGCGCCTGAGTCGCAGGGTGGAAGTAAAGAACTACCACATCAGCCCTATCCTGCTTCTCGAGCTCCCACTCCACCTGCTCACGGTAGGGCGCGAAATCGATATCCTCGCGCCACGAGCTGTCCCAGTCAGCACGGTGCGGATTGTATATGGTGACGGGCGTATCTGCGAGAGATGCAGAGAGGGCCTCGCGCCAATCGGTGGGGTCGACTTTGGTGGTTGTTCCTGCGAGGAAGACTGATTTGAGCCCGCGCGGGGCTTCCTCTGAGGGGGCGTAGATGATTTGGCTTTGGGATTTGGGGGCCATCTTTGTTAAGTGAGGGAGGGGAGTGCTTTTCTTGGAGAGTGGTGCTCTTCTGGAAGAACAGGTGTGGAGGAATGAGCGGAGGACATGGGCTCGCTGCATTAGGGCCTGGAAGGTTGATTGCTGGCTGGAGCTTATACCACCATGATAGGGTGCCATGTACGTGAGCCTCGAAGCGCCGCGGGGTTCCACTGATCGGCTTCTTGTGCTTGATCGATTCACTGCCTACGCTAGTGATTACTGTTTTGGCTTAGTTCTGGAGCGATCTGGGGTTCGTATTGGATAGATCCGTTTCTATATTTGTAGAATTATTTATGGATACTATGGAATATGTACTAAAGGTACTGGGAAACAGAGCACGAAATTAGGGCCAACGAGGCTATAATGTCAATTTACAACAGACTGTCTATGAGGCCGTGCTCAAAAGTTATTCATCAATCATATCATTCTTTCCAATAAACTCCTAGCCAGTCCGTATTTGAAAAATAAAAAATCGCGCCGTCATTGACCGGCCCATGTACAGGAACAGGAAGAAAATAGAAGCCAACTCCTAAAATGAGGTTTGCAGTTCAATAATTGCGACCAGGAGCTGGAGTGCTGCCAGGATGTTGGCCACTCCTCCAACGATTACTACCGCCCAGAAAGTGTACCACTGCAGAGGATTTCGTCTGTCGCGCCACAGGTCAATCAACTTATTGGGTCGTTGTCGTAGGTTGAACTGCTGGAGCTTGAGCAAGCGCGGTCCGAGCCTTGGAAAGTCATTGCGAACGCTGTACACGTCGCTTTCTAGGAGCTGCCCTTTCATATTCCGACAAGTGACGGGCCACATCTCAGAGGGATAGTTCTGCAGAACGGTGTCGTATGTCCTCCACCATAGGCCGCCATGCTTGTACTTGCGTTCGCAGAGGTCCAGAAGCATAGTGTCGACACTCTGGTTTGCGTGAATCTTTTTCAGCCGGCAGATTTCGTCATGTGCGACTTTCCTGGACATGCCATCTTGCCCAAATAAAAGACGGTAGGAAAGGAGAACCTCTTGCTCTAGACTGACACAGCATTGGTCTCGATCTTCAGGGGACAAGGGATCGATTTGCTCGGAGATACTGAAAGTAGTAAGCTCCAATCTTTTGGCTGTCTTAGAAATAGATGACATACCTTTGAATTGTTAAGCTAACGTTGGCTCCATAGATGGCAAGCAAGGCGCAGAATGTCGGAAAGCGAAACAAGGACAGCCGGCGAGTAGCTGGGTTGAAACGTAGATGCTCACTGATCGTATCCACCCACTGAATAGTGACATGACCAAAGTACCGTAGCGAGTATATGCTGAGACTTGCTTTATACAGGCTGTCTCCCTCCCACGATCCACCCTGCACGCGGTCACTCAACTGGTCACCCCAGTGCTGCATCTTGAAAGACCGGAAGATGAGCGGGATTGGTCGCATGTGTCTACTACTTAGTGCATGTGTAGCGGAGTCCTTGGTCAATCTGGACCCATGTGGCAGGAGGCATGTAAGGTTGCGTGCTGTGTTGTCTGTAGAAAGTAGATTCGGACGCGCCACCATGCTTGACCAGCACAGTACCCCGAAAATGGCGATGTAAAAGCAGCTTTTATCTTTGCACCGCTCAAGTATTGCGCTATGATCTCCTTTTCGCTTCTTGAGACGTTGTAATATGTCGTGTATGCTGATCTCAGTTTCTTCTGATCCTATCGCCTGTAACACCGCAAGGATCCAGTCCCAGCGATCTGCTATCTCTTTGGGATTTGTATAGGGTACCAAGCCCCAAATTGAGTCAAATGATGGGGACGTCAACGGAACAAAGGCTTCACGTTCCAAATAGTCACAGTATGATTCAATTCCTGGGAACTTGGCGACATTCTCAGGCTTAATATCGAAAAGCCCTTGGATGAACTCAAGACGTTTGTTGTAGATGGCGCGCTGGGGGATGTGAACAACCTTGCCGGAGGCTTCCTTATCTCTTAAAACTCCCTCATCTCCTGGGGCTGCCTCGTCGTCTGGGGCTTCCTCATCGATCGATTTCTCGCGAATTGGTGTCACTTGCCGAAGTAATTGTTGCATGGTGTTGCCGTGAGTATTTTATTTCTCTGAAGCTGTAGAAACCATCCCAGGCATACGGGGCGGCTCCTTAGAGTATTTTAATATAGGCTGCATTTCTTGATGTGCAATCTTTTGAAACAAAGAAGTTTGTTTAAAATAGACAGAGGCTAGAGGGACGCCAATCCCGTGGCGGCTAAAGATGGGCGAGTCACTTGCTCATGAGCAGTAGGAAATATACGTGTGAACCATTAATGCAGTCCATGCATCATTCTCAATTCGGTAGCCGCGCGCTATGTAGAATGAAGTTCATCTGTCATGGATCCTGTTAGCGAATGGGGATTCGGGGATTCTGGGTAAGAAAGACACCGGCGCTAAGATCCGTACCTAACATGTTGAAATTGGAATTCATTTCCGGCTCATGATAATCTAAACGTTTATCCATGGATGGAATCCACTTATTTCAGCCATTCTTGTGATAAGTGAAGCTATGGCTTTCCATGGCGGCTGTAGTCAATGGCTGTGGTGCCTGGCGCTGTAGCAATCGAATTGTAGATCATCCTTGTGTTGGATTGATAGGGGAAAAGTAGACAGCGTCCACATAGCACTCTCGTTTCTTTTTTGGGGCTGAGATCATGTTGTCGGAATGGATTGATTGGAATGAATAAAAAGTGGAGATGCGTTGAGGAGAGGTTCAAATTGCAGACAGGCGATGCGCTTTGGAGTCAGGTGACTCGTTGCTGTCTCAGTTTCGGTTTCTCTTTGACCAGTTTCTCTAGATCATGGCATTTCTTTTACTCATGCCTCACATACTGCGATGAAATACCAGAAATACCCAGGAACGGCCAAGGACCAAGCCTATCGCATGTTTTGGTGACGCTTACAACTGAGTTCTCTCGGCTCTGAGTTCAACCACCCCCATGATAATCGGGCATTCTTCTCGCTTTTACGTACAGAAACAATTATACAAGGGATAGAATAGGAGAAACCGAGGTATTTTGACACTGCCACCCAACTGAAACGTGAACTTATGTAAAAGAAAAATCGACCAAACACAATTTGCTCAACCAGCCACTCCATTAGCCGGGCGAATCGGCCCCCAGATATACATAGAAGCAGCGCCCTCACTCTTCATCCGTCCAGTCGGATTATCTACATTCACGACATCACCATCAGCATAGTGCTCAATGGTAAGCCCACTCGGATCCTTCCAATAATCGAAGATCTGCGATCCTAGGATATGGCGCCCCACCCCCCATACCAGACTATATCCCTTGTTAAGCAGATGCTCGTGACCCAGCATCTGGGTGTCAAAGTCCTCTACTTCGAACGAGCAGTGATGGATCTGATACGGTTTCGGGTGAGAGGCGGGCACGCGCGAGAGGAAAAGCGTGTGGTGGTCGACGTAGGTCTGGCCGCGGTCGAGGTGCATGAAGGTCAAGCTGTCGACTTCGCCTTGGCCCTCTACCTCCTCGTAGAGGATATCCGACGGGACGAAGTTGAAGTTCTCTGTGTAGAAAGCGATGTCCTCGTCGAACATGCGCGTGACGTAGCCGTAGTGACCGATTTTGTGGACCATTGCAGGGCCTACTTTGAATCGCTGGAATTCTCCTGTTCATAGTAGATTTTCATTAGACGGGTTTGGAACTTTGAGAATAACCATATGGCATACCTTTTCGTGGCTTCGCTAATGTCGTATTGTAAGGTCCTTTGTGTACATCGGTGCTGCTGACAGGCTTTACCGACGCCGTGCGGTCCTCTTGTCCCCAGATGATGTAGATGATCGATCCAGACGGTGACGCGAGCTTCACCCTCTTTCCGCCTCCTGGAGCAGGATTTCTCTCTACCTCCGACGCTCCAGGTAGCGATGCGCATCGGGCGAAGTCCTGTTCGGACCCGGCGATGAAAGCAGCGCCTACAAATCCTTCCTCCTGACCATTCACGCCAGCCTGCAAGGCCGCGTATGCACAGGCATCTTTGCCCCAGCCTCGGTAGTAGATCGCCGATTCGGTGCGGCTGGCTTGCTCAAACCCGAAATCTCGCGCAAATGCGTCGAATTTGTTGAGATCAGTGTGGCCATAGCAGACATGGCTGAGACGCTCCAGTTGGATCTTATCCGGGGAGTTGGAGACGGGGGGAATGCGACCTGGCGGCATGATAAACCGATAGCGTGTTATTAGACGTACAAGATAGGAAGCAAATGAGCACCAACAATCAGAGTGATTTGTTTAGGATCTACCCTTACCAGATGAGCCCTGGTCGTCTGTAGTATATAGTAACTCTGCGGGGAAGCAGCGGAAGATCAACAACCGAGTTGCTCCGCTGCGGAGGATCTCTTTCCTCCGCATCCACCCCGGCCATGAAAAGACCGGCATCATGCTGGGGTAGAGATTATGTATCCAATCGGGCTACATTGAATATGAAACTCCGCATTATTTTAATCAAACTGCTGGTCGATCCACCATAGCTAGGTGACCACTTCCATAAACGGGATGGATTTAAAGTCTGCCGCTCCCAAGTCGCTTCAACTCGCGGATTAACACATTTTGGAGTCATTCATGTGAAATTATGGAGTCGACCACCGTGTTGATTGCGGGCGCTGGGCCAAGTGGGCTTGTGCTGGGCGCTCTGCTCGCTCGAATGAACATTAAGGTACAGTGCAGTCGTTCTTAGAAGCAGAATTGAGCCACCCACTCTCAGAGTACTAATGACACAAAGTACAGGTCGTCATTCTAGAGAAAGACCAAGAAGTCTGCGAAGACCCGCGCGGCATCGTAGTCAACGGCGATGCAGTGCGAATCTCCTATCAAGTCGGCATCGGCGAGGGTTTGACGAAGAAGATCGGACACCGTATGTAGGACCTGAACCCCATAACCCGAGATGTCATTATACTGAGATATATCCATACGACAGACATTGGTGCACTCAACTTCCATCGCGGAAGCTTCCGACAACGCCCTTTTATGATCTTCGACCTGATGACAGACTGGGCGGAGCATGCCGTATCGCAAAACATCACCCAGTTTCAGCCCAATTACGAAAGAGAAATCCGCGAGCTCCTCCCGAGTTTCTCTAATTGTGAGCTGCGAACCGGATGCGAGGTGGTCTCCCGGGAAGAAGAAGATGGCATCATGACCGTGGGGTACGTGACGTCCACGGGAGAGCGCAAGACTATCCAAACACGGTGGCTGGTTGGCGCCGACGGGAAAAGAGGCGTGGTGAGGAAAAAGTTCCTTGAACCTGAAGGGATCAAACAGGTCGATGGCGTGTAAGTTGCATATTGAAGGTATATGGGTTGTTTCTGCGCTGACAGGTTTTAGGTGGCCATATGTTGGTACTTGGGTGGCGATCAATCTGCAAGTTGATCTTCCGACTCCTGAGAAACATCCAGAGTTCCCTCTGTGGAAGTTTGGATACACACCTGAGCAGGTCCATGAAGAGTTTTGGCCTAAAGGCTTTCAGTATGTGTATGGATCTGGTTTAATTGTAACAATACTGACTTTCTTGCGAAGCTTCTGCAACGACTCTCAAAGACCCGCTGTAAGCGGGCGGTTTGGTCCCAAGGGTGCTAGATTCTGGAGGTTGGTACCATAATCCCCTTTACTCTTACAATGGAAACAAACTCTAACCGCACCGCAGACACGAGTACTATATAACGCCAGAAGAAGAATCGGATGACGCACTGGAAAGGTTTTGGAAGCAATTTAGTCCTTGGATGGCGATTCCTGGCGAGAAATTCTCTTCGAAGTTGAAAGGAGTCTCCGTGGAGTATCCTCGAGATTGCATACACGTCTTGCGATGTCGACCATTCAAGTCAGTCACATCCTAACCCTTCAGCTAAGAAAAATTATCATATATTAACAAAAATCTAGATTCGCAACCAAAGTGGTCAACCGATGGTACAACCGCAACACAATGCTGATCGGCGACGCTGCCCACGTCTTCCCACCCTTCGGCGGACAAGGCATCGCGACAGGAATTCGCGACGCACAGGCTCTCAGCTGGCGTTTGGCCATGATGTCCCACCTCAACGTCTCGCCCCAAGTGCAGACCAAGCTTCTGAGTGGATGGAGTCAAGAGCGTCGCCATGCCTGGGAGGCAGCCACCCTATCCACAAAACTGAACGGGAGCATCGTCAATCTCACCTCATTCTGGTGGGGCCTCGTCTACCGAACCTGCATGCGCATACTATGGTGGCTTCCGGGGGTTGCCAAATGGAGGACGAGACGCGCATTCCGAGACAAGCTGGTATACGACGAGAGTAAATGTCCAGACGGATTCTTTCTGCAATCTGCGGGCGGCGGGAGAAAGATTGCTCAAATCTGGTGTCGGAGTCCCGACGACGAGCGGCCTGTCCTCTCTGACGAAGCCATCTTGCGGGATCTCTCGCATCTGTCGCTATTGGTTTTGGTGAAACGCCCGGCGGACTTTGACCCGCTTGCAGTCCGGGCAGTATTGAAGGAGGTAAACCTGCCGGAAGTCCTCATTTCAGCCCAGGATGTCAGTTATCTGGACATCAGTGCCGATAGAGGGAGTACGCCGAGGAGCAAAAGCTCTTTTGTCTACTACCCGTGCTCGTCTGAGGAGCTGGATAGCCACAGTGTTGCACGCCTGCAGGGATACAACCGGAACGCCATTCAAGAGAGGTTGCATTCATCGACACGATACGTTCTGCTCCGACCAGATTTCTTCATCCACTCGGTGGCGCGTGACGTGGGGGAACTCCGACAGAATCTCAAGTCTGTGCACAACTATTTTTCTGACGCGAAATTGGAAACAGTACAGTAACATAGCCTAAATATCATTTACATCACAGACATGGTCAAGTCCTCCACGAGTGAATCACACAGTATTGACACATCTACTCTGCCAGGCTGCCTGGTAAACGGACTGAATGCCTTTCGGACGTGTGAAATCAGACCGATCAACCGCCGGGAGTCTAGTTTAGCCCAGCTCCATGCTCGGAGTTCTTGCAGGGAGTCTATCATGACATTAGCATCTTGCTGCACAATAGAGTCCGTACACGGAGGTAGAGATTGGACCTACCTTGAAGCACCCGAGCAATAGGCCACCAGGGCGTGAAACTATTGAGCGAAACGCTCAAACCCTCGAGCGCATTGGTCTCGGGCATATTTGGTAGATCTGCACCTGAATTTTTGAGTCCAGACATCTCCAGCATCATTAGCCCGCAGTAGGCATGCCAAATGGCACAACTGATGATAGGGTCCGAGACGGCAAAGTAGTCAGACGGCCAGTAGTTGAAAACGTTGGCGATGTCTTCCGCATATCCTAGGCTATCGCGCCAGCCTCCGAGAGAAACCAGAGAATTGCTCGGATTGTCGGGAACTTTCGTGGTTAGCTGGCCGACGGGCTCGTTTAGAATGAGGCGGGCGCTGGATTTCTCTTGTTAGTATGATCAGAACTCTGGCGTGGAAAGGGTCGCCTACGTGTTCAGCATTATGATCGTCTCTAGCCGGAGTCGATGCGTGTGAGACTCCTCGGTCGGCGATTTGGCAGGCGCAAAGAATGAACCTGGAAAGATGACATCTAGAGCGGTGAATATTTCCTCCAAGCTCGAAATATACTGGATATCTTCAGCATTGACCCTCGTGTTTAGCCTTTGATGGCATTCCGATACAGCCCTCAGCAACGAGACCGCGAATAGATGCGTATTGAATCCGTCGCCCGTGTCTTGAACCTGCGGGCCCTGAACAGAAGTCCACGACCTGACTGGATCCATCTCGGAAATCTTGTTGCGTGTAGCATCAACCACCCCGGCCGTGAAGTCGGGAATCGTGGTGGAGACCAGCGCTGTACCTATCAACCGTGGGTCGATGCTGAACGGCGTCACCGTGGTGACGTTGATGGTGCAGTCGAGTCTCCATATAGTCCACCAGACAAACCGACGCTCTTCCTTTTCTGCCGCTGACAGATTATCAGGGCCGTTGGCGCAATCTACCTGGTGTAGTTGGGCCATGAGGGCCAAGCGCATCGCATTGCCAACCAATACCCAAGCCTGGCGGCTAGGTGTGGATGTATACTCATACAGCGCCAGGAGACAGGCTGTTTTCACGGCATCGAGAGTCACAGGCCGATTGCCTTCTTTATCTGCATTTTCCCGAGATTTTTGATGAGCTAGCCGAGAGAATTGCTCCCAGGGGGCAGTTGCATGGCCAAAGAAAAGACTGCATTTTTCGGGGGGCAGGAAACGACACGCGATGGCAAACATGGCGACAAGAAGATCATCGGGGACATGGCTGTTCAAGAGGCCGTGATACAAGGCTGGTCTCCGAAACATTGGGAAAATCGGCTGTATATGGTCAAAGTATAGGGACAAACTGTAGGCTGCATTAGAAATGGCAGGGAAGACAAACTGGAGATAGTAACAAACAGCGTATGCTTAGTGGAGAATGACATGCTATTGGGGTCATATTCTCCATATGTGGAACTGGGTTTTTCCGCAAGAAAATGGGGATTCATATCTCGCTCTGGTGACGCGATCACGCAAGGGCTCTTCCCTGACGATCTACTCTCAGAGACACGGTTTACCAACGGAGGAGAGGGCCCATTCAAGTCGGCCGAAGAAATGAGTGCGAGACTTTCATCTGTTTCCGGTACGCAAAGCTCGTTCGGGTCTGTATGCTCCAATGGGCTATTCAAGTCGTGTTGTTGATTGGAAAGACTTCTAACATGCTTCTCCAGCTCGTCTACATCCGTGTGTCAGTGCTCAATAGCAAGACATCACACAAGTAAGTCGTTACACACCAATTCTGTCCAGAAATGCCTGTGTCCTTGACGGAACGGCACCCTTGGCCGGGCCCGGTCGTTTGCGACGCCGGCCGTATTGGCAAACAAGCCCGTTGGTTATGCACCGGGAGCAACTGGGCTGTACTCTGTCACCTGTGACCAATCAGACAGTCACTCGATAAAATGATAATGCTTGTCTAACATTTTCTCTTCATCCTATAAGCAATCAGTACATGCGTCACGGTGGAGATTAGCAGCTCTTAGAATACTGCCTACCGTCTACAGTTGTAGCAAACCTGCCACTTGGCGGGATCGATCGATCCCGCTTGATGGAGGCTGACATCTTCACGAAACGCAGCTGATTGAAGGTAATTTAATGATTGATCGTGGAGAGACATCGGTTGAATTAAAGCCAAATGACCCATGTGTAGAAGATGTGGGGTAAAAGAAGCTGGGGAAACCCCAGATTCCCCAGAAAAGCTCACGGCAGCCACGTGAGCGGCCTAGACTAGGAAACATCTCGGTCTTCTTCCGAGCAGTCTCCACTTCACTCCACTACAGATAAAGCAATAGCCTAGACACATCTGTATAAGGTTTCGTTCTGCAAGATCAAGACAGCGCTTCATTGATGGCTTCTTCACCTATTCTATGATCTAAATCGTCGACGTTACTGACATCAGTTGGAATACCCTACTCAAACTTCACCCCGTTCCTCAATGTGCCAATGTCCGTCACCTTGACTTCCATACGAGTCCCCGGCTTCAGGAACTGGGGAGGCTTCAGGCCGTTGCCGACACCTGCATGTCATCAGCCATCGCGAACTGGAGGAATATCGATAATGAAATTGTAGAACGTACCCCCCGGAGTACCGGTCATAATCACACTACCCTTTTGCAAAGTCGTGCCTGTGGACAGGTAGGATACGAGTGCCGCACAGCCAAAGATCAGGTCGGAAACCTGGATGTTCTGTCGCTGCTCTCCGTCGATGAAAGTCTGCAATTGGAGTCGTGCGGGGTCACCAATAACATCTGCCCGCACGAGACAGGGGCCCATTGGAGCGTAGGTGTCGAAGCCTTTGGAGAATCCCCACTGGGGAACGGGCCCGGCGATGGAACGATCGATCTGGAGCTTCCGCGACGAGACGTCGTTGCCTACGGTATATGCGGCGATGTAGTCTAACGCGTCTTTCTCGCTGACATTCTTGGCATCCTTGCCGATGACGATGCACTGTCAAGTATTAGTGCTGATTTCTTGTGACGGGCAAGTTCAGTCCTATCACTTACCAGCTCGCCTTCATAGTCTGCTTGCTCATCTTGGGCAAGTTTGGGGATCACCACGTCGCTGCCATGGTCTGCTACCGTGGTATTTGGCTTGAAGAAGATAGACGGCGTCGGCGGTGGCGACCGGCCAGTTTCACGAACTAGAAAACACTCAGTATACCTGTTCCCGTAGCCCATGGTGGGAGAATAGGAGAAGTTACTGACTGTGCGTGAGATAATTCAACCCGACACAGCGTAGGATGGGAACATCATCCTTCGTTAACGGCCCAAGGAGCTGTTGGACGGTCGCAACCTCATCTGTCACCTTGGATCCAGCATCTAAGATGTCCCCCGAAATAACCTTAGCCTGGAGGTTTGTCTCTGCCGTCGTATCTCCCAAATCAAAGTCTGGTGAAGGCAGTATAGGCTCTCCGTGGAGGACACGGCCGTCCGTGCTCACAAAACGGATCAGACGCTCCCAGCAAACCTTGGTGTTGGATGACTTAAACATCTTGTTTAATGATAGACGAACTTTATTATTCTTCTACCAGAGAGATCAACTATTTTCATTTATATTACTCAAGACCTACAAGCGGTTCATCATGTTGTGCCGATGGGCAAGATCGGCCCGCATTTTGCGCGGCTGCGGAGAGAGCGGCGCATCTAGTCTCTCCGATGCCTTTCCCCATGGGGTACTAGTATGGAGATACTATTCACGCGCAATTTATACTGTGTCTATCATCCTGGTTTCTCGAATGCTTGTTCGGATGGTCTAGTTGGTTGATGTGATTCTGCAATTGTGACTGTTTATACTACAATGCATCAAGACGACGAGCACGGAGAGAAACTCCCTCATGGCCCTGCCCGCAGCGATGGAGACAGCGATCATGTCGAGAACGTCTCTGCTCTCGAAAAGTCTTCGCACAACGCTGCAGAGTCTAACCCGTCGGAAATGCCATTGTCAGCGGATCGTAACAACCCTCTTAATTGGCCTCAATGGAAGGCAAGTCTACTGAAAGCATCCTTTACGTACGAGGGGACTGAAGCTAACTCTAATGACAGAAAGATATCAATCTAGTAATGATCTCGTTTCATGCGATGATGACCAATTTCGTTGGGGCAGGCATCATCCCAGTGTATGCGACCTTTGCCGAGATGTTCGGTGTATCCATCCAGGATATTAGCTACTTCACCTCCATCCATGTAAGTAATTTCGCCCTCTACTAGGTATACCACTAACCGTGACGACAGATCCTGTTCACTGGTCTCGCCCCGTTCCTTCTCCACCCACTTTCTAGCCGCTTTGGTCGGCGTCCTATCTGGCTTGTCTGCACATTGTGCACGGCGGTGTGCAATATCGGATGTGCGAAGAGCAATAGCTACGCAGCAATGCTCATCTGTCGCATTTTAGGGTCGCTGTTCATCAGTGCTCCGATTGCTTTAGGACCCCCTGTGGTGGTCGAGATGTACCCGGAACATGAACGGGGGTACAAGCTGGGGATTTGGACGTATGTCCCTTATCTTTACAAGTCTGGTATGATCTAAGCTAACAGTACTCATTTAGTCTGTTGGTTACCCTTGGACCGCCCGTGGGTCCTTTTATCATGGGGTTCGTCGCACAAAGGGTAGGCTGGGAGTGGGTATACTGGACATTCGCGATCGTCAGCGGGGTGCAGTTCGTGCTGTATTTCTTCCTCAGCGACGAGACGCGGTACTTAGGCCCGGATCCATCCACCACAAAGAGCGATGCAGCCTCGTTGAAAAAGGCCTCGTGGGCGAAACAGTCCCTAACTTTCCGTCGAATTGACCCAGCGCCGTTCGCGGCCTCAGACATATGGCGTCCGTTCCTCATGGCACGACACATGCGCATCGTGCTCTCGATCTGCTGCCACACGATGGTCTTCTGTCTTTCCGCAGCGTTGCTAACCGTGGAGATCCCCCAGCTATTCAGCGAACGGTTCGGGTTCGACTCTCAGCAAGTCGGGCTGCAGTTCCTGGGGATCATCATCGGGACGGTGACAGGGGAGATAGCCAACGCCGTATTTCACTCACTACTCAACGCTCGGACCGTCAAAAGTGGACGAGCCCACATGAAGCTGTCCTGGTATATCTCCACCAGCTATATCGGATTTGCGTGCATGGTAGTCGGGTTAGTGGTATTCTGCGTGCAATTGGACCGCACGACCCCAATGCACTATAGCGTGGTCCCGATTGTGGGGATCGGAATTGCGGGCTTTGGCAATCAAGTGGTTGCCAATTTCTTGATTAACTGTATGTTTTCCCTGATGTATACCTTTATACTTGGATGGAGTGCTGACTTTGGTGTGTGTGGTAGATGCTATGCAATTCGATCCAGAGCACGCTGCCCTGACTTCTGTCCTGTTGGGCTTCATCCGGCAGACGTGGTGCTTTATCGGACCGTTTTGGTTTCCACCTATGTTTGAGACGCTGGGGTTGAACGGGTCGGCCGGGCTGTTGGTGGGATTGTTGGTGGTTAGCGTTTTGCCGTTGATATGGATGCAGTGGAGGTATGGGCAGGATGTTTAGGTTTATGCTACATGATGCGCAGTTGGATGGAAGGTTGAGTAGGAGTACTGCGGTATTCATGGTCAGTATCTTAATATATTGGAGGTGTCTTGCTTCCAGTTTGATGTGTCTATAGAATAGATTTTATCTTGTCATTACAGAAACAATCGAAGTCATTTGACTATGCGAATTTTCTGATGACTCCAACCAACAATTACTAATATTAAGAGAGGAAGATACCTCATAGATACATAAAAACACAAGACAAATCAGAATACCATAAACAACCCCTTTCCTCATGATTTTCTTTATATCCCAGAAGACTCGATTAAAGGACACCCCATAGTAGAGTAGATCAAATCAAAGCAAGCAATACCAACAGACTCTTACAACTCCCTCACCGAAACAGGCACGACACCCATCGTCCCAAACTCATTAAAGTCTCCAATATCAACATCATAATTGGGATCATGGTTGCGCATCATGAACTGGTTAGGCCTGCCAGGCTCCATAAAGGCACTCCAGGCGAGCGTGCAGATGCGATTGTCGGTCACGTCGTCGACGAGATCGATGCGGCCTCGCGGACCGGCCGTGGACCCGATGTCGCCGGAGGAGCAGACGTGTCGCTTGCCGCCGTTGTGGCGGATGCTCATGTCGTCGACGTCGTCTGTGGTGAGGATGTCGTCTGGGTCGCTGTCCGTGTGGAATTCGCCGCTGTTTTTGTTAGTTGTGCTGAGGATGGAGATTGGAAGTAGATGTAATGGATAAGAAGAAATAGGGGGATACCTCTCCACGTAGGAATTCTCGATGCGAATATCGTATTTCAAATCATCTTGGATTTGAATGTCGAGGGACTGCTGCGTGTCGGCGGAGGTCATATTGTCT